TAACAACGTAAGTTTTTGGGCTCTAGCAGTAGTCCGTCTAATATGGTTTAGAGTTCGAGTTGCTGAAGGTCCTGGGTTCAAAACCTCCAACCCCAGTCTCCTCTTTTTAGTTCATTTCAAGGTCCATGATATGAGAGAGTTATACCTATATCTTTATCTGCATCTCTACATAGCTACACATGAGAGAAGATGTTAGCTTGGCCCATTCCCTAATAGCTTAAGTTTTTCAAATTATGAAATTTTGCATATGTATAAAGATATTCTAAGATATCTCATACCTTTTGCGTGTCTATTTGAGGAAAAAAAAAAAGAATTAGACCAATGATTATTATATTTCAGCATTTGGAAAATCCCTATGAATTTATTTATGCTGCTCAGGTTGATTTTATTTTCAAAGGGATGTCTGACATGCTTCTTTGAATATAAGATCTTATATCTTGGTGAATCTTATGTTTTCAGGTATGTGCAAAATAATATGTTATCTGGAACAGTGCCGTTGGGTCTTCTCAATAAAGTGGTTTTGAAGTGAGTGGTAATTTTTACAGCTAAAATTGAAGTACATAAGAAGAAAGCCATATGTTAATTCTAAAGCTTAAAATGTTTGTCTGATTCAGTTATAGTAATCGAATGTCCTACACTAAGTGCAGGTCTTAAATTATATCCTGCATGCCGTTTATAGTGTACACAGATATGTCTTTATCTTGGTTCATCAAATCTATCTCTTCCCCAAATTTGTCTAATTTATCTCTCTATTCTAGTCATCTGTTCCTTGTCTAGGACTTACTCCAATGTGCTTATCACCGCTTCTCGATGTTGAATTCTGACAGCTACTCTGGAAACGTTAATCTTCGAAAAGGGAAAACAAGTGGGAGCCGTGTAAACATTATTATTGGTACATCAGTCGGGGCTGCTGTCTTGGTCATGGTTACCATTGTATCTTGCATACTTTTGCGCAAAGGAAAGAAGAAATATTATGATCAAGGTGTGAGTCTGAACACTTAGTTTTTTTTTTTGTACATACATACATTTTCCTTTTTTTTTTTTTTTTTTTTTTTTTTTTTTTTTTTTTTTTTTTTTTTTTTTTCGTTGCTTGAACATGCTGAGATACTATACTTGCCATAGACCACCAACTTGGGCGTCCTCTGCCTAGGCAAGGCCTACTCTCTTCCAAGAGTGATTCTGCTCCCACTGAAGCTGCACACTGCTTCTCTTACTCTGAAATTGAAGAGGCTACTAGAAATTTTGAGAAGAAAATAGGTTCTGGAGGTTTTGGAGTTGTTTACTATGGTAGAATGAAGGATGAAAGGGAAATTGCAGTCAAAGTTCTAACAAGTAATTCGTACCAGGGAAAACGAGAATTTTCAAATGAGGTTAGTTTTCGTATGATTGGAACCTCTTTTTACATTTTGACATTTCAGGTTTTCCTCGTTCTTTCACGATGCTTAACCCTGTCTGTATCTTTCTATTTGTTGAACTGTGGGTGATTCTTCTTTTTTCCTTTTTTTGCTTTGTTTTTTTTTTGTTCTGGTTGAAATTTGATAAATATTTCGTCAAACTTCCCCCTAATATGAAAGATGAAATGTAAACTAGTGGGATATGACTGCTTGGAAACCTCTACCAATTTAGTAAAAGAAAAATAAAACAGAATGTAAGTAGGACATGGAAGTGGAAGGATTTCCCACCTACTTTGGGTTGACCTATTGCTGTAGGACATAAAAAATGTAATCATATGGACTGACACATGTATATGATATAGGTAACTCTTCTTTCAAGGATACATCACAGAAATCTGGTACAGTTTCTTGGGTATTGCCAAGAAGATGGAAGAAGTATGCTTGTTTACGAGTTCATGCATAATGGAACTCTCAAAGAACATCTTTATGGTAAGCTTGCAACTTATTGAATGAATCTTTTTAAATTTGGATTGCCAACGAGTTTTGAATTATTTGTAGGCCCATTAACACGTGAACAGAGTATCAATTGGATCAAGCGCCTTGAGATTGCTGAAGATGCAGCAAAAGGTCTTATATTTCTGTTAGTTTTTACTTCTTTTCGTTTTTACAGACAGAGAAGGCACCTCTCCCCAAGGATATAGTATTAAATTGACTCATGGGTTTTCTTGTGCTTGTTCAGGAATTGAATACCTTCATACAGGCTGTGTTCCGGCCATTATTCATCGGGATTTGAAAAGCAGCAACATTTTAATCGACAATCACATGAGAGCAAAGGTTTCAGATTTTGGTCTTTCCAAACTTGCAGTAGATGGAGCATCCCATGTGTCAAGCATAGTTCGGGGGACTGTAGGGTATCTGGATCCCGAGTAAGGCTTTCTTTTCCATAAACATATCTGTTTTTCATTGAGATCAAATCTAACATCATATTGAGATAAGTCAAATATGTTATTACTGCCTTGTGAAGCACTAAATGCCTTCCTTTGGTAGAGTGCTCCAATTGGTCATTCATTTGTGTCATAAATGGACAACAGATTTACGAGATAGGTTATAAACGCGGTACAATAGTTGTACTTAATGACTCTTATTATTCACAAAAGCAATCAGAAAAATTTAAAATAAAATGTGCCAGGGATGTTTCTGTTTACAGCTATAATCAGTGTTTTCCTTCTCTGTGTTACGTAATACTGAGAGCTCTTTCAGTCATGCACATGCCAACCAAAATTGAACCCAAACTATGTTTGCAATTTCATTTTGTAACCCAGATTAGTGAGCATTAATTATAGTTACTTCTTTCTTTCCTCATTGTCGTTCAGGTACTACATCTCCCAGCAGTTGACAGACAAGAGTGATGTCTATAGTTTCGGTGTCATTCTTCTTGAGCTGATATCCGGTCAAGAAGCGATATCTAATGAAAACTTTGGTGTTAATTGCCGCAACATAGTCCAATGGGTAAGTGTAGTTTGCTTGTATTGCAAGGAAGTATTTAAAACTTGTGATCACAAACCGTACGTACATTATCGATTATTTTCCTTGAACAATGCCACTAAATCCATTTCAGAGGCTGATAATGTTATGACATCACATACCCTCATGCTGACAGTCGACATGCTCCCAATTTTATTTTGAGTTTCTCTTCAATTTGTACTGTTACTTCTGTGCCACCATTGCAAGTTTGTTGATATAATTGTGGACTCCTTTGTTACCTGTGAAAAATGGCTGTCACAGGCAAAGTTACACATCGAGAGCGGTGACATTCAAGGCATCATCGACCCCTCACTGCAGGGCGAATATGACATCCAGTCAATGTGGAAGATAGCAGAGAAAGCCTTAATGTGTGTTCAAGCACATGGATTCATGAGGCCATCAATCTCAGAAGTTCTCAAGGAAATCCAAGATGCAATCTCAATGGAAAGGGATGCTGGAGCAGCAAGAGATGGTACCTCAGACGCATCAAGGAATTCAATTCATTCTTCCTTGAACTTGGGTTCCATGGATCTTGGTGGAACAGATAACTTCTTGTCAATTGATGAGTCTATCGCACGGCCAACTGCCCGATAGTGCGATTTTCTTGGCAATGTATACATGACATTATAATTTTTTTTTTTAGGAGAGGATCAAAATAGGTATTGTTGTAGTTGCAAATTTTGATCTTGCAAATTATATTAGCACAATGGATGCTGTATTGAATTTTTCTTTGGGCGGTCTGGGTTTTTTGGGTTTGTTAATGGCCATTATACCCCTTTGCAAAAAGACTAGAGTGTACAGATCATAATTTTACTCATCATGGCCCCAAATGATCCATGGCTGCTAATAATACATGTTTGATCGTTCTTTGAAACTCACGCTTTGCATGAAGTGCTCCACGTGCTATGCACGTTACAAGTTTGGACTATAGCCAAGTCACGCCATTAGTACGTTTGGACTAAAGCCACAATCCACATGTGAAGGGCTTGCAAGGTGTGGTTTGCATGGAATGTAACCGAAATGAACCCAGGGCTCTTTGTGGGTTTCCACATTAATCAACGAATTGGACATAGAATTAGCTATGAGATTAAGAGCTAACACAAACGTTAACCAGAACAAACATTTCTCCACTAATTAACCCGTCTTATTTCACCGCTTCTCCTACTTTCTTAGGGTCGGTTTAGTAGAGTTTTGTACACTTCTTCTATTTTTTCAGGGCCTTTTTAATAGTGTTTCTGTATACTTATGCGTGCATTTTTTTATTTTTATTTTATAAAAGAAAGAACCGAAGTGTTTCTCTAAAAATCATTACAAATTGCGCAAAACCATACTGAAAACCATACTTGTTGGACGAAAGATATCACTAGACTAATAACTAGTTAGCGGTAGACTAATAACTAGTTAGCGGTAGAATTACTCTAGACTATCAATTGCGCTGAACTAGAAATTTAGAATGAGAAGCTGTAAAAAGAATTTACTAGCAACGATGTCTTGTCGGTTGGATGGATAATTACAGGCCTAGGCCCATAGGTAGCCAGGGGTAATGTTTATCCATCTATCTCACAAACAAACACACAAATGATGATCCAAAGCGAGGCGGGGGGATTACACAACGACGTCGTCTAGCGCACAGATGTAGCATCCACCTGCAACGGCCCCAAACACGTGGTCTAATCGTTATGACCACACCACGCCAGAAGCATAACCGCAGAAGAACACGGAATCTATATCTCTCTCTCTTTCTTTCTCTCTCATCTCTCAAATACAAAAATAAAAAGCTAGGCAAATCCAGAGAGAGAGCCCCCAAAAAAGAAAACCAACGGTGCTGATAAACCTCACTCTCTCATCCCAGTCGTCTCCTCTCTCCTCTCTTCTCCAGCGTCCGATCAAATTCCCCCACAAATCTGAGTCTCTCGCGCCAAATAAAAGCCCTCTAAATACAAACAGGTACTCTCGCGCTCTATTTCATTTTCTCATTCTCCCAGTTATGGCGGGGCTAGGGTTTCTGGTTTCGATTTCGATTTTGATTTTGATTCTGCTCGGTGACGGCTCTGCTCTTGTGTTTGTTGGGCTAGGGTTTCCATGGCCGAAGCTCCGGGAAGTCCAGGCGGAGGGAGCCACGAGAGCGGCGGCGACCAGAGCCCACGCTCGAACGTTCGGGAGCAGGATCGGTATCTTCCGATAGCCAACATTAGTCGGATCATGAAGAAGGCGCTTCCTGCTAATGGCAAAATCGCCAAGGACGCCAAAGAGACCGTGCAGGAATGCGTTTCTGAATTCATCAGCTTCATCACTAGCGAGTACGACGCCGTTTCGTAACTGTGTTCATGATTCATGATTATGTTTGGAAATTGTATTTATCCTTTTTTGTTTTGATGTCGGGGTGGAATTGTGTGTAGGGCGAGTGACAAGTGCCAGAGAGAGAAGAGGAAGACAATTAATGGCGATGATTTGCTCTGGGCAATGGCTACTTTGGGCTTTGAAGATTATATCGACCCCCTTAAGGTTTACCTCACTAGATACAGAGAGGTAACACATTTTTGCTATTTGGTTTCGCCTTTTCTTAATTTGGCCTCTAATTTCGAGTTATTGTATCCAATTAAGCTCCGAAGTTCAGATTTTGTTGAGAAATGAGTGTTTGCTCATCTCAATAGTGTTGCAGGCTCGGGTTTGTTTAACTATTTAATGACAAGATTTTTGATGGGTTTTGACTAATACACTGTTTCTTTTCTGTTGTCTTCTGGGTCTATTCGGACACTGCAGATGGAGGTGAGTGACAATTGTTTTCTATTTATGCGCGGGTTTTTATTTTACTTTCTGCAATTTGTTTTTATTTAACCTTATCACTTACTTTTGGGTTTCGGCTTGTGACGTCTAATAGGGTGACACCAAGGGTTCAGGGAAGGGTGGAGATTCATCTTCTAAGAAAGATGCTCAGCCAAGTTCAAATGCTCAGGTTGAGTATGATTTTGTTTTATTAATGAAGCAAGGTTCTTTTTTTGTGTTTTATTCTCGGGTTTTAATTTGTCTTATTTTCATTTGGCAGATTTCTCGCCAAGGTTCTTTCTCCCAAGGAGGGAATTACTCAAATTCTCAAGTAATTTCTTTCTCTTTGCTTCTCTGTACCTATCTGTTTTAAATTATTATTATCTCTCTTCATCATGTTTGTGCAGTACTTATCAGTGTTATAATATTAACCGGATTCCTTTATTGCCTACACATTTCCGTATGACTTATAAGTTATAATCATTTCCATCCATGTATAAACTATACCATTTTCCCTTGATATTTTGAGCATGATTTCTGTATATTCAAATGATGGCCCTTCAGACAGAATCATTGACACAATTTGTTTTCACAGCAGGATTTATCTTATTATTGGCGTGCGTTGGTTGGTTTTGTTCCCTTTGGTTTAAGTTAAAATTTTGTGGTCATTAGTGCCTAATGTTTGAAAAGTTGTGCTTTTCAATTTTATATGTAATAGTTGTGCATGTCATTTGTAGAATTGTGATGATATGCTCAATGATCATTTGTCCGTGGAAAGTGGATGACTTTTACTTTGCAGAATAAAGTGAAAGCTGCACAGTAGTAGGGTGCATTAAACCGTTAAACATATATGGTTTTCGTGTGGGTGCTCTTGTTTCTTGTACTTGTTCCATGGTTTAATGTTTGCATGCCCTGAAGCAGCAATGTAAATTTTGTCCCATTTGGAATCTCTTTTGGAAAGTTCCAAGTTTGCTTTTCTCCAAAGTTTTTACATGTTGCTTTATAGTTGGTGCTTTGCTGCAGAGTTGTAGTTGCGGTTATTGGGTCAATAATATTATTCTTTATAGCATTATAGCATTGTGGATTATATCAATGTTGGTGGATTATAGCATGCAAGTTGGTGGATCTATATGAGCAACACAAGGCATTGTGTTTTCAACTTAGCTTTCCAATGGTTGAGACTACTGTACAATGTTAAAACTTCTCGATAGGGAGAGCATGAGATGTGGGAGTGGCAAAGCAACTGATGAAATAGTAGTGTCATTATATTAGTATGTTTGGCTTGTTCTACAGTTTTATTTATTTTTCGGTTTTGGAAAGTGCTGTTTATGAAACTATAGAAATGTTTTTGCTAGTGGTGAGTATGCTGGTTTTCTGGTTCTTGTACTCAACATGGTCTAATGAATGATTTGTTATTGCAGAGCCAACATATGATGGTTCCTATGCAAGGGACAGAGTAGATCCAGTCGTCTTGTCGATGCAATAATTTAACTGCCTATTTAAGGAGATCATATTCGGTGCCCGGAACATATTAAATTATTTCTCTAGTCAATGACATAATGTGTGAGTATTAGAGCTCTGTATCCAGTAGTATTTTCTGGTGTGTAAGTTAGGAGTTTCTTCGAGTTGAATGTCTCTCTCATGATAGTATTGTAAACCTCATGAGGATCCTTCATTCTTCTCATCTGTAACATGTGTCATGGCATGTGTTAATCAAACTGGTTAGGAAATTTATGCCCTTCAAATTTCTATGTTATATTATTATTTTAGTCCGTTTTACGCCGAATTGGAACGACAGGTTATAGATCTAACTGATCATTTTCCCAAAAATTTAACCTGCTTCTGACTTGAAATGATTGAGATGGGGTCAATATTCGAGTTGATAAATGCCTGACATAATTATCTATGTTATTGGTTGTATAATAAACCCAAAAGAATTTGAGTTGAGACTTTAAAGTCAGTATTAAGTTAATTGTTCGATTATTATTAGCCATAAAATATCAATGGAATTTGTACGACAAGGGAAAGAGAATCAGTTAGAAAGTAGAAAGCAAAAAGAGTGGAGTCTGCGGAGGAGAGTGTCGTTTGCCCTTTCGCCGTGTGCTGGCCAAACTCCACGTCGAATTGTTGCTTTTGCGCGCCCAAATTTCACGTCAATCGACTTTAGGCTTTTTCTATCGCTGCACCAATCTTCGTTCTTTCTTCACCCATACGCGGTTAACCTAGTGGAAGATGCCTGTTGATCATTTCTTTTTTCTTTTGAGTAGAGAGCAGCATAGAAAAGTTGACTAGCAATCTTCTTTGCCTCCCATGTCTTGTATGCTTATGTACCTAATGTTTCCGTTGTAAATTGCACACGTCATCCTTTTACTAGATTGTTTTACCACTTGCTAGTGTCGTTTAGAACCCATAATTGCTTGGTGTGCGCTTCATAGCCGGTTCGTACCTACCAAAACTTCTTTCCAACTTTCAAGTACAAATTACAATTATGGTGTCATTTCTTGGTTAAATGTTGGGTTTGTTGCCTTTGGGCAGTAGCAAACGAGGCATTGGCTTTTTCATGTCAGGCCACGCTTGGTATGGCTCCTTGGCTTCTGACCTAGTACATAATTTACATAGCGGCAAATTTGGCAAAGGGGGGTACCTAAGATTCGGTTCCTTAATTGACCAATGGTCCAATATAATGATTAAAGTTGCCTAGTTTTCCATGTTTGATCAATCACAAACCATCGCCCGGTTCAGATATGCCGAGGATTAAACAATGTGTGATTTTCTTTGTGCACAAAACATACAATTTCTATTTTTTTATGATCGAGCATTGGACTTGGGGCCCATCTAAAGGCTCTCATAAAGCGGTGTTATTGAATCCGACGGTCCAAATCCATCCCAATCATATTCCACTAGGGGGTCCCGCGCGAGCCATCAGGTTCGAGCCTACATCAGCCACCATGCACCTTGCGCACACTATATCTTAACTGCAAGCGATAGAAATAGAATTCTAATTAAGGAAGGAAAATTGGGTAAAGAATCTTTCCGAGATTTTGGGGTGATAATATTTTTTTTTTGGTGGAACAGGAGATAATGATTCCAAATATCTATTTCCATGCTAATTGCATACTTAAGAGGCCTGTTAATAATAAAGAAGTGTAATTCTTATGAAGAAAATAAATAAATATAAGTGTATACATTATTAACTTGCTAAATATGTTCCATGCTAATTGCGTACTAAGTTTCTTTTATAAACAAAAATTGTTAATATTTATAGCAATTTTGTGTTCGATATAAGACACAATTCCCTCTTTATTTTTTAATTATTAACATTTTAATATATTATTGTTTTAAGAAATAAAATAAAATAATGGTGTTTTAGAAAAAAAATTCTTATTTGGAAACAACTTCATATTATTTGAGGATTTAATTATGAACGTATTTTATTTTACACATATAGATAATACTCCCAACATTTTGAATTCAACAATAATATGAGAAATTATTGTACAGCACCAAAATACGATTATATAATTGCATAATATAATTGATTTACGTGTTATAATATGAGTGAATAATAAATTGATATGTTAATATACAGTATTAATAAATATTCTTTTTTTAAAAAATATTTATTTATATGATAATGTGCAAGTGATTTATCACATGACCATACTCTAGTAATAATTACTCTGATGAAATTGCAAGAGTGCCAGAAAATTTTCTCAAATTATTTTGTTCCTAAAAGAATAGAACAGAAAAATAACTTTTTTTTTATTATTATAAAAATATACACAACTTATATAAAATGTGAAAAAATAGGGATGAAATAAAATAAATAAAACAAGTGAGCTTCAACTCTACGACATCTTCCATAGCACACATTGTTTAATAAGATTCATCACCCATACATATCTCTCCCCGGCTTCCGTACCCTCATCATCATCGTCATCGTCCTTAGATTTTCCAGAGGCGAAACCAGAGACCATTTGAGCCTTTACACCTACGAAAACCCTACACGAAGCTTTCCTTTATAATTCAGGTCTTCGACTCCCTCGAAGGCCGATTAACAACAGCAACCACAACAACATCATCAGCTACAGCACCTTAGGTACAATTAAACGACCACAATTCCCAATTTTGATAAATTATCATTTTCGATAAATACACAGGCACACTCATATTCACATCTATATAACACTAATGATGTGTTTGTGTCAACACAAATCTTGTTTTGTTTTGTTTTGTTTTTTAATCTGCTTTTTTGTTTGGATATTTTTTTTATGAGTCGGTTTTGTTGGATGAGCCTGTGTTTGCACAATTTCTATTGCCAGTGAACATGAGAGCGTCAGGTATGACATAAAAATGCAAGCTTTCACATAAATAAAATACATTTTGCTTCCAGCTTTTTGATGATCATCTGGGTGCTTTTTGACGATCATCTGTATTTGGGTTTCGATGTTACTGTATTAGAATATATAAGCTTCTAGCTCTCTGTTTTAGGTGTTTTCTAATGCGAAAGTTTTAATTTTTAATTGTTTGGTAATTCTGAATTGGATTTATGGGTTGAACCCAGTTTTAGAACTAGAGTTAAGGTGATTCAATCTGCGAGTTCATGCTCTGATCATGCAGGAGTAGATATATTTTGGATTTCTGTTAAAGGTTGAATTATAAATGGCAAGTCGTGGCCAAAAGCGTACTGAGGTTGACGATGAATTGCCGGCGGATAAGCGAGCATGTAGTTCTTTGGAGTTTAGACCGAGTTCATCGAACTCTTCTGCTCAAACCCATATGAATTCTATGAACTCAACACCTGAAACCAATGACCATGATATGGACACTACATCCTCTGCTTCAGCGTCTAGCCGGTCCGAGGGAGAACATGAGAAGGATTCAGCATATGGGTCTTGTGATTCTGATGATGCAGACCCAAGACACAGTGAACTCCGGGACTATCAGAGACGGAGATCTTCGGGTGATCATGGAAAGTTTAAGAGGATCTTATCATCTTTAAGTGAAGAGACTGATCCTTCTGGCCAGTTAGCTGTGCTCACCGAGCTATGTGAAGTCCTATCATTTTGTACAGAGGATTCGCTATCCGGGATGACATCAGACTCATTATCACCGCTTCTTGTTCGTCTCGCTAGGCACGAGACTAACGCAGATATCATGCTATTGGCTATAAGAGCTATAACTTATTTATGTGATGTGCATCCTAGATCATCGGCCTTCCTTGTCCGACATGATGCAGTTCCTGCTCTTTGCCAAAGACTTATGGCTATTGAATACTTGGATGTAGCTGAGCAGGTAATGTTGCTTTACATGGTCATATTTATGTCATCAATGCATGATCTTTATGATATTGTTTATACAATGTAAGATTGGGGGATACATGGGATTCTTTTATTGTTCTTATGCAGTGTCTACAAGCATTGGAGAAAATGTCACGGGAGCAACCACTTGCGTGCTTACAGGCTGGGGCAATAATGGCTGTTCTGAATTATATTGATTTCTTTTCGACAAGCATACAGGTAATTCAATCTCTGATGTGTTCTTGATTGGAAATTGGTGTTGTTATCTTCATGGAAGAAGATTTTGGTTTGTAATAGATAGTTTTTTTCCTATATTATTTATATCTTTTCTGCATCAGAGAGTTGCCCTTTCCACGGTGGTGAACATTTGTAAGAAACTTCCTTCTGAATGCCCTTCACCTTTCATGGAGGCTGTTCCTATACTATGCAATCTTCTCCAGTACGAGGATCCTCAGGTACGAACTGTGAAGTGTGTTTTTGTGGCTTTTAAATAGATTTCAGATGACCTTCTAACTCAGACTTTTGTTTTAATTTCTCAGCTTGTCGAAAATGTTGCTGTTTGCTTGATTAAAATTACAGAACGAGTGAGTCAGTCTACTGAGATGCTGGATGAACTTTGTAAGCACGGGCTGATTCGTCAAGTCACGCATTTTATGAACTTGAATAACCGAGCAACTCTATCCCAACCAATTTGTAATGTAGGCATTCAATATCATGTTCCTGAGATCTGCCTCTTGTATTTTACTGCCTTGGAGTATGTTCTGACTAATGTACTTTGGTTGGTAGGGTTTAATAGGGCTACTTGGAAAACTTTCTTCTGGTTCAGTTGTAGCCTTCAGGACTCTATATGAGCTCAATATAAGCAGCACTTTAAAGGATATATTATCTACATATGAACTCTCACATGGAATGTCATCTAGTCATGTGGTGGATGGGCATTGCAATCAGGTACACATCTTGACCTGTAAAAGTGGTTCTGAAGTTCTATTCTTTTTTCAGGGCTACTTATTCTTATCAATTCTTTAGAGTCTCAATGTTTTTCCCATGACAATGTTGTGACTTAACTACCCGTTATATATATTATAATAAAAGTTCAGGATGTTTATTGACTTCCTAAGAAAATCCAAGTATATATTTGTATATTCATGTCCTGGTTACAAAATTAAGCATGTGCTTTATATTATATTATATATATTTGGTTACATTTGGAGGAAAGAAACCCTGGGGTTTCCATCCTGGGTGCCAAGTAGGGGGGAAGGGGAAGGGACACAACCATTGTCGTAACCCCACTCGACGCTTTATATTATATTTTACTAGAGGAAATTCAATGGTATTATTGTTCCTCTTTTTTTTCCCGCAGGTATATGAAGTTTTGAAGTTGCTAAATGAGCTTCTACCTACTTCAGCTGGAGATCAAGATGATCCACAGCTGTTAGATAAGGAATCTTTTCTAGTTAATCAACCTGATCTACTGCAAAAGTTTGGGATGGATATACTTCCCTTCTTGATTCAGGTTTTGTTTCTGCTATTAGCACTTCTTTTGCACACCATCCCAATAGTATTGTAATGTCTATTTCACCTCTCAACAGGTTGTAAATTCTGGTGCCAATTTATATATTTGTTATGGATGCTTATCTGTTATCGACAAGTTAATTTCTTTGAGCACATCTGACATGCTTGTGGAACTGCTTCAGAATGCCAACATTTCAAGGTGACTTGGTCTCTTTGTATTTTGAGTTTTGACTAGAGATTAGCAAATCTTGAAGAAATTCTTGCTGATGCTAATATATCCTCTAAATGTGGCAGTTTTTTGGCTGGAGTATTTACACGAAAGGATCCCCATGTGTTGATTTTAGCTCTACGGATCACTGAGCTTATCCTGCAAAAGCTCTCTGATTATTTTTTGGACTCTTTCATAAAAGAGGGCGTCTTTTTTGCCATTGATGCACTGTCAACACCAGAAAAGTGTCAACTGGTAACCCTGGAAAAATGTTCGAGGCTGGTGTTCCCAGTGTTCAGTGGCACACAGCCTTTGTTTGATCCTAGTCAGAAGTCTGCTTCAAGGGAGGTCCTGAGATGCTTATGTTACGCTTTTGCTACTGGTAAATCACCATCGGTGTCAGAGACAGGAAGCTGCATGCTTGAAAAGGATTCTGTATATAATCTTGCAAAGCATATAAGGACCACGTACTTTGCACCAGAATTGTATGACCCTGGGAAAGTATTAACTGATGTTCTTCAGAAGCTTAGAAAATTTTCTGCTGCATTAAGTGATTTGAACACATCCATGAATAATGATGCTCTTGATCAGCATGAAGAAAGGTTCTATGGTATAATGCGTCAAGTAATGGAAAAGCTTGGTGGAGGAGAACCCATTTCCACTTTTGAATTTATTGAAAGTGGAATTCTGAAGTCCTTAATGACTTACCTGTCCAATAGCCAGTACTTGAGACAAAAGGGGGAAGTTAGTGCTGTTAACACTGATATCTATTCTGTAGAAAAAAGATTTGAGGTGTTTGCAAGGCTATTATTTTCTCCTTCAGACCTTCTCTCTGCGGACGTACCCATAATAACATTGATACGGAAGTTACAAAATGCACTATCTTCTTTGGAAAATTTCCCTGTTATTTTGAGCCATATGCCCAAGTTAAGAAGTTCTTATGCTGCAGTTCCATACGGACGTCGTACAACGTATACATGTATTAGAGTTCGTTTTGTGAAAGACAAAGGGGATACATACCTATGTGATTACTCAGAAGATGTTCTGACTGTTGACCCCTTTTCTTCATTGCATGCCATTCAAGAATTTCTGTGGCCTAAAGTCAATGCAAAAAGAACCAACCACATTAAATCAGCTACACGAGTTAAGGGGCAATCTGAAAGTCCACCACTTCGATCACCATCTAATGCAAGCTCTAGTCAAGGGGGAAGCCCACATCCTATGGACCCTGAGAGCATGTCAATGGACTTACCTGAGTTGCAGGTTTTTCTTTTGCAGTCTCTCAATTAATTATAACTGATAATGATTCTTTTAGAGAGCAGAAATTCTTCGTATTTTTTATTTTATTTGATGAGTTCATGTAGGGTGCATTTCTTCATCCTCAGTCTTACTTTCTTTCCTAGCAGATGAGGTCAATTAAACACAGTCGTCACTTGGACAAGCAATAAGCTTTAACATACATGTCCTCAAATATCTTTGGATGAAACTAATTAAGAAAAAATTTCAAGCAGTCATAAGTTAGAACTTGTGTTCCCTTTTGTTTTTCTGATTGCAATGTAACTCTGGTTTTGATCAGCTCGTGTTCTGTCTGGTCACCTTACGTAACTTTTTCTTCATGTTGCCTAGCGATGGAATAATAATTGTTTTTGCATAATTTTTATGAGCTTCATAAATAGAATACCGTTCCTTCTATTTATATTCCTGCTCTTCTCCATGCATTCCTTGTCTCCTATTTTATGGCTGATTCTTCTTATCAGCTCTAAGATGACGCCAATACCTTACTTTTGGTTGGTTTGTGTATGTTTCAGGAAACTGCGGAGAAACTAGTGCAATGTCCATCTGATGAGGATACTGAGATGGAAGAACAGTGTCCTGCATCTTGTAGCAATGAAGGTTCTTCTTCGAAACTGTTACTTTACCTTGATGGGCAACAGCTGGAGCCGGCATTGACACTATACCAAGCAATTCTGCAACAACAAATGAAAGAACATGAAATTGTCATTGGTGCAAAACTGTGGAGTCAAGTATACACATTAACATATAGAAAGGCTGAAGGACCAGATGGTACTCGTAAAGAATGTCTTTATTCAGCAGAAAGTTCTGCTGTATCAGATAAAGTTGGGGTGTATGAATTGTATACTTCATTTTTCTCCAGCATGTTTTCTTGTGAGCTTGCTTCTGACTTAGAGAAGTCAAGTCCTACTTATGATATAATATATCTTCTTAAAAGCTTGGAAAGCATGAACAAGTTCATCTTTTATCTGATGTCTCATGAGAGAATATGTGCTTTTGCTGAAGGGAAAATCAATGACTTGGATAATTTTCAGATGTCAGTTATTCCAGTGCCACAGAATGAGTTTGTAAGCAATAAATTGACAGAAAAACTGGAACAGCAGATGCGGGATGCTTTAGCTGTGTCCATTGGTGGTATGCCTTTGTGGTGTAATCAGCTGATGACATCCTGCCCTTTTTTATTTAGTTTTGAGGTCAAGTGTAAGTACTTTCGGTTGGCAGCATTTGGTCCACTACTAGTTCAACCTCATTCACCATCTTATAGGGATTCAGGGGTGGCAAGTGACAGGCGTCTAAGCTCTGGAGGCATGCCTCGAAAGAAGTTTTTGGTTTTCCGCAACCAAATTCTTGATTCTGCTGCCCAAATGATGGACCTGCATGCCAGTCATAAGGTACTTCTTGAGGTGGAATACAACGAAGAAGTTGGTACTGGCCTTGGTCCAACATTGGAATTCTATACCCTAGTTAGTCATGAGTTTCAGAAGTCTGGTCTGGGCATGTGGAGAGAGGATCATGGGTCTTTTATATCTGGTACAACCCATGCTGAGGATACTGAAATTTTGATATGTCCTTTTGGTCTTTTCCCTCGTCCATGGTCATCCACTTTGGATACATCTGATGGGATACAGTTCAGTGAAGTAATTAAGAAGTTTGTCCTTTTGGGGCAAATTGTAGGAAAAGCGCTTCAGGATGGGCGAGTCTTGGATCTGCATTTCTCCAAAGCCTTCTATAAACTTATTCTTGGGCAGGTGCTCTCCCAATTCTGAACTATTTATTGTTGGAAGTGGATTTTTGTTAACAATTTTGCACACTACCAATTTCTTGTCTCAAACATATGTTTATTTGTTTCCTAGGAACTTGGTCTGTATGACATCCAGTCATTCGATCCTGAGCTTGGCAGGACACTGCTAGAGTTTAAGGCTCTTATAGACAGAAAAAAGTTTATGGAATCTGTACATGGAGGAACAACATTCAAATTTGACTCATGCTTTCGGAAAACCAAAATTGAGGATCTTTGCCTTGACTTTACACTTCCGGGTTATCCTGATTTTGTTCTTTCTTCTAGGCCTGATAATAAAATGGTAAGTCGCACACCTAACTATGATCCCATTTATTGTTCTGAGTTCTTTCATTTGGCGAACCGAAGATTCAGCACACCCCATGTTTCAGGTAAATGTAACAAACTTGGAAGATTATGTTTCATTTGTGGCGGATGCAACTGTAAAGGCTGGAATTACTAGACAAGTGGAAGCTTTCAAATCTGGTTTCAACCAGGTGTGTACTGTCATGAAATGTCTTTTTATGCAAGGAGGGAGGCTAAATTACCTCAATGCTTTTTTCATTTCAGTATAAATTAATGATTTCTTTTATCTATGATGGTTCAGGTTTTCCCTATTGAACATCTTCAGATATTCACTGAAGAAGAATTAGAGCATTTACTATGTGGAGAACGTGATTCTTGGGCTGTATGTGTGCAACCATTTCATTTTTAATTGTTTTAGGACTATTGACTATATTCCTAAGTGATAAATATTTCTCTTGGCAGTTCAATGAGCTCCTTGATCATATCAAGTTCGACCATGGCTACACTGTTAGCAGTCCTCCCATTGTTAATGTTAGTTTTGCTTTATCTTTGCTTTGTGTTAATGTTTCACTCGAATTTAAGAAATTTTACTGTCAGCTTTTTTCCTTTTTTCTTTTGCAATTTCAGTTGCTGGAAATCATACACAAGTTTGACCAAGAACAGCGAAGAGCGTTTCTGCAGTTTGTGACTGGGGCACCTCGCCTACCTCCAGGAGGTTTTGCATCTCTCAGTCCGAAGTTAACTATTGTTCGAAAGGTACATATCAGTAAAGCATCTTGTTTCTTAGTTGCTTTTTATTTTTGGTTTAGGCATCGTTTGATCATCTCGTTGTTTGCTTTGTCTATTTTACAGCATTCTAGCAACTGTGCTGACTTGGACCTACCAAGTGTAATGACTTGTGCAATTATCTTAAGCTGCCACCTTACTCTTCAAAAGTGAGCTTTATTTCTTTATAGCTTATCTTGTTACTCAGTCTTTCTAGGAAAACATTGCACAAGCTAGATGTTTACATATTTTTCATATCTTTTTTCAGGAGAGAATGAAAGATAAGCTCTTATATGCCATTACAGAAGGGCAAGGATCATTCCACCTTTCATAACATTCAGTGTCTCAGTCCAAATGATCAGTTTAACTTAACTGTGAACTTGTAAGTATTAGAGTAGGTCTTGCTGGTGTGTAGATAAAATGAATGGGTGGCTGAATGGTGATGGTGGTGGCATATTCATTGGTGATCCTGATGAAACAAGAGTAGGCTTCTGTTGACTGACAAATTGGTGGGATGTGTATATACATGGAAAAGTTTAGGTAGTTGGGGAATCTTGGGGAGCTGTACAAAAGAAAGATGGGAAAGTTTAGATGGATGGTTTGCAGCACTTTAAACATGGAAGGTAGTACAAAGCTGTGTACAGAGATATTCATTATTGCAGTTATGCTTTTAGTTGCAATGGAAAATAGTTTCCTCTTTGGGCCATTGAATTAGTTAATTGAATGGTCATCTCTTTCCAATCAATACTTGTTTTGCCAATTCCTGGCTTTTAATTTCCATCTTTAACAGGTTTGCTTGGAAATTCTTCCTATTGTGATGTGATAAAACCACATTGTAAATGCATCTGGTTCTGCACCCCAAAAAAAATGGTGATCAAGATGTGCGGATGATGGTAAACATTGGAAATTTGTATCAAATGGAAGAATTTTCGGTTGGTTCTAATATGTTCCCAGTTTTTGGTCATTCCAAGTTTAGTTTCAACATCGAAACTTCTTCCAGCCAAATTGAAAGACGTTGGTGCGATAAACAAATAAAATTGGAAAAAACTTGGCTCCTCAAAGATGAGGAGTAGCCCCTCCCCAAATAAAATGGGCTTTTCACGCTTGTCTATTTCATTTAATATTCTTTATTTTGGAATTTGACAAGTGTCAAAATTCCATTTGCTTTGAGGATGAGCTCCTCAGTTTTAATGAGATCAATTAGACTGAATTGAATTATCACAAGCAAATCTGTCATCTAATCGACCCATGGATTTGGAATTTAACTAACAAATAACTTTGTTTTTTCTTCCGACTCCCTGAATTTTGGGTTTGGGCTTAAATTCGAGCGGGCTGAATAAGTTATTTAAAACCCCACGAACCGTTTGTGTCGATATCATCAAATTACCAAATAATTTTGTGTCGAGTAACTTTTTAATTCCTTACAAAAATAGCATTTTCTTTTACTTAACTGTAACTGTAGCTCACCAAAAATAGAAACTGATCTTATCTGCAAGTTACTGCGAACACAAATAAACAAGAGGATAGAATATAGTCGACGTACATACTACCACTTCCACTCACCCAAAACTTCAACTATCTCCTCCCCCTTCCCCCTTCTTAACCCCAATCTCCATTATCTTCTTCTTCTTCCTTCAATCATTTTAGTTAATCAGACCTCTCTCTCTCTCTCTCTCCCTCCCAAATGGAGCAAACATGAACCTCAAACCACCATCTTCTTCACCACTAACTTCTAACTCCAACAACCCATTTCCTGCAACCCACTCTTCTCTCACCCTCCATTGGGTTTCTTCCCCACACTATCCCTCCTCCATCTCCAGCCCCACGCGCCCATTTCGCCTACTCGCCACCGCCAACCCCCCCACCAACCCAACTTCAGACCTCTCTCTCGCCGCCACCGCCGCACTACCTAATGAAGACCAAAAGCTTCTGACGCTCCTCCGCCAGAGAAAAACAGAGGAGGCTTGGATTGCCTACACCCAATCCACCCATTTGCCCAATCCCACTTGCCTCAGCCGCTTGCTCTCTCAACTCTCCTACCAGAACTCTCATTCCGGCCTCACTCGCGCCCAGTCCATCCTCACGCGCCTCCGAAATGAGCGCCAGCTCCGCCACCTCGACGCCAACTCCCTTGGCCTCCTCGCCGTCGCTGCCGCCAAGGCTGGCCAGACCCGCTATGCTGCATCCATTGTCAAGTCCATGCTCCGCTCCGGCTTCCTCCCTCACGTCAAGGCCTGGAGTGCCGTCGTGAGCCGGCTCGCCGCCACTGGGGATGACGGGCCTGCCGACGCTCTCAAGCTCTTCCATTCAGTCACCCGCCGTGTCCGGCGGTTCTCGGAGCCGGAGTTGGTCGCTGACTCGCGGCCGGACACGGCAGCCTTCAATGCTGCGCTGAATGCCTGTGCCAATTTGGGGGATACTAAGAGATTCTTGAAGCTGTTCGATGAAATGCCTGAGTATGGTGCTGAGCCTGATGTGCTCACTTACAATGTTATGATCAAGCTGTGCGCCAGAGTTGGAAGGAAAGATTTGCTTGTTTTTGTGTTGGAGAGGATTCTTGACAAGGGCATTACCTTGTGTATGACAACCTTGAATTCGCTGGTGGCAGCTTATGTTGGTTTCGGTGATTTGGAAACCGCAGAGCAAATGGTTCAAGCAATGAGGGAAGGGAGAAGAGACCTGTGCAAGATTTTAAGGGATTCGAATTCGAATAATTCAAAGTCCAGTCTAAGTGATGGGGATGTGTTTGAGAAGTTGCTTCCTAATTCGGTTAGAGCAAATGATTGCGAGCCGCCATTGTTGCCTAAAGCATACACTTGTAACTCTAGGATTTACACTACTTTAATGAAGGGTTATATGAATGTTGGCCGTGTTACAGACACCGTTCGGATGCTAGAGGCACTGAGGCACCAGGATGATAGCTCAAGCCATCCTGACCATGTAACCTATACGACTGTTATTTCTGCATTTGTGAAGGCTGGCTCAATGGACCGTGCTCGGCGAGTGCTTGCAGAGATGACAAGAGTTGGTGTGCCTGCAAATCGGATCACGTATAATATTCTTCTCAAAGGTTATTGCCAGCAGCTGCAGATAGACCAGGCCAAGGAGCTCCTTAGGGAGATGGCTGATGATGCTGGGATTGAGCCTGATGTGGTTTCGTATAATATATTGATTGATGGATGCATACTGGTTGATGACAGTGCTGGGGCTCTTGGCTTTTTTAATGAGATGCGAACAAGAGGACTTGCTCCCACCAAGATCAGTTACACCACTTTGATGAAAGCCTTTGCCTTGTCGGGTCAGCCGAAGCTGGCTAACAAGGTGTTTGATGAGATGCTTAACGATCCTCGGGTAAAGGCTGATTTGGTTGCCTGGAATATGTTGGTTGAAGCGTATTGCAGAATGGGGTTAGTCGAAGAAGCCAAGAAAATCATTCAGAGAATCAAAGACAATGGGTTTCACCCTGATGTGGCCACGTATGGCAGCCTTGCCAACGGAATTGCATTGGCTAGAAAACCAGGGGAGGCACTCTTGCTTTGGAATGAAGTGAAGGAGAGATGTAGGGTGAAAAAGGAAGGGGAAACTTCCGATCCGCCAATGCTGAAACCCGATGAAGGGCTATTAGATACTTTGGCTGATATATGTGTCAGGGCTGCTTTCTTTAAGAAGGCTTTGGAGATTGTGGCTTGTATGGAAGAGAATGGGATCCCTCCAAATAAGACAAAGTTCACTAAAATTTATGTGGAGATGCATTCTAGGATGTTTACTAGTAAGCATGCCTCACAAGCCAGGCAGGACAGGAGGATTGAGAGGAAGAGAGCAGCTGAGGCTTTCAAATTTTGGCTGGGTTTGCCCAATTCTTACTATGGGAGTGAATGGAGGTTAGAGCCTATAGATGGAGATGAGTGATGCATGATTATGCTTCTGGTTCAGCTGAACCACTTGGCATGTCAATGTATACTTTGTTACTCAAAAAGGTAGAAAAGAAACAGTTCTAGGGTATTTACAAAATCTGAGAAAGTGAGAAAATATTCCAATGTAATATAATTATGTTATCATATAGGTGATTGAAAATGATGTCCTTGAACTGTTTACATTACAAAATTATATACAAAATTATGCCAGTATGGTGTTTTTGGCATTAGATTTTTCCAGTACTAATATTTTTGAAGCAGAAATCTGAAACAAAATTCAGATGCAAGATGTAAAATTTTCAATGCGCTCTGAATTGCTGCACTAACCTTAGCCTCTTGACCTTGATGACGATTGACTCCGAGAATAAGATGAGGATAGTACCTGAACAAAAAATTATGATTAAATAAAAGCTGCATGATATAAAATTATAGATATTGAGATTTACATGGAACTATTGTTGTGTTGTCACATTGGAATAGTTACTACCAGATCGCAGTAAAGAAGGTTATATAGTACCTGGTACGTCTTTGCCCCTTTCTTGAGCAGATAACCAACACTGTTTAAGTTATCAACAAATGTGTCAATGTCTGGAACTCTTAGGCCAATCCTATCTGCCAAACTGTATATTTCCTGAAATAAAAGAGTACATGAATACGTGGGTGACTGATGGAGCATGATAATTGCAGAAGCACACAAAAGAATGTGACATACCGATATTGTAAAACAGTCTTTCTGCTGCAACTCCGATTGCCTATTGAGGGCACTTAAAAACCGTTTTGCTTCCTTTTGTTGACTCATTCCTCCACTTCGACCAAAATCCACAACACCATGCTCGTCAATGTACTTGTCATACAAGGATTCTCTCATGATTTCAACCACATCCTGCAAAGAAGACACTCTGGTAGAATGATCCAGGAACTTCGTCCAAACTCATCTTAGCAGAATTAGAACTAACCATTGCATCTTGGGCGGTTATTTCTTCTCTTAAATCTAGCCTAGCTCGAGCTTGTGTCAGCCTCACCAGACTCTCCAATTGCCTTGCTGTTATTGGTGTGCTATCAGCAGATGTAGCATGGTCTCTTAGTTTTAAGTAAAATTTCTGCAGGATTTCTGCTGCGGGCTTTGACATCCTGGTTCACCCAAAATTGAAAATTGAGAGCAAAAAGAAAATGTGAAACCAAAGAAAAAAAACATAGAAATGAATCACAATTCCTGCGTGAGCAATCAGATGCACAAGAGTGACAAGGCAAAGGTCATGCCAAAATCACCTAGGAAAGACGTAATTTCTTGCATAAGCAATATACTTGCGTAGGAGTTGAACTGGTAATGGAACAAAATCACCATCCGTGTTTGGGTCAAGCCTCAACCTTGAAACCAAAGAACCACCTTCTCCACTCATATCTATGCCTTCTGCACTCTGTGATGCTGTATTTTGTGAACCAGAAGGCATTATTTTGTTAAAGAGAGAATCTTTTGTAAGTGGACCTGTATTTCACGACATGCAATTGCTACCTTGCTTTGCAAGAAATAATTAATAAGTCTGGTTCTATATGGACATACCTCCACGAATCCTTTTTGTTGCTGGTGAATGTTCTCCATATCCAGCATGAAGCTACATGATAGACAACCAAATCCTTGAATTACACACTGAACAAAGAATCTTTTTGTTTTTTTGGCAACTGGCATTACAAAGTTCTATTAAACTCTGTTTACTAATACTTTCCTAGCATACTGAACTAATGTCATTGGAAACATGTAATATCAAAAGAGATTAGCAAATACTCTATTTTTCTAGGACAAAATTTGCTTGTAATTCCTAAAAGAAATTTGGTTTTAACATCTCAATGTTGATTTTGTATCACAGTTTATGACTTGCATTGTCTAGATAAATTTTGAAACTCCATGTAGTGCCAATATGAACGATTTTCAAATTGACACCGTGACACATGACAGGTTTTATGCAAGTCGTGAAAACATAGTTGGTATGTCTTACACAATTACCTCAAATGAGATAAGAATAGCATGTAACTAATAAAAATATGTACATTATGAAAGGCCAAGAGAGGATAACTTACCGACATGATGTGCTCTGAGACTCGCTTATCCAGAAGTTCATTAGGTTTGTCAAGTAATATGAAAACCAAATCAAATCGTGATAGGAGAGCAGCACCTATTTTCAAATTTTCGTTCACTGTTTTTGCACGGCTGCCATTGGAAATGTTATTGGTATCATAAAATGCGGGTTTGAAATGTCATGATATCACAGCTACAGATATGTTATGTTATTGATGAAGTATTTCGTCCACATAAGCAACAGATTAATGAAATTGCAATAAGAGAGCGGGGAGGATGGAGAAAGTGAGAGAAAGACAGAGTGAGATAATCTGCTGATTGACAGAGTTCTCCAAAAGGACTATAGGGGATATGAAATAGGACTCATTCAGTAAAATATAAGCAATGACAGAGGGGTCAAAGTCTACAACAACAGAACATTTTATCCATTACCAGAATCATAATAGTCCTCTCACCAACAATTTAAATTAAAAACATTACTTATAATGACCACCAACAGGGTTTGCTGCTGCTAAGACAGAAGTTCGTGCTGACAAACTTGCCACCAATCCAGCCTTTGCAATAGAGACACACTGTTGTTCCATGGCCTCCAGTAGGGCCTGCAACAATCTCAATATAAGCACAAGCAACTCTTTTAGAAGTTAGATAATAGAAACTAATATAAAACCACTGGGGACAAACCTGATGCTCTGTAGTCATTTTGTCAAACTCATCAATACAACACAATCCACTGTCCGCAAGTACCATGGCACCTAATCCAAGATTTGGTTATTATAGATGAATGCATTTAGACAATAGCTTAATATAATCACTCTTTTGAAGCTATAATAACAGAATACATATTGTAAGATTAATATGTACTTTCCCCTTTAAGAAGGGAGGGGGGCTATTAGTTAAATTTCACCAATCAACTGTGAAATTAATCATAAGTACAACATCCATAAGCAGATATTACATATAAGTTAGCAAAAGCATTAGACTATCTTTATTGACAAGAAAAGGGAATAACAAAAAGAAGATGAAGAAAGAAAGAAAGAAAATAACTACCGGCTTCAAAAGCATAATCACTTGTCATAGGATCCTTCACAACAGCCACAGTGAGACCAGCCCTGGTTGTGGCATTACCACACACATAAATGCCCCTTGGAGAAACAGCTGCTGCTGCTTGCAGTAGTTGGCTCTTGCCTAGTCCAGGATCACCTAACAAAATGAGGTGGTACAAATTCATCTTCTCTTTCCATGCACAACTTTCAAGGTTTAGTACCGTTAAAAGAGCATGATGGAGTTCAACCATACCAACAATTATGACATGAATGTCTCCTCTAACAGGAACCTTGTTCTGATCATTTGAATGCTTCCTCACACCCCCAAAGAGTGCCAATATTATGCCCGCTGGTGAAAAACAAGTAAACTAGCATTGTTATACCGCTTCATTATCAAATTCAAAAGATATGCTTAATGAGGAGAAAATTAAATGTATAACTTGAGAAACCAGGCAGGTACCATTATCCATAAGTAACTTGTATCATAGTTCGCATCTCATACATAATCTAAGGAATGTTATCATTTTCATATGGTTTATAATATGCATCCTCATCACAATAACAGTGATAAAATACAAGAAAAAAATGAGGAGGGTGAATTAGGAGAGAACCAAAAAGATTAATTAGCATGAGACTTATGGAGACACTGTAAGATGAAGAAATGGTATATAAGGTTACCTTTAACAAGCTCATGACCATAGATGGATGGACAAATAGATTGTAGTAGTTGCCTGAAGGTATCTGGACCATGTTCCTCTGAAAACTTCACAATGAATTCCAAATCCCTTGGGGAGAATGAGCAAAAATCAACAAGTGCCATATCATTAGAATTAGAATCTTGTACATCCTCAGGCGTAGACTGTGACTTGGAGTTTTTAATTGAAACAGCTTCTAGATACAAATAGTAAATTCCTTGACTCTTTCCTTTTGATTTGCCTGAAATAATCAAAACAAATTACCCATGTTACGTTAGTGGGGAGAATTGGAATTGTCCTCTTTTCTGGCCGTTGCATGCATAGGAATAAGATATAAATTGTTACTGGATGCATAAAGTACTGAAATGAATTAGGATGAATTTCTTTACCTCCTCCAATGTCCATGTAATTGTTAATGACTCTTATAATCCCAGTGACAGTCACCACGTCTCCCGGAATGCATGCATCAACAAGATCTTCAAGCAGTTCACATTCTACTGTGCGAGGCACCCGGCCATCTTCATGATCCTCAGGCTTTAGTAGCTCCTGTATCCTTAAGTGGTATCAACGAATTTCAACAAGGTCAATGGAGGTAAATGTAAAATTGGAATTTGCTTGATATTCAAAGCACCTACCTTATCTTCTGAAAATCTATCGTTTGTGCAGGAGATCGAATTGGGTTAAAATTTCTGCTCTTGCACCCATCTAGATCACATTTTGATGGTGGTGAAAATTTCCCATCAGGAAACATGCGTGTAATGCTTGTCTTACACTTCACACAGTCAAAACCCATTTGCACCACAAGAGGTTTGACAGTGCTAACTTTTACTACAGTGCCACGCACAGATACAAGCTTATCTGTCATGCCATCAATAAATTAAATATTACCTTCAAATGCTTCTAAATATGTAACATATGAAAGGTTAAAATGAAAAATGAAAAGGCCTAGACTACATACCTATATATGCAGCTTTTAAATTCTTCAAAGCAATCATGGATTCGGGGTAGTTATGCAATCGGATATTAACTTTGATACCGTCCTCCACCCGGTTATTGTCCCACTGGGTCAACAGGACCTGGTGAGTTGCAACGCTCATACATAAGAGGGTTATCTTGGGTTTCTCCTCTAGTGCTACATACAAATCTTCAACATCACACATTTTCCGAAATTTCTCAAAGTCAATCGACAGCACAGAAACACCACCATCGTCCTTTAGCTGCACCAAGTATAATTCTAATTATAAGCCAGATTATGAAATTCTACTCAAAATTCAAAGTTCCACAAACACAAACCCTAACTAATGCAATTGATTGCCAAAACCAAGCACAACAACCTAATGAAATTATACATTTTGTTAGGAATTGACAAATTTCATAGCAGAAGGAGGTGAGGAATTTGACCTGAGAAAGGAGAACTTGGCCTAATGTCGTAGAGAAGAAGCCAATGAGCGAATGTGTGAGATTGAGCCATGGCTTGTCGTCACCGAGCTCGATTTGAGCCAAGTAGGTGGACCAGATGCTGAAGAAGCCAGGTGCGCACAAGGAGCCGTTGTTCGAGCTCGAGCTCCTCCCTGGTGCTCCGTACATGACGATCGAGAGTGGAGGGAGTTCGGGTTTTGCTTATGCGCTTTTGGTGCTTGTTGAACAAATCCCGGGTTTTGGCGGGAGATAAATGAATGAAAGATTACGCCGATACGGTGGTGAATTTGAAGTCGTATGTCGGTACCCGACATGTCGATCGCTCTTACACTTGTGATTTTGCTTTGGTTGGGCTAATTTTCTGTCTTGGCTAGATTAGGACCTAATCTGCATGGTTTTGTTAGATTAGGACCTGATATAAGTAAATGTTTACTTGTATAGTATTAGTTGGTTTTTTGTCCCTGGTAAATGTATATCGCATCTTTATAAGTTTAATTTCTTATTTGGTTGGATTAGACGATTTAAATTATCTACAAAAATGCTAAGTCCTTAGCCTTTGTTTAGATAAAAAACTGATTGGGTCGTTGTCGTTTTAAGAGTGACGTTATATGTTGCTCTAACAATGGCGGAGTCGCACGTAGGCATGAGATGGCTTTAGGCCCCCACCTTACACATAGCTCTATGTACTGTGCTAAGGTATTTGTAGCATTTTAACAATTTTGAGACAAAAATCCATGTAATGACCTCTTCAATTTCGATATTTAGGCCTTTTGAGAAGAAAAAAAATATTTTGAACTCCACTGTGAATATGTTTAAACTTAATTTTGACGGATTAGTTTGTAATGTTAAGTGACATTTTAGGATTATTTTACGTAACATTACTAAGCAATTTACTTTTTTAGGTAAATACCATGAGGCGTTTGGAACAGCTTTCGCGCACCTCGACTAATCCCTACTCGCAGAACTGAGCCTGCCACTAGCAACCATGTGTTGCAACTGTCGGGACTCGAACTGGGAGCAAACCCAACCAAACCTGAAAGCCTTACCCAAATGGCGGACAAATCACTTAGGCACTCTTGGTGGTTTACTGAGCAACTTACTTTGCGCTATTACTTGAATAATTTCTGAAAATTGTTTGTAACTGTTTTACTTGTTACTCACATAATAATGATTATTTATAAGACATACAATTTTAAACGATTGTGAAACTTCATATATTTTTATAATTTTTGAATGTTATCTATTATGTTTGAATATCTTATGTGGTTGATTAAGGTTGTGACTCGTGATAGACTAGATTTTAGATACTGTTGTAGGGAATTTATGCAGTTAGAAGTTTGGGTTTGTTTGGGCAAACAATAACAAGTGTAGCGAGTAGCGACAATTGCCACTCTTATTATAAACTGTTAAACTTTAAATTCCAAAAATTGATCTTTATACTTTCCAAACCAAGGCGGCAGCAGATTTAATTGCTTATAACTTTTCGCCCAAAATAAACCACACAACTCCCGCCGATTTCCACCACGTGTCCTCGGAAGATTTCCGGGTCGTCTTCGTGTCATCGATTTGAAACGGAAAACCACAAAATTCTTCGTTCGGTTCTGAAATGGAGGCCTCAAACATTTGACACATTGAAGGATTTCAAGCCACCAGACGGAGCAAGCCCGAAAGGTACTTTGTTTCCATTCGTTTATCTTCAGCTTGGGTTTCGATATTTGTGTACAGTTCTCCATGATTAGGGTTTATTGACTATTTATAGACATAATATTCGTTCATTCTGGTTTCTAGGGTTTTATACGTTTGACTGTATCTGACTCTATGGATCTGAACGCCGACGTCGTTTTGTCTGACCCAAGTGACGATGGGGTTAATCTCTCTGAGCCAGTAGAACTTGATGATATGGGCCTTGAAGTTGGGGATGGTGGAACAAATGAGGGTTTAGAAGGAAAAGGACCAAAAGGTGAATTGGTAAATATAGTTGAAGATTCTGAAGTGAATATAGGATCTTTAGATAGAGATACTGAGGAGAAAGGAAGCGTTGTTTCGTCACATGTGGGGATTAATGGCGGGGAAGGTAGAGAGGGTTTGGAGGGAGCTCAATTTGGTGCAGGGGGTGATGGGATTGCAGCAAATAATAAAGGGTTGGTTTTGGAATCTGAGGATACTTTTAGGACTGTCGAAAGTTCATTCAGTTTCGAAAAGGATAGAGGGAAAGATGAGATTTTGAGGGAATGTGCAGAAAGTGAAATTGTGAGTGCTGTGGATGGAGATGAGGCGAAGCTGAATGCAGCAGTTCATGAAACGGATGACTCGATGAGAGATGACAAAAAAGAGGACGTTGCTCTAGTAGCCGAGATAGCTTATGTTGAGAAGGAAAGGGGTCAAAATGTGGAGCAGTGCCAAGCTGGAGAGCAGAGTCTTGATGCTTCAAGTTCTATGCAGGACAATGTGAAGCTTGAGTCTTTGGGAACTACAGGATCTGTTGGACAAGTAACAGATGACATCGTAGCTGTGGACCAGAAAGTTGTCAACCATAATGAGTCTTTGCATCACAAAGACTTGAATTTAAGTTCTCACTCTGAGATGTTAACCAGTGATGGACTAGAAAATCAGGCCTTGGAAGTTGATGTAGAAGTGCAGACCAATGAAAATAAATTGACATGTGATGATGCTCCATGGGTTTCTAAGAATACTGAAAAGGGGCCTAATTTGTCCAGTATGGTTATTGATTCAAACCCTAGTATGAGAACAGATGGGAATGTGTCAATGGATGTAAATGGAAATTCTACTTCCTCAGAACTAGAATTCCATGGTTCTGATCTAGTATGGGGCAAAGTAAGAAGTCATCCCTGGTGGCCTGGTCAGATCTGTGATCCTTCGGCTTCATCAGAGAAGGCAAATAAGTATTTTAAAAAAGGCACTTATCTGATAGCATATTTTTGGGATCAAACATTTGCTTGGAATGAAGCACCAAAGATTAAGCCCTTCTTGAAGCACTTCTCTCAGATGGAGAAGCAGAGTGATATAGAAGAATTCCAAGATGCAATTGCTTGTGCTTTGGATGAAGTCTCAAGACGGATAGAGTTTGGCTTGGCCTGTTCTTGCATATCCAAAGACGTATATTCGAAACTGAAAACTCAGATAATTAGTAATGCTGGGATCAGGGAAGAAGCAAGTAGAAGAGATGGTGGTGACAGTTCTTTAAGTGCGGCTTCTTTTGAACCTGTGAAACTCATTAGGTTCATAAAAGAAATGACTCAGTTTCCGTATAGCAGAGCTGATAGACTAGAACTTGTAACATCACGGGCCCAATTATCAGCCTTCTATCGCTGGAAGGGTTATTCTCAGCTGCCAGAGTTCAATATGCTTGGTGGGTTGCTGGATGATGCTGACATTTTGCTATTGGAAAAGAAGCACAATGGTGAAGTAACTGAAAATGCACTTCCAGTAATTAAGGATGATGATTTGATGGAGAAATCAAAAAGTACAGATAACTCATCACGCAAGCGCAAGCACATATCTGGAGATAGTACGCACCCAAGTAAAAAGGAGAAAAGCTTGTCTGATGTAGTGGCTGAGAAGTATTTGTCTACTTCAACGAGTGAGAATGGATCAGAAGGGAAATCTGGCTGTAATTTGATTTCACAGTCTTCCTGTAAGAAACGAAAGGCAGTTGATTCTTTTGCTGGCGACTCGGCAGTCAAGCAATGGAGAAGTGATTCATCAACAGGGCCTGATAGTAATTCTCTACAAAATAAACAGGCTTTTAGAGTTGGAGATAGGATCTGTAGGGTTGCAAGCCAACTAAGTGGATCGAGTCCGATACTCAAGAATTACAATGCAACGTCCACAGAAGGTGCAGTTCAGGATAAAGGCAAAGTAAGAACTGTATCAGAGAAAGCACAAACTGAAAAGCTGGCTGGAAGGGAGTACCCATCTCCTGATGAGATGCTGTCTCAGCTCTACTTGGCTGCCATCAATCCCATGAACGGATACAGCTTCTTGACTTCCACGATAACTTGCTTCTCGGAATTTAGGAATACCATATGCCTGAACTGTCCTGGTCCAGAGGAGCATCAACTGTCTCTAAACCAATTGTTTGGTGGTAAGCTGGGCAAGAAATCAGCCAGGACTGGGAAGAAATCAATCAGCTCAGGCATTACTGAAAAATCTGAGACAGAAGCAATTCCTCATGAGCAACCATCACTCAAGAATCAAAATGAAAATGGAAAGTTAGTGCCTGGAGCTCCAACCGATAAGGATACCTCTACCGTTGAACAACAATCAAGTCTTGAGTTGAATCCCAATTTGGATTCTGAACAGAAAATTGGTGGTGGAGATCTTGATTTGGAAACGTCAAAGCCAGCTCTTCACATGAATGAGAGTTGTGAGAAAGATCTCTCACCTACAGCCCTGATCTTGAAATTTACGGACTTGGAGTCTGTTCCTTCAGAAGCGAATCTGAAAAAAATATTTAGCTGCTTTGGGCCTTTGACTGAAGTGCTGAGGAAGAGTAGCCGGGCCACGGTGGTTTTCAGGAGGCGATCTGATGCTGAAACAGCTTTCAGCAGTACCGGAAAATACAGTACGTTTGGACCTTCACTTGTCAGTTACCGGCTCAAGTTTTTGCCGCCTACACCAAGTAAAGTATCTCCTTCTCCCAATGCGACAAAGCGAGGCAGAAAACCTGCAACATCTCTGGAAGGCAATGCAGCTAACTAAGATGCCTCGACTTTGATGAAATGAGTGAGCTCACGCTTTGTATCAAATCTCATGAATGAAGTTACCTTTCGTTTTCAATTTATTCTTTAACCAAATTTGCAAGCAAGAAACCATAGGGTTTTGGGTAGTTGACTCGATATTCTTGTGGGAATTGCTAGGACGAAGGCCAAACCAATATATGTACATCCCTAATCCATGTAGCTTATTTCCTAATCAGCTCTAAGTATCAGTTAATCTGGTGCAATATTACAGTTCTCTTGCTCTGTCTATCAAATGTTTGAACCCTAATACATTTAATCTTTTATATTACACCTAAAAGGACTTATTCTGTCTTCCACTATCTTTTTTATTTAAAAGTAAAATTATTAGTTGACCAAAAATAGAAAGTAAAAAGTGATAAAGAACAAATTGAAGAACAAGTGATATCAACCATGGACATGGCCAAATCTAGGCATGGGACCAGGGCTGAATACAACCATAGAGAAATTCTTGTTTTACTTTCTCTATAATCATGGTCTCATAAAACTGGTCATGTGACCATAGACCATTTCTTATTTTACTTTCTTTATAATCATGGTCTCATAAAATTGTTCACATAATATAATAATATTTCTTGACTATGAAAACGGTTATTCTCGTTTTCAATTTTATTTTTATTTTTAAAGGAGCTACTATTGAATTATGAATGCAATCTCAAAATCTCAATTACTTCATCGGAAAATGGAAGAGGAAAATACGTAGGATAACTATTTTGAAGTGCTAGAATATTTATAAATTATTTTTATTTTTTAAAGACAGAGTAGAATGAGAGAGTGAGAAATGTGAAAGAAAAAAAAGTTTCTCAAATGAAGAGATGGGCCTATGGGCCTTATCAGGGCCCATCACTCAGTGCCCCTGCAATAAGTAAACAAGATTATTCCAGTGTGAGCAAAGTACACACAAGACACGCTCCCATTATCTCACTTTCGCGACACATATATAAACTTCCATTTTTTTATTCGATTTTTTTTTCCAAATTTGAACCGCCGCTTCTGTGAAGTTCAAAATATTTCACCCTCTCCACACCAAAAAGGACCTGCGCTTCCTTCCATCACTGTAACCCCGATCCAGTCCGATTCGATTTCGCTTAAGCTCCGAGATGGACGAAACCGAGTTGATAAACAAGAAGGCCGATGTGCAGCAGAGACGCCTCAGTCTCATCGACGTCTCGTCTGAGGACGATTCGCTCATCAATTCCTATGCTGGAGACCTCCGGTTTTCAATTTCAGGTGCTCTTGCAATTTAGCAAATTTTGCTTCTTTTTTTTTTTTTACAATTTATTTCTGGTTTTGGTAGACAAGTTTTGTTCTTTTTTCGCTTTCGATGTGTAAGTTTTGGATACTTTATTGGGTTGCCATATGTAGGCCATAGCTGATTCTAATGTTATTGAAATGACAAAAATGGCAAATTGTTCTTGCGCCGTACATTTTTACTTGTTGAATCAGAACATGAAAGCTTAAGTTTGTATGAGAGCAACAAATTGATTTCTTAGTGCAGAAACACCTTATGTTTGTTGGTTTTCTATCTGGTCTCAAAATTATTTTCTTCAAGTCTTGCATTTATGATGCTATACAAGTATCTTGTGCAGAGGCTTAGGCCCAAGGGATGAGAGGAAAAGAAAAGTTCCCTTTTTTTATATTATAATTTCTATATTGTTGCCCTGATTATCCAATGATTTTGGATTATTCGCAAGGTTGATGTGACATCTAACCTAATTTTTCACAATGTGATATTCAGAAGATCAGGAAAACAGAAGTTTTCAGTTGTTTGAGGCTATGGTTGCTAACAAATTGGAGGACGTGCCTGAAAACCTTGAGCTAAGCGAGCAAGTAACTCAACCCTCTGAGTCTTTGGAACCAGAAATGACAAAGAGAAGTGGCAAGTACAATTTGCGCAAAAGTTTAGCTTGGGATAGTGCTTTTTTCACCAGTGCAGGTGGGCTTGTGTTTAGATTTGATATTCAGAAGTTTATAAGTCAATGTCATTTTGGTCATTTCTGTCTTGCACTTTCAAATTCATAGCGGGGGATACACATTTTGTGAATTCAGGTGTTCTGGATCCTGAAGAGCTGTCTACCATGATTGAAGGAGAAAAGAGTGGAAAACATATGTTACCTGGAATTCAAGAGGAAATTCATAGATCCACTGATTCAATCTCCACATTAGAAAGTGATACTTTGACACTAGAAAGTATTGAGGTCAATTTGTTTGAAGATGTAAGAGTTTCAATCCAGAAATCCAATAAAGCATCCAGTGTAGTGGATGAAAGTATGGAGGGTTCGAGAGTAACAGCAACCAAAATTAGTGGTTGTAAGTATACTTCTATAACTTGTATTTGGTATATAACAAAAAAGAGTGTTGCTTTGTCTGGTTGATATGCTCGAAGTTTTCTGCCTGGTTGCAGAGCAGACGCTGCAAATTTACTTGTTTCTTCTATTTTTTCCCTATTCTTGAAGCAATGTGATTTTAGAAATAAAATAGAAAATTGGCAGGATAGGAGAAATTTAATTGATTTCTTTACTTTGGTCTCTCTCTCTCTCTCTCTCTCTCTCTCTCTCTCTCTCTATAGAGAATAATGGTGGTGTTGGTATAGATAATACCTATATTAAGGGAACTTATATGAATTATTGAAACCTTCATGGTACCATTGCCTTCACACTTCTCTTACCAGCCTATATTTTCTTTGGAGACTTATTCCTTAAACTAACCAGGCATTTTCTGTTTTTCAGCTTCAAAGGGGGTAGATTTTGCTTCTCAAGATAAGGTAAGCTTAGTTAATGCCTGGAAGCTTCATTGTAATGATAAGATCATATGAATATCTGAGATAATGGTGTAAAATTTCAGGTGATTCCTAGACTTCCATCTAAGAAGCCAAGTATCAATGTGCAAAAACCAAGGAAAATGAAAAATTTATCTACATGTCCACAAATATCACAGGTACGTAAATGACTCACTGTAGTAATAAGCAGTTAAAACTGTAATATATGCTACTGAGATATAACTCTTAAAATATAATGATGATTCAACCAACTTATGAAGCTATTCATGCTATTTAGATCCAAAATTGCAGAGATAATACTTGACTGTTATGCTGATTAACAGATGGTTAAACTTTATGAAAACGTGTTCTGACCTTGATATTGTGTAATTGACACAATTCTTTTATTCTTTAAATGAAGTCTGTTTCCGCACGAGAGTCAACTACATCTCTTTTGAAGCGAACAAAGGTTTTAGGGAAGCCTAATCCTAGCCCAACAGGATTAACCAAGAGGGCTTCTCTGGGTGGCAACCTTATGAAAATGGAAAAGGATAATGTCAAAAGCGCAACTGGTAACAAGAACTTCTGTTTGGTCAGATTTATTATCGTTTTTCCCTTAGAGGCAGAGCAGTTTTTACTTGTGGTCTAAATTGTCACTCTCTGAACCTAATTTAATCATTACAGGTAGAGGGGCTCCATTGCCAAAAATACCCTTAAGTTCCCGACTTGTGCCTCGTCCTGGACCATTATCTAGATCATCCTTGGGTTCTTCACCCACAGCCAAGAGAGAAGTAGCTTCTTCCTCATTTGAAAGTTCTGGTAGTACTTCATCTAACAACATTGGTAAATCTCCCTTCAACTCCAAAAGAAAAACTGATTCCAGGACTGGTAATCCACCTTCCTCTGGTTCAACCTGGGAAACACCATCACGAATTGAACCAAGAAATAAAAGTCAGTCTGGGAAATCTCATCTGTCAACTAATATGGTGCTGGAGACAAAGCTGCTCACTTGCACATCACCTTCTAGCTCTGTCAGCGAATGGTCCTCAGAGTCATCATCATCAATTTCGACTTTGAAAAAAATGTCATACAGTCCAAGAGCTAGCCTTGACATAAGATCTTCCAAAAGCGGCTCTGTAGATGGTGATCCACCGGAGATTTTGGATTTGCAGAACTATGCTTATGATCATAGCTCAACTGGAGATGAGACTCAGGTCGCTGAGTTACTTAGTCAGTGTGCGGTGAAAGCTCCAATCGAAAAAAGCGGTGCACTTCCTCTAGCTTCAAAACCTTCCGGATTACGATTGCCATCACCAAAAATTGGCTTCTTTGACGGGGTTCGTTTTGCCTTGCCTCTTTTGATTGTTGTGTTCTAGATGGGAAGTTATTGTTTCAAGTCAGTTACTAAGTTGAATAAGATAAACTACACTGCTACTAGAAGGCCTAGGCTAAGTTAGAAGTAATATTTGGTGAATGTGGTGAAACTTATGTTAGCAAACCTTCTTATCTTTCTTTTGTTGCCTCTTTTAAATAACCTACATAGTTTTTTACTTTGTGCAGGTGAAGTCAGCATTGCCCTCTCCCAATGGAAGTATGCAGCCTCATCCTGTCGTACCTAGTGGCTTGCCTAAAAGTGGGGCACGAAGTATTACCCAGGGTGGGGGCCAAAACAAGGCAAAGCCGGGAAAGCTTCAACCTGCTAGAATTGTGACAAAATTAGGGAATAAAAAACCTGATGCTCAAAATACATCCTTTAATATGAAACCGAAGTCTCCAAAACCACTTCAGCAAGCATCAAATGCTGCAAAGAAGGTCTTTAGTCCCTCAAGGAACAGCATATCTCCAAAAGTTCCAAGTACAGGGTCTCGTAAATCTGGTAGAGAAAATCACTTGAAGCATGAGAAAATTGGAACTGAAGGACATGGTATTGACATTGATGAGCAAGAAAACTGTGCTGCAGGGCCAAATGACTGCCTTGTTTTCTCAAAAGATAAAGTGAGCCCAGCATTGAAGGGCCATTCCCATGTAAAGGCTGCAAAAGTCACTCCTATTGATGGAGGGTCTACTACTATCTCTGATTCAAGTTCCACTTGTGATGCTGACAAAATAACCCCTTCTGAGAAAGTAAGTGAAGATGCAACATATGAATCACGTAAAGCAAAGGAGATGGAAAGATCTCATATCGAAGATTTGGTTGATGGCTTGAGCAGACAAGTCGGAGCTATGGACATAAAGGCGGAGACTCAGCAAATGCTTGCTGCTGATTCTCTCTCCTAAACTCAATTTCAGCAGTGAAGATAATGCTGGTGTTTCTTGAGCTGTGATGTGAGAGGGTGTTTATTGATTGTGTCTTTTATTTAAGGCCACCAAAAGAGTATCATTTTATTATAAGTTACTTCGCAACATGTGGGTTGCTTCGGCTTTTCAACGATCACCTTGCCTCTTCTCAAAAGGGAATAAGCTGATATAGTGCAGCAGTGTAGAAGCTATATTTGAATTATATCATGTTTATGTTGCCATCTTGTCCCTTGATGGTGCATGGTGAAATGTTATGACTGTAGTTGGTCTTGTCACATGGGAAGGATTGTCTTGTAGGACTTTGCAATTGGATGTATCCCCCCGTTTGCATTGTAAATTGTTTCTTTGGTGCATATATCAACAACGCACTTCAACTGGAAATTAAATGTTAGTGTGCGTTTGTCTGTTTCATTATGCACATTTTTTCGTTTTGGTTTCGGTTAATTTGATGCCTAAAAGAGCATTTCTAAGCGATTAGGTATCTAACAAGGTAAAATTTTTGTTTTAAAGTCTTGGGCCAAACGTGCTCATTTGGTAAATTAGCCAAATGCTTATCGGTTCTCACACATCACGTGAAAATCATTAGCCAATTGATACACCAGACGGAGTTTCATATCACATCTCAAATAGCATAATAAAATGTATCTTTCAATCTTCATGTTATTTGTCACTGATTCATACATAATTACCCCACTGCTTTTATAACATAAATGGAAAGACTCAAAATAAGATACAACATTGATCGAGTCTATCCATATCCATATTCATAGCCATATGAAACTCAGGTGCTAGCAGCCTAGCATCCTTCAAAATGCCTGTCAAGATAAAAACTAAGAGAACAATAGAATAACAGAACATACTGAATCAAGCAAACCTGCAACATAATTCCATCTACTTTTGGCCCTTCTTCCACAACACCCCAATCTTCTTTAACATGTTCCCATTTTTCTTCTTCGGTGAGTCATCGTCCAGGTCTTCTGAATAAGGTGAACTCAGGGGGTTGTAGGAGCTATCAAGAGAACCTGTTCTCTCCATAAGTTTCCCATTGTTTCCTGTTGAAAGCATGGCAGCAGCTGCCTCAGCAGCCTTCCTCCACTGATCTGACTGCACCTTTAACCTCCTTAACTCAGCCTCCATTTCCATATTTGCAGTCTGTGCCGCATCCAGCTGCTCAGTCACCCGTTCAGCTTTCCTGGTACTTTTATCTGCTTCCTCTGTTAAATATCCAAATTTCATCAGAGCCTCGCGCTCGGCAGCCTTTGCTGCTTCTGCCCAAACAACACCCTCATCATTAACTTTATTCCTTTCCATTTCCTTATTTTCAAGTTCCATCTTGAGCATTTCATTTTCCTCAGCTATATTCTGCAATTCTGTCTCCTTGTCCAATAAACTTGCCTTCAACTCTACCACTGCAGCCTCTGACTTCTTTAGCTCCAGTGCAAGTTCAGATTCATTTTCAGTTGATTTATTTTTCTCAATTTTCAATGCCACCCCGTCATTTGCCTCTGATATACTCTGCAATTCAGTTTCCTTATCCATCAGCTGTGCTCTCAATTCTTCAATATGAGCCTTTGTTTTCTTTAGTTCTGCTGTCAGTTCAGCTTCCCTCTGGGATGATTCAGATTTTGCACTGTCAACTTCCTCATATGCACTTCTAATCTGCAATGTGCTCTGAATGTATTCTTCCTGGTACCTGACCTCAGCTGCATCTAATGCAGATTTCAATTGACCCACTTCAGATCTCAAAGAATTCACCTCTGCTTTTAACTGTTTTCTTTCTTCATTTTCTTCATCTTCCTGAACAGGTTTTACATTGTTCCTATTAATCAGTTCTGCCTGAAGCTTGCTAACAAGACCCTCCAGTGATTTAACTCGAGCTTTGGATTGCTCCAACTCCAGTGATAAGGAGTTGCCAGACTCAGTGGCTTTGATCCCATCTGATTTGAGCATTTCTATGGTTGCATTTGCAGCTTCCAATTGCATATGAGTGTTTTGTACAACTTCAAGGGCCCGGGTTTCAGAGTCTTTGCAATCATTGAGCTCGGTTTTCAATTTCTCAACGAGGGAAAGAGTTTCGGAAAGTTCCATTCTCAAGGTCTGTATCTCAGCATATGCTGACTCGGCATGCCTGCTTTGGGTGGCTTCAGACTCAGCCACCCTTTCCAGCTGACCCTTTAGTTTCTGAATTTCATTTATGGCAGAAGCCAGGGCAGTGGAATCCATTGAACGCTGCTTCTTGACAGCCTCAAGTTCAGACTCCCATGCTCTATCCCGATCCTGAGAAAGTTTACGAAGCTCTTGCACACGAGCATCTTCAGAAGTAGAAAGTTCCTGCAGTTGCTGTTGGGAGTCTTCAAGCTTTGCAGACATGGCCATTATCTGATTCTTAGCTTCTTCAGCCTCCTGCTGGGATCGCCTCTTCAGTGACTCAGATAAGTTCAACTGGTCCTTTGTCCTCTTCAAATCCTCTTGGAGTTGAGTAAGTTGTGCTTCCAAATCTGACACTCTTTTTGGTTGCTTCTTCTGAAGCTCAAACCCAGGAAAAGGGGAAGTCAATGAGAAATCCACAACTAAAATAAGGCATAAAAGAAACTATGATATCTTCATAGATAAAAAAAAAGGTAGATGATCAAAAACAGTTGAACAGTATTGGACGCATTAGCTTCGGCAAGTATGATAAGTGAAACACTAGAGAGCCTTCTAGTCATAAATCAGAAGTTATCATGGAATACCTCAGCTACTGGACTTCGTGGTGACCTGCGCTCAATGACTTTTGGGCTTTTGTTTTTTGGCGTCCTAGTTGCCACATTAGGAGAGGATACCGAATCAGGCTCCGATCCAGGCGTCTTGAGTTGATGAGTTGTTCGAGGTGTTGCTGGAGATTTCCTTTGAGGAACTTCCAAAGATCCAACTCTGCTGTCAAATAGTAAAGGGATATACACATTAAAGACATGCATCAAACATTAAGAGTAAATGATAAGTTGCAAAAGTTGACGCCAAAAACCCATCAAGAACATGAAAGATTGAAAAAAGATATTTGACTTAATTATGTTTTCAGAAATTATACCACGAGCGCTAAATTAGGAAACTCTAGCTAATACAATTTTGTTTCACGTGGGTTCAACAATATTTGTACCGACCTTATAATCACAAGTTACAACATTGGGCGGGCTGCTTTGAAACCCAGAGGGATATGATGCATAACCAACATTCTCCAAAGCACCTTCTTTGATTTGTCTGTCTTACTTTTCAGATGCAGAGAGATATACAATCTAGGCAGAGAAAATATGGACTTCTATAGCATTATAACTTGCAAATCAGCATTTTAATTTTGATGATACTTTGTGTTCAGTTAAAACTCACATTAGTTTTATGAACACTTTACTACCTCAAAGTAAATTACTGCTCAAAACTTTATGGCTTTTCTATTATTACAACTTATCTGCATATTTACGCATAATTCGAAGACTAATGGTGATTATGAGAACACTACAAGTCAAGCAAATAAATGTTAATCTAGTTATAAAAGAAGCCAATAAACGTTAATCTTACTTTGCTTTTGGTGTCTGCATCTTGTATAGCTATTTGGTAAAAGTGCTGATTGTGTTGTCTCCCTTTCAAATCCCCTGACCCACAACACCTGAAGCAGTTCAGAGAAACCTTTGGCTGAGAAGAAACATTAAAGAGAATATCTTATATATGCACAAAAAACACAAGCAAAGGGGTCACAAAGGATGGCCACCTTAGATCCGTATTTAGTACAAAACCTAACAAGCAAACAAACAACACACCTGCCTTAAAAGAAAGTCCACAGAAACTAACACCACTACTACCAACCAAACCCACAAAATATTCAGAAGTAAAATAAAAGAAAGCTGCACCTGGAAGTTTCATTAAGCAAACCATGTCACTACCTTTTTCTCATTTTCCCACCCTTTTACTCAGTACTTATACTATGTCCCAGACAAATGATTAAAGACACAAAGGGGCAAGAAGGGTTATAAAATGACAACAATACCCACGTAGGATTGGCATTTTTTATTTTTTATTTTGCATAAATGCTCATGATGAAAGCAGGGCCCTTGTGTTAATAAGTAATTGATTGTGGGCATATTGGACCCAGCAGAGCACAAATGGACACCATTTCTGTTTATTTGATGACATCCAATCTTTCTTGAAATTAAAAAGCAATAACAAAATATTTTTGGAAATGCACCAATGCAAGCAAATATGATTTGAAGTGTTCTTCAATTATCCTAAATTACTAAGTACCGCCCCAATTTGATGAAACGCTTAGATCCGTGGAACACTGGGTTCTATCACAGATCGAAAGCAAATTAGCACATGAATAGCTCAAAGAGAGACACTGGAAATTGGAGCTTTATGCTTAGCAAAATCCACACACAAAAAATGACATTTTTGGTTAAGCCAAAACACTTCAAAAGCAAAACATGAAAAGAAAGAAACTTCAGCTCTTCTTCACTGTCAAACCTTCAAAATCCAGAGACTGCTTTACAAACCAGAGGTTGCAAAGTAAGAAACTTTCAGCTCAACTGAAACCCGCATTTTCATTCAAAACCACAAGTTCCCCAGACATTTAAGTATTTGAGAAAACATAAGAACAAACTAAAAGCAAGAGAACCCAGAAATTGACAAAGACAAGCCCTTTAAACCGACAAAAGCTAACACACTTTTAATAGAAGGAAAGAAAGAAAAAGAAGAATCAAGTTAAAGAGGATAATATAAAATGGGAAATGTTTGGAAATGAGAACCAAAAGTTTGCTCTTACCAGAATTATCTGTGTGTCCAACTGGGGTGGCTATATACCTCAGGTTGGTTAGTACTAACTAGCTGATGTTGGGTTTATGAACTGTTGGGTTTATGAACTAGAAAAAAAGAAGGAGCTTTTCAAAATGGCAGAAAACCTTGGTGTTTGCGTGGTTTTGTGTTGCAGCATTGGGAGGGTTTGGTAGCTTCTTCAGCAGCTGTTTCTGTGTGCCCACTTCCCAAGTGAGTGAGACTATTTTTCTTCATATCTTTGTTTTTGTCAGTGGAGGGAGGGAAAGATAGCAACAGAGCAAAGCAATGGCTATTTCGCTATAGAAGATGTTTTTGGCGTCACGCTCCAGTTACTCAACGCTCTCTTTCACGTTCCCAATCACATGGGTATGGTGATGGGTCTCTTACTTACCAATGTGATTGCTACAGCTACCTAAATAGTTTTTGTGTGAACAGCAAAGCTCTATGTCCAGCACTAACCCAAGTTCCAACATACAAAACAAATGGTTAATTTACTTATTAGAGTAATATCCTGTGCTCCATCTTAAACTAATCCCCAATGATTTGTTTCTATTAGGTCTGCCTATCCATAATTGTGTTGGTCTCTCAATCCCTTTATATTTTAGTTTCTTTTGAGTATAAAACGAATTTTAGGTGCGTTCTATGATGTACAACTAATCACGCTTTAAAAAATGTTAACGTAAATTATTCATGTACATATGCTATATAACTGTTAGTCGTTGATTGATATAAACCAACAATACAATAAGGACTTGCGAATAAATAATGCTAAAAATGCTCTGGTGCTTTAATAGGTTTTGGGATTACACATGATCCATTTTAAAAGTATTAATTAATCAGAGTTTGAAGCTATAATGACTTAAAATAAGAGAGAGTTGTTGTTCTCTCAATTTCCATGTGTTTTGAAATTGGTTCATTGAAGCAAGCATATCCTTCACGTATCTTCCTCTTAACAGCTGGTTTGCACAAGCATTGGGACACACTTGGGTTTGTTCAAAGCTTCCATTTTATAGTTTTCTTCATGATTTGAGACTCCATAGCCAACGTGCAGATCCCATTTTAATTGATCCCCGAGCTTTACTTGGAATCTTAACTACCTTCCCCTTGACTTAGGACTCATGCTGGGTCAATGCAATCAATATATATTGACTAATGAGACATAGTTTAAATAGGTCATGCCCGTATTTTCAACCATGACATGTACCAAGCCACCTGCTTTGTGGTAATGAGCTAGGTCCCTGCTTCATGGGGGTCCCCCAAAATTACATCAATGAACCACCAAAACTAAGATATAAACACAGATCAAATATAGCCATACAGCTTTGTACTTGCAGTTATTTATGTTCCCAAATTGTAGGCCCTCCTTTTCCATGATCAATCATTTTGAGCATATGTGCAAACAGGAAGACAGTTTCCATAAGTGGTGTGAAGTGTTCTTCTAGTGTAAATGTAAGTGGTTTTAAGGTCATGTATGGGCACATGCCCTCTATTGTAGGGCACTAATGTATTCATATGTTTAGTCTATGCCTTTGCTTTGTTTGCAATAAAAGCAAGCTGCTATTTTAATAGCTTATAATTTTGATCATTTCCTTGAACATGAAGAGGAAAGCAACTCACAAAAGCAAGACCCTTTAAAAGCAAGGGAAAGTCACACTCATTGCTGAAAATGCATCAGAAAACATGGCTTTGGTTGTTGTAGACTCCACTGATAGCATGTTTAAACAGCTACTAGTCTACAGAAACTAGGTTAGCTAGGCATCCAATTAATAATCTGTTGCTTGTACAATTATCAAAATCAGATAAGGAGAGGGTAGGGAGAGAGGGATCTTTGTCTGTAAATTACATCATTCTCAAATTGCTATGGGAATAATATTGCCTTTGCTTAACTAACAGATTTGCAATATATTTTATTTTATCATGTTAACTACTCAAGTACAAATATTAAATTGGTTGTGTTATTCCTCTTTCAATTTATTGAATTTGGAAATTTGTAACATCATCATACTATAAAAGAACCGGCTCTTAATTTAGTGGTATGTTTTTTTTTCAATATTCACGTGCTGATTCTAGCTACACAACATGTAGTCATGTACATCAACAAAAACTTCTTTGAAAGCATACTTTTAGCCCCAAAACTCTCTCATTTCTCAACCTCGTTTGTACACAAATATGCGTCTATAACAAGAGAGAAATTTACTTATCCTTCGTTGTATACTTTTTTTTCCTCCGTAAAGAGAGAAAATGTTATACTATATTGATAATCAAACAGATCAAATCAAATTGACTCTGCCCCTTACCCTTTTATGCATCAAATGGTTTTGGAAGCTCTGATTTATCCATAAAACTATGGGAAATCGAAAACATCACTAATGATAAAATATAAAATAAAAAAATAAAAAAAACAATATCAAAATTCACAACATTTTGATCTTAAAATATGTCCAATTGGCTATCAGATTTACACATTACACAAACAGACGACTAATAAAAGATCTGATGCATTAGAAGTCTAGAAGTAAACATTTGATCCAACCGAAACCTAGCTCCTAGCTAGCTTGTTAGTTTTTTTTTCCTTTTTGATTTAATCGTTTTATTAGTTCTTAAATTTAGACCTGATTTGCATTTGAGTTCCTCAATTTTCAAAATCGTTCCCGTGATCCTTCAACTTCAGTTTCGTTAAGACAAATGGTCATGCCGTCAATTTTGTTAACTTTTCTATTATAATCAAGGACAAAATGGTATTTTTGTATTTAATTGATTAAAATATGAATAAAAAATTAAAAAACTAAAAAAATTAAAATTAAACTCCCTCTCTCTCCCTCTATCCCGATTTCTACTCCCCAAAACTTGATTTTTATTTTTTATTATTTATTTTTTTTGTTGGTTTTTTATTTGATTTTCTTTTATTGTTATTTTAAAGATATGATTATTTATTTAAATATAAAAATACCATTTTGCACCTGCATTTAACATAAAAAGTTAACAAAATTGACGACAAAACCATTTGTCATAGTTGAAATGAAGTTAAAGGACCACGGGAACGATTTTGGAAATTGAGGGACTCAAATACAAATCGAGGCTAAATTCAGGGACTAACAAAATGATTAACCATTTTCTTTACTAAGACATAAATTGCAAATATAATTCCTGCTATATAACCCAACAGCGTCAGCAACTAGGTGATCCAAAATTGCACCTGCAATTTCACAAACAACCCACAAACACACGCAAAAATTAAAGCAGCATTAAATATTCATCATGATTAGTAATAATTAATCAGCATTAATATTAAATATTAAACATATAACACACCAATTTTTTGTATTGAATAAATGACAATGTGACTGTACCTTACAGCCATAGCGAAGCAAAACACCCAGTGGTGGAAGAATTATAGCCAACAAGATTTCTATGCATGTCGCTGCTGCGCCCATACGTTTTGATCATTCTCTTGCTCTCTCTCTCATCTCTCTCTCAAGAAGCCTAGCAGTTTTTACTACTTGAAAATCGCAGAGTGCACTCACCCAATAAAGGTAGATGCTGGTGGGTTTTGCCCATTGGAAATTTAGGCCCAACATGGAGTTTGGGCCCAAATGCTATAAGGCCCATTAACGGTTGGTGTATTTATGTATATGGCATGCGATTTTATTGGTGATATATGATACGGTAATGTCTGGTCTGGTACCCCAAAATCATGCAATTAAATCAGCCACTTTCCCATTTTGCCTTAAAGTTAACGTAATTTTGGGACTAGAATCTTGGGTTTTGAGATTTAAAAATCTTTTGAGTGCACTTTGGTGCACAGCAATGGTTACTTTCACAAAGAAAAGCATGGTGGAAAGATGCCTGATTGCTGCTTCTCTGGCTGCTCTGGTTTGCCATCCCAGCTCCACCATAAAGTGTTTCAAGCCCAAGCCAAGACCCAGATCCCCACAGAAACAAAAACCAGAAGACCCTTCTGCTTCTCCACCAAAGGGTTCAAAACGACATGGTGTTGTAATTGGAAAGGAAGTGCCTTCAAAACCCAAGGAAAAACCATGCCCCAAGGCAGCTTCTTCTTCTTCCTCTGCAAGCAAGTCCAGAAAAAGCACAAAGACGAAGGCAGAAAAACCCATTAACTTGATCTCGGAGCTTGTTGGAGGGGACCCTTCCATTCGAGTTGTAGAGAGTATTATCCGCTCAGGTTGGGGAGGTGAGGTAGGCCTCAGAATTGAGAAGGTGTTGAGGGTGCACCACAGTTCGGATGTTCTTCATGGTTTTGAAGAGTATAGGAAGACGGTGAAATCCAAGTACGAAAAGGATCGGATTCGTAAGAGGGTGGAGAGGTTGGTGGTTGATGGGAATGAGCTTCTGCAATTCCATGGTGCCGCCATTACTTGTTCTTTAGGGATCAATGGTTTCTCAACCATTTGTAAAAAGAAATGCTGCCAAGTTTGCAGGATAATAGCTTCTGGGTTTGACACCGGAGACGGGACTATATCTTTCGTCCACGACAGTTGGAAGGCACATGAGAAGGCGGCCAAGGAATGTGCTGGGAAAGGAGAGTGTGCAAGGAAGGCCATTGTGGTGTGTAGAGTGATTGCAGGGCGCATTGCTCATTATCATGCACATGGGCTCATGGATGAGGAAGAGGGTGAATTTGATTCTGCCATGGAATGGGGGGAGCAATTTAGTAAGCCCAAAAGGCTTGTGGTTTTGAATTCGGAGGCTGTGCTTCCATGCTTTGTAATCATATATAATGTCAAAAATAAAAATCTTCTCCATGATTAGGAAGATAACAGATTTTCTTATGACTGGAAATGCATGTTTTCCACAAGCAAAGATAGATTTATATTCAAATAGCTCTATGCCTTCATTATTTGCTCATATATCATCCTGAACTCTAAATTTATGAGAATGCCATACATCATCATGATCTTTGTTAACCCAAAAAGGAACTCCTCCCATTCCGTAGTGGTTCAAATACAAGGCCAGGCAGAGAGATAAAATTACTATAAACTACTCTATCCGATCCTCTATGTATCCGTTGGGCTCACACAACTAAGAAAGCCCACCTCCTCAAAAGAAATAAAATAAAATAAAATAAAATGAAGAAAGCCCAACATGAGCTTAATAAAAAACAATGGGCCCTATCCCATCCTATTTGTAAGTTCTCATGTGTGTGTGTGTTTTCTTTCCTTCTATGGGCCCTATCCCATCATCCAATTAAGGTGTGGAATTAATTAAGACACGATGATTATAGTTTGGCAAATATTTCCAAGAGATTAGAGAATATCGGTTTCAAGCTTCCTAAGGCCATCTCCAACCTTAGGACCTAAACCTAAAATATCATCCAAAACCTTTCCCAACTCAAGAAAATGGAGGACTTGAAATTTGGAAAAACCCAAATTTAGACCAAAATATCAGTTCACTTATTGCCTAGACCCAAAACTATTTAGTGGATCCCACGTTGAAGTGGCACAGCTCATGTGCATGAGAAAAACACTAGGACCCGAGTTGGGATCAGCTCTGGTGGGTTTGTCTGTTGCCCATGCCACGTGTCTGCTCGTTGTGAGAGAGCCGTTGTAATTCCAATGTCTCATTTAAAAAAAAATATATATATATATATATAAAATCTAATAGTATCTTTAAAAAGAGACTGGGCCCATAGGCTGGCTTTATTCTAGCTCAAAGTTCCCACATTTCTATATCACATGATGTGGCATGTCCATTTTATATGCCACATCAATTAAATGAATGAAGTGTATTTTAATAAATAAAATTAGAAAAACAGAAACTAGTATTTTATATTATGTGATATGTACACATCAGCTGCCACATCATGTGGTATGAAAATGTGGTAAGACTAGTATTATTCATTCAAATATTCTTTAAAAAAAAATTTTCTAATAGTAACTTTAAATTAACGATCTAGATTAAATCTAAGCTATTTTAACGGCATAAAAAAAAGATCCAACGGTTTAAATTTAAATCCAACGGTCAAAATTATATTTTAAATTAATTCAAATCAGATCCAACCCCAAAACTCACTTCAAACTCTATAAATACTCACTTATTTCTCAATTAATCTACCAAAAACATTTTTATATTTCTCAATTTATTTTTTCTTTGTCAATTTCATCAATCTCTTTCATTCTCATGCTTTTGATATCATTTCAAGCACATCATCTTCTTCATTCTCGTACTTTTCATATCATTTGAAGTTTTCAATGGATAATTGTGGCAAGGCCATCTTTTCCTTTATGTTTGATGATGATTAAGATGATGAAGAACATCATTAGAGAGTGATAGAAGCCATTGTCCATCTTTTCCTTTATGTTTAATTGATGGCCTGTTTGAAAAAGTGGTATTGTGAAAAAATAATAATAATAATAATTGGGCTTTTGAAAAAAGAAAAAAAATTGATTTTGGGCTCAAGCCAGAACCCACCAAAAAACAAGAATCGAAACATGTATGTTCTGCTCAGCCCAATATAGTCGTGAACTCTAAATTTAAGAGCAGCTGAGAGCCAAAACGCGCCGTTTGGTTAAGACGGAGATAACACTAGGGTTGTTACAAGTTTGCCATTCGAGCTCTCGTCCCAATACAATTCCTCGTCACTGTAGGCGTATTTTCTAAACACCCCTCATGAGGTGCAAAAGACAAACATAAAATAGCAAAAGCCTATCATCTCCACGTCGTCTCTCACCCTTCCATTTAATTAAAAAAAAAACTAAACTACTCTAAACAAATTTAGGTTAGGGCAAATTTGTGAAATTGAGAGGAAAAAAACAAAAGCAAAAGTCTCTCTATCTCCACGTATTTATAGTCTCTCTGGTCTCTGCGTCATCAAATAAAACATAGTAAATTCATTATCTTAGCTAACTCATCTAATCTCTCCCTGCTCACCGTTCCATTTACTAAAGAGCAAATTCTTTTACTCACGTCCCTATAAAAGCACAACATGGGCTAAACACCGTCCGATGGGACTACAAGTGCAGGGAAGATTATTCTTTGCCACAACCAACGGCTGAGATCGAACAAAATATACCCCAGGCCTTAAGTTAGAGAGAATAAAAGATTAAAAAGAACATTCCCATGTCACATGGGCCCAGCAACGTACAATGCACCGGCAATTCCAGGTGGACAGTGTGCGCAGAACCACACGACACGCACCCCACGAACCGGTTGCAAGCCGTTAAAAGCAGGGCGTAGCAGTTGCCGACGTGGACGCATCGCAGCTGTCAGTCCCCGCTGCCCACCCAATTAGTGACCTCATCAACGGCTCTCGTTTTCTTCGACTCTTCACCTTCATCTTCACGCACTGAACAGAGCTTTTCCGTATAAAGAGAGCTTGCAGAGGACCAGTGATGGCGAAGAGCTGAAAATCAGTTAATAAGTCAATTTCAATGTAAAGTTGAATGATATGTATCCGTAGATATACGATTCAGATCAAGAGTTTCAGAGGAACCAACATTTTCAGTGTTGGAAAGTAAAAGATAAACGCAGCTGAGCTGAGCAGAGGTGCTTTTGGCTTTGCTCTTTTTATTTTATTGAATATTTTTGGTTTTTTTACTTTTTCTGTGTTGGTTTCGATTCGGTTTGAATGGTGGTCGGTTCATTTTTTTTCTTTTTTAACAAAAATGAGAATAAACAAAACTTGCTTGAATTTCACGCTTGAAAAGTTGCAGTTTTGACATCATTACCTCTGCATCTTTCTCTCTCCATCTCTCATATTATATATATATATATATATCTGTATGTATATGCACATTGCCTTTGCTCTAGTGCTCAACTCCATTGAAACTTCTCAATGATTCTCTGAGCTCTCAATATACTGTGTTTTCAGTGAAAATGTCGGAGGTAAGAGGATCGAACTCATGGCGGGACGAGCTAGCGAGTCTGGTGAATGACTCGGGGATACGATATGCTGCGGCCGATCCTATCGAAGTTCCGACGGCGTCGTTTGACGCACAAGCATCCGATTTCGGCTCCGGCGATTTGGAGCAATCGGAGAGCTTCAAGGATCAGATTAAGGGCTTCGCGATCGCTTGGGGTGAGATACTTATGGATTTGGGGAGAGGTTGTAAGGACATTGTGGAGCAGAACATTCTGACTGAGGACTCGTACATTGTGCGAAAGCTCCGGAAGCCCTGCGCCAAAGCCTCGGCGAAATTGAGATACTTGAACGAGTTTTTGCCAGAGGATCGCGATCCTGCTCACGCTTGGCCGGTGATCTTTTTCGTTTCTATTCTTGCACTTACAGGTATATTGCTTCTGCTTCATATTGGTTTGTGTTTGATGACTTTTGAATGTTCAAAGCTAGTTAGTTATGCAGTTGTGCAAGTGGTGTGTGATAATTTTATAAAGGTTTATGCTTTTGTTGTTCAATAAATTGTTACTGATCAAGCAATGATTTCTATAAAAGCTCGCGAAATTGTGTGATAAAGCTCTTTGATCTGTGAAATTGTTACTGATAAATAGGATTTTTAGCAGATTTTCTGCAATCTTAATACCGAGAGGACGGATATATCACACACTAAGAGTAGCAATGTATCAAAGTATCCAGTGAAGGAAAAACCTTCATTTACTGTCCCAACAAAAATTGGGGTTTCTTTCTATGCCAAAAGGAAAACTTCTATATGTGTAAGAAGTTTCTTTATAAGTTTGTGAAATAGTGTGATAAAGGATTGTTCGTATAGGGAAAGTTGTAGATCTTCACTTCAATTCCTCTATGGAGTGGTTTTGATATTCTTGCTCCCAGCCTTTTTGTATGTGTTAGAATTATGATTTCATTAATAGCCAGGATAGATTGATGTTAGATTGATGTGCTGTGTTTTAAATTGCAAAGTCGTTCTAGATAGGTCAATGTTTTTCAATGAACTGCGAGCATTTTGTGAGTGGAATCTCCAAAACTTAAATTTGACTGCAGTATTCATTTCTCTTCCTTCATGGTACAAGCATGATATGATGTGTCTACATTACTAAACATGTGCAGCTATGAATTTCAGTACCGAACACGATAGCTTGGTTCGGTCAGTGAAGAAAGTGCAAATACATCCTCCTAGTGCTAGTCATGTATTGCTTCCAGATGGGAGACGATTGGCTTATCATGAGCAAGGTGTCCCAGCTGAGCGCACTCGATTTTTATTGATTGCTCCACATTCTTTCCTTTCATCCCGACTTGCAGGTAAATGAATTACTAGCAATGCCAAATTATTTGAGGTGGTTATAATCTTGGGACCAATAATATATGCTCTTGATATAAATTTATGAACTTAACTCCCATTTTTTCTCCATGTCTTCTTTTTCATCAAAAGGTATTCCGGGAATTAAGATATCATTGCTTGAAGAGTTTGGTATCCGCTTGGTCACATATGATCTTCCTGGTTTTGGGGAGAGTGACCCTCATCCAGGCAGGGATCTTAACTCATCAGCATTGGATATGCTGTACTTGGCCAATGGTATTGGTTTTGATGACAAGTTCTGGGTGCTGGGCCACTCAAGTGGAGCAATGCATGCTTGGGCTTCTCTCAGATACATTCCTGACAGAGTTGCAGGTATATAAATTATTTTATCCAAATTTATAATATTGGTTTAACTACTGTGTGGGTCCTTTACATGCTCATCATAATCTTAATTAACAGCCCTTAAAGATCCGGGTCTTATCCCTTTTACTCTCACCTCCTATTCTAAAGAATTCTTCAGGGATTAATTGTTTTGTTAAGAATCTTGAATGAACTTGCAGGTGCAGCCATGGTGGCCCCAATAATCAATCCCTATGAGCCGGGCATGACTAAGGAAGAGAGGAAGAAAATTTGGGAACCATGGGTTCTAAGAAGGAAAGTGATGTATTTTTTAGCTCGTAGATTTCCAAAATTTCTCTCATCTTTTTATCGCCGAAGCTTTCTATCCGGAAAACATGACAGGATTGATAGGTGGTTGTCTCTTTCACTGGGGAAGAAGGTGAGTTCATTATTATCATCTTCAAATAGTCTGCACGATTGTACACTTTTTTTTCCCAGAATCAGTCCCAGGTTTTATGCAGTTTTGTCTTTTGATCATACACGCCAGGATATTTTTGTGTTGATGAGACTGCTTTTGCTGCCTTGGGTTGAGTAGTAATTTTGTATTTTTGTCACCGTTTAAGACAAGTACTCACAGACCACTTTGTGCATGTATAGTTGAGTTTAGTGCACGAGATCTCAACTTTCATAATCTTGATATTCGCAGGATGAAATTCTAATTGAAGATCCAAAAATTGAAGAGTATCTGCAAAGGGATGTGGAGGAGTCAATCCGCCAAGGGAGTATCAAACCCTTCATAGAGGAGGCTGTGCTACAAGTCTCAGAGTGGGGTTTTAGTTTGTCAGATCTTCAAGTGCAGAAACAGTGTCAACAAAGAGGCTTTCTTCGTTTATTCAGGTCTATGTACAGTGAGGCAGAATGCGTGCTGACTGGATTTCTAGGCCAAATACACATATGGCAGGTTGGTGCAAAAGCTGAAATTCCCAACCAAGGACATGGAATGAATCTAATTCACAACGCATTCATTAACTCGACTAGGCTTTTATATTAATGATATATTTCTAATAAATGTTGCACAGGGAATGGGTGATATGATAGTCCCACCAACGGTGACCGACTATATAGCACGGGTTTTACCTGGAGCTTATGTGCACAAGCTCCCAAGTGAAGGCCACTTCTCCTACTTGTATTTCTGTGATGAATGCCACATACAGATTTTTACTACTCTTTTTGGAAGCCCTCAAGGTCCAGTAGAAAAAAAGGTCGCTACAGATACAACATCATCGGAAGGCAATTCAGAAGAGATATGATATCAACAAATGCTTGATTCTCTCACGGCCGTTTATGATATATTGGTTCCTTTGACTTGGAATTCTGATGTAAATACCATAGAATTACTGCAGGTTACTCCTCTGCTCAGGGGAGAACGAAATAGAGCTCGAATAGTTTTGGAGGCTGAGCATGAAATAGAGTTTGGAAAGTTTTGGAGGATTTTCGCTTTGGACGATAAGATGATGAGAAGCAACGGTGCGACAAATGTGTATGGTTTTTTATCTCTCTTCTAGGGTGGCACGGTTTTTCTCACCAGCCATCATTCACGAGTGACCTATGTTTCATGCTCAGCCTAGGCAACAGCAAATATCAAATCAAATTTGATTCTACCGGGGAGACTTGTTTACCCTTTTTTGGGTTGATAACTAGTATGATCATCCGGATCGGCTAACTGTTAAACTTTAAGGCCACGAAAAGGAAAAACAAAACCAAGTTTCAAATTCAGTGGTGTTCGCTAGACATGTTCCATGAATGTCGTATTTCATTTCTTCGACAAAAATAAAAAGTAAAGCTTTGGATGCAATGCAGATTTTGACTGTTAAAAGTAGTGCTTTTATACAAATTATTAAACTCTAAATGCAATGCAGCTTTCAGCTTAATACTCCCAATTTCGCTTATGGCACTTTCATTGCGAGTTTATATAGAAATTGTAAACTACTAAACTGGTTTATATAGAAATTATAAACTACTAAACTGGTAGTGCCGAAATCGCTAAAATGACTCAAGCGAAATGGAGTCTTTTGGCTATTCCATTACATGATCGCCTGATGGTTACAGTCGCAAGGAAAGGGTTTGTTAATCACATCTAGGTCTGAAGATGTGTTCACGTACTTTCAAATAATTGACAACCTCTCAATATTTCCCACAAACTTCGGCCTGATGCTAAGCAAGTTCACGAAATTAAAGGTACAAGACTTTCAAAGAGGGTCCAACTACAGGATCCTTAATGTGTTTATGGCTACTGAAACCGCCTGTTGATATACAATGAAAATAATTGATCCGAAACGGAGATGACACATCTAAAACTCTCTATGTGAAACCTTCACAAACAATGGCCTTTGGAGCATTCGGACAAGTCAACACCATCAAAATGCAGAGCCCGTGCCCTTGGTTCTTCCAAGTAGAATATCTTTAGCTTCATTAATTTTAGATGCAAGGTAATGGCTACCCCCTGCATCCGGATGATTAGCAACCATCACCCTCCTATGCGCTTCCCTGACCTTGTCTGTCGGGGTACTCTCCCTGAGAAAACAAATATAAAAATATATACAAACAAATACATCATGAATAGAGGATAAATGCAATAAGACGATGAAACAGCACCCTACAGCTTGCATTTTGTCTTAGACTTACTGCTTGAGACTTGCTGTAATTGAGCAGGGCTGACTGTGCATGGGTTCAGTTCATCCAGTTGTAAAGATATTCAAGTACGATTTTTCGATAAAAGAATGAGCTTATTAAGATCAACAGTTCAGCTCATTCACTTAACAAGCTGAGCTCAAAGTAATATGGTTTAAGCTACTGGGAAATCTACTAGTACTATAGAGATAGCCCTCTAAGGGGATGTCAGAAACATGCCCATTTTACTCTTTTAATTTTGAAAATTTGTAATTTCCTGTCTTTTAATTACTCCAATTAAGAAAATTCTTGTCAAAAACCAGGGAAGCATGTATGAGGCCTAAGTACTAAGGTTGAGTTTGTTCAGGAGTCGCAGAGAACTCGACCACAGACAATCAACTTTGTGTAAGCACCAACAAGCATTCCCAAATTCTATTTGAGCACAAGGTGAGCCTAAAATCTATTGCATGTCACTGAGCAGCGCCTCAAGTGTCAAGCAATGACATAGTCAGTCAAATTTAAAACCAACCCTATTGTTAAAAGACCGTTGAAAAATAAGGGCACATATTTGCAGAGAGGAAATTAACAAAATTCTCAATTCTAAATAACAGACAGGCTTGCACAGAAGGGTGAAAGTATCATGTTCATCCCTTTAACAATCAGTTGTGCCTAGGCTCAAACCTACCAAGGGCACATTTTGAAAGATAAGATAGCCCTAACCCCAATAACAGGCCATATTTGTGACAATACTAGCAATGGGAACATATGAAAGAAATGTTTATGCCATCAGCGCCATGAAGTACATTAAACATCGTTTCTAGACTTCATGACTTACAGCACAATATAGATTCATATAAATATATATATATATATATATATATATATATAAAGCGCCAGGCGGTACCTCACTCCAAGTATGAGAGCTGCTTCCCTTCGTGTCATGGTAGATTGAAAACCACCTTCGTAAAATTTACGCAGCCTAGCTGTAGGTGGTCTTGCTTTGAATGCTTGCCAAGCCTGAATGCTATATCTACCAGCATAAGCTGCTGCAGCTACAGCAATTCCTCCGATCAAAGGTGTGACCTGTTGCAAATTTTATTCATAAGCTTGCGTCCACAATATTGTGCAAGCAAAACAATTAACTCGCAACTATGTGAAGTTAACTCTTTCTTGAGAATTTATCAAACAGTTATAAATTAAACATAACACAAAGCAGAAATTTCGAACTCAAACATGGATGGTACAATACCTAAGTTCTAATGAATCAAATCATAAAAAGATAGAAAGTGTTCCATGATCAGTACCTGTAGCCCATTAAAACTAAAATTCTTAAACTCCTTGGTTCATTGGGCACAAATAACTGGAGTTTTAACACCGCAGTAAAAAGCATATAATCTAAAAATTGACTTCTTTTTATTATTATTATATCAAAAGCTTCAATTTTTTTCAGCTCCCATGGCTATTTATCGGGAAATCGAAGATGGGTTTAGCTAATTAAGCCCTAATCTACACCCAAATCAGACGCAAAACCCTATTTCAGAATCTCCCACATAATCAGAACCCTCTAAATGCAACAACGAATGAGAAAGAGCTTGATACATCAAAAGAAAAATATATGAGAAAGAGTGAGATATTAATACTCACCATATCTGTAAATCTTTCGAGGTCGAAGAAACTGCTCCGTCAGCCAAGCTAGGGTTTATGGTCTTTTCGAAAAGTAATTGTCCGGAACAAAATTGATACTTGAATTACAAACGAAGAACTCCGCCGATAAACTGAACCCAGGTACTTGTCAAACAAGCCAAGGGGAATAAAAAAACTAGAGGAGATTTTATACGCGGTCCAGCCCTTTAATAACTTGTAGAAGGAAAAGGACTTTCTTTTCTTATTTTTTTTGTGTTTAACGTTTAATTAATTGTTGTTATTTATCATATTTTGAAGGGAATTTTATAAGGGAGAAAGAGAAACATAATGTGGGGAATGTAAAAGATTGAGAAGGGTAAAATTGGAAAATTCTATTGGGTTTAAAATTAGGGATCTTGGAAAATTAATAGGAAGTTTACTATTGTGGAAGATGATAATTTAATTTTACTTAATCTAGATAAGATCAATGACTATAATATAGTATCCAATTTTACAATAATGTAATTAAAAAACTTTAAAATTACGCACATTGCCACTCCAATATTTTAACAAATTTATTTCAAGCTAATCACACAATGCCACATGTCTGACGACCCAACTCCGGCAATGGCCAATCACCGATCGCCCACCGCCATCACCACTGCAGGTCGCCAGTCCCCGCCAAAGATGTTATTTTTATGTTACTCTTATATTGGTATATTTAGTTTTATAAATAGAAACTACAAAATAATTTGTATTTTTATGTTACTATTATATTGGTCTTTTTATGTTTATATAATAGAATTTGCAACACAATATGTATTTTTATGTATTATAAGTTAAATGCTAACTTTTTTATATATGTTTTTTTACAACAAAATAATCAATTAATACATAGTTATGATATGAAATTAATTGCTAAGAAAATTGAGAAAGAAGAAAAAAAGAAAAAAGAAAAAAAGAAATAACAATACAAAAGAATAAGGTGAAATACTAGTAGACTATAATTATATAGTGTAGTTTAATTTTGTACTTTAATAAAAAAATATATTTAATTAAAAACGCTACGTGCCACTCAATAAAAGTTAAACTATAAATAAAATTAAAATCCAAGATAAGCAAAAAGTGTGGCCTAGCTTTGTTAGTCAAGTGAATTGGTGCGTAAGGGAAGTTGTGGGTTGGAACCCTACAAATGGCATGGTGTTTTGTCTAAATTTTTAATTATTAATTTAAGTAAAGGTGGTGGCCGGTGAGGGTCTGGGCTACGGTCGATGGGAGTTCGGGTTGCGGCGGTAGTACATGTTATGGTGGTGCGTTCTTAACCTAAAAGCGGCAAAATAGTCTTTTCCCTTATAAATTTGGGACATTTTGGAAAAAGCAAAAGAAGAGAGAAAAATTTTAAAAGAAGCAAAAATGGACAAAAATGCCCTTATTTATTTTTAGATTTCCTAAGGAATCCAATACATTTGCATGTCTTTGATTTGAAAGTTGAGCGGTTTTTTTGTCTTTTTTGAAAAAACTTTGGCTTTTTCCAAAAGTGAAATTTTTTTATGTCTAAAACCTAAAAAACCTTATAAATTTAAATGGGCCCATTCAATTTTGGCCTCCTTACTCATTGGCCTATTACAAAAGAAAATGTAAAACCCATTCTCCAAACTCAAAACCAAAATACTTGATTTATGATATCTAAATTATTAAAGTTTTTAATGACTCCATACATGACTCGAATTGGACCTCTAAATTCAAGAAAGCACGAGTTTGCATCGATTCACATATTTTCTCAAATAATCAAATTTAATTCAATCGGTTAATTTGTTTTATCACATTTATTTTTGAAAAATACTTGCCTCCTTATCATGTAAGTAGGAGCTCATCCATTCTTACAAATAGCAGTGTGATATGTTTACACACACAAAATTTGTGTGTTTTTGATGAATTATTTTCGCATATGTGTCAAACTGTGATTTGTAGAAAGGAAGCCAATGTTGAAGGTTAGGGGACAACTAGCCTAAACAAGCTCATTTTGTTGAATTTAGCTTTTATAGTCATATGCATAGTACTTAACCAGCTAGCCTAAACTTGCATCTTTGGTTGAATTCAGCTTTTTATAGAAATATGCATGCTACTTAATTAGCCAGCCTAACCTAGCTTCTTTTGCTAAATTCATATGCCACCCTCTTATATTTCAGAGCTCTTAGTTCTTCCACTTAACCTGAAAAGAGATGAAAGATGAGAGAGAAAATAAAAGTACAAAACTTTACTTATGATATAATGATATATAGCCAGCCAATTAAAAAATCGAAGTAAGTACATAAATATATAGCAGAAGCATGTACTATATCCCTTAGGATAAAAGGACCTTTAACTTGAGCTTGAGTTCAGCTACTCTGCTCATCCCTCTCCCCGTCCTCTCATTTGATAGTTGCAAAGTACATCTCCTTGAGATTTACTTTGGGAGGAGATCCTTGCACCAAAATTGGGTGTATATATATATATATATCATAGAAGCATTAGCCAATCAATGAGTATACACATAGATATAATGGCAAATTAATCATTCAAATCAAGCAACATCTACTGAACATCAACACAACTTTATTTTGGTGTTGCTTCTACCAAATCTCGACTCTCATATATCGCTGGATATGAGGGGGAGTGATAACCCCTCATTTTGAACAACATCGCTACCTTATTGTTAGTAGCAACATCTCTTGCTCATTTTTCAGCAGCAACATCTCTGTTTCATTTTTTAGCAGCAACATCGCTGCCTCATTTTTCAGCTGCAACAAGCATTATGTGGGAATATGTACATTATTTAAACCTTAAGCCTATATAGCAACAAACTAATATTACTTCAAACAACCTCTTCATCTTTCTCATGATCCTCATTTTCATCTTCCTCTTCATCTTTTTGCACAATTACTCACTCCTTGAGCATCAGTTTGAGTGCATAGCCCTATAAAAAAAAATTAAACAAAATGATATGACAACATGATGCATATAGATATATGTAGCCAAGCCAAACACATTACAAAAAAGAAACAAATATATACCCTATTCAAATGGTCCATGTAATCAACGTTTGAGTTGAACCTCATGGAACAATCACTGTAACAAACCCTTGGCTTCATGTGTTTGTCCCATTGATGTTGTAAAATGTCCTACAACATGTGTAGCAGCCCACAAAATACCTCATTTTATTTTTCTTCACTCGATTTTAAGTAATTTTTTATTCCCTTTCTTCTTCCCATTCTTCTTCTCACCTGCTCCATTCTGAGGCACAACAATTCCTTTAATAATTAATTAATAATATTAAACAAAGAAAAAAAAAAGTGAAATCAATATGAAATAGTTAAAAAAATTCATCTTTACTTACCAACATTGGGAGACAAATTTGGTAGAGATCTTATTTTGTCTTGAAAATATGAGAGAGAGAGAGAGGAAAAAAAAGTTGAAAGCTTGTTTTTGGTCTCAACTACGTACAGGCCGCTAAAATAACTAGAAAGCGAAGCAACTATACGATCAAAAAGCAGAGATATATGATATATTTAATATAAATGTAGTTTTATTTCATCGATACCCTACACACGTATATATATTATAGAAGCATTAACCAATCAATTAATATATACATAGATATAATTGCAAATTAATAATTCAAATTAAGCAACATCCACTTAACATCAACACAACTTTATTTTGGTGTTGCTTTCTGCAAATCTCGACTCTCATATATCGCCGGATATGAGGTGGAGTGACAACCCCTCATTTTGAACAACAACATCGCTACCATATTGTTAGCAGCAACATTGCTCGCTCATTTTTTAGCAGCAACATCGCTGCCTTATTTTTCACTTGCAACAAGCAGCATGTGGGAATAGGTACACTATTTAAACCTTAAGCCTTTATAGCAACAAACTAATATTAATTCAAACAACCTCTTCATCTTCCTCATGATCCTCATCTTGCTCATAATCCTCATCTTCATCTTCCTCTTCATCTTCTTGGCACAATTTCTCACTCTTTGAGCATAAGTTTGAGTGGATAGCCCTACAAAAAAAATTAAACAAAATGATATGACAAAATTATGCATCTAGATATATGTAGAGAAGCCAAACACATTACAAAAATGAAACAATTATATACCCCATTCTAATAGTCCATGTAATCAGCATTTGAGTTAAACCTCGTGGAACAATCACTGCAACAAACCCTCAGCTTTATGTGTTTGTCCCCTTGATGTTGTAAAATGTCCTACAACATGCGTAGCAGCCCACAAAATACCTCATTTTATCTTTCTTCACTCAATTTTAAGTCATTTTTTTTATTTCCTTTCTTCTTCTCACCTGCTCCATTCTGAGGCACAACAATCCCTTTAATAATTAATTAATAATATTAAAAAGAAGAAAAAAAAAAAAACAAAAAAAAAAAAAAAAAAAAAAAACAATATGAAATAGTTAAGAAAAAATTTAAATTTACTTACCAACATTGGGAGACAAATTTGGTAGATATCTCATTTTGTCTTGAAAATGTGAGAGAGAGAGAGAGAGAAAAAAATTTGAAAGCTTGTTTTTGGTCTCAACTATGTACAGGCCGCTAAAATAACTAAGAAGTGAACCAACTATACGATAAAAAAGCAGAGATATATGATATATTTAATGTGAATGTAGTTTTATTTCATCGATACCCTACACATGTATATATATCATAAAAGCATTAACCAATCAATTAGTATACACATAGATATAATTTCAAATTAATAATTCAAATCAAGCAACATCCACTTAACATCAACACAACTTTATTTTGGTGTTGCAATGACATTAGTTGATTATGCTAGGGAAGTGTTTTATGGAACATGTAATGCCATTTTCCAAAGAACAAAAAGATTCTTTGTTCAGCTTGTAATTCAAGGATTTGGTTGTCTATCATGTAGCTTCATGCTAGATATGGAGAACATCCTTAAAAGCAACTCCACATAAATTTTGGTGAACTTGGTCTTATTTGGATAAAAGCCACAATCTCGAAAGCCATCTTAGTTAGTAATTCTCTTGTCATTTCTAAGCACGTACACGTACATGGCTGCAGCGTGTAAAGCTGTTTTACCATTGGGCCCTTGGTAGGCTGGATATGTGCAAATGCGCAATTTTTCCAAACCCACAAGACTGTATCCGTTCTCGACAGCCATATAAAGTGGAGTCTCGCTAGCAACATTAGTAGGATAGGAAAACTCAGGGTCTTCTCTTGTCAATATCTGAACCACATCAAGGAAGTTAAACCGCACTGCCTCGTGCAAGTCTGTGTCTTTGTGATTGTTGGTTGTCCTTACGAGCAACATTATATTACATGTGAAAACCAAATTTTTTAAGGAGTTACAAGCAATGTTTCCCCTAGAAAAATGGAGTATTTTCTAACCTCTTTTTCATATCACATGTTTGCAATGACATTTTTAGTATGTGCCATATACCTTGTATACCCTACCCACCATTGTATATAGGCAGGGTCTAAATGTTTGCAAAACCTAGGAGCAATATCTCTATCTCTCTCAATTGCTTAGCAAGATATCTAAGACTCAAGGGTGGTGGTGAGTGAAGATGGTGGAAATTATTTCACTGGTTTTGAGGAAGAATCTAGTGCATGTGTGTCAAAGGGGGTTCAAAGAAACTCAAACAAAATAAAGGTAGTGATGGGAATATTTTACTAACTCAGACTTATGAAGAAAATATCACAAACCCCTATAGCAGTATGTATACAAGAAACCACAAGCAAGCCATAAGTAATCATGTCAAATATCAAATACCACACAAGCCACAAAAGGCTATTTCAAAGACATCTAAGAAATCAAAAGCCACCACAAAGCACATGCATGTTTATCAAATATGTATCCGTTCTCGACAGCCACATAAAGTGGAGTCTCGCTGGCAACATTAGCAGGATAGGAAAACTCAGGGTCTTCTCTGATCAATATCTGAACCACATCAAGGAAGTTAAATCGCATTGCCTCGCGCAAGGTTGTGTCTTTGTGATTGTTGGTTGTCTTTACGAGCAACATTATATTACATGTGAAAACCAAATTTCTTTAAGGAGTTAAAAGCAATGTTTCCCCTAAAAAAATGGAGTACTTTCTAACCTTTTTTTTCATATTACATGTTTGCAATGACATTTTTAGTATGTGCCCTATACCCTGTATACCCTGCCTACCATTGTATATAGGCAGGGTCTAAATGTTTGCAAAACCTAGGAGCAATATCTTTATCTCTCTCAATTGCTTAGCAAGATATCTAAGACTCAAGGGTAGTAGTGAGTGAAGATGGTGGAAATTATTTCACTGGTTTTGAGGAAGAATCTAGTGCATGTGTGTCAAAGGGGGTTCAAAGAAACCCAAACAAAATAGAGGTAGTGATGGGAATCTTTTACCAACTGACTTATGAAGAAAATATCACAAACCCCTATAGCAGTATGTATACAAGAAACCACAAGCAAGCCATAAGTAATCATGTCAAATATCAAATACCACACAAACCACAAAAGGCTATTTCAAAGACATCTAAGAAATCAAAAGCCACCACAAAGCACATGCATGTTTATCAAATATGTATCCGTTCTCGACAGCCACATAAAGTGGAGTCTCGCTAGCAACATTAGCAGGATAGGAAAACTCAGGTTCTTCTCTTGCCAATATCTGAACCACATCAAGGAAGTTAAATCGCACTGCCTCGTGCAAGTCTGTGTCTTTGTGATTGTTGGTTGTCCTTACGAGCAACATTATATTACATGTGAAAACCAAATTTCTTTAAGGAGTTACAAGCAATGTTTCCCCTAGAAAAATGGAGTATTTTCTAACCTCTTTTTCATATTACATGTTTGCAATGACATTTTTAGTATGTGCCTTATACCCTGTATATCCTGCCCACCATTGGATATAGGCAGGGTCTAAATGTTTGCAAAACCTAGGAGCAATATCTTTATCTCTCTCAATTGCTTAGCAAGATATCTAAGACCCAAGGGTGGTGGTGAGTGAAGATGGTGGAAATTATTTCACTGGTTTTGAGGAAGAATTTAGTGCATGTGTGTCAAATAGGGTTCAAAGAAACCCAAACAAAATAAAGGTAGTGATGGGAATCTTTTACCAACTCAGACTTATGAAGAAAATATCACAAACCCATATAGCAGTATGTATACAAGAAACCACAAGCAAGCCATAAGTAATCATGTCAAATATCAAAAACCACAAGCAAGCCGTAAGTAATCATGTCAAATATCAAATACCACACAAGCCACAAAAGGCTATTTCAAAGACATCTAATAAATCAAAAGCCACCACAAAGCACATGCATGTTTATCAAATATGTATCCGTTCTCGACAGCCACATAAAGTGGAGTCTCGCTAGCAACATTAGCAGGATATGAAAACTCAGGTTCTTCTCTTGTCAATATCTGAACCACATCAAGGAAGTTAAATCGCATTGCCTCGTGCAAGTCTGTGTCTTTGTGATTGTTGGTTGTCCTTACGAGCAACATTATATTACATGTGAAAACCAAATTTCTTTAAGGAGTTACAAGCAATGTTTCCCCTAGAAAAATGGAGTATTTTCTAACCTCTTTTTCATATTACATGTTTGCAATGACATTTTTAGTATGTGCCCTATACCCTGTATACCCTACCCACCATTGTATATAGGCAGGGTCTAAATGTTTGCAAAACCTAGGAGCAATATCTCTATCTCTCTCAATTGCTTAGTAAGATATCTAAGACTCAAGGGTGGTGTTGAGTGAAGATGGTGGAAATTATTTCATTGGTTTTGAGGAAGAATCTAGTGCATGTGTGTCAAAGGGGGTTCAAAGAAACCCAAACAAAATAAAGGTAGTGATGGGAATCTTTTACCAACTCAAACTTATGAAGAAAATATCACAAACCCCTATAGCAGTATGTATACAAGAAACCACAAGCAAGCCATAAGTAATCATGTCAAATATCAAAAACCACAAGCAAGCCATAAGTAATCATGTCAAATATCAAATACCACACAAGCCACAAAAGGCTATTTCAAAGACATCTAAGAAATCAAAAGCCACCACAAAGCACATGCATGTCTATCAAGTATGAATTCCAACAAACGATTGTGAGTGTATGTTGTGTATGAGATCTGACTTTAATCAAACGATTGTTCGGCCGAGCAAGGAACCTCCTCGCAGCCTAGGTTCTTTCACTACCTTGGGGTCAAAGCTTTATGTGAGCAACCAAATTATGTGGAGTGGGTGGAGATGAAGATTGAAGGTGAAACGTAATGAAACGAAGAACAAGTGCGTAAAGTAAAAGTGCTTAAATTTAAATATAATTTAAAGATAAATGCGTAAAGTAAAGTACATAAAATAAATAACGTAAAGACGAGAATTAAAGTACAATAAATAAACAGGAACGAAATAAGAAAGTAAACTAAATTAAACTTGAATTTATACTTAATGAAAATTCAATAACAATGAAAAAGAAAGCGATTGAAATAAGCTTGAATTTAAATGACAAGGGAATGTAAATTGCAAGAATTTAAACTTACACTAAGGAAAGGAAGAACTTTCTACACTAGGTGCTTGAAATGTAAAATCATAAGTCTAGGGAAAGAAAAGTGCAAGACAAAAAATAGGTTTGTGTGTCTGATGACGTGTGTCTTCTGCCTTCGTTTGGTGAAGTTTATATAGGGCATCCGTTGGCCGATGGGCTGGCCATTGAATGACCAAATGTCAACTCTTTCAAAATTCTTTCCTTTCGAGGCTCCTTAAATCTATGGGATTTCATTGATGGAGATATTCTGATTGCTTAATTCTCTCTTGCTTCATAATGTTCTAAATTATCTTCCACCTCCTTGACTTCTTTCCATGTGCATACACTCTTCTGGAAATCCTAGGCACGAATCCATCACTTGGACTTCGCCCTCTGGGTTCATTGAAATTATATGGGGGCTGACCCTCATGACCTTTAAGCTCTTAAGTTCTAATTGTCCAAATTACTTTCTAACCTCCAACCCTATTAAATGGCCATTCACTTATATATATAAACTAAAGAGGCTGAAAGAACTTCAACCATACTTTTCCAACCGCATATCTTTTGCCCAAATCCTTTCAAACCGGCCACAATGTTACAGCCCCTCAGAGCTACAAACCGGCTGCATTAAGTGCAGCCCGGATTTCTTCAGCTTAGCGCCAGCTCTGGGTTCCGGCCTCTCCAGCTTCAAAGACCCTGGGCATTGCAAGCCCGGCCGCAACTCCAGCATCCCAGGCCGCTCATCTCATTCCGGTTGTAACTCCTAGAGCCCCACTGCCAAACTTCATGCCCGAGAGCTCTTCAAGCCCGGCCGCTAAACTTCTCTAGCTAGGCCGCAACTCAAGCCCAACCGCTACTATCAAAACGTTTTGGCTGCTACTCCTCAAGCTCGGCCCTACTTTTTAAGAAGTGTCCGGCCAGTTTTACAAAAAGAAGCGTTCGGCCAATTTTGCAAGGATATGCATAGCCACTTTTGCAAGGATACCACCAACCACTTTTGCGAAGGGAAGCACCCAGCCATATTTTTTAGAAGGCACCACAACCTTCGAAGAAAACACCTCAGTGTCTAGAATTTCTAGGCTAGGAATTCCGCCGCTAGGAGTTCTTCGACCGCTAGGAATTCTCGACAACTAGGAACTCCGCCGCTAGGAATTCTTCGACCGCTAGAAATTCTTGGCTATTAGGAATTGTGCCACTAGGAATTCCTCCTTGGCGGATTGGGTGAATTTTGACCACCCCAAACACCTTCAAATGAACTTTGTAGTCCAAGTTATTATGAAACCTTATGTTGCATTTAGTGCACTCCTTGAAAATGTAGTAATGTGCCTTTTGGTGGGATTGCATTCGATGGTGAATGGGGAGAATCTTTGAACATATGAAGCAATTGATCACCTCATCAATAAGCTTGAGTTGTTTCTTCACTTGTGCTCTAGTCAAATTCTTCTTCTTTTTGTCCTCAGTATGAGCCTTAGCCTTCTTCTCATGATCAATTAATGGGTCTGAATTTGATGATTCTACTAAGGTTAAAGAGAGATATGAAGAAAATATACCAAACAAACAAAATCAAGTATAAATAAGTGCTATTTTTCTTGCTAATTCTTACAAAAACAGTACATACCCGCACTTGAAGGATTGAGATTGATGGGTCTCATCTTCTTTGCAAGTTGAAGAGAGAGAGAGAGGTGGAAATAGTCTTAAATGTGAACATGTGTGACTCTCTGTGTAATGCTTGACTTGTGCCTTGTTCCCTCTCTCCCCTTTTGCTTTGATTCCTTTCTAATGTTATTATTTTCTGATTTCTTACTTCTTACACGTGCCATTCTTTTTTTGGTCTTTTGATTTGTTTTTTTAAATAATATTATTGTCCTAGTCTGACTGACTAAGACCTTTTTTTTTGGGTTTGAAGATTGACTGAGACTCATAGTGAGAGTTGGGAGGGTTTTAAGGAGGTGGCACCTCTGTCCCTTCTCTTTCTTATCTCTCGTCTCATAGTTTTTCTTCCCTTTCTTCTCAAAGTCTCTCTTCTCTTTCTTCTCAGAGTCTCTTCTTTCTCTATTCTCTCTCATCTCTCTCACGCAGCAACTCATGGCTTCTTTTCTAGGACAGCAGGCCAAGTTCTCATTTCCCAGGTAAAATTCATCACCTCCTTCTGCTATGAAATTTCTCAATTCCATACAAAACATTGATTTCACTTGGTTTGCATTTGTGAAACTTTGAATTTTGAGTTGAATTTCTTTGGCTGGCTCTTTGGCTTACGCAAATATATTGTGGTATTATAACACTGATATGAGAAAGTTTCCTTAGAGTCTTGCAAAGGTCTCCCATCCCTTCCCTTATGCCAGTGGGGGAAAGCTTCGTAACAGTCCCACCAATGGCTGCTATAAACTGGTCGTCCTTCTCGTAGAATAAATGGCTTGAACCTAGGTTAAGGTTAAGGTTTATACGCAATCTCGTGGTAGAGGTACCTCTTGAGATTACCTGCACACTTCGAACAATTATCAGAATAGGAGTAAACTGGGGTTTATCCCAGTTGAACCCTCTCCGATGGCTAAGTTAGAAGTAGTTTAAAGATAGAGAAATGGATGAGGGGTTTGTAAGGTGAGAATCTTTATTACCTCTGTCCTAATATAGGTGAAGGATATTTATAGGGGGAAAGAGAGATAACGATCTTTAAGGAGGAAATATTTATCTCATTTCCCCCTGGTGTGACTTGGACTACATTAAATGATTTCTTCTGATCAACATGCTGTCGAATAGGGATCATGTGGCAAAGTAACACTTGGCTTTGGATGGAAGGCACATTAATTGATCCTCTCTATCACCAGGCTACTCATCAAGGATCAAATGGTGAAGCGATGCATGACTTTGGATGTGAAGTACATTAACTGATCTCTTTCCATCGGCAAGCTGTTGTGTCATACAGATGGAGTGACTGACTTGATAGGGGGTCTGACCATGCTTGTTTAATATCAATACGCCTCTAGTCACACATGGTATACCAGTTGTCAGGTCGATGTCTGAATGACCTATCATTAATTCCTACTCTTTCCTGACGGGTTCAGTTAGGAGGCCTTTTATCGACACCTAGGGTAGTCTATCTAGTCGGGTCGGTATAAGGGCAACCTACCCCTCTATGGCCACGTGGTGCTCTCTAATACGCTCGGCTTACAGTGATGGTATAAGCCATTAACAGCTGCTATTGGGTTTTTGTCCTTAAATTTATGTTCTATAGCTCGTTTGCCTAGCCACTTTTCTTTAGGTATCATACAATAAAAGCTTCAATCCATATCAGGTACTTGTGTCTTTGATTTAAGTTGAAATCTATATTTCCACATAGAAATTTTCACATTTCACTAAGCCTATGCTACTACCATGTTTGTAAATGAATTAATATATTGATTTGGCTAGTTTCGAATTGAAAACATCACTTTTCTTTTTCTCATGGAATGTGGTTGTTAGTGCAAGTGTAACCAACAATTTTTTTTTATGCCTAAATCTTTCTTCATGAATTGTTGAAACCTCTAATTGGTTTTATAGATATGCTGGCCTTTGCTTTGTTTTGACTCAGTTGACCCATAGGAACATCTCTCAAAAAGTCAAAATCATAAATTCCAAGCAGTAGGACTTGGTGAGTAAAACATGATAAAGGCCATAAAAAAGGAAAAGAGCATTTGCTTTTCCATTGATTTCTATATTAATTTTGAAGCTTTTACCATGATAGTGTAGTGCATTTTATAGCATCCTCTTGTCCCCTATTGGCAAGATGGGCTTTTGTTGATTATGTTCTTTGTAGATTGGCACCGCTACAGGTGGGTGCAAGACAGCTAGAATTTACATGGAATTACTTATGTTCTTCAAGTAAGTAAGTAATTCCAGGTAAGTATATATACTACTTAAGGTTTGGGTGCAAGACATCTAGAATTTACCTGGAATTACTTACGCTCTTAAAGTAAGTAAGTAATATAGGATCATGAAGAACGTAAGGAATTACTTAGAATTTACCTAGAATTACTTATCTTCATTGACCTTGTTGACATCTGTAGATGCTACTTAAGAATATAAGAACTGCTAAAGTATGAGGATCATGAAGATGTCTGGGTGCCTCGCACAATAGAATGTGAATTGAAGATCTTGTTGATGCATGCATCCTAAGAGATATGGTGACTGTGACTGGGATTATGAGAGTCATTAACAATTATATGTATGTTAGCGGAGGCAAAGAAATTATTCCTAATTCAATCCAATATTCTATGCCTTCTGTAACAATTTATATCTTATTCCTATGTATGCAACTGACCAGAAAAGAGGACTGTTCCAATTCTCCCCACTAAGGTAACATGGGTACTTTATTGTGATTATTACTGGCAAATCGAGAGGAAATAGTCGAGGAATTTACTATTTGTATCTAGAAGCTATTTTAATTAAATTCTCCAAGTCATAGTTTATGCCTGAGAATGTAGAAGATTCTAATTCTAATGATATGGCACTTGTTGATTTTTTCTCATTCTCTCCAAAGGGATTTGGAATTCTTTGTGAAGTTTTCAGAGGAACATGGTCCAAACACCTTCAGGCAACTACTACAATCTATTTGTCCATCCATCTACTATGGTCATGAGATTGTTAAAGGTAATTTCTTCCTCATACGGTGTCTTCGTAAGTCGCGTGCTAGAGGTTAGTCGAATAAAATAATACAAAGCAAGGAAAAGTCTTTCAAAACGAAAAGCAAGTTTATCATCTGCCAAGGCCAAGGCCATTGCACATTGTAATTAGTAAAAAGATGATTTTCCATGAAACTTCCCCATGAAACCTCTCATTTCCCAAAGATACCTCCATTTCCCTTTCTCCACAACTCCCTCCCTCTCCCAAAACACTCTTACAACCCAAAAAAACCCTGACCTCCCCCCTTCTCTGGTTTTCCCTTCACCTGCTCCTTTTTCTTAGTTTAGCTCTCTCTTCCTCTCCCCCATTTCCTTGTCATGTCTCTCTCTCTCTCTCTCTCTCTCTCTCTCTCTCTCTCTCTCTCTCTCTCTCTCTCTCTCTCTCCTGTTTGGTCTTGCCTCTATGGAAGACCCTGAGTGGTTCACTGATGAGGTAATGGAGGAGTAGCTCACCATCCATCTGGAAGAGTCTCTCAATCTCACTGATGTCCTTAGTGGAACCCATTTGGCTGGCTTCTGATAACAGAAAAAAGGCCGCTTATTAGTGGTGTAAAAAATGCCCTCCGTCGAGAGTGGCGCAACATCATTCACTTTAACGATGTCAAAATTGCTTGGGCAAACCCCCAAGGTGTATGTAATCATGGTGGAGTCGGACAATATGAAAAGAAGCTAATCGATCGTGGCCCTTGGTACGTTCACAATGATGTCTTCTCTATCTAAGAATGGCCGATGAACTGCTCTTTCAATGAGATTATACCGTGCAAGGCAGCATTTTGGGTCCAAGCCCATGGTATTCCCTTTGGCCAAATGACGGTATGCAATGCAAAGATGCTAGCCAACAGAATTAGCAATGAAGTTTTGGTAGAGGACCCAACAAAAATATATATGAGGGGATTCCTAAAATTACGTGTTGAAATTAACACCTCCATACCCTTATTCCTTGGTTTCTGGCTTTCGATGAGGCAAACTGAGCGCTCATGGATAAGCCTAAAGTATGAGGGGTTGATAAGGTTTTGCCACATATGTGGGAGGCTTAGGCACGCTCATTTGAAGAAAAGGCCATGCAACCATTCTCTCTGCCCGGTGGTGCTCAAAGATGGCCTTAAGTACGGTGCCTGGCTAAGTGTTGAGTCAGTAAAGGGTCTAGCCTCGATTTTTTCTGACAAACCAGCGAGCAAGAGCCACCAGTTGAAGGACATTGCGGATGAACGTCATTGGCATAGGATGGTCGAGAAAAATGTAAATGGTCTTTATGGAATTGACTTTTCCAGTAGGACTCCGCCCCCTCAGTCTGGCACACCCAGGCCCAGTGCAATTAAGGGGCAAAAAAGACAAACCGTGAAACAGAATAATTTACTGTCACTCAAAGCTTTGAAAACAACAGGGCATGAGGCAAATACCCCAAATCCTCAGGTCTATAACTTTGGCCCGAAAATCATACATAATCCTAGGTTTACGCTTTTCTGGGATGACCCCCCACGTTCTATGACGCTCCATCAAGATTTCAAATCTCGTCAAATGGTGGCATGTGGTAGTAGTTTGGATACCCATTTGATCACGCAACAGGACACTCCTCTCCAACCGTTACTTGCTGACCCCGAGGGTAATTCTGCGATTGAAATTGACTCTTCGTCTTTGGACCTGAACTTGCTTGCTAACCCTACTAGGGTCAACTCTGAGACTCCAGTTTTGTTAGATAGTGTCATTTCTAGTCATATCAATAAGCGACAGAAAGGCATGCGCCAAAGAATTGAAGCTGAACCGAGGTCAACAAGAAAGCCCAAAGCTAAGGTGCTTAGACCAAAAGTGGGGGGCCCAATCTGACATGGTACTATTATAGGTAAGATGAGTCGAGGTAGGCCCAAATTCGAGAAACTTGTTGGAAAAAAATCTGTAAAATCTGGGCATTTTCCTTTTGACCTAACTGAATGCCTTCTTAAGGATTCTGAGTTAAATGATGTTGGGGTGGAGGCTTCTGAACAAATGCGAGTAATTGAAGAAAGGTTAAGGAACACTAATGAGGAGGAGAGAGCTTCCCTCTTAGGCTGTGGTGGCTGGCCTTATGCAGCCACACATCCAAGATGATACACTTGGTTTGGAACTGTCAAGGTTTGGGGTTTGCCTTGACAGTCCAGACATTACGGGAATTGATTCATTCCCACAAACCCTCTATGGTGGTTTTAATGGAATTTCTATTAACCCCTGTGGTTCGGCGGGAGGTCTTTGCCTGTGGTGGACGATCCATTGTTCGGTGGAGATCCGCTCTACCTCCAAAAATCTAATTAAGGTTATTGCTTTTTATGATGTTGTGGGCACCAAGGTAGGCATGTCTTCTTCCTATGGTCCTCCTTATGGGAGTCGGTGCGAAACCTAAGCTACAATGTCACTCAACCATGATGCTGTATTGGAGATTTTAATGAGCTTATTTGCCCTCATGAAAAATGGGGAGATGCTGACTGGTGCCCTTCACGGGGCAAATTTCTCCGAGATTTTATGGAAAACAATAGCTTGATTGATGTTGGATTCTCTAGGCCTGAGTTCCAAGAAGGAAAATTGGGAAGTAATTATCCAGGAGAGACTAGACCGGGGGCTGGTGAATGCCACTTGGTTGGAGTTGTGGCCCAACACCATGATCTCCCACTACCCATGCCTAGGATCTAACCATTGCCCCATCATTCTCAACCTCTCTCCTACGGTGACAAATGTTAAACCCCGCTTCTAATTTGAGTTGTTTTGGACCGAGAATTCGAAGTGCTTCGATGTTGTAAACTTGGCTTGGAACCAAGGGAGAGGTGTTTCTAGTATCTTTAGATGGAATTCCTGCCTAAAAAACTGTAGAAAATACCTCAAGAAGTGGAGCTTTAATCGCTTCCCTAATAATCATAAACGCATCTAAAAGCTATTGAAGGAGCTTGAGACAGTCCATAGTCAATCTCCTCATTGTGTTGAAACTGAGAAAACCATTTGTGACTATTTTTCTAAAGCTTGGAAAAATGAAGAAGCCTACTGGAAACAGAGGTCGCATATTAATTGGCTTAAGAGGGGAGATGCTAATTCCAAATTCTTTCATCTCTCTACCACTCAACAAAGAAGAAGAAATATAGTATCAAAGTTGGAAGATGATAATGGTGTGACTGTGGAAAATGAGGATGACATCAGAAACTTGTATGAATCCTACTATTTGGAGCTTTTCACCTCCTCTGGCCCTAAAAGTTGGGGGAATTCACAGGATCACGTGAACCATGTGGTTATTGAGGAGATGAACCTTGAGCTTTGCAAACCTATCTCTTCGGATGAAGTTAAGGAGGCTGTTTCTCAACTTGGTGAGCTTAAAGCGCGAGATTTTTGTGATCAAAAGACTGATCTTGATGAGCTAAACCAAACCCTGATTGCCCTCATTCCTAAATGCCCTAGTCCTCATAAAACTACACATTTTCGGCCTATCAGCCTGTGTAATAACTCCTACAAAATCATTTCAAAAATCCTAGCGAACCGGCTCAAGGAGTTTCTTCTAGAGATCATCTTAGATTTTTAGAACGCATTTGTCCCAAACCGTCAAATTTAGGATAATCTTATTATGGGCCATGAGGTTTTTCATTACCTGAAGCTCAAAAGGAAAGGGAGGCATTGTGAATTAGGTCTCAAGCTCGATATGAACAAGGCCTATGACAGAGTGGAATGGGATTTTTTGGAGGAAGTTATGCTCAGGGAGAGTATCCTAGTTCTACTACATACAACACATATGCGCGTTGTATTCTTTTTCCTTCGATTAGGTTTTTGTCTCACTGGATTTTTCCTAGCAAAGTTTTAACGAGGCAACATAAGCGCATCCAACACCATATCAATGATCCAGAAGAAAGTTTCACTCTTTTTTCCCTTCGCTTCGGTTTTGTCCCACTGGGTTTTCCAAGCAAGGTTTTTAATGAGGGAACTATGTCAATGTATGGTGGATATCCAAGGGGGAGTGTTGTAAATGCATGCGTTGGTGGATGACCACCATACCTCTTAGTATTCCACCGTTGGATTTTATGTAACCTATGCACTAAGTATTTGTAATTAGTGCTTGTAACCTATATGTATATTGTAAATTATGGTATTGAATCTCCTATCTTGTAAGCCTACAAATAGGTGGTTCTACCAAAGATTAAGGGAAGAATAAACATGGTGAAACTTTACCTTTAGCATATCACTTCTCTCTACATTTTCTCCCTCTAATTTTATAACACAGCATATCACTTCTCTCTATATTTTCTCCCTCTAGTTTTATAACAAATTGAGCTTCTTCAAATTTTCTTGTATTAGTAGATTTAATGAATGCCGATATGGCCCGCGAATAGTAATAATATTTCTCTGACTGCTCCTTGGTCCTGTACTGTAGCTGATCACAATAATGTTACACAAATGTCTGTCATAAGAAGAAGATGCACGGGCATCAAAATTCCAAAATAATTTCCACTTTAATTACAAATTTTTTTCCCCATACTTTCGAATTGGCTAGATCCCATCCCATTGGCTTAGTTTTGCCCTTCCTCAATGTATAAGTTTATGGCTACATAAATTGCCCGTTGATATACACTGTAATTGATCCGAAACAGAGATGACACATCTAGCACTCGCTATGTGAAACCTTCACAAACAATGGCCATTGAAGCATTAGGACAAGTCAAGACCATCAAAATGCAGAGCCGGTACCTTCGGTTCTTCCAAGCAGCAGAATATCTTTAGCTTCAAAAAAGTTACCATACAAGAATGTCGCTCTTAGAAGGTACCTAGTCCTACTTGTGACATACACTGTGTAACAATATTTTCTTCAACCAGCAGGGAAGTGCCTCAATGTCAAGTATTGCTTCCTCATCTCATTCGAAACGGATATAAAGCTCGTTTCGCCGTAATTAAGTTGATCAGAAGTCCACTCAAGACCCAGATCATCAGTGAAAACTCCTCCACCTCCACAATCCAAACTCTCAAACCTTGCTTCACATTAAACAACGTATACAAAAGTTATTCTACAAGGAATTTGGTCAAGACTGTTTCAGACTCACACCTTGATCATAATATTTCTTGGCCAAAAGTCACTTTAATATTTATTTGAGGGTTTTCATTGTTATTTATTTGTGGTTTTAAGTTTTTGACTATTATGATATCAATAAGAGCAAGTGATGCCCATATCTATAAAGAGAAGGTGAGGCCAAAGTTGGATGACATAGGTGCAGGAACATTTCCTGGAAAGAGAAAAACAACCGAAGAAAGCAAAATTAAGCGAGGGGGAAAATGCCTTTTTGTTGTTGGTGCAGGGCTGATTGACTGCTGAGAACCAGCCTAGAAAGCTTGCAGGGCTGATTTATTTTTCCCTTTTTCGAGTTTAAATCGAGTATTTTCTTATCTCTTTTGATATTACATGTTTGCAATAGTTCAGTATGCTAGGAAAGTACTAGTAAACAGAGTTTTATGGAACATATATATTGCTTATGCAAGAAATTTCGTTTTTCCTAGGTTGCATAACCTGTCGATTGTTTTTAATTAAGTGTATTACGCACATTTTGTATTGATAAGGGCCGATTTCCTAACTTTCATTGCATGATGATACTAAATATTTGTTGTCGCATTTATATTTCCTAACCTTCATCGGGTTTCCGCGTTGGCAGATCGGAAGTTTTCCCTCCCTTTTTCACCCTACATCTCTCCTTCACTTCATTCCAAATCCAAAACAAGAGTGCCTCTCCTGGTTTTCTGGCCAGGTCAAGGTGAAACCCATTGTCTCTGATTCTCTGAATGATTAGGTCATTTTCTTGAAGTTGTTTTACATAGATTATAATTTGATATCATATGTATTGTATATCTTGAACCAGTTGCCATTTGCTCTGCAGTTTCCAATTCACCGAAACCAACAGAAGTCACCACCAGAGGTTAATGATATGATAGTTGTAAGGTAAGTGATGCCTATATATAAAGAGAAGGTGAGGCCAAAGTTGGATGACATACATGTCTCAGGCCAACGTTGGATGATGGGTTTGAATAGAAAAACTCCATCATCACGCTAATACTATTACTAAGTTCGTTTAAAATGACATATTTGTCTAATCAAATTACAAACTTCCACAATTTATATTTATATTTATAGAAGAATAGAAAAATAGTTTTAATCTGTAACCAAGGCAGTGAGTATTCAATGAACAAGCACGTACATAGATATCAAGTATTACATACACACAAGTCTATATACTTTCATCTCATCTTATTTATACTTGACTGCAAAAAACCAAGTAAAAGATGTGGTTCGGATAACTCAATGCAGTTTTAACACAGCTCTTAATATCATCAAAACACACTTAAGTATGTATACACAAAGTACAAGCATCTCGTGCCCATGAAGTATGCTCTCAAGCTCCACGACCCATGGCCTGCTCCCCAGGAGGAATCATAACCAGAACTGGTTGAGCATTGAAACCAGGATGAAGCATCCTGCGACGGATCTCACGACCTTCCTGACATAGGGCGCATGCATGGCAGAAAACATGAGTCGCAAAATCACAGGCGGTCTCACACTGTTCTTGTTGTACCTCATCTTCCACAAAGCTGCCACAGCATCCACATGACCTATGAAGCGCCTCACAGCTACCCTGCTCATCATCAAAAACCGTGAAACCACACATTCAAAACCTCTCCTCAATTCTCTTGTAAGAATATATCAAACAATGCCAAGTATTCACTATGTAAGGCTAACACAACAATGCCAAACATTCACTATGTAAGGCTTTGAGACGGACAACTAAAGTAATGTGTGTGATGATTAGATTCATTGCAAAGCCATGCTAAAGAAAGGGACCATGTAAAGTGTAACTGAATCAAAATCATATGCAATGCAAAATATTACAGATATATAAACATAACCAAAATTTAATCTACAAATCAAAACAATATGAAAACAGGCTAAGTTTATCTGAATCAAAACCATAAACATTTTGGGAGGAAAAATATAACTTGCCTCTAGGTTGAACTTGCGGCGGATAGCAGTACGGCTAGGATATGAAAACCATGGTGCAAGGCAGTTCCAACCAAAAAAGGTATTACCAATCAGATATAGACCATAGTAAGACAAACAGTGATTTGCAAACGTCCCAGGAGTAGATCCAAGTCTCTCGACATTGCTTCCATACAACACACAAGGAGCCACACTTCCAAGAAGGCCTAGCAGATCACATCAACGTTAGTATGACAAATGTCGATACCATGTAGAAAAGAACACAGACAAAACATATCTATAAAGAAATATGATCTTATAATCCAGAAGACCTGATTTTCAAGTATTAACCAACAATTTATCCAACTATTTCGTGCAGGTACATAATTGTCAGATTTTCCAGTGGGAAAAAAAGTTAGAAATTCCACTAAAGCAAAAGCTGAATGAACAAACAGTCTTGTTTTTAACCACTCATGTTTTCTGAAATTTAGGGATAATATGAATTTGAGTTTTGATAAAATGCTAAGTGGCAAACCTTACATTTATAAAAGAAGGGAAAAGTACCAAAAGAAAATAAAAGACACTTCTCAAGACTATGGCTTACAGAAACTCAAAAGACAAAACAGGGACAGGCATATGATGAATGAAAAATCATCCAGAATCCTGTGTCGGGTAAATTGTTATATATTCAAAAAGCTATTGCCAATTGTGATCCAATCCAATTAAAAATGTATACCAAATTGCAGAATGGTACATATAAAAACACGTTTTGGGCATTGGGTTCACCCTACCCCTTGGGTCAGTATAGTAATCAATAAGATGCATAATTATTCCAGAAAATGTGTAATATCCCCCTTTTTTGTATTAATGATTAAAGGCACAGAGCGTAAACCGTACAAGTATTATATAATAACATAATACATCCATTCCAAACAATATAGAAATACAGAGTCAAGATTAATCGATTTTGCATCCGATAAAATTAAGAGGTATTGTTATAAATAAAAAACATGTCATAGTTCTATTCAATGCCACGATCGAGCTAATTTTACACCATTTCAAATGCCCAAAGGCAGTTAAATAATCAGTCACCTAAAACCCAATGATCAGAGCTACTGAGGGCACAATAGAACATTGACATTCAAACATCGCATGATGCCAAAATCTTAATTGAAAAATCAAAAAGAAAACTTAACCGAAAAAGAAAATCAGAAAGAAAAAACTTACAAACTTCAAGATCGCTGCTACAGAAATCATCATTACGGCCAAGACATGCAAGAAGGCCGGAGTCCCACTGGGCCCGGCCCATGGGCTCACCCATCACGCTCCCGTGCCCCAACGGCAGTCCATCGGCGGTCCACCCGCAGCCATTACCACCGCCATTCACATGGCCCATCTCTGCCTGAGATTTCTCCGGCGACTGAGTCTCCGGCGAGGCCTTGGAGGGCTTTTCAGCATCCTTCTGAGGCTCCTCGAATTGCTGGCTCAGAAGAGGGTTCGATTCCTCTTGGACGTTGCTCTCCCTGTTGTTGATCGCCATAATTGATCGCAGAGAGAAATCAGAAACCCTAAAATTTGAATCGCAGAGAGAGAGAGAGAGAGATTGAATTTTGAAACCCTAAAATTGGATCGAGAGAAATGAAAGGGGAAGAAAACGAGGTATCTTTCTGTCTCAGAGTCGTTTGTAGCTACAAGCAAACCGCGTTAACCGCATAATCCATCAATAATTTACCCTCGGCCACGTCACACCTTCAGTCATTGACGTTTGGTAGTTCTAATCTGCCGCGGCACCTACTAGAGTAAAACATCTACTGCCGCTTTAGTTTCTCACCACGTGTACCATCTCCACTTGCCTTACTTGCGTGGCAACCAGCTATTTGCGGGCGGATCTATGACAACAAATTAAAATCGTGATTTGGCATAATTTTCTCAGCGCTAGTGTTGTCTGCTTGGTTAAGTTAAAGGGTTTATTTATTTATTTAGATAATCCAAATTTTACAAACTTTCTATAAGCTCATGGTGACGTAGAATTTGACAATTTTAGCCCAATCCCACAATTTAGCATTGATATAGTTTAAGATTTGATCTTGATTCATCACCATTGATATAGTTTCCCTGTGATTCAATTAAAACAATTGATCTGATAATAGATATCAAAAGACACATATCTATGTAGATAAGTAAGAACATTTGCTATTTGACTGGTATCCCTGGCCAAAACTTACCATTTTTGGCTCTTGTTACCCCCATGAAATAAGAAGTTAAATAATTAACTGCTGGCATTTCCCTGTTAACAAATCCAACAACAGTAGAAGTCTATGGTAAAAAACAAAAAAAAACCCCAATCAAATTAATCATTTTCTGCAATAAAAAGAGAGTTTTTCTATTTAAACCTCGTACTTCTCTTTGTTCACCCCAACTTCTAATTCAAATTTTCACAATTTTTAAGAAAAATCCATTATCTTCCCAAACTGCACCTAAATACACACCCAGCAAAAGAAAAAATATATATTTTAAAAACGGATTAACTTGATACCTCACACCCTGTTATCTTGCCCCTCACTACTCTAAGTTCACATCAACCTCACATTATCTAAGACCCTATTTGGTGGGTTGGACTGGACCAGACTTTTTCAATTAAAATGGACTATAATCCTAGCTGTTGTTTGATGGGCCTAAATACATTGTAGGACTGGTTAGGTCTCATATTTTGATAGGATACCAATCCAGCAAATGAGGGGTTTTGTAAACCCAAGTGGAACCATGGTTTCGAAACCTCCTCTTCTTTTCATCGTCTTTCTTTTCTTCTTCTATTCATCTTTGTATCTCCCACAAATTTCAAGCAATCTGACACTTCAATCTCTCTCGCTCTCTCTCATGGAAATAGGAACAATAAAAAAAAAGAAAAAAAAAGGAAGGAAAGGGTGGGTCTGAAGAGAAGGGAAAATAGATCTTGACCATAATTTTCTTTTCTTCTCATTTTCTGGGCTCTGCCTAAACTCTGAATTGGGGCCCTTGATAAGGGTTGTCTATCTCTCTTTTTTTTTTTTTTTTTCTTGTTTGTTTTTGGTCCTGATAAGAATCCCAGATTTTCTCCACCTCTCTATCTCCTTTTGGCTTCAATTTTATTTATTTATTTTATGTTGTTAATTTTGGTTAATGGGTTGATTGACGCCTTCGCCTGAGACTCCAGCAACACCGATGAATGACGTAGTCGCCTCCGACTCCATCAACACTGATGAACGACAAGGTAAAGAGAAACAAACCCATCTCAATTTGGCGAATTTGGCATAAGATAGACCCCTTTTATGATTTGTACCAAACATCTTATTAAAGTCCATTCCAATCCAAGCTAAACCAATCCAACACTCCAAGCCCTAAAGAGATAAAAACTTTGTTGTCACATGTGTGAAATAAAAGAGCTTTGGAGAAGAAATCATGGGAAATGAAGTTTGAGGAGAAGAAATCATGGGAAATGAAGTATGAGAAGAAGAAGAAAAGAGCTTTGGAGAAGAAAGAAGCCCCTTTGAAATGGGAGCATAAACTAGAATATGCTACCAAGGCAAAAGCTGATGTTGATGCTGATACTGATGGTGACACTGACAGCAATGATGGGAGAAGAGAGTTGAATAAAAGATGGGAGAATAAATTTAATATGAAGAGTGATTGAATGTGTGTATTAGGGTTAAGTATTAAGTTGAATGACTTTTTATTTTTATTTTTTTACACAATAATAAAACTTAAGAGTTTAATAATTTAAGTATTAGGGTGAATAAAGAAAAACGTGAAGTTTAAATAAAAAAAAACTAAAAAGAAAATGTGGCCCAATTTTATAAGTAGGTTGAGCAAATTAATAAGGCATTAAATTTGGTTTCCCCAATAGCATCCAAGTGTATAATCATAGTAATTATGCGTTACTATCATGCAGAAACATTGCTAAGCCACACTGCCACATTACATGTGTCTCTCACATGCATGTTTATGCAAATAAGAAAATAGGCTCGAAATTGATGGGTTGGTCAGAACAATTTTTTTCGCAAGTGGGTAAAGAAATCCTTATTAAGGCAGTGGCAATGGCAATGCCCAATTACGCCATGTCATGCTTCAAACTGCCTGTTAGCTTATGCAAGAGGATTGAGAAGGATATTGCAAGATATTGGTGGCACAGTAATAAGGAACAAAAGGGTATTCACTGGGTTAGTTGGCAACGGCTGAGCTCGCTGAAATATGTTGGTGGCCTGGGATTCCATGACTTGATTTGTTTTAATTTAGCTATGTTAGCTAAAATTGGATGGTGAATTGTGCAGCATCCTGAGTCACTACTTGCGCATGTTTTACATGATAAGTATCATTATGGCTTTAATTTTTTGGGGGGCTAGTTGTGGCAGAGGTTCTTCTTGGGGCTGGAAAGGAATTATCCAAGGGCGTAAGGTGCTTGAAGCCGGTTTGAGATGGAGAATTGGAAATGGGAAGATTGTGCGTATTAGTGAAGATGGATGGTTGCCCAAGCCGTACGCTTTTAAGGTTCTCTCTCGACACCCGGATATGCCTCATCGAGTGATGGACCTTATTGATCCTGAGGTTAGAATATGGCAACGTGATCTAATCCAAAGATACTTTACTCTTGAGGAGGCCCAACTTATCCTACCCATGGTCATTAGCTGGTGGGGTTGTCCAGACAGACAAATATGGCACTTTATAAAACATGGCAGGTATACCGTTAAGTCTGGTTACGACTTGGCAATCAAATTGAGAAGAAATGGAGTGATTAGCCGAAAAGGAGAGGGTGAATGCAGCAACCAAAGTGGACAAAGATGTCCCTGGAAACGTATTTGGGCTTTGCAAATGCCTTCTAAAACCTGGATGTTCATCTGGCGGTGCTGCCGAAATGTTTTAGTTGTCCACGAGAACTTCAGACGACGACATGTCTATGTGGAGGTTGACTGTCGACTATGCGGTAACAATAGAGAAACAAAGGTCCATTTATTTTTTCGATGTGAAATAGCCATGTTATTTTGGTTTGCAAGTCCTTTACAATTAGATGTGCATGGGGTAGAAGTAGAAGATTTCCTTAGTTGTTGGGAATGTTTGCTTCAGAAGTTTGCACATGATGAAAAGATGGATGAGATTCTTCAAATTATGGCATTTGGATTGTGGAGAATTTGGAAAGGGAGAAATTGGTAGTTTTTGAAAGACAGTCTTTGGACGCCCCATGGATTTGGTAAGGTGCTTGCTCATGCAGACTAATGAATATAGGGAGGTTCATTCGACAACCAAGGTGCTCATACGTGAACTGCTAAGACCACCAGACAAAACAGGGCCCCACAGGAGAACTTGGCAAAAACCCCCCTCCGTAACTTTTAAAGCCAATTGTGATGGGGTTTGGGTGGCACAAACGAAAAGGGGAGGGGTTGGCTGTTATCCGGATTGAATGGGGTGAGCTCTTGCGAGCATGTGGTCGAGGGATTGGATGTTGTGGCACAGCACTTGCTGTTGAAGCAGAGGCTATACGTGATATATTGGGTATTTGTCTGCATAATGGGTTCATATGCTTAGAAGTAGAGTCTGATTCAGAAGAGATTATTCAGATGATAAGAGGTGACTGTATGAGTGTGGCAGAAATAGAAGGTATTCTTTTTGGCATCCAAGTTTTAGCTCGACGATTTCAGCGGGTGGTGTTTCGACATATACCATACTTGTGTAATAAAGCAGCACATAAGGTGGCTGCTTATTTCTCTAGAGTTGAGGGCTCTCTTGTCTGGGACCAATCTGACCCAGCGTGGCTCCGTAGTGCTTTAGCTCTTGATGTTACCGATGACTTGAATTAATAAAACTTCCAAAACTTTCAACCCGAATGCCCTTGGCATTTAGGGTTAAATAAAGAATTTCTGTTTAAAAAACAAATTATAAAGATGGCTCGAGTTAGTGGAGAAGTTTTACTCATGTTCGTTGTATTGCTACTTGGATGGTTCTCTTTGTACTTTTTTTTTTTTATCAAATAGAAACTTCATTAGATAAACTTCAATGATACAATCAAAGACATCAACAAGACATCTAAAATATCAATCCCAAGAGGGCAACAAACTAACTTGCTAAAAGCAAAACTACCGCGAACAAAAGCCGCACTAAAACTATTAGCTCACATTACCACAATTAGCCATAAGCCCAAACAAAGCCCACAAACCCAACATAACCAAAACCCTAAATCAATCCATGAGCCTAAACAAACCTTACCACCACCACCTGAAGAAGTGCCGTCGTAGCCACATCCACTATCGCATCCCTAACAGATTTGGGGAAAATATGATTTTCAACGATCTACCTACGCAGAAGAGCGAACAAATAAACGAAAACAATAACTTTGCCAAAGAACAATTGGGTGATTGCAGCAACCTCCGTGAAAGATGATGTAAAATCAAATTTAAAGAACATGAGCGGTGTCAGGGAGAAGGTTTTGGGAGTAGGATTTGATTGAGAACATAAACGAAAAGGAATTATGGGGAACTTCAATCTAGCCATGGCTTAGAAGAAACCACCACAAGAGGCTTTTTATTCAAATTGCCCCAATGGACTTATTCACTAACCTAAAAGGAAAAGACGAGAAGAGAAGAGGAGGAGGAGGGGCAGTGACACTTCTTCCTCCTCCCCCCTCTATGGAATTTTCCTTCAGGACTCACAGAGGGAGAGAGCGGCTAGGGTTTTCATTTTTCTTACATCTTACTAAAAGTGTTTTTCTCTTTGTACTTTTTCAATTGATCTAATAAACTATTATCACTTTTTCTTGAAACAAAAAAAAATTATAGAGGAAAAGAAGAAAGGTTTAAGATCATTATAGCAGCTGCTAAACTTTATTCTTATAACATAAAATTTTGAAGAAATTACACTCTTCCTATTGCAATTTGCATTCTTTAATTCTTAAACCTGATTAAAGTAGCACTAATGGTAATTACAATAGATTTTGATCCAAACATAAAAGATCTCACAGCCCTCATTTACACAAGGCAATTAAAACATACAATGAATTAAAGATTGCTAATCAATCATTTATATATTAATTGATCAATCTCAACATGTTCTTAATTGATATATCTGTACTAAAAACTTTGACCAAAATTATCACCCTCACTGCCAGAGATCTTCATCCATGCATTTGCTTGGCCTGCAAAAGAAAATTACAAGCATAAACATCAATGCAAAAGTAATTAAACGCCTAATTAATCATACAAGTTAAAATTAGCAAGAACTTTTGAATGGAATTTTCCACTAGAACAGCTGAACCACAGTATTTTTTTTTTTTTTTTTTTTTTTTTTTTTTTTTTTAAATTTTAAAAAATCAAATCCATGTAATTTTCGTACCTTTCTTCCCATGCTAGAAGCCCTAGAGCTCTTAGGTTTAGGACTTGCCATGGCACTTTCTTTGTGGATCAATGGCTTCCCATGAGAGTGATCAGGTGGTGGGATTGATGAGTGGGTCTCTGGACCTCTATAATCAATCTCATAAACCTCAGTACCCACTACATCTGATCCACCTACTAAAACCCAACAAAACAAAATTAACAAAAAAAATTAATCAACTTAATTAAATATGGCCATATTAATCAACTTTGAATATAAATCATGAAGGCAGAACTTCAAACCTCTAGAAAAACAAGGTGTGGCAAGCAAGAAGAGAAGAAGGAAAGTGAGGATTGTAGAGTTCTTGAGCTCCATTTTCATGGCAACGAGGCTCAAAGCAGACTCTGCCATAAGCCAAATGATCATTTCACATTTATATATAAAGAAGCAAGGCATGAGTATTTTATTTTATTTATAAATTAATTTATATTTAATTATCAGCTTTTCACAATTGAAACCATCACCACCCAACACAGCAATAAGTTGTGAGGTGCCGATATGGATGTGTAGGGTTGGAAACATTAATAGCATACCACATATGCATAGAATTTAATTTCTTTTTTCAGTTTATTTTATATTAATTTGGTGTTTTTTTGTTTTTTGTTTTTAATTTGTTTTTTTTCTTGGGGACAAGTCCATGTGTGTATAATTGAAATGTCCTTATAGGGGACATCCCCTTGAGCCCCCCCATTGGCTGGACTTCATGTTTCTCTTAATTATTACATTAAAAATTCATTTGGGAAATGGGAAGTAAATTTAAAAAAAAAAAACCTTTTGCACATAATTTCTCAAATAATTTGTGTTTCTTTTTCATGGCAAGAAGCTTAGAGAAATGGTTTGGGTGCAGCATTTGTCGATCAAACGAATCAACCTCATCACAGCTAGCAGACAATATTTTGGCTTTTCATATTGACACAATGAATAAGAAAAGAAAAATAATTTGGTCAAAGGAAGCTCAAGTCATTTTCATGATCAATAATTAGTTGCCCAATTAGGTTCAAAAAAATATGTAAATGAATGGATAATTTCTAAAGTTTATAGCAAAAAAGGAAAATTATATTGACAACCCTTAACTTGTACCAACTCTTTTTGCCCTCTTGTTACGTAACATTGTACTGGTTGTTTATGCCTTCATTTTAAAGAATAATGAAATTTTCTTTTGATTCAAAAATAATAATAATAAATAAATAATAAAAAACTACCCTTAACTTGCATTCGAGAGAATAATATATTGGATACTTGTGGTATACATAAATAGAATATTAGTGTTTAATTTATGAAGAGCACATGCTCATAAATAAAGTTAGGTTTTGTATATCTTGGCGTTTTGTTGGGTCCAATGTCAACAGCCATATCATGGCTGGAGGGGGATGGGTCTTCTTCAATCTTCAAATCGTATGATACAGATCACAACTTCAAATGCTTGGCTATCAAACGCAACTATTTTATTTTCTTAACTTTAATCAAATTTACGGCATATATATACATGAACTTTTGTGCAACTAGTTTTTTAAAAAAGAAAAAGAAAAAAAAGAATAGGCAAATGAAGTTACGTAAGTAGAAATCGAAACATTCTTAACCTATAATATAATTTTATATAACCAATTCTTCGTATTGCCAAGGTTTCTCAAAAATAAAGATATCAAATGTATATTTCATATTTCTTGTATTTCTTCTCTCTCAGATCATAGTGCGTGTCCCTTTTTTTGGTCATGAGATTTGCACTTTAATTTGTGGCGTCCATCTTACTTTGCATAATTGGGTCCAAGTCTATGACCTAACTACACCAAATCAATTGATTGTTATTCGGATTTGATGAGAGTTAATGGAGGTTGGAAGAACATAGTAGAGTTAATGGAGATAATGTAACCATAAGATATACGCGTATATGGCTATGCTACGTCTTAATTGAGACCTTTCCAAATTTACGATTATATTGAATTTGATTTGTCACATCTTAACCTACCCCTTTTTGTAAACTATGGATTAAGGAGTAGAAATGACCCGTTTGATGTTGGGTTCACCAAAGTGGCAAGCCTTTGTACTCTAGGATGCTTCTTGGGCACCCATGAACTAGTTGAGTTACATGTGAGACCGTAGGATGCTTCTAGAAGTTTGCTTTGTGCATTTTAAGTGCTATTGCAAGAGAGTGTTTCTCCTATTTGAGGGGGTTTCTAAATGCACCTCAAGTTTGCTTTGTGTTTTTTAAGTGTATTTGAGGGGGGGTTTCAAATTTTGCACCAGCCATGGGCCAGAAAAATTGAAAATTGGATTTTGTTTTGTTAGAGTTGGGAGAAGACGTTACTTGAAACACCAAACCTCCATCTACAAGATGAAAGAAACGAACATATAGATAGGTTCTCCCTCAAGTCAACTACACTATATGATCTGAAAATACATTACATTTGGAAGTTGCAGACTGCACATATAAATTATATAATGATACTGTAGATTTCTCTGTGGAGGCTTGCTTATATCTGGCGGTCTTGGTGAATAAGGCCAATAAATACTGGTATCCTATGATCTCCCATGCCCAAACATGAAACTGACTTCCTCTTCGTTTTTATGGTACAAAGGGGCAGAACCAATTCTTTTCAGTACCAAAAAAGCTTTTGTAATGCCACAATCTCATGATTGGATTTATTAATGTGGTAGTACTGCATATAATATGTCAAGACGTTACATTTAGGACGGCTTGGTGGGCATGATTAAGTTGTTGGATTGAATTCATAACCCTAGTCAAATGTCGGCCACTGCTTCAACTGAACTTGATCTTACACTCACACTTTGCTTCCAAGACCTAATGCTCTTATCTTTGCTTGCTTCATGTGACATCTTATCATGCTCTTTATTAATCTACTTACTAGAGGGCTCGATTTGTGAAATTTTGATTAATCATACATTGTTTTGATGAACTTTGATCAGGTGCATATTATTGATCCAAGCATTTTACGAGAAATACGAATATGATTGATACTTTAACCGAATTGAGAGTGTCACACATAAATTGTGAAGTTCACTATAAATAATGTGTTTCACACATGTTCTTTTTATTAGAGTCCAACGTAGTGCGTCAATAATATTGAGTTATTAGAATCTTATCCGATAATAAGCGATTGATTTTCTTCCTTACCCGGTTGGAAATAATAAATGAAGAGGACCCTCACAGCCTACAACTGGAACTTGTCACGTATCTTTCACAAAATAATTAAACATGTATCATAAACTTGACAAGTCTTAAAGAGCCTTTCACCCACATGCCTGCAAAATAAGGACCACCACCAGATATCTCAACTACATTCCAAGAATCCGAGACAATCTTCACAATTAACCAATTTACAATGCTCTTCAACTGTGAAGTTCAATTTTATACTAATCTTATTATAAAACTCAACAAATTAATCTCAAAAGCCACAACAAACAAACCCAGATCCATTACCACAACAACATCAAGCAGCATGTATTAAATGAACAACTAGGTCACCTTCTGGTTATGTTAATTACTATTTTAGTCAATAGCTTCTGCTAATCAAATAGAAAAAAGTAGGTCAGGAGTATCCAAAGGTAATCAAAGGCCGAAATGAAAAGCGTTTTTGAGAAATCCGAGACCCAAGCTGCGTTCAATATTCAATGGCATCAAAGACGGCAATAAATAAAGCTGCCCATGACCATGAGCTGTTGCTCTTGTTGTTGATTATGAGTCTCAGTGGATGAACAAAAATAAACACACAGCAAAAGCAGATTTTCACTGTTTCAGCTTCAACTGTACGACCAGATTAACCTTTTTATATTACCAAAGGAAGACTGAGTAAAAAGCCATGGAGATTCCCTCGTATAGCCACAGATGAGAAAATACAAGCTTTTCAAGTTTTAATCACTAAAAAAATTTGTGTTCAGAAACTATGTGCAGTATTTAAAAAAGAATTAGAGAACAGAGGAAAAAACTAATGAGACTAGTTGACAATTGAATTAATTAATCACAAAACACTTGGTGAGCACGAATCAACAATACCCAACCTTCTTTTTCTCCAGAAGCTCAGCTCCGGGTCGAGCTTCTCTGCTGTTCTTGCTGGTTCTGATTTACACCTTGTGAGTATTAGAGGTCGAGCAGAGCCTCCAAAGTCCTCGTCTTTATCTTCGATACTTGCAGATTTGGCCATTCGTTCTCTGATTGAACTCTCTAATTCCATGAAAAATTTCAATTTTTCTTCACTTTCTGAGTCTAATTTCGCTTCTTGATCCGAAATGGACTCTCTTTCTGATATGGGTCTCTCGTTCTCGGTGCAATTTCCTCCGTTTTGGGTCTCTGTGCTCTGTTCTTCCTCTGTTTCTTCAGCTCTTATAGGTGAGCCCCAAAATCTACTGGCCAAAGATGAAGACCTGTACGGCGCAGATCTGCATCGAGTTAATAGCAAAGCGTTCTTTGGTGGTGAAGAAGAAGAAGAAGAAACAAAAGCTTTGGCCTTTCTTTCATATTCTTGGTCATCTTCTTCTTCCCCATCTGAAACTTCAATTCCATCTCCAAATTTCGACTCAATCTTTGGCGCGTCCTCTTTAATTTCGCCTTTCCTGCAAAAAACCACTTGAAAAAACGGTACCCACTTACGCCAAACGGGTCCAAAAGACTTGGGCTTGATTTTCCCTGGAAAATGGCGGCAAAGCAGGGCGTTTTGGATCCATTTACACCGTCGTAGGGTCGGAACTCCGGTCCGCCGGGCTCTTAGAGGTTTCGACGCGCCTTGATTGGAGGATCGTCGGACTCGGACCTGCCCCATGCACGTGACTTTAGGAGAAGAGGGCTCTTGGGTTTCAATGGGGGTGTTTTTTTTCCTCACAAACATTGGGCTCGAACGTAAGCGCCCTCTGCTTCTGCTCCCAACATTGGTCCTCAGAAACCTCATTAATGGCGGCGGGAACTTATCGGTTCGACCCGGACTTGATATGGGTTTTGCAGATAGCTTCATTTTTTTGACCCAACCGAATAATCTGAATGATGGGTTGGGGTTTGCTCAGCTTTTGAGATTGAGGAAGAAGGCTCTGTAAATGGATGACTCTGGAGCTCTGTTTTAGCTTCAATTTTGTTTCTTCCTTTTTTTTCTTTTTTCTTTTTTTTTGGGCTGGGTTTTTTCTGTGTGAATTTTGTATTTTTATCCTTGCACGGATGGATGAATCGACTGTAAAGAGTTTTCAATCTTTCAAGGCTGTAGGCTTCGTAGGGTTGTGTTTGGCTCTCGAGGTCAGTATTTCCAATATTTAACTGTTGTTTTTGGGACTTTGTTGCAGCGTAGGTGATACAATGCCCATGTGGATGATATGTGTGCTGTATATCTTCATGCAATCTGAGCCGTTGGATCTTCATGAAAGTTGGGTTTTTCTTTCTTGATCTTAAATATATGGAATTATATTTTCAGAGGTTGTCCACTCGAAGTCTCTCACTCAACAAAGCTATGATTGAATGGTGATGGAATCCCGCTGTTTTTAAAGGAAAAAAATCATAACCTACCAAAAAAGTCTCTTGCTTAATCAGCTACCAATAAAAGGCCTAACCCAATGTTTTCTTACCATTCAGATCCGATTGGATTCAGGTATGAACATGGGGTTTGATTGTGGTGGTCAGAAAACATATCCATCTAAGAAGACTTTTCCAATTAACAAACAAAAACAAACACATACATCATCAGCTCCACCTTATGAAAATATGCAAATGGTCAATTCACAAACAACTGGCTTCTACTTTGGACAAATTTAAGTGTTTACCCAACGTATTTTTAACCTAATCTACATAAAGGGAGAGAAATCGAACTTACGTGAAGTAAGACAGACTAACTGCCCTAATCAACTGGTCAAACCTCGTAATAATTATTTTAAATTAAAACAACAGAAAGAGATGTCATTAAGTCAAAATTATACCTACATGCATCCTGACGACAATCATAGGGGCTTAATTATTGTGAGGTAAGGCGTCACCCAACTATACTTTTTTTTGTGAGAGACTCGAAACGTGCACAAAAATTCATCGTTCATAGGACAGGGAAAGCCAATTCTCCAACACGCCACTTTAGTGGCTCCACTTTGCTATCAATTCAATTGTCTCTCCGCACAGCCAGACCGCCCAACCACCATCGCACTAGAGAGTCTCACACTTCTTTCCCATATTTGCCCTTACACATTTCACACCAACCTACAGTGTGCTCAGTGCAATATGGTAATTTGAAATGCTGCTGGGGGCTACTGAATTTGAATGATATCCTTTCCCCAACAAGAAAATAAAAAGTCAACTTGGGTTTCAGAACTCCTTTTTCTGGCACTCAAAAAAGGAAGCAGGCAGGGAAAGCAAGTCAGATGGGATTTTAAGGATCACTTGGTAAAGACTGAAAAAAGAGTGTTGAGCTCTAGACAATTAGGCTTTTTTAAATAAACCATATCAGAATTTAACATTACATGTGGCTGCACTGCATAATGCAAGAAAAACAGCTGCAAATTTTGACACTGCAGACATAGGAAATGTAGGGTGCCCACAAGATGTAATAACTTGCATGTCTGTACACAGGAAATGTAGGGTTGCTGTGATCTGAATCGGTGGGGCCCACCCATGACATTTTTGTTTGCTGCCTGCCTGCATCCCCCATCCCACAATGGTCTACCAGTAAATTACTAAGTTACCTTCTTACTTGTATATGAAGCAGTTTCATCATGCATTGGATTCAGACTCAATAGGGTCTCTTCATCCCAACCGTTGGTTTTGTTGACTCAGATCTCTGCATGTTGTAATTCCAATCAGTGGCTTGCTCTTGTCCATTGCGTGCCTCGGTTTCATCATCTGGGAAACAATGCTTCTGTTAGAGTCTTGGAGAAAATTTTCATTGCCAAAGAACCAAATAGAGTAAAAAAAAATTGTTTAAAGAAAAAGGGTCTTAAAAGGAAATAATGAAGCCTTGCCTGAGACATTTGAAAGAGATAACTCGGTCAGGCGTCTAACGCAGTCCTTCAATGATTGAAGTTCAGTTTCTTTCTCTTGGAGTTTTGATTGAGCTGAGTGAAGTTCAGATTCCAGCTCCACAATTTGGCTTTCCTGCTGTTCGATGAGCACATGGCATAGTTTCTGATCTAGTTGAGCTGGCAATACTCCATGGAACTGCTGAGTATCAACACCCTGTCCCTCTAGCTCAGGGACAATATCCTAAAATGGAAATGCATTTTATTAGAAGGGAAAAGTCAGTGAGGCAGGCATAACATGAATTTCATCATTTAGGCATTTACAGTAGCATTTGCCATTTCATTTTGCGCCAAAGAAACAAACAAAATCACAATCCATACATCTCATAGTGATCAGGTTACGATAAAGAGAGTAAGGTATATAACACAGTTTTGGTACATCAAGGGTGGTACTTAAAATCTTAGTGGAAATTGTACATTTGAAGATTTTGCAATCCAACTAGGATAAAGTTGTTTCTACTTGGTAAATAACTAGGATAAAGTTGTTGGTTCAGCATCCTTTATTAAGTAAGGGCATTTTAAAAACACTACTAAATAGCATGCGACATATGATCGGTAAGTGTTAGCTGTAGATTATAGCAACAGCATAATGGCACACCTCTTCAAGGTAAATCAACCTATTCAAGGAGAGTATAATGATGTTAAAAGACTGACCTCACCCAGATTACTCAATCCCTCTTGGCAAGGAGCTTCCGTGATGCACCATGGAAGTTTTTGAAGTTCAGACTCAAGTTCTGCTTCCAATTGATCCATGTCCATAACTTCTGGCTCTGGCTCCTGCTCCTCCGTAAGAACACTACTTGCACATTCGCCATCAGATACAGGAAAACTGGAAATTCTCATATCATTGGGGCCTCTCGTTTCTGAACTTGACTTGTTTAGTCCTGGATGAGTAAGCTTGTAGCTAGTTGTCTGATCGTTCATACTGTCTTCACTAGCAGAATCTGAAGCTTGCAGCTTTTGTGGTGATTTTCTTTTATGAAGCTCTGATTTTAATTCATGTACAATTCTTGCAGTCTCATCCATGGCTGTGTTCAGCTTATTGATCTCAGCTTTTCCAGCAGACATCATGTACATGATCCCAACATTAAGTCCCCAATTAAATAAGGAGGTATCTGAAGAGTATATACAAGATTAAATTGAAATGTTAAATTCCTAGCATCAGAAATAGTATGTTTGTGAATTATGACACTATAATTAAAACAAGCAAACAAAATCCACACAGGTTCGAGCCCATGGAAAATCTTCTAGAAGACTACTACAAAAATGCTGACGGGTTAAAGTTGCAGTAACTAAGATCAAATGCACGTTTAGATTTCTGTTAGAATTTCAAGATCAACTTTAAAGATCTCTTGAAAATTACGCTAAGCACTTAATCAATTGAATTTGGAATTCACTTCTTCTTAAAGAATCATCTGTTAATACAACATTCTTCTTTATCCTTTCGGAACCACTTAGCACCATCAGTACCAATTCATACAAGACTGCCTGCCTGCAGAACTCAACCTACTGGAACTTGTGCAATATGCTTTTCTGAACATAACAAACGGTATTGCACATAACATACAACCAGCATCACCGTCTTTTTGTAGGAAAGACTAACATGTTACAAAATATAACCTGCAAGACCATAGCCCTATACTTAACTAGAATATCACCACAAGAGAGAATTGGATATGTTTAATTAAATAGGGTCTGTGCCAAAGCGAAAAACCTATCAGGGTCCACCAAATCCTTTTCAAAAGCAATAAGATGTCAAATGAAAGATTCAAGGCTTAGCAAAGATATTCTATACTTGCAAGAGTTTATATACTCGTCCAGAATATTCTACTTTTTCAAATGCTGGGTCATGGCTCATGATATGTGTTGTAAAGTAAAGCTTTTCAATATTTAAAAAATTGAACTTAAAAACACCAAAACCTCGGCCCTACATCGTGGTGGGCAATGATGTTGAAATGTTAAATTTAATTGGGAATATAATGCGACCAATAATTTGGCTCTTGAAGACCTAATTAGATATGAGTTTCGGACAGTTGACACCAAATTTACATGATTCAGCAATCAGGATCATAAAGATTGATCATTTTTATGTTCAACAGTAAAATCCTTTTTCCCTTTCCCTCATACGATTTTCTCAGCAGCCAAACAGAAACGAAACGAGAGAGGGACAATTGAAAAACTAACCTGCGGAAGAAGACGATCTACATTTGGCAGCAGCTACACTCTTACCAGTCTTCCTCTTCTTCAAGCAAACACCAACTTTCCTAGCAGTCCTCCTCTGTTCCGCACCATTAGATCTCTCAGCCTCAACACCAACCCCTTTCTTCTTCTTCGACCGGGTCCCCTTCCTCAAGCGAAACCGGGTCCCACTCTCGCCCCGACCCTTGCTCGAAAACCTAAAGATCGTCCCTTCTGGTTGCTCCTCGCAGTCGCTGATCTCCCAGGGAGGCAGCTCAGACTGAAATGCGGAAGCGATGGAGAGGTTAGTGTTAGTGTTTGGGTGGGGCTCCGCATTGTGATCGGCGGTGGGATCGGAAGAATCGGTGGCGGGTTTGAAGTTGAAGATGTGATTTTTGGCAAGCAGCCCGGTGGAAGCTGCTACTGCTGCCGCAAAAACCGCTTGCCACATTGAAGAAGAAGAAGAAGAAGAAGGCAAAGCAAAAACAAACTATAAACTTTTTGAAAGAGGAGGCTCTTCGCTCTTCAGTGTGTTGCTCACTGGAACTGAAGAAGTGAAGCTCTCTCTTTCTCTACAAGTCCAAGAGTTATTTACCAATTTACCAGTCGCACACTGGTCACCTACCACCACGTGGAGACGCGGCGGGGGTAGTTTTGGCACTCCACGTGCTTCCCGGTTTCACGTTCTGTTCGATTGGGAATATTTAATTGGATCCCTGTTTTTGGAAAAAAAATTTTGAATATTTTTCCGGTCTATTCAAATTTCAATATAGTCCTCAGTAGTGCCGTACGGTGAAATTTTGGTCTTAATTTAGTAAATTTATTTTGACGGTATATATTTTTTCTTTCTATTTTTAATATTTGACAAGTTTTCTCTGTGAAATTTAGACTATTAGCTAAATTACACAATTGTGTCACATATAAGAGAGAACAAGTTCCCTCTCCAAGAGTTGGGACTAATATACAAATCTTAATTTGGAATTTCTTCGACATTATGTTTCGGCTATACAAATCTAATTATTGAATGAGATTCTCAACTCTCTATTAGTCTTGTTAATAAAGGAATTTCTACTCCGCAACTAATTTTGTCAATTTTGCAGGACATTAGTTATCTTGACGGAAAGTTCATGTTCGAAATTTCCACCATATTTATCGAGAGACTAATTTTACAGCAGATTTGGGTCATTCTCAACCTCAACCAACCATTTGGACTTCACATTTTTCCTTATTTTGTAATTTGTAAAGTTTTATATGATACTCAAAATCTAAAAGTCCGTCACAAACTCTCGTTGTAATTTACTTTTGTACTAAAAAAAAAAAGGAAGCCCAAGAATACCAGTAAAAGCACCAAACGATCAAATGATTCTTTTGACATGATGGCCTCCTTATCCCTTAGTGAGCCACTTTTGGTTTATGTAAAAATTTCGTACAATGTATCACATGCACCCTAGTTCAAAGAGCATTTCCGTCAATGTCTCTCATAGGAAAAACTTTTACACGTGAAAAACAAAATAAAAATCCTGAATCAATGGATGCTAAAATTGTAGCTGCATTGGAGTCGAGCACAAGAGAACTGTAAAGCAACTAGATTCTGAGGCTTAGAGAACGATAATGCATTCACAAATTCATGAACCATGCAATTGGAAAAACAATTTATGCAACTTCTATTTCATGTGTGTGATGAACAAACATGTTAAAAATTGTCCACTAACAGTAACTAAAGTTTCTCAATCTATAACAGTCTGTTGCAACACGGTAGAACTTCAGATATCACAACATGCTCTTTTTTTTCTAATACTGGAGCAATCTGAACTCCAAGCGATCCATCCAACTGACTTCTAGTACAATTATTTTCTGAATCAAGTGATGCAAACTGAATGATAAATATTTAATCATCTCGTTAATACACGCAGTAGCCAAACACTTGGACGGAGATCTTGAGCAACTTACCTGGAGAGAAAAGGAAAAGAAAACGTTTAATGTTATACCAAAAGATTTAACCAAACATAGACACACCTACATAGAGCAAACAACATATGTAATGTTCTCAACATGAATAACATTGTCAAAGGATCTCAAGGAGATATAAATAATTGCTTAGTCATCCATGACACAAGCAAGTTTAAACTTTCAAATCAACTGGATAGGAGACCCAATAATCATGTCATATATGTAATTATTTAAGATATGCCATTATATATTTCTTAGAACTCAACTCATAATATAGTAGATGAACAAATAGCCTCAGTGTCTTCAACTCATAGGCCATTATCATTATCTAAAAAGCCTACAGTATATTCAACTTGGATTTCTGTTCCCACGGTTTCACCCCATAGTAGATGAACAAAGCAAATTACTAAAATTCCTCAATTAGGTCCTTGATACTACACTAACTTGTCACAAAATCATCCGTTTCTAATACTAATCTTTCTTGACTTGCCGCATTCAGCTCAGCAGACTTATTAAACACCTAAATCATAATATGAACAAATGGGCACACTACCACATTTCACCATTTCAAACAAAATGCAATTACTTAATGGATTATGGAACATAACTTTCAGCACTCTTATCCTAAACCCTAATAAAAAATTCTTTATCTATTCTGAAAAATTGTTGGGAACCAATCTTTAAACACTTACACTTTCAACACTTCAACTAAAGAATCACCATTATATTTGAGAAGAGAGCATGAGAACGGGTGAAGACCAATTTCAGCATACAAACTATATTGAACATCCTTCTTGAATCACAATTATCACTATGATCACGAGTCATGATCAAGTGAACCATATTCCACAAAAACAAAGAAAAAACCCCAAAATACAGAGGACAACAAGAAAGAAAATAATAAAACTAATGCCATGAAAATAATGCATACTAAATTATAAATCAACTACTGGTAACAATTTCAATCTCTAAATAAGCCTGCAAAAAAGGTCATAGATGGGAATATAAAAAGGCTTTGCATGCTGAGAAAAGCCTAGCAGCATTGTACAGGAGGTGTAGGTCCATCTTGCCTTCACCTGATATCTTAGTCCCCAACTAATTCTACAATCTTTCAAAAAAAAAAAAAAAAAAAAAAAAAAAAAAAAAAAAAAACTAATTCCCCTAATGTTTAGTGACCCCCTTACTGTAAAGTCATTTCAGTTATGGTACTTCTCAATATAGAAGATACAATAAGTTGGATCATTTGAAGAAGTTTTCTGTTTTTATTGTAGGTATTTCCTTAGTGATTATCTTAGATTAATTTACAAATGTTTATCCAAATTGCAGTGGCCTCTATAGCTAGGTTATTCTATTTCAGGTTATGCAAACTTGTTAATGAATTAAATTTACATTTTTCTTGGAGAAAATTAAAAATTTTACTTTCATTTCTCCTTAATTCATCTTTTTCAGTTCCTCTACCTTTTCTTTCAAACCTCTTGTTCTCTTTGATTCTTGTCCTGTTAACTGTCTAGTTGGTGCTACATCATTTACCCTCAACAATCAAAAAGCATACGAAATGCTCTATCACTTACCAATATTGTCATAAATCAGTGTGGTATATATATATATATACACTACAGGTCATCTTTGCTGCTAGACCCCCTCTGAAGCTAAAGGGTTATGAATCACAAAAAAAATATACAATGCAATGCAGTAAGATAAATCTAATATCGAAAGAGGTCTTCTGTGAAGCTTATCTTTATAACCATTGAGGTTCTGCATGCACTAGGATTGCTATAACAATTTCTATAAAAAGATATTACATCTTGAATTGAAGTTAAACCCAAGGTCGAACCAATAACACAATTTGTTTGTTGGTGAAAATCACAACACAATTTCAGTTGCACAATTCAGGAATTTAAAACGCAAAGACATGTTCATATTCCACATACCTAGATGAGTTTTCATCAATCAGTTACTCTTGGCAGCCAGTTTGTTCCTAGCATCCCTGGCATTGTCATACTCGAACTTCAACACATTGGGTATATGAGAAGTGTCCTTGATGTAAAACGCTCTCCCAAACCAGCTCTCTTCGATAGCCGGAAAGTAAGAGTAAAGCACAGAATTCACAACCCAAAACCACAGAGCCCCAAGAAAAACTCCCAAAGCAGAACCAGCAAGCACCTGAGCCACAGTGTGGTAACCCAAATACACCCGCGAATACATAGTGAGCAAAGCCAAAGCCCAAGGCAAAAAAATAACAGCAAACTTATTCTTCGTATGCCAGAGCCCAATCCCTTTATACGTCATGAGGGTGAAGTAGACAGCAAAGAAGAACATGTACTGAGAGTGGCTCGAAGGCCATCCATGCGAATCACACATCTCAAGCAGAGCGCAGGTCTCGGGCCGAGCTTGCTGGACCGATGTCTTGATGAACTCGTTGACGAACTGAGAAATTATGAGGCCCAGAGCGAAGAACATGCCTTGGAGCTCGCGGCGGAAGATGAAATGAGAGACGAACCCACCGAGGCTTATGAAGACTGGGACCAGAGAAATCCATGCCAGGAAGTAACCCAGTTTGTCACCCCTCTGGTACCTCACGTGGGTCAATGTCACAGCTTTGTGTGATGGCAAAGCCATGTCGGAGAACCCAAAAGAGGCACAGAATTCTAGGTTTTGGGTAGAAATGGAATCCAAGTTTCTGGGAAGAGTGATTGAGAAAAGGTGTTTGATCGGATCTGGGTTGTGAAGGAGTGCGAATTGAGTAAAATCTGAGCTCAGGGGATGTGAGAGAGTTGAGAAATTGGATGGGAATTGAGTAGGTATGGTGGTGGTGGAGAATTGGTGAAGACGATGGATTTTGATGTGGATTGTTTGTTTCTCGATAAACCGTTGACGCTCGTAACTTTTTTATCTTTTGCTTTTGAAACGGTCGGGAAAAGAACCGCCATCACTCGTGGACCCAGGAAAGAGAGTGGAAACTGGAGAGGCCCGTAATGGATTAGGGCTTTGTGGTTAAGCCTCAGGCCCAGCCCATCAAAATTTCCTCAAAACTTTGGGCCCTCATTATTTCACAACGGCTAGACGGCCGGAGTAATTATTGTTCTATTATTAGTTATTAATTATAAAAAATTTAGGTTTTAGTTTTTTTAGTTAATAAAAAAAAAAAATCAAAACTTTTTTTTTGAAAAAAATTTTTAAAAAAAAAAAAAAAAAAAAAAAAAAAAAAAAAAAAAAAAAAAAAAAAAAAAAAAAAAAAAAAAACAAACCAAAGACATGACAAAAGTAAAAGGATTCTTAGGAAATTCAAAAACAAATAAGGATAATTTTGTCTATTTTGACTTCGTTTTAAAAATTTTCTCTCTCTTTTGGTCTTTTCTAAAGTCCACTCTCTTCACGTGGCATTACGAGAGAAATATAATTAGCAATTGCTCTTTTTTTTACTATTGTAGGCTCATCAACCACACCTTATAGCCAACAACATCATCTGCTCCGCATCCTCATGAAGCGTATTTTAAAGTCTATATACCAAATCAATTACAAAAATACATATTGTGTTCATCTAGCATATTATTCACCATGGAATTAGTGAGTTTTAAATCAATTCAAATGGCCAGATACGTCGGATGATCATATCGAAAATTGTATACTTGTATGCATCAATTGTATTTGCAAATCCGTCTCTAGATGAGAAGTGCCCTTTATATAGAGCATCATCTCAACAACATTCTCTTCAATTGCAACAAAATAACACCCTAACCAGAAGTAAAGGTTGTCTTATTTTTGGTCAAATTTGAAATGAAACATTAGTCATTTCATTTATTTTTGTGAGAAATATTTTGTTGGTTAAAATATGAACACTTTTGAATAGGTAGAACATCCACATCAGCCTCACCGCGCGGCACACCTCATTACCTCCTAAATCTCTGTTTCTTCACATTCAAAACCCTCCTCCTACATTAGCTCGAAGTCTTCAGCTAAATTCGACGCTCTCTCTCTCTATCTCTATAATGGCTGATGATACTATGGCTCCTCCTCACAGAAGGGAACCTGTCAAGTCTTCAGGTGCGTTCTTCATCGCATTACTTTAATTGCTGTAAACCCTCTCTTGGGTTGCTGAGAAAATTAGGGAAACAACTAGGAGAAGAAAAATTCTTGGACTTTATGTTATATGCTTGTATTAGGTCTCTGTGATTTATGGGTTCGGTTTATGTAAGTCATATTTGGAATTGGGGCAGTTGAGTGGAGTGTTGGTTATGGTTTCTGAGAAACCAAATAAAGAATTTTCTCGTCGTCCAAGCAGACTAGGAAGCAATTCAATGTTAAATAAGAAGACAAAGGCATTAGTTTTATTGGGGTTCTGTTCTTTAGGCGTCCTAAACCACTTAAGAATTAGATAATAGGAGACCTAACAGACAAATTTTGATGCGTAATATATTCTGTTGGAGCTGTATTGAGTTATGTTGCAAAGTGCTGATTATATGGTATATAGTTGCGAATGTTGCGGGACAGCGAAGGCGGCAGCAAGCAATTACAATAGGAAAGGAAAGAAGAGAATCGCTGGTGCGTGCGAAGCGCTTGTGCAGAGTGGGGACTAGTGGTGATCCTGATGTTCCCTCCTACTGTGAAATGATGATTGATGAAGAGCAATCGATCTTGGAGGCTCAAACTTCTTCAGCAGTGGAAGAGTTGAAGTCTGCAGTTGCATATCAGTACGTGAATCTAATTTCTGTACGTGAATATCGTGGGATATAAAATGAAAAGGGTGACAACCCTCCTGAGAATTTTAGAGGAATATGAGGCTCTATTTTGTGTTATGGAAATTTGGATCCACTCATTAAAACTCTATGGATGTTGGATTATGTGACCATGGATCTTCTTTGACGGTTTCTTCAAGCCCATTTAACACCATTTTGTTTAATTTGTAGGGGGAAAGGTGCATTGCAAAAGAAGGTGAGTGCCCTTCGTGAGCTCAGACGCTTACTGTCAAGATCAGAATTCCCTCCTGTTGAAGCTGCTCTTATAGCTGGAGCAATACCTTTACTAGTGCAATGTCTTTCATTTGGCTCTCCAGATGAACAGGTCCAGCCACTCAGTTGATTTTATTATTTCTAACTAGTATGGGAATATTATTCTGAGCATAAAGTGCTGATAAGTAGTGCTTGTTTGGAAGTTTGCCAAGAATGAAAGAGACGGAACGAATTTCGATTTTATTTTCTGTTAGGTTCTAGTTATATAGAAGGCTTCAGAAGTTCTGGTTAATCTTGCAATATACTCCATTGGTTTCTTAAAACCTATAAGATACACTATGGAGTTTGTGCACTAAAGTATATCACATCTTCCGGAGCATGCTTGCAGCAATCATTTGGAATTAGTAAAGTCTTAAGGAAGAATTGAGGATATATTATGACTGTTTCAACTTTGCTTGATTTGATGCAGTTGCTTGAGGCAGCTTGGTGCCTTACAAACGTAGCGGCAGGGAAACCTGAGGAAACGAAAGCTTTGTTGCCTGCTTTGCCGTTGCTTGTTGCTCATCTTGGAGGTTTGTAATGGCCTATGTGCCCTTTTGAGATACCAATAAACAATTAATCTCTCCTATTTAATTTTCTTATCGTTGTTGATAGGTTATACTGAAATTTTTGGCTATGCTAGCCATCCATAGTCTATATTTGCTTAGGTGATTGTAAGGTACCACTTAATCTTTGAAGTAGCACTTCAAAGTTGAGATCATGACATGTGATACTTAGCTCACAAGTTTAAGCTGTTTTTGATCAGATGGCTGCTTTTGATATTGCATCTATAGTTGCGCTTCTTTTGCAGAAAAGAGTTCATTGCCGGTTGCTGAGCAGTGTGCGTGGGCATTGGGAAACGTTGCTGGTGAAGGAGAAGAGCTGAGAAATATTTTGCTATCTCAAGGTGCCTTACCACTTCTTGCCCGAATGATGCTTCCAGACAAGGGTTCAACTGTGAGAACAGCTGCTTGGGCACTCTCAAACCTAATCAAGGTTCAAAACCATTCACCTCATGAACAATTTTATAACACACATGCACATGTTCTTCACAAGTCACACTCTTTCGATTTCCAATGGCCTGTTTTCCCACTTGCCTGATTCTTATCTTCAAATTAGTGTGACATTCAGGGTCCCTTGTATTCCCACCGTTAGTGTGTGTTTTTCATTTTATTTTTCACTGTATTTTTTGTTAGTTCTTAATAACGTATCACAATCAATGTGGACTTACACATTATGTGTGAGCGGGTGGATGGATGTCCAGGTGAAGTTCTAGTTGCAAATTCTTTTAAATTTCAAGTACAACTTACAATATAATATCTGTGTGCTAAAAATGCAGGGACCCAATCCAAAGGCTGCAGCGGAGCTCATTAGAGTTGATGGGGTATTGGATGCAATTATTCGGCATTTGAGAAAAGCGTAATTTCATCACTTTATATATATTAGTTAATTCTGGTCATCATGATTTGTTGGTATTTAACTTTTGGATCACCTTCCCTGCTTATGACTAGTGTACTACTGATAAGCTCCTCTTATATTCAGAGATGATGAATTAGCAACTGAAGTAGCATGGGTGGTTGTGTATCTATCAGCCCTTTCAAATCTTGCTACCAGTATGCTAGTGAAGAGTGATGTCCTTCAACTGCTTGTGGAAAGATTGGCAACATCCAATAGTTTGCAGTTGCTTATTCCGGTAAGGTGGAATATAATTGAATAGATAAGCTCTGTTTTGACCTTCTCTTTCTTTAGATAATGGCTGTGGAGCAACTATTTGTATCATATTGCAGGTTAAATTATTTGCATTTTTAATGTTGTATTTGAGTAATTGCTGTAAGAGTCCAAGTTATTCATTTGCTGCTTCTTATTTCTTATCTGTATGGCTGTACTTGTTCTGATATGCAGAAATTTCCCCCCGTCCCCCCTTTCTTTGGAAATAGTGTACCATATGCAAATTGTCTATGAAGTACCCATTGTCCCTTACCCTGCCCTAACGCAGAAGAAAATCACATTCTATGTGTTTCTTGACCTCTAAGATGCTGCCTTATTTTATCCTGGTTATAGATTATAAAAAATGGGCGCTCAAGAATCAAGGTCAATGTCTCTAATTGTTCATTGTTTTTTGTGAACTTATATCTCTCTTAATGCGGAATTGCCAAGGGAGTATAGAGAAGTATGGCATGGTTCCATTGTTGAACTCTTTACAACTATGTGCTTTTAGTTACCATGTCTCATACCTTAAGAGTTCATCTTCCTGTAAGGTATGGCATCAATAATGTATGATCTACAATCTTGGGTTCATCCATTCATGAGAACATGGCATTGTATAACTTTTTTGGGTACATGGTTTTAAGATGTTTTAATATTTTCTAGTATATGGATCGTACTGACAAATGGTTTCCATCTAGGTGCTAAGAAGTTTGGGCAATCTTATAGCTGGTGATTCACAGACAACCCATGCTGTCATTGTTCCTGGGCATGAAGTCACAGGCCAGTGAACTACCCCTGCTTCTTTGATGGGGAATTTAATTCTGATCACATATTTATTTAAGACTTTTTTTAATAGTAAAAATAAGACCATTCACTTATGTATAATGATGACATTTTCAGGAAACATCATAGAAGTCCTGGTGAAATGTTTGAACAGTGAGCACCGGGTCCTGAAGAAGGTATATCAGCTTGTCTTTAATGTTATGAGATGGATCTTATTATGATTCATACTTATTCAAAGTTCAACCATTAATGTAGGAAGCAGCTTGGGTGCTATCTAATATTGCGGCTGGTTCTATAGAACACAAGCGGTTGATATATTCAAGTGCGGCGGTGCCATTGCTATTACGCCTTCTTTCCACAGCACCATTTGATATAAGAAAGGAAGTAGCATATGTACTAGGAAACCTCTGTGTTTCTCCTATTTCACCTACAGAAGGTGATGGAAAACCAAACCTGATTCTGGAGCACCTGGTTTCACTTGTTGGTAGAGGATGCCTTCCTGGTTTCATTGATTTGGTTAACTCTGCTGATACTGAAGCTGCCAGACTAGGACTGCAATTCACCGAACTGGTAAGGAGACATCTTTTTAAATTTGGAGGTGAATTATACTTTTTACTTGTTGGCAAGTTTATATAATATGGTACATCGGAAAATTGGTTGTATTAATACTGAATGGTGATTTATTGGTTACTTTTCATTTCGATGTTGTATGTCATAGTATTGTACCGTAAATTAGCGTCTACCGCTCCCAAAGAAGTTCTTGACAACTTACCCATGGTAAATGTACTTCATCTTAAAAAAAGAAGTGAATACAAATAACAGTTGTTAAATTACTTGTTCATGCAGGTTTTGAGAGGGATGCCACATGGTGAGGGCCCAAAGCTTGTTGAGAAAGAGAATGGGATTGAAGCAATGGAAAGGTTTCAGTTCCACGAAAACGAAGACTTGAGAAATATGGCAAATAGTCTGGTGGATAAGTACTTTGGGGAGGACTATGGGCTTGATGAATAGGCAGAAAGTGATGATGTAATGTTGTAAGTGATGTAAAATTTTGATGATGAAATGGTTTCTCGTTAAATGCGAGAAAAAGGAATACAAAGCTTCTTGTTTTTTCTTGTTTCAAATTTCTGTTGTCTTTTATCTTTTGATAAGAGGGATTTCAATTTTCTCCACAACTTTTCTCCCCAGTTATCCTTTGATAATTTCAACATTTTCTGCTCTCAAGTTTCTAACAAGGATTCAATGTGTATAAGTTGGAATTATAAATGTATCATTATCATTTTCTATTGTTAATCGCCCTTGTGATCTTGAATTGTCTTTGATGGTGGTGACCATAGGCTCATAGCCATGGGCAGTGGAGCTTCTAGAAACTGTTTATGAATTTTCACATTCCTTTAAAAAAATAAAAAATAAAATTTCCATAAAAGAATGTTTATTAATCCATTGATATTTCTCTTTCTAGTGTTTGAAGATGTTCGAAGTTCGAATTTATTTTCTCCCCTAATAAAAGAAGGAAATAAAATTTTAAAATAGGCTAATGCAATTTCAAAGTAAATATTTGGGCCAGCATTGTAATTTTACAAAGTTAAAGGATGTCCATGTAGTTTACGAAAAGTAACGATTTAGTAATAACACTGGCGGAGAAGAGCAAGGGTTTAACGACTCCTCATAAACCCGCAAATTCTAACAGAGCCTTTGCTTCACTGTCGCCAACTCGCCGCCTGCTACCTACAACGAATCAAAGAGGCTAAAGCTCATGGAAGAAGGCACTTCGTTTTTGTTCGCCGGCGTCAGCTTCAACCGGAAGAAATTCGCCGTCGATTTCTCCAGATTCCAGGTCCGATTCTTCTCTTCTAGAAAACAAAAGTATTTGTATTATTATTTTCTACTCATTTGTTAATTTGAATGTTCAATTTTGATTCAGAAGAAGAAAGAGAGTGAGAAAACGATAGAAGATTTGAGCTTCCTTGAAATTGCAAAACCTGAAGCAGAGCAGGAGGAGGAGGGAGAGGAGGAGCCAGTGGTGCCTGTTAAGAAGAGGAAGCGGAAGGCGGAGGTTTCCGGTAATTTTCACTTTTGGTGTTGAATTTTTATGCAATTGAAGCCCTAGGATTTGTGCTTATGATTTGTATGGTTTTGTGATGAAAATAGAGCCTGTGGAGGGAATCAGTGTGTTTAAGACCTCAAAATCAGCTAAGGCAGCGAAGAAAGAGATAGAGAAACCTCTCATTGAACGCTCCGAGCAGAAAAAGAAGTTAAATAAGCAACTTGAGGTTCTTGTTCTCTCCCTCAATCTTCTTCCGGATTGCTAATTTCTTTGTGTTCTTGAATTAAAGTTCACGGTTTTTCCTTTTCTTCATGATTCAGCGTGATTCATTATTGAGAAAGGATCATAACATTCATGTGTCCGGGAATAACATCCCTTCGCCGCTTGAGAATTTTTTGGAATTAAGCTCAAGGTATTCTTGTCTTTTTTCTTTTTCTTTTAGTAGTTTTTAGGTATGCCATGGATATATTGTACCATTTTTTGAGCTCAAAATCAGATAATTCTTGTGTAGATGATTTGTTGTTGTGAATGCTGAATACCCTTTCTTGTTTTTAGTTGTTGATCTACTAACCAATATGACTGGAAATGAGAATTAGTCTTGATTATTTACAGATATGGATGTGAGTCATATTTACTTCGCAATTTGGCTGAACTTGGATTTAAAGAACCAACACCAATCCAAAGGCAGGCTATTCCAGTCCTCTTATCTGTATGGTCTCTTATTTTATGCTATCCGCCACTCTTGTGGATTTTACCTTGTTGTTTTTTCAAAAGAAATCACCAGTTGATTATGAAGGCTTTAGTTTCAGTAGAACTTCAGCATGAGTTGACATCTGATTTTAAAAGATGTTTTGATAATAATTATTGTCTGCACTGATAGCGGTTTTGTCATCATTTTCTATTAGGGCCGGGAATGCTTTGCTTGTGCTCCAACAGGATCTGGAAAAACCCTTGCTTTTGTTTGCCCCATGCTTATGAAACTTAAGGTATTGCCTGTGCATTCAACTGTTTCTGCAAAATGTTGATCCCTGAGTTTCTCTGATGAAAGTTTTCCATATAACCAGCATGCATCTAAGGATGGCATCCGTGCTGTTATTCTTTGTCCTACACGTGAATTAGCTGATCAGACAACCAGAGAGTGCAAAAAGATGGCAAAAGGAAATAAATTCTACATCAAGTTAATGACTAAAGAGCTTGCAAGAAATTCTGATTTTTCAAAAAGACCTTGTGATATACTCATTTCTACTCCACTTCGTTTACGGTTGGCTATCCGGAAAAAAAAGGTTGATTTAAGCAGGTGCGTTTGATGAGTTTATTCTTATTTTGTTCATACAAACTCAAAGAGGCTGGTAGAAACAAGAAATCAATGTGTACAATTAATGATTTTGGTGCCAAAATGAGCAAATGAATTTGAAATGAATGACAAGACTAGTTAATCGCAAAAACCATGGATACATTGTTTTTTTTCCTCATGAGTTTTTTTTATGTTGTGCAGGGTTGAGTATCTGGTGTTGGATGAGTCTGATAAGTTATTTGAGCTTGGCTTGTTAAAGCAGATTGATTCTGTGGTCAAAGCATGTTCAAACCCTTCAATAATACGATCCTTGTTTAGTGCTACCTTACCTGATTTTGTTGAAGAGCTTGCACGCACTATAATGCATGATGCTGTTCGAGTTATCATTGGCAGGAAGTAAGTTCGACTTTATATTTTTGAAAATCTTTGAGTGGTTCTGTTGACTTAAATATTTCTTTGTACGTTTCATACAGAAATACTGCTTCTAAGACTATCAAGCAAAAACTGGTTTTTGCTGGAAGTGAAGAAGGGAAACTTTTAGCACTTCGTCAAAGCTTTGCAGAGGTATGCTTTTATTTTTTGTGCTATTGAGAAAGCTTGGTTATATTCACAACCTTTTCTAAGTAGCAAATAGAGGACCTATTGATGATATGAAATACAGTTTTTCACAAGTCCTAATTGTGTATCAAATAGTATTTTAAAGGGTACTTCGTACAATTTTGTACCTTGTGTTATTTAAATAAGGCCATTATCTGGTGTAGGTCCTGCCCTGGAATACACAATTGATAATGGAGTACAAGAGAGGCAATTTTTAAAAATGTTATGGGCTCAAGTGGAATGTCCAAACTAGGAATTTTTTGCAAGATTTAACCAAATATTAGTTACTATGCGTGCACCAATTATCTAAGTTTCCTTAGCATGCTATATATATGTAGCAGGCATATATCTTTTGTTAGTATAACACTTCCTGACTTTCAGTTGTATCAATTCAATCTGTTGACCAATTTCTTGTTATTGTTTTATCTTGTTAGTAGAGTCTGAATCCACCAGTGTTGATATTTGTACAAAGCAAGGAGCGAGCTAAGGAACTCTATGGAGAACTGTTGTTTGAGAACGTAAGAGTTAGTGCCATACATTCTGATTTGTCGCAAACAGAGGTAATTCTATACCATCTGTTTTCAGATGACCAGCCTTAACCCTATTATGGATTACTTATGTCGGCCCCTGTTATAATTTGCATACCATTCCACTCAACATAAATGTATAATAAATTAAAGAAAATCTTAACTGATGGTCAAACCTGATTAAGCACTTGTTTTTCTGGCCTCATGTAAAAGGCTGGACCTAGATATCTGTGTGCCCTGGTGAGGTTTGTGTGGAATTGAGAAAGAACTTGAATTTTGACGTTGTGTTTCTTACATGTTCTTGTTGCGTTTGAATTCCAATTCCATTACTAGTACTTGGGCCCATGTAATGTTTAGTCATTTATAACTGTATATCATTAGCCCACGTTAATATACTTTAGTATTTCTATATACTTGAACAGTAATTTCCATCTCCTTTATGCTAATTCTTGAATGGAATACAGCGAGAAAATGCTGTTGATGACTTCAGAGCTGGAAAAACATGGGTTTTAATTGCCACTGATGTTATTGCTCGCGGTATGGATTTCAAAGGTGTCAACTGTGTGATTAATTATGACTTTCCAGATTCTGCTGCTGCTTACATTCACAGGATTGGTATGTCTCTCCTTTATCCCATCGAATGTAACCTATATACATAAATTTGGGAAATGTTAAGCTTATAATGATAAATAATTTATTTTAGACAAGAAATTTATAGAAAATTAATATCATGAATACTTTCTGGAACATATTGGGAGAAAATTTAGTTGATAATTAGTTTTAAAACCCGTATATCAAATATGATATAGGTTTTGGGGTTTGTTTGATTCGATTTTTTTTGGTTGATTCAACCATCAGTACATCATTTGCAGAGTTTATTAATCAAATTGAAGCATTTCTCTTTTTTACTGGCCCGATCTTTAACTCTGAAATTTATTGCATGAATATCTGTTGCCTATGTTTTGCAACTACTCTTTTATTGTAAATGCTTTACGTAGTTACTTGGTCATATTAAACTTTTTCCCCCACAGAAGTAGTGCAAGGCTACTTCATGTTATCGAATAAACTAGTTGATTTGGTTTTTGGGGAAAGAATTTATCGGGTCTTTGAATCTGAGTTTGTAATTTTCCATGGAGGTCGATGTGGAAGAGCAGGGAGGAGTGGAGAAGCTATTACTTTCTACACAGAGGCAGATATTCCATATTTACGGAATATAGCTAATGTGATGTCCGCATCAGGTTGTGAGGTTCCGTCTTGGGCCATGGCCTTGCGCAAACAGAAGTGGAAAAAGCACCGTCCCGGAAGAGAATCAATATCGACTCAACCAAAAGATGAGCAAGAATCTACCAACAAAAAGAAGAAGAAAGATGAGCAAGAATCTACCAACAAAAAAAAGAGAAGAAAGATGAGCAAGAATAGAGCAATTGTCGGAGCTAGGGAGTTATCTTTAGTCGACAGTTCCAAAACATAGATTTCTTGTAAACCAGATTTTGCATTTTTTGACTTCGAGGCAACCTTTTGTTATAGATGAATTTCATTGGCAAAACGGATGATGATATTTGTTATTGGCTATTGGAGAGTTGGGGATAACTGTACGGATGATAATGTATAACGATTATTATTTACAAATTGAAGTTGCAAACAAAATTGATCCATTAAACAAAAGGGTCCGTTAATAGTTGCAACCTATTAGATGCTAGTACATCCATTAAACGGTTGTAGAAGAACCAACACAAGTGAGATGGTCAACTCAACCGGGTAAAACAGTGCATGTCCTTGTGGACTTACAACACTGACGGTAATGTCCTCACCTGCACACGTCGTCCCCAACCAAGCATCTCTCTGAAGTTCATAGTTTTGAGCTTTGAACTTTGGGAACCAGAAAATCTATCTTATTGATATGCAGCATTTCTCGACTGATGCAATCTTGTGTAGACTAGAACTTTCAGAGGTATCGCTTTCCTTCGTTTTTGGAAAAGCTAGATATAAGTTGACTTCAAGTTTGTTACTTGAAGCCTACGCCTGAAGTGGGTCATAACCATCATCCAGCATCTGCAACCACAACTCTTCTAGCATTGCATATATTTTACACCTCTCAGGATGCAGACTATCTTCAACAAAAAATACATGGGCCCTATCCTTAACCTCAATCCAGCTCTGACCTGGAACTTTCTTAACATCCCTTTCTCTCATCAAGTTCCTCAATCTGGCCACTTCAACCCAACTTCCAGAAGAAGCATGGATGTTGCAAAGTAACACAAGAGCAGCAGAATTGGAGGGATCTACTTTTAGTATGTTCTCTGCAGCTCGTTTTCCAATCTCAACATTCCCACGGGTTTTGCAGGCAGCTAGTAGAGTCTTCCATACCAAAATATCCGGTTCGAATTCCATTTGCTCGATGAATGCCTCTGCTTCATGTAAGCATCCAGCACGAGCAAGTAAGTCAACCATACAAGAACAGTGCTCTCTTGTCGGTACAATTCCATGTTCGGATTCCATTGTCTTATACAATTGCCACCCTTCTTCTACCAACCCAATATGACTGCAAGCAGTAAGGACACCCACCAGTGTAACTTCATTTGGTTTTATACCCAATCCTTTCATTGTTTTAAAATGTTCAAGAGCTTCCTCTCCATATCCAAACTGAGCATAACCCACAATCAAACTACTCCATGAGACAACATCTGGATTCTCCATCAAACCGAAGAGATTTTGGGCACTTCCAAGTGATCCACATTTTGTATACATGTCAATCAATCCATTGGTGATAGTAACATCAAGCACAAGGCCACTTTTTACAGTAAAGCAATGAATCTGATTCCCAACCTCTAGAGATGCTATATTTGCGCATGCTCCAATGACATTCTTCAAAGTAACATAATCAGGCTTAATTTCAGAACTACACATTAACTTCAACAATCTGAAAACTTCTCCAGCCTGGTTGTGTTGCATACATGCGGTAATAATAGCATTCCACGAAACTGAATCAATGTGGTTTCTTATATCTTCAAACACAATAAACGCATCATAGAGATTTGAGCACTTTGCATACATGGTTAACAAAGCGTTGCACACAATAACAATACCATCAAATGCCCTTTTGATAATGTAGGAGTGAACCTGCCTACCCTGATAGAGTGTTGAAGGGCTTGTGCAAGCAGAAAGTATTGAGAGAACACTAATTTCGTCAGGGACCAGTCCCTTATGCCGCATTTGAGAAAAGAACGATATTGCTTCATTAGCATCTCCACCATTGGAAAACCCAGAAATAATTGCATTCCAAGACACTAAATCAGGCCTCTCTATTTGATAAAAAACTGTTCTTGCGGATTCTAAATACCCACATTTTGCATACATGTCACAAAGTGAGCATCCAGCAAAAATGTCTCTCCCCAAACCAAATTTTATGCACATCCCATGCATCTGCTTTCCATATTCTGGTTGAAGAAGGCTGCTACACGCACTGAAAGCACTTCCAAATATAAACTCGTTTGGCTGGTAAGCACCCTCACAGAGCATCTCTTTGAAATGACCCAAAGATTCTTTGTCATAACCAAGTTGGGAAAACCCTGCAATCATTGAGCCCCAAGAAATTAAGTCCTTTGTTTGAACATGAGAAAATACATCAAAGGCATCTGCAATTAGACCAAACTTTGTGTACATTGAAGTAAGGGCATTCTGTGCAATAGGGTGAGAACCAGTTTCAGATTTAAGAACATGAGCATGCACTTGTCTCCCCAACCATGCATTGCCCAGACCAGAGCAAGCTTTTATTATGCTTCCAAATGTGAAGTGGTCAGGCCTGCAACCTGATCTCAGCATTTCAAAATACAATTCAATGGCTTTATCCTCTTGCTTATTCTGTGCGTGCCCAGAAATAAGTGAAGTCCAAGAAACCACATTTCTCTCGGGCATTGCATCGAAAACCTTTCCTGCATCCTTGACTGACCCGCATTTTCCATACATGTTAAGAATGTGATTGTAAAGAATAATGTCTGGCTCACATTTGGATGCCAAAATATGATCATGGATTTTCCTACCATGGTCAAGAGACCTTAGAAATGAGCAAGCAGAAACCAAATCGGCATAAGTGCTGGGAAATATTTGGAAATTGGTGTTCCCTTCCAAAAATTCAAATGCTTGAAGAGCTTCTTTGTAAAGCTTTTGCCTGCACAGGGAGCTTATGTAGTCATTGCTACACTGTTGGTTCTTGAACTTTGGTAAAAGAGTCGAAGGTAGACTTGGCTGACTATAATGGAATGTCAACGGCAGTGGGGCTTTGAATCTTTTCATCATGGTCAAAGGAGGACAAAGATTTTCTGTCTGTTTTTAGCTCTGATAAAAATAACAGGTTCACTCTCCGTGCACCCAAATTTAATCAGAAACTGAAACACACACAAAAAAATGAACCATATAAGCTCAATTCAGCAGACCCACTCGGTAAGCGCTAATTAATGGTTTCTTCAAATGTCAGGAATGTGTGGTAGAATTTTTATCAGCAAACCCATAACAATGACATAGGTCCATAATCAAAAAAACATCATTAACATCTTGTCTCTCAAATGAGTGACCAATTGAGCTTGGACTTTCAATTAATCCATCATTAACAAGGGTCCTAATCCTCCTAAAATTCTTGATGTTATGAAGTGAAATATTCTTCTGTCTTGCAAAAGTCTTACGACTCATAACACCACGTTTTACTTTGGATGTTATGTCATATGTGAGTCTTTGACATCTGTCCCTTGTCCTCGTCAACCTTGTGACTCCTGATCATCATCGGATTAATATCATTATTATTTTCCTTGAACATTTTTCTGTCACACCAAATAGAAAACCAGTATAATAAAGAAAAATCAAATTTGTTCCCATTGTTTAAAATGGTATCCATAATCCAATGTTTAAAACACACCTTAATCAGTTTTGTTTACTAGTTCCCTGTGGCTTGGAACCACACGTTTGAATTTCATCAACTTAATTAACATTTCCCATAATCCAAAAGCATGCAGCTCAAATTCTGAAGTACCACATGATGGATCAGATAATTTAATCTTGCAGACTTTCATAGTCACTTTGATCCCTTTTTATTTATTTTTATTTCTTTCTTCTTTTATGGTATTGGTAGGTTCCAAATTACAAAACAAATCCCAAAACAAGAGCAATCGGTTGAATTTTGATACCAATTAGTTGATAGGTAACATCCCAACAACTATTTGGTGCAGAGACAGCAACTCAAGCCCTCACTTCTATTTCTCTCCAACTTTCTTTTACTTGAAGCGACAACAACATGAAGCAAATTCCTCTAAAACAAAAACAATGCACTTTGTGTTTGCCAGTACCAATCATAAGGAAGTTAGGTCTTTTTTATTTATTTCTAATAAATAAACCCCTTTTCTGTAGAAACCAACCTGATCAAATGTTCAAATATAAATTCCCACCTCATATATATTTTTCTGATATACTAATTTCTATATAGCTTATGACCAAAACCCACCAAAATTCAGTAACCATTGTACCAAATTTAATAGCTTTAAGCCTTGAAAACCAGCTGGTCTGGTTTAAGCTTTGAAGAAATGGGGATCACAGAAAGATCAAAGAAGAGGGTCCAGCTATGGAAGAAAGCTGTAGTCCATTTTGCTTTGTGTTTTGTCATGGGGTTCTTCACAGGATTTGCTCCAACGGGTAAGGCTTCGATTTTCGCTAGACCTGCTGTGATCTCCTCAAATATATCAGACCACCTTTCGCCGCGGCCAGTAGAATCGCCGCAACAAGTAGCAGCAGATGTTAACAGAAGTTTGATAGCAGAGACACCAATTGTGGCAATGGCAGCTGCCCCTGCAAGGCATAAAGAGCACACCGAAAACTCGAGATTCAGATCACAGAAAGAAGAACAACAAGAAGAAGAGAAAGAACCCAAGTTGACACCAAGAAGGTTCATAATCATTGTGACTCCAACAAGCACAAAAAACAAATTTAAAAGTGTGCTTTTGAGAAGATTGGCTAACACTTTAAGATTGGTTCCTCAGCCATTGTTGTGGATTGTGGTGGAAGCAAAAACAGAATCAAATGGAGTGTCTGAAGCTCTCAGGAAAACAGGGATTATGTATAGGCATTTGGTTTTCAAGGAGAATTTCACAGACACAGAGGCGGAAATGGATCATCAGAGGAACATTGCACTTAAGCACATTGAGCAGCACAAACTTAGTGGGATTGTTCACTTTGCTGGCCTTTCTAATGTCTATGATCTTGGCTTCTTCGACCAGCTCAGAGAAATTGAGTATGTAAATTCTTTATTCCTTATTTTTTTTTTCTTTCGTTCAATTAAAATTCTTTAGCTATGAATTTTGCTTAGCTTTATGTTCTTACGTTCTTTTTTTTTCTTAGACGTAAGAACGTATGGTTCTGTGGCTGGAGGGATGGAGTTTTCAAAGTTTTGAGTAGCTTTTAAGAGAAAAAAAAATGTTTGGGTATGATTGCCGGAAAAGGGAAAAAAAGTATCCCTATGGACTAACAAGTTGTGATTTGTTAAATTTTTTTGGACTTTACCAATATACTATGACGTATGCCTAGTTTTCTCATAGTGGGATTTATATACATTAACAGTTGACAATTATTCATGTGCATGTCGGACGACTGATGTTGGAACTTCTGAACTAATTATACTAAGACATATTGCTAAGGAAGGACAATTTGTCTAATCATTTGATTCTGACTCAACTATATAATTCTCTAGTTTATTAGTTATGCAAAATGGAAAGATTAACTACATGATTGGTATTAAAAAAATCTTTGATGCAATGGTGAGGTAATAGAAACTTATTGAAAGAAAGAATCTTTGGGTTATTAAACAATGCTTCGTTTGTACATTTGTAGGGTATTTGGGACATGGCCCATGGCACTACTTGCAGCAAACAGAGAGAAAGTGATCATTGAAGGACCTGTGTGTGATTCTTCACAAGTCATAGGATGGCATCTGAAGAAAATGAACAACCAAACAGATCCAAGACCTCCCATTCACATTTCAAGTTTTGCATTCAATAGTTCAATTCTTTGGGACCCTGAGAGATGGGGCCGCACTTCATCGCTTCAAAGCTCCTCTCAGGTATTCATTCCATCTAAATTTTTATAAGTTTAACAAGTCCATGCATGAGGTTAAATGTTGCATTATCTCGTAGAGTAGTTTTCTATGGTTTCAAATTAGAATCGCTATTTATTTATACGGAATTGTGCATGCATATAAATAGCATCTTAATTTATAATCTGATAATATAACATGTCTTATAACCGTCGAGGTATTTTCTTATCTTATCTTGTAAAAAGTGGAACTTTTGGACATTTTGTACCTACCCCACGCAAACATATATCATATACTTATTTTCTTAAAAGTCATTATCATAAAGGAAATATGTCATTAATATGGTGGAGCTGGGTCCTGTCCTGTCACACCAACCTGTTAGAATATTTCTTCCCTTTGAATAAATAAAATGGTTTAGTAGAGGTTTGGCGAACCTCCAACCTTTTTTGAACCATTATTTTACCAAGACTTGGATGAAATGTTACGAAAGCTTACTCTTCAATTAATTAATCATGCTTAAAGCAAAGTACAAAAGATTATAAGAACGAATAAGATATCTAAACCAGTCGTATCTATAAGCATATGTTATTGACCAAATTAATTCATTTATTTTTATTATTTTTATTATTTGTTTTTATAGAAAAAAAACAAACATTGTGAGCTCATGTTCCTTTGATTGCTGTTTTCCAAACAGAATTCAATCAAATTTGTGAAAGAAGTGGTTCTTGAAGATGAGACAAAACTGAAGGGAATCCCACCAGAAGACTGTTCCAAGATCATGCTTTGGTCTCTTCGTTTTCATGCTGCTGGAGGAGCCACAACCACCAAACACCAAATCAATCAATGAAAAAGGCAAGTTTTAGTCGGTGGGAAAATTACCAAAAGAAAAAAGAAAAGAAAATACTCGATCATTTTGTTTTTCTTTGTCGTGTAATTGTTATAATTTTGTTCATTCTCTTCTTTAGTTTTGTAATAGGTTTTTACACCTCCAGTACTTTCTTGTTACCAAAAAATATAGCTTAAAACCATTGAATCCATGTTATACGAGTTACCTTTGTTCCAATTTATAGCAACCTCTCAACTTGGATATTCTTTTATTTTATTCTTTTGGGTACATACAATATCCTCTCTTTGCAAACGTGGGTTATACCAGTTGGTTAAGACAGTGTGTCTGCCCCTTGCACCCGAGTTTGAACTCACTTTCCGTACATTAGAATAGTTTAGAATATCGCCCTTGTCTCAACAACAACAAAATCCCCTCTTTCTTTTTGTGTGTTGTTTTTTTAAAAGATATTTCCTTTTTGTGCTCGTGACTGTGGGTTGTAAAGAAGTAAAGGCTTGGCCCAACCCAGCGGAATAGACATTCATTTACACCCCAAAGTTGTCTCTGGACATCCAATATGAAAACTTAATTAATTACGGCAAAAGCATTTACGAATTCAGTAGAAAAAGTGAACAAATAAGAAACAATGAAGAGAAAAATGAGGAGGAGGAGGCAGCGGCCAACACTCCTCCCATTGGCTTGGGAGAGAGAAAGACCCTTAAGCCATTGCCTTTTGCATTGTGGAGTATATTGTTGGATCTCAAAATTAATTATAGTGTAATCGGAACACTCATAGATCAATAATTCACATTATTAAGCCACCAAACCAACTCAACTTTTAATTAAAAAACAATGCAGGAATCAGATTCCAAAAATCACCAAAAAATAAAGTTATTAGAGAAAGAAAAAAATACCAACATTTATCTTTACTTCCGTGACAAGAGTTCGTCTTTCTTCTTTAATTTCTTTCAAGTTTATGCTTCCTTTAAAAGAGAAACCGAAAATACAGTTTTAGTTTTCATGCTTAACTACATTTTGCGTTTCAAATTCAATCAACATGCAAGGCATTTGAAATGATCCTTAACGCGTTATGCAGCATGATGAACATGTTGGGTTGCTAACAAACATGTCACTTTCTAAGTCGGATTAATTATTTTAAAGCAAATGGGGGGGTCCAATCCTCAACCAGCTTGAATACTAATTTAATTGATTAGTTGTGAGTTTTAAAATGCAAACCACACAATCGGACACTCTTATTTGGCCTTCCTAGTAGTAATAACACAATGGAGGAAGGAAGCTTCCATTTCCTAAGGAGGCCAACAACACATATTTATTTCCTGGAAGGCCAACAATATAGATATTTCAATATTTTTCCAACAGTTACAGAAGTCCAATATAAATTTTACATGCAATGTTAGAGTTGAGGGGATCACGGCTACTTCAGGTCAAAGTGTGACTCCGACCTCAAGTATGTATGTTCATTTTTTCTGGCAATCAAAATTGATGGAAATCGTAACTAGATGAAATTAAACACATTCAGCATTCTCCTTTTCATGTAACATGTTTAATTAACTCAAATTAATATCTATTTTTTACTATAACAAGTGGTCTAAACGAGTATTTATCTCTTAGTGACATGGTGAATGTTCGATTTCCACCCTCCCCTCGCATGAATTTCATTTTTCTTCTAAATTTTTTAATTAATTGTGTAAATAATTATGCTTTTTGCTAATCATTCATCAAGCCTAAAAGATTCTCAAAATTATTTACCCAAAAAAAACAAAAAAAACAGACTTACAAATTTGCTAAAATTACGCGGTAAATGGTCTGTGAGAAGAAAGAAGAAGTGAAGTGAGAACAAAGCAACAGTGAGAAAGAGAGAAAGAATTGCCTGCGGTAAGGTCGTTACCCGTTACAGTGGGGAAGTGATCAACAGATCAGAAGTGTCGGAGGCAGAGCATCAGGACCTTACAGCAAGATAAAAGTCTTTGTTTAAATCCGTGGGACCCAATTTGCCAAACGCAAGATGTGGGGCCCACACTAGCAAAACCCAGCTGGTCTTCTCCATATCATATTCTTTGCCACCAATCCTTGAAATGTTCTTGTCAAGATCTAATTTTTCTTTTCCCTTTACAAAGGGAAAGACATAGGAGGGCAGGTGGCCTATTGCCTGTTGCTGATACCCTTGGGAGTCTTCGTGTCTCTTAAAATCTTTTTGTTTTTCGTTTGGTGGGAAAAAGTAAGAGGAGGAGGAGGGCCATCTCTCTCTCTCTCTCTCAAGGCAACAAGCCATTTGAGATCTGCCACTTTGTCTACAGGGTAATGCCTTGATTTGCTCATTCCTTGGTTCCCCAATTACTGGTTTTTCTTTTTGAATGCATTGTGGGCTGTTGTTGAATGCTGTGTTTTTTCATTTTAGTTCTTCTAGTTTTGGCATTGGGTTTCTAATTTTGGATAAAAGTAAGCAACTTTAGCATCTGGGTGTTCTGCCATTTTGATTTCGAAGCTACCCAGTTGCTAGTTGAACTTGACAATTGCAGTTTTTTCAATTTCACTTCATTGTGGGTTGCTGTTGAACATTATTTTTCGTTGTAATTGTTCTGCTGTTGGCATACTAATTTTGGAAATGAAAAAAAAAAAAAAAAAAAAAAAAAAAATTTAACATGGGTTTTCTGCCAATTTGATTTGGAAGTTAACCCCAGTTGCCAGTTGGACTTGATAATTGTGAGAAATTTTCCTTTCTGATTGCTTAAATTTTACTTGCATTGAGCAGAAAACTTCTACTCAGCTATGGCAATGATTTAGCTTAATTAAGTGGATTTTCTTTTTGTTTCCTTTGCTTACAAGGGTAGGAATTTCTGTACATTCTATTTTCCATAGCTTTATAAATGTTCAAACACAGGAGATTTCTTTCCTTTTCTCGTTCCCCAAGATTTTCTTCACTAAATTGATTTGAGCATTGTAAATGCTGGTTTTCTAGGGACGTGCCGTGTACGATTTCTCATATTCTCTTTTTCTTCCACGAATCTGTACAATTAGAAAGGGCATTAACATTTTTCTATGCAATTGATTATGTGGAATTTAAACTCCACAGAGGGTTCAATTAGAGGAATGATAAGGAGATGGGGAGGAAAGGAAATTGGTTTTCTTCAGTAAAGAAGGCTCTGAGCCCCAAGTCCAAGGAGAGGAAAGAACAGGTTTGAATAATTCCCATTTGGCTAGTAGTAAGTGTGTTTTGTTATATTTTCTGTTATGAGTCTCTGATGTTTTTAGTTAACTCTTTTTCTTCAGAACTCAGATAAACTAAAAGAGAAATGGTCGGGAAAGCAAAAATACCCGGAATCCGAGTCTACCTCTTTTCAACCTGCCACATTGCCACCTCGTCCTCAACCGGAAGAGGTGAAATTGACCAATGTGGAGAATGAGCAGAATAATGATGCTTACTCTGTTGCAGTTACCGCCACTACTGCAGTGGCTGAGCCTGCAGTTTATGTGGCTCCTGCAACTCAAGCAGTTGCGCAGGTCGTCAGACTCCCTAGGAATACTCAGTATGCTGGAAAATCAAGGGAGGAAGTGGCAGCAATCAAGATTCAAACGGCATTTCGAGGATACCTGGTATGAGTTTATGAATTCATATCTTGGTCTTTGACATTTTTTATGTCAGTGTAAATAAGTTGATGAATGGATGCTAACACATAACCTGCAGGAAATATTTTGACACAATATGAGTTGATTTCTGAAATTTTCAGGCGAGAAGAGCATTGAGGGCTTTAAGAGGGCTGGTCAGGCTGAAGTCATTGATTGAGGGATCTGTTGTTAAACGGCAAGCCACAAATACCCTTCGATGCATGCAGACTCTATCTCGTGTGCAATCTCAGATACGTTCCAGAAGGATTAGGATGTTGGAGGAGAATCAAGCCCTCCAAAGGCAACTCCTACTAAAACATGCAAAAGAGCTTGAGACTTTGCGGGTCTGTTTTATTACTCTTAGTTTGTTATACTTTATTTGTTGGGTGTTACCAAATCTAATTTGTTGTCATTTGGAGTCGTGCAATTTATTTCCCTGGTATTTGAAATCCTCTGAACTGTTTCGGAGACAAATTCCACTGGCTAGGTTTTAACTTGAACCCCAAGTTCCAAAAGTTTCATTTATGAATTAAACTTAAAAGTTGGTTTCAAATTATTCCTTTTGCTGGTGGCAAATGCAAGTTAGATTTTGCATTGTTGACTCACCGTACTTAAATGGGACAATTGCAAAGGTTGAAATCAAAGTTCAGATTCCCAAACAGTTTCTTATTTGGATCTTTATTGAGATTACTTTTCATCCAGAAGAACCTCATTTAGTCGTTTAACTCATTTTGAAAATTGGTACAGCTTGGGGATGAATGGGATGATAGCATACAGTCAAAGGAGCAAGTTGAAGCAAACCTATTAAGCAAGCACGAGGCAACAATGAGAAGGGAAAGAGCACTTGCTTATGCATTCTCGCATCAGGTATTGTAATCTATAAGATAAATTAATTGAAAAGAGGGAGGAGTAGCTTATGCATTTTATTCTGTGCCAAATTATGGCGTAATGATGAAAGTCATAGGGAAAAAATTCAACTAGTTATGTTACTATGCCTTTTGATTATTCATGAGTTTTTTTATATCCTTTTGGGTCTAACTCCTGGATCACTGCACAGAAAAACGGGAAGAATTCTACGAAATCTGTAAACCCAATGTTCATGGATCCAAGCAATCCCACCTGGGGTTGGAGCTGGTTGGAAAGGTGGATGGCTGCCCGGCCTTGGGAGAGTCGTGTCATAATGGATAAAGAAATGCAGGACGACCATGCATCAGTAAAGAGTGCAAGTCGCAGTATTTCTGCTGGAGAAATTAACAAGTCTTATGCTCGCTACCTCCTCAATTCTGATAAGCAGTCGCCAACAGCCAGTGAAAAGCCAAGCCATCCTGGATTCCGGTCCCCTTCAACTCCTTCCAGGTCAGCTTCCAAAGTAGCTCGAAAGTTAAAGCCAGCTGCAAGCCCAAGGGGTAGTAGGGTGCCGGATGATGACACAAAAAGCATGGTGAGTGTGCAATCAGCTCAGTTTAGGAGGCACAGCATTGCTGGCTCATCTGTGAGGGATGATGAGAGCCTTGATAGTTCTCCATCAATTCCAAGTTACATGGTACCAACTAAATCTGCAAGAGCCAAGTCCAGGTTGCAAAGCCCAGCGGAGAAGAATGGGATCACTGAGAGGGACTTGCCCGAGTCTGCTAAGAAGCGGCTGTCCTTCCCAGCCTCCCCGGCTAGACCAAGGCGGCATTCTGGTCCACCAAAGGTGGACAGCAGTATAATTACAGAAAACAAAGTGGCCAACATTGGAGTGGAAAGTTAACTATGTTCAGCAGCAGAAGAGTGGAAGAAAAGCTGTTTCGTGAACTTGGAGAGTTCATGAAAGCCTAGAAGAGAAAGAAATAAAGGTCTATTCCATCTGTGAAATGAATTGTTAATTTCTTTGATTTATTATTCCTCAAAAGTTGGTGGTGTGGGGTAAAATTAGTCCCAGGGTTTTGCCATGCTGCAAGCTGTGGGAATTTGTTCTTTATTTATATTTGTTTATTTGTATCTGCTATAATTATCATTGTGACAACATACCAGAACCCAATTCATAGAGAACTGATAGTGTTCTGTTGAATTTCTTGTTTTCTGGAATTGGTGAGTAATATATTTAATTTAATTTATGGATTATTGTTTATTTGGTGTTGGTCATTACCCTTTATAGTGCTTTTCTCTAAGAAGATTTTTAGCTTGAAGCATTAAAAACAATATTAAACAAATAACCACATTCGTACTGTTCATTAGGTCGAAGTATTATTTTTAATGTGCTTTTTAAGTTTGATTCTGTTTTTGTTTTTGTTTTTATTTTTTTTATTTTTGGGTAACTAGAAACAAATTAGTAGATATTGCCATCTGAGAGTGGATGGGGAGCATTGAAGAAACCAACCCAACGAACAAAAATAATTAAAATAGCTTTGGCAAGAGATTTCTTTCTAAGTTCTAAAATTAAAGAGATAAAACTGTATTTTAAGAACAGCATTCTCACTCACTCCCTGGTCTCTACGCTGATACAGGGTTAACTTGTAACTTCCAAAGCTCCAACTAAAGTTCGACAGTATTAAGGTAAATAAAGAAAAACTTTTCAATCCCAAACACATAAGGTGTTTCGAAAAAATTCTCAACACCACAGTTCCAACATTTTTACTCTCCTGGAGCAGAAACGCCTTGCTTCAGTCTCTCCCTTTTCAGCTTCTTCTTCGACACCGGCTTCTTCTTTTTAGGGGGAACAGTTCTCTGAGCATACACGTAAAGTGCGTAGTTTCCAACCAGGAAAATCACCAGTAGTCCAACAACAACAAGCAACACTATCAATCCAGGGTTAAACCCTTTTGCAGCAGCCTGCAAAATCACCCAAGCAAATTACATTTCCTGACAGACAGACATACAAATGGAAAAAGTATAACAAAAACAAGGAAAAATGTCCAGGACTAGTTCAATACACCGATCAACATTTGCCTCAAGTATGCTGTTATCCCTTCCTATTGTTGTGTTATTCATTTTCTTCATTTAACTGGATATTAAATGCATACCCTACATGGAAAAACCTAGCAAATATGCATCGGCATCCAAGATCCAGAACTATTTCCACTTGAGCTGAATTTTTTTCCCCTTACTTTCAAACTGGGTAAATCCCACTCCCGGCCCATGACATGTACATAAAAACTAGGGAAGATTCCATTGGCTTAGTCCTGCTATTGCTTCAACAATTAAAAACGAAAAGGGGCTTTAAAAAAAGAACCTAGTTAAATATAACAGTTTCAGAACGGAGACTAATGGCCATAAACTTTGCCTGCACAAGTCCGCATTAAATGCATAATTGTATTATGAGAAAGCAAATGCACAAAAACTGATTTGTTAGGAAACATTGCAAGTGGACTGAATTTTTTCACAGTTTCCTCATTAATAAACAAAAGCTGGATTAAATCAAAGTTTGCATAAAGAAGGAAATAATGATATTCAATCCCAATAAAGTCTTAAAATATGAGTCATCAAATATATATGGATATCACTTGGAAGAATGTCTCAGATTGACAAGCACATACATGCAATGCAACCCACCCGTCCAACTACAAACTTCGTAGCGACATAGAAAGTGACTCATAAATGCCAAGAAAATTTAGGGGGATATCGTAGATATCCAATATCCACAAATACCAGCTATCAGCTGAGAGGAGGAGCCTAGACATGTAAGAACTACAGACACTCCCTGAAGGCAAGCCATACTCAGTCTTAGCCTGACCCATCACATGAGTTGGTGAGACTTGAACCAATGCTTTGAGTTCAATACCACCGCCACCCACTGGGTGGTTAGCCAAAAATATACATATGATATATCTAAATGGTAAATCTATTATATTGATAACAAAAAACCCAATTACATGCACATAGGTTCCACCTAATTACATACATTTCAAGATAAAACGATTACAATCATTCCACCTAATTATGCAGACAGATTCCTTAGCATCTGAATCTCGGATCTCATTCATTGAGCTCACAGATAATTACAAGAAGGGAACAAAATGCATCAAGATGGAAATAAAGCAATTGCTAACAAAAGCCCCTGCAGAATTAAGGCTGTGCAAACGAGTTTCCAAATTCAATCATGAAAAAAGCTTAAAATATGAATTTTTATCCGAGTTTTGGAAGACCAATTCTCAGATCACGAAAATCTTTTGCAGGAAATGCATTTCTATCTAATCAACCAAAACACAAAGCCAGAGAGCTAATATTCCAAACAATCTAGCCATGCATGCATAATATTCGATCAACAGAACCTCATAACAGCTCAAAGTGAGCAATCTAAATTCCGATTTCACAAATACAACATCTAAAATTACAGCACAAAGCAGCAGGAGATAATTGGGGTTCCTTTGAAATCATACCACGCCATCAAACGAAGGGGGGACCTTGTCCGCGAACTCGAACTCGTCAGCCATGGCTGTCCTATCGCTCTGAGCCTGAGACTCGAGAGATCCGGCTCACTGTATCAACTTAGGACCAGAGAGAAGATTCCAGATAGACTAAATACGAAGGGTGAGATCTGGTAACGTATGGAATGGAGTTGGGTCTGTTATAATTGGAAAGTGAGGTGGTTGGCCCTATCAGATATGGCCTATTGGTTTGACTTGCTTCTATGATTACCAATTTGCCCATTAATGGGTTTTTTCTCATGTTCACATTTGGGGTTGAAATGGGCTTGGAATTGCTCGTTGCGCTCAGTCCATTAACAACCAAAGCTTGGAGCTTGGAGCTTGGAGCTTGGAAAAGGATGACAGAGGATTGGAATTTGCGGGTCAGAGCTATTTGGGCTTCTATATGGATCTGTTCAAAGGCCGATAAATTTTTATGCATTTGAATCTCAGCTTGCATGAAGCTGTAAGTATGTGTTTCACGTTACCCAATTCCGTGAACTTCATCCATAAAATCCTTGTATGTTGACATGGTGCCTAGATGGCCAAATACCCAATTAGAGTTTATCACAACTTTGTCATTAAACCCATTGGTTCTATTTCCACAAAGAGATAGAGGCTGCATGACCGAATCCGAATCGACCAAAATTATGTTTTCTATTTTATACAAACGATAGTCTAAACTACAATAAGGAGATGAATTTTTACACACACACTACCAATATGCCATGGGAATTCAAACATAAGATTACTGATTAGCAAATCAACCGAATTCAAACAACTTGGACTTATTCGAACCTAATCTTAAAAAATGTATTCATGTAACTAAGACGGCACCCAAAACCATTGGCTAGATGGCACGTGATTCATAGGTTGTCTCCAAATCCTTTTCCCATCAAATACAAACATCACTTATCAAACTCAAAATATTCTTTAACCTTGGGGATGGCAAACAGAGTATGGTACTAGGAGCACATGGGTTGATATGGCGGAAACAATGAAACAAGGGCTGCCCCACGGAAATTTCAAATCGAGTATCAAAGGTGGTTAGGAATGCTTCGTCCTCAAGCCTTAATAATGGCTCTCTTTTTAATTCTGGTAAGTCTCTGTCCTTCCGGTGAGGCCCATTGCCCTCTCAGCTGCCATAGCGGCCCACATACCACTTGGCATTTTATTTTTCTAACGCACCTAATCCATAAATTTTTCGTGTATTTTAGCTCATTAGTTTTCAGTGCTGACAAGATTCTTAGTTACACATGTTTAAACAGAATTATTTTATATGGTCGGTAGAAGGCACAGTATCTAAGATTCTGGGCTCTCTGAATGCATGAACTGAACTGGTACGAATTTTAAAGTGTGCATATTTATTTGTCCAATTGCTGAATGCCACTTCAGCATATGGGGGTTTTGGCTTCGCTCTTCGTTTTCTGTAAATTCACAAAAAACAAAAAGTTAAAAGTAGAGCTGGGTAATTTTTTATTACAGAGAGGTACAAATGTGACGTGGGAAAACACGAACCAGGTGGAATTTTGGCAAAAGTATATTCGTGAAAAAGTACGTAGAGGAATTTAACTTAAGCCTTTCATATTTGTTCTGTTCGGAGTTGAGACAAAAATATTTTTATTTAAAAAATCTAAATGGGCAGTTTGTTTTTATAATTATTATTATAAATAAATATGATCCCGACATGGTGAGCTGGATGGGGGCCACATGGAGGAGTTTTAGGCAAACAAATTGCCATGCAATTTTGCACGTCATGGTTGGTGGATTGAGGTTTTTACTGCTTTTACCATGATCCCATGTTGTCACAGGTTACAACCAGCATTTATTTTCATTAAATTAAGGCTGCAAAGCTTGATGGAAAGTAAAAAAGGTAAAAGTGAGCTGCATTATGTGCGATAGCGAGCCACTTGCTCTTGTAGTAGGAGGCAGTAAACGGATAAAAACGAGTCGGGTGTGAAGAACAAAACAGACCCAATTATAGAAACATAATAAAAATGGAAAAGCAAGCTAAAAGTTGGAGAAGAAAACAAAAGAGAGAAAAGTGTGCCTTTAATTTGATGCAATTAGAGCTTGAATTGAAAGGGAAGATTGTCCATTCATTGCATTGCATGATAAAATTATGAGATAATCCGGTCCTCCCTTGCACACTAGTACGCTACACCCACCACCACCAGTCACTATGAAAGAAGAGTTTCCAAAAAGCCAATAATAAACATGCATTCCTTTTCCTATGCTATACTTTACCAATCTCCTACTCAAACTCTATGGTTGTCTACTTTTGACTATAAGATTTGACATTGCTTGTCCAACAAAGCAATCCTATTCCCACCCACCTCTACACAAAACCCATCGGGACGGTGTGACCGTTACACTGAAAAATAAATAAATTTTCGACTTCTTAAGTGTAATTATTTATGTATACAAATAATTTAGTTAACACAAAAATTTTGCTGCTTAAGTTTGTGTCACTAATTACATGCAAGAACAAATGAAATATATATATATATCAAATTAAATATGCACCGTTAATTATGATTTAATCAGACGATGTGATCACCGCCGCCATGAAAGCTCAGTTCTGAAGAGGAGGTGGAGAGGGTGATCATGCCATTGCAGTCAGAAACACTGTCCTGCAAGCTCAACAGGAGATGTGCGGTGCTGAAAGTGGTGGAGGGTTTTGTTCTGGGGACAATTGGGACTTCAGCTTCCCCCACCAGCATTTGAACCACACCTCTCATGGTGGGTCTTGCAGAAGGGTCTGGGTGAGAGCAAGCCAGCCCAACCAGAAGCACCTTCCTCATCTCTCCCTCATCAAATTGGCCCTCAAGCCTTGGATCAGCCGCCATTAACAGCCTTCCTTCTTTGTGCAAACTCCACACCCACTCCACCAAATTACTACACACACCCACCTTCCCCACCCCACTTACTTCTCTCTCAATTGGCCTTCTTCCACTGCCCACCTCAAGCACCACCGCCCCAAAGCTGAACACATCGGTTTTCTCAGTCGCCCTGCCGGTCAGCAAGTAATCCGGCGCCAGGTACCCCATTGTTCCGGCCGCCACCGTGGCGTCTGGCGACTTATCGTGCTCGATTTGCCTCGCCAATCCAAAATCTCCCAGCTTGGCATTGAACCCTTCATCCAGCATTATGTTGCTGGTCTTAATGTCTCTGTGGATCACCTGGTTTTCACACTCTTGATGCAAATAGGCCAGAGCAGAGGCAACCCCAAATAAAATCTTTCTCCTGTGAGGCCAAGGCAGAGGCGTTCTTGCCTCAAACAAGGCCTTGTCAAGACTCCCATTGGGCATCAAATCATAGACTAACAAAATTTCACCTTTCTCATGGCACCATCCTTGAAGCCTCACCAAATTTCGATGCCTGAGAGTTCCAATTATAGATAATTCCGACAAAAACTCGTTTTTTCCCCTGGCTGCTGTGGCTGCATCTCTTCACTGCAACAATGTCACCTGTTTCTGGTAATATACCTTTATAGACAATTCCAAAAGCGCCATGCCCAATAATTCTATTGGCATTGAAGCACTTGGTGGCTGCCTTGAGCTCCCTATAAGTGAACTCCTTCGGCATTTTGATGACATCCGAAGCAAAAGAATTATCTGATTTCCTGACATGTTTGAATTTCTTAGAGTAAACCCAGATAAACACACCAGCAAACAGAGCCAAAACGAAAGCCGAAGCCGTCACCACGCCAGCTACAGCTCCTGGACCTTCTCTGCAGAGGTGGTTATGGCAAGAAGACGACTTACTGTTCTTCTGATTCGTACCGCTAGTGTTACTAGACACCGAGGACCCACTTGGAGGCATTGAAGGCGGCGGAGATTTAACCGAATTGGCAGTTGGGTTCATCAGAGTGGTCGTCGGAGGCGGCGGAGGTGGTGAAGAAGACCCAGATGGCGAAAGCATCGAATCGAACGACGAGCTGAAGCTCCACCAGTCGACGCTGTGAATCTCCGTGCTGCCTTGGGTCGACCCGGAAAAACCCACGTACATGAAATCGCTGACGTACTGGCCCAGATCGAGCGAGTAGGACAAGACCGGGTCTCTGGGTTTCAGATTCGAGTACGAGACCGAGACGTTGATGACCCGACTCGACCCGTCGTACTCGATCCACGAGTTCACCAGGTCGCCGCTCTTGAGATCGACATCGATGGAGCTCAGATCGCCGACACGTGTCGACACCATGGAGTTCAGATCCAAGCCGACGTGGTTGCTGTTGATGTCCTTGAACTCGACGTCCATGAGTGTGTCGAACTCTACGGCGACGAAACCCGACCCGGGCTCCGAGCCCGACTCGAGGCCGAGGAAGCCGCCTGCGTCGCCTAGCTCGGTGTCGTCGGGGGCGATGACAAAGGCGAGGCCGCCACCGATGGAGGAGGGGTTGAGGTTGGTGATGGAGAAGGAGAAGAATGTGGAGAAGCTCGCCGGAAAGGGGGAGGAGGGTTGCCGGAAGCGGACGGGCTTGGAGTAGAGGACGCGGCCGGCGCCGGAGGTGGGGACCGCGAGGTCGCGGGTGAGGCGGACGCTGCCATTGTTGAGGTGGGCGTCGCCGATGAGCTTGAGGCTGCTCAGAGTCAGGGTCCCGAAGTCGAACTCAGTGGCCGCATTCGTAATAACAAGGAAGAAGAAGGGCAAAAAGACAACGAGTGAGAAAGTTGAGCAATGAAAATCCAACATTATCAGTGATGAGCAGCCATCAGAATTTTCTGTGGTGCTAGTGGAGGGTTGAAGAAGATGAGATGAAGAAATTTATGAAGTGAAATGAAATCACGGGGTTTTGCGTGAGGAGAGAGAGAGAGAGAGTGATGGGGAGGTTGTATTCTTTGCCTTAAAACAGAACAAAGCTGGGCAAGCAAACAAGGAATACTAATGGGGAGAGGGAGGGGGTTGCGGGGGATACAGAATCCAAAGGAGACAGGTGGGTGGGCATTGCGCCACGTGTCCCTTCGTAACGGTTATTTTTTCGGTGATCGTAGATAAAGCTAGGCTTTCTTTTACTTTTTGGCGTTGAGCTCGCGCCACTAGCTTTTACGGGAAATTTCTGCTCGCACGTAACGACAATTTGTCACGCTTTTAAAACCAATTAGTTGCTTGATGATAGTCAATAACGTGAGCCCTAATTGTCAATCCGTAATGTTAATTAATATGCTTAGCTAAAAATTGTCTGCTAATTCCATTATTTGTCATGGAAATTTTGTTAATTAGTGATGATTAAGCTAATGTTAAATAGTGACATAATAATATCTAGTTGCTGTTAGCCCAAAACATAGAAGTCTATGAAAATTTGGATTGTCATTTTCTCGGCACAATCCTTACTAATAATGCGACTTACGTGGTAGTAATATCGGGTACTAATGCGTGTGTGTGTGTGTGTCAACGGCAATGATATATACAATGGTGACGGTGTGTGTGGCAATGGTGATGGCTGTGGTAAGTATGGCAGAGTTGTAGGTGATGGGCGTTAACGATGACTACAAAAGGCAACAACATTACTAGTATAGTGTGAGAGTAGCAATGGCTCAAGTCTTATGTTAATAGTGTAATGAAATGTTCTATAGATCTCATTTATTGGTTCCTCTTGACATTTTTTTCCTTATGATAAGATGGCAGTGACGACTTATTGTTTGTACGATATATGACTCTAAGATTTATGTGTTTCTTGGATTGTTTGTTGTTTTGGGTTTGTACTTGGAGTCGGGTTTTTCTTTTCTTCTTTTTTGTTGAGCTCTTATTTTTCTTTTTTTGATTTTGTATTGGGCTTTTTGTAATCTCTGATTGATAATGAAGTGTGTATTCTTCCGAATAAAAATAAAAATAGTGTACCATAATTGGAAATTTTTTTTCTTATAATGCTATTGTTTTAGGATTTGACAACAACGCAATCTTTTCGAAAAACGTAAAAATCTTAGTTTTCACATGTTGAATATAAGCTTCACATTCACACCCTTATATTTGTAACATAATTTTTCTAATTTCTCTTTATTTATGTATTTATTTTTGGCCCTTTTTTTGACTGGAAATCAGCAGGTCATGTTAAGTTGACTGTTGAACACGCATGACATACGCGGCCCGTTGGGGCATATACAGCACACTGGCCACGTCACCTTCATCATGCTTCCACATAACCACACGCCTTCAGGGTCGTTCCATACTTCCATTCCTATGTTTTTGGGCCATTAATTGTTGAGTTGCCTTGTGTAGACACTGTATGCAATGCACCATAATCATGGACACAATAAAATTGTTGCTTAACAATCTACCCTTAAAATTATGCTACCGTTAGTCGCAAGGCCAGCTCTAAGGGTGTATAGATGGTGTCACTGTACACATTCGTAAATTTGTAAGATCCTTATATTTTAGATAACATATATTATCCGTATGTGTTTGCATCATATTTATACTTCATGCAAAATTAACTCTCGCCGCAAATGGTATTATTGCTTGTATTTCAGTAATAGAACGCGTTGTTGATATATGTTCAAACATAACCTTTAAAATCTAAAGGCTAACCTTGGTCGCTTGTGACTGTAATATCACAACGTCAATTTTTGCAGCTATTTATGCTTAAATAATAAGAGATCATGTCGTGTAATCGAAAATATGTCCTCTTATTAAGTAAGAATTTGTGCCAAATGATACGCAAATTGGTATAATGGTAATACTAGTGCGTACAAGAATGTGATGCTATCATCTCTCAACGGAATAGCTTGAAAATTGGATGGTATTGTTGGCGTGCTATGGCATATGGGGACCCATATAGTTTGGTGGACGTGCAAGAGAGACATCTAATCACTTTAATCTTGTCTTGGTGGTGGTTCCATCGGAAAAGGGCGGTCTACGTCTAGGTGGTAATGAGATAATATATATGTGAGTGGGGCAGTGGGACTCTGGGAACAAGAAGACCATTCATGTGTTTGGCAGCTTCAGTTTTAGACTTTGAGTTTGAGTGCGTTTCACATTTTCATTCTAGTTTTTTTTCCTTTTCCCCATTATTTTATGACTTCAATTGTGCTGGTTACCAAGTTCGGGCACGTGCTTACGTTTAGAGCATCTTAACACATCCCTTTCATTTCAATCTTTATTTTTTATCATTTCATATTCACGTATCAATACAACATTTCGGTTGAAGATGCTTTTACTTATCGTACCTGTTTTAATATTAATCAATTAACTAATGAAGTCATGAATGATGAAATCTTGACATCAGACGGCTATCAATATGAATAGTATATGATCATATAGATCCAGAAAATCTAAACGGTCCACTAATAATATAAGTCTAAGCCACTGTACATATATAAAGATAATACATTTGTATATATATAATATGATGATTAAAGATAAGGTTTTGGAAGTATTTGATTGGTAGAAATATGATACATAAAATTATATATAATATTGAACAGCTGAAATTAAATATGCAACATTGATCAAGCTAGATTAATAACAGCTGGGAGGCATAATAATGGAGCTAGTTCTAACATCACTTTTTTTTCTTTATACAAACGATATTCTTTGAGAGTACTTGAACACGGAACTTTAGATGATGATTGAATTCTCTTAATCAACTGAACTGCACTTACCTAAACGAGTTTTATTTATAATCAATTATGGCTAGTGGCGCATGAACAATAACGGACTCAACAAAAAAGTTCTAAAACTTCAAAATCACTCAATCAATGGGACGTCCATGAACAATTACATTTTGACATTATGGTCATGTACTCAATTCATGATCACTTTACACACTTCTCAAAATGTCTTCAATTTTCTGTTAAAAATGATTTTTTTGTGTAAATTTTACACATTTTGACATTATGGGCATTATGATTTTCTGTTAAGATGATAATGAATTGAGGACATTACCATAATTGTTGTGTGTAATGATAATTTAGACCCTTCTGTTAGAATAAAACAACATTTTGATCTCTCTCCTTCAATCAACATTTAGGGTTTTAATTTACCATTATACCCTTGAAATCATGGTGATGTGTTTTGATTTTGAAGTTTGATTAAGTGGACTAAACCTGGGTTAATTAATTTCAATGGACCAAACTTGAATCAAACACACATCCAAGCCCATACTTTCCACAAGCCCTTCTTTATTAAATGGATCACATTTGCACCCCGAGAAGTTGGCTATTAGTCTCAAACATTACATGACTAATTTGTATTCACGTATCGACAATCCTTTCTAACTTCTCCTTGGTCCCCAGTAAGTGGACTGTTCTCGGATAAAAGCAGGGCAGCCCTAGAAAACTGCTCATTGAAGTAGTCATTATCAGAAGCCATCTTTTGCACAAACGGCAATGTAGCTGGGTCAGAAGCCAGTTCTGAATCCACTATGAGCAGACCCTTGTTCTTCAACAAGTTCTTGTAGTAATTGTTGTCCAGAATCATGGGCGTTTCACGGTCGTTCCTCGAGTATTGGACTCCATCGGGGTCTGGGATTGGGGTTGGGCACCTGCCTTTGAGGTACTCGGCATAGTCGGGGTCTAGGGTTGGATCGACGGTTGGGTAGAGTCTGTGCACGAGATTCACACAGTGGACTCGTCCCACAGAATGAGCTCCTGAATTGCAACAATTAGTAAACTACAAGTCTAAAATCGGAAAAATAGAAACTATATGTAAAAAAAATGGAACTTCCCCTAAACTATAAGAACCAAAATCGTAATGTAAGCTACATTTATTTGTAATTTTTATTATTGTGGATTAACTACTATTAAGTGTGATTTTGTACAACATTTTATCTTTTGGACCAAAAATATTGGTGAATTATATTTTAGGCACATGTGGAGGCCCCTACTCTTATATATAATAAGATATTTGCCGACCCATTAAGCTATTCTTGAAGGATTGTATATGTCAACAGTAAATTAAAGTCTTCCATATATATATATATTATTTTTTTGCCATTCGTTACGGAGGGAAATGGGGAGTATTATATTCGGTTGTTTTGTCTCAAGATTGCATCTTACGTAAACCGAACCTGAGTGCACTTGCGGTGAGAGTGAAAGTTTAGATAACTTTTCCATTGCAGTCCCCCCTCATGTATATTTGTTTATTTGATAAGTTACATGCAATTAAGAAAGTCCAAGATAATGCAATATGCATTTACATACCTAAAAGGGCAACTGTTCCTTCAACATCGATGCCAACGGATTGGAAGCTAGAGAGCACCGAAGACAATGAATCATTGTGATTAGGAATGAACTCTTCCACTATTTTCGCATAACTCTCCTTGCTGTCTCTTCTTCCCGTTTTCATCTCAATGTGTGGCCCTCCTAACTGCAATTAATTATCATGTTCACACCACTAAATTTTCTTAACCTCTCTCTTTAATTTTTAAAAAAACTTCAAGTGGAGATCTATTGAATTTTAATTATTAAATAAATAAAAAAATTACACCTACCTAACTAGCTGGGGACAAAGAGTAGAAAGCGCTTCTTGACAACGTTTAACGCAAAAACTTTAAAGTACTCATAAAAGCGTTTTTTGAAAGAAGCATATGCTAGGTATTTCTTTTTTAGAAAATACTTTCAAACGTGCTTCTAATAAAAACGATTATGAGTAGAATTACTTTTATAGAAACAGCCAATAACAACAAGCTTTATAACAAAGTATCGTAAATAAAAAGAGAGAGAACAAAAGTTAGGGAGAACGAAACGCATGCATATATATTAGTATACATACCATGACAATACCATCTCTTGCAGAAAGAGCAACAACATCAGCACAAGAAACTGTGGAAGGGCATTCATTCTCAACAGCCTTTTTGATTGTGTTCACGTACTTAAAATTTCTCATCCCAAAGCTCCTTCCAGATGCCTTCTCTGACTCTATCCCATTCACACTCTCTAACAATAAAGATGCATCACATCCCTACATATATAGCCACAAATTAATTAAGGTATAATCTTTTTATTTGATCTCTTTTTTTACCTAATAATAAATTGACTAATTAGGTCTCAAAGTCAAGGGCACAGCTCATACCTGAACGAAGCAATCATGGAAGAGATTTCTAAGCCAAGAGACGGCTGTATTTCCATGTTCATAGTATAGCTTGGTGACTTCTTGCTTGATGATTTCTTCAGCTTTTGGGCAACTCTCGGAGTAATAGTTTAGTTGGAGCTCACTTTTACCTATGCCAATCAAATTAAAACATATAACATTTTCGACCTAAATAATTAGGTTACGGCATAATAATTTGGACACACAAGAGTTTATATGATCAATAATTCAGATTGATAGATTGACTGGCAAGGTATACAATAAAAATGCACAAACAAGATGGAAAAGTGTGGTGAATATGTACCAAATTGAAATTGCAAGAGCAATGGAAATAACATAAGGATGATGAAGCTTGAGAAAGCATGGTGCTTATAGGCAGCCATCTTTCTAGTTCTTGGTTGGCTGCTTGCTTGCTTGCTTGTGTGATCTATGCGAGCTATTGTGGTGGCCTTTATATTGGGATGTGGTGGGGTGTGCCTTGGGAGGATTGGATCGAAACAGAAACCTTCTAAGCCTCCTCTCCACCAAGCCACTTTCTTTGACCTTTTTGTCCCACGCGTGAAGGCCCACTCAAACCAAATATATAATTCTCCAAAATTCACAATATAACACAAATTAATTAAATTTTGTGGTCCATCAATAATACCACCTTATTATATCATTCATGATGCCATGATTAGATCAACCTTATGAAAAAAATACAACATCATGTAACCATAGAACACAAGAGAATTTATGTGATTCGACTCTTACGTTCACGGCGTAGGCAATAAAAAAGGATAACAATGTGCTTGAATATTCACTCACAAGACCTAACACTCAATCTCTCAAAGAAGTAAAGAAGAAAATAAAAGGAAATTAAAATGAACTGAGGTGTAAGAAAGTATATGAAAGTGATGTCCTTGGTTGATCCCTTGGATTTTATATGGAAGAGAGACCAAGTTCATTTTCATTGGAGGACTAAGAATGCTAGAGATATTATTGGATATGGATTTAATATACGTGGCATGCAAAGAAGTCGGGAACCAAGAAGATGGTGTGTATGAAACAATTTTTCATAATAAACTTGGGTTTTCCATATAAATTATTAAAAAAACGCAATTAAAAAAAATAATGAAATGGAGCTTCAATAATTTCTAATTAAAGGGAATATCGTGCAAGCTAGAGGGTAGCGGAGATCCAACAAATGAGTTAATATATGCCTTCGTCAAACACTGATGTTCAAATTTAATTAAAAAGATAATGCACGAAAGTGGATGGTTGAGAAACGTATTTGGTGTTGGCAAATCTAATCATGTAGCTTGGAAGATCCATGGAGAATATGTCAAGCACTTGAAGGCATACGTATGGATAATATTTTCTTGGATTACTATATTTCTCATCGAGTTTTCATTGCTATATGACCGAAAAAATAAAGAAAGAGTTTTCATTGCTCATGTGAGTGTGTTTAGGAGTGGCACATATAAATTATATAAAGAAAAACTTTGTAATGTCTCTTTCAGTTATAGGTCGTGTTCCACTTTCCTTCTTAACTTTTAATTTGGTTATGAGTACCATAAACTTCTAGTTCGTGCTTATTCGACCTCTGTCGTTGGTTATATGAATTATTTTGTCAAATTGAGTCATTTTCGTCTATTCAAGTGAGGACTTACTTTTGCCCCTTACATTAAGGGAAGCTAATTGAAAATGCGACGTAATTGGCGGTTGGACGGATGTTTGCATGAACTACAAATTTATGAGTACTCGAGATTAAATTGGAAATTTAGAGAGTAAAGTGGAATAAGGTCGAAAATTCAAAGAGCATTGCTAAATTTTTCCCATTATATAATTAGTCCCTTGTATGATGGGAATTTCAATTAATACTATATGACAAGATCGAACTCATACGGCGAATTTGGGAGTTTGCCACTAAATGTGAAAGCTCCCCACGATAATCAAGTTGAAGAATATTAGCCTCTAATTTTGGATTGTCAGTTGATTTGAGTGGTAATTGGCATCAGATGCTTGTAGATTAGATCCACTTCAAAGCCACTAATAGATTAAGGGCCAACACGCTTCATAATAAGAACGATTAGTGGGTAAATCTTTTTTTATTTTATTCCCAATAAATATTTAATTAATGAATAATAGCACAAGTTGTGGTTGGAACTTGGGAGGTCGTCTTTTGCTGCTAATCTTGTGATATAATAATAAGAAATGGACTATCTATTTGAAAACTTCAAAATTCCGTACAAACAACTTCAAAACATGATTTGATGGTTTGTTGTGTTGCTTGGTGCTTGGCGCATGCTTTAATTAAATCAATGAGGCCCAAATTAACTTAACCATACCTTGATGCACAAATTTGGAAACACTCACAGGCCCAAAGGCAAGTATCCCAAGACTGAAAAAATATAGGGTTCAAAAGCTCTCTCTCATGCAAAATTAGTCTAGAAATAACAAAATTTAATTGTTTCTGATTTGGGCTCCGACTTGGGCACATGATACATAGTTTTGAAAGGAACGACGAGACGAATACAACTCAACGTAAAATATCAATTTTTTTAGACTGAATTCTATTGTTTATTAGATAAAAACGAAGTTGTTTTAGGGGTTATTATTAGGCTTTGCTATTAGGGTTTAGGCCTAATTCTATCGTTTTCTATTGCTATTTAGCGGTTACATGTCTTCTTTTCTATATCTCTTTAAGTGATTAATCACGTGAAGAGAAAAGGGTAACATTAAAAAACAGAATATATAACCCTGTGCGTAGGTAAGTTTTGATGCCCTCAAAGGCCAAAGCACATGAAAAAGACAAGCCAAGTGGAATATGTCACAAGGATCTTGGCTGAAAATGGATGTTGAAAGCCAGCTCCTTGTTATTCTTTCTCAAACTCTCACATCATGCTAGTGGTAGATCCCTTTATCTATTAGTACTTATCCTCTTGAGAATTCTATAGCATCGGTCAAACATGCACCATAATTATCAATGAAGCCAGTCCCACGCTAAAGGTACATAATTATCCGAAGTGAATGATTGTGTTCAGGGTTAGAAACAATCATAACAAGCCTTGAGAAACTTCAAATTTTGTTTTACTTTGTAATCTTCAAATTAAACTTCATGCACGTTTCTCTCATAAAATACTTGTAGCTCAAGTGATTAAGAAAAATTACACATATATATGAGATTCATGTTCGAGTGGCTCCCCTTTCAATATCGTTTGCATAACAAATAAACAAGCTTCCTTTATGATGAACAACCACAATCTGATAATGTTTAGGCTGAATTAATCAAAGTTTTATACGAGCATAAGATAAATTTGTTCACTAATTCTTTGTCGACTGGCCAGCCGGCAGCCGCCATTCCACGTAAAAATGGCATTAGCCACTAAAATCTAAATATTACTTTATGATTATAATGCCAAAAGCTTTTCATATTCAAGCCTTCCAAATGTCAAATTCGAAACAATAACGACAATGAAAAAGCAAAAAGCAAAAAAATAAAGAAAAAAAGTGCTCTGGCCTTTTGCCTTTGCACTCCTTTATTTATATTTACGTGAACATTTACACAATCACAGTCTCTCTTTAACGACGGCCAAAAAACATAACATTTTTACAGTTGCAAAAGCTGTCGGCAAATAAAACCAAAACCTGTGTTAAGATTCCTGGTGAATTTCTGAAGCAACAGTTCTAGCCCAAAACTTCAGATGTTTCTTCATATCCGCAGCTGCAGAGACTCTTGGCAGCCTCAGATTTAGCAGCGGTGAATCGGGTCGCTTTATCAGCCATGCCTCTGATAAATATGGCCTCGTCACTTCAACTTCTCTCTCACCATCTTCATCTTTTTCAGCTGCCACTTCCACAGAATCATCATCATCTTCACCGTTCTGTAACTTCTTATTATTGGACATTCCGAGCCTCTGCAGGCCAGGCACTAAGCTCATCATTCTCGGGCTCAAGTGTTCTCTCTTGAACGTGAAGCCTAAATCCATGAACCCTTTAACTTCTTCGAGCTCCAGCTCCCCCAAGCTCCTGCAGCTCATGGATTTTTGTAGCTTTCTCGCTGCTGCTTCTGCTGCAGCATAGCCTGGTGATGATGTTGCTGATGCTGATGAGCGTGTTCTGTTTTTCTCGGGACGTTTTTGCTGATCAGATGAATGAGAGCGTTTTAACATTCTGTTGGCCAGCAGGTTTAATCTTGTTGGTCTGATTTTCTTCTTCTTTTTCGGGTTGATTGAATCTGTCGAGTTGGTCTCATCCTCCTCTTCATTGTTGGAATCATCCTAATCGTTGTTGCAGCATATGCATGAGACATGGGAGAAGTTTAGAAATAGAAGAAACATCAGCTAGGACAAGTGTGTGCCTAAAATTCAGAGATCAAAATATTTTACAGTTCTTTGTTCGAATTAAAGTTATTAGACATAAATTTTAGTACTTGGGTTTTGCTCAGATTTAAATTTCAGCAACTGTGTTTTTAATTTGGTCAAATTGAAAACATGGACCAAATTGAAATCCCAGTTCCAAAAATGAATTTTGACTTCTTTTTTGTTTTTAAAAGTACCTGTGGAGTAGCGGTTTGTGGTGAATCTGATGAGTTTTCTTCATACAAAAGAGGTGAGAAACCTATTTCTTCATCTGCTAGAGGTGTGAAGGAGACGCTGGATGATGGGTATGTAAAAGAATCTGTGATGATTGAGTCCTGAGGTGTTTGATCTTCAATGGTACTTTTGGGGCCAAATAATGACATGGGCTCGGAGAAAAGAATGGTATGGTGAAACCATAGACGATCTATGGCTCCTAAAAGACACAAGAAACTGTAATTGTTGGCCATGGGGACTAGCTAGAGCTACTTGGTGATCACAGAGGAAGAGAGAGAGAGAGAGAGAGAGAGAGAGAGAGAGAAGGAGGTGTTAGCAAAAGAAATATAAAAATATATATAGTGGGTGGTTGTGGTTGTGGTTGTGATTACGGGGAAAGAACAAAAACAAGTGAAGCAAATGAGCGTAGAGAAGTGGTGGAACCTCCAACAGTCCTAGAAGATGTGGTCAGAAATCTTGGATTCTATCAACTCCACACATCTTTAAAGACAAATTGACAAGAGCTGCAAAGCCCTCCATGAGACATAATGTTGTGATGATCAGTATATACTTGGGAATATAACAAAAATTCAGGCCTTGTCCATTTTTTTTTAAATTTGTCCGAGGACCACATAGAGCCACCGAAGTTGGATCCCCCAGGACTCTAAACCTTATCCCTGACTAGATTAGATTAGCATGAGTGTGAATCTTCAACCGGTTTGGTAACACTTTCATTTTTGGTTTTCGGTTTCTATTTTTCATTAAAAGATAGAGAGGAAATGCATGTAAGTTCAACTTCGGGGTCGTATATCTTGGACCGATTAGTGCTATCCTAATTAATTGGCCATTAAGCATTCTAATGATTTGAAGTTCTAAACAATTTTTTGTATAGATAAATTTAATAGTGGTTTGTCAATTTACAAACAAAAATAATGGAAGAAGCATAAGCTGCAACATCCCATGATGTGTATGTATTTCCCTGCAATTGGCTACAAAGTGGCAATCACTGAGTTTGCAGGCCTCCAGCCAATAACCCTCCTATATATACTTAACAGTTTTCTGATTCTACTCAAGATTCAGCATCTGAATTTCTTCTGAAACCCCTTGACGAGCTTCCCTCTTGTTCTACTATCTCATCTCTGGTATCCCATCTGTTAGAAGAATGGACACTACTTTCGGCTGGTTCAGCTGGTCTGAAAGCCCTTCTTATACTGTTCCTCATGGCGCTCCATTCTATGGAGAAAGATGAGCGTCCTGATTGCGAAAGTTGTTGTTCCTTCTTCCTCCTATTTCTCACCTCAGCATGCCATTGCCTTAAAATGTCTGCCATTTGATCTTCTACTATCTTGCCTTTGAATTGTGAACCCATCTGTGTGAATATACCAAACAACACTTCAGAGATCAACTAAGTTTGATCGACATCCTTCAAATTATTTTGGTGACAACCAAAGTTGAAGGTCTTGTCAACATAGCTATGAACAACCCTTGAGATCAATATACTTCACCTGTGTGACCAGTGCATAGAGAGGAAGAGTAATATAGCTGCAGAGGATTTGAGTTGTCACCCTGACAAATCAAAGGAATTTGCAATCATTAATGCAAACAAGGCATATGCTGATTTAGGTATCAGTATCATCAGAATTGATCAGAATGCAAGTTTTCAGGTAGTCTTACGCTAAGAAAATCCTTGTAACAATGATCACGGTGTTCTCGTGGTAGCAAGATTTGAAACCGAATTGCCACTAAGAGCCACAAGAAGTATATTCTGTCATAAGTTAAGCAAAATCTCTAAATTGAACTCCTACAGACTACATATGGGAAAGAAAACTCACTGTAACCCAAACGAAGACGGCAAGCTCAAATGCATTCTGCAAGGTCCAAATTAAGAAAGTAAAATTAGTTAAGTAGGGTCTACTAAGTTATAAACTTCTAGATAAATGTTTCTTCGTTGTGATACGAGCAAAGGCGTACCACGAATAGAGTATAACGTAGCAGCACCAAGACAAATCGTGGTTTCCTAAACCAGAACAGATCATCGTTTAGTCGTACAAGAGGTGTTCCGACAATCACACTGTTCTGTTCTTTAATTTGAAGGGCCATTTTTGCAACAATATGCTCAAGCTTGGTTCCTAGAACCAGCACCACCTACAAACAAAAACAAAGTTAATGATTGTATTTGAAAACACATGAACTTTTATTTGCTATGTATACACACAGCAATTTACTTACCAAGAGTGGAACATAGGATAGCCAGAGATATACAAACCAGCCTGGTTATTAAGAGTTCAAACAAATGCCTATCAATAACACATTTCTCAATCTCAACACAAACTCAAAAAGAAATTAATACACACATTATGAGCAACAGGAATTCTTACCATACACATCCACCAGCATAAAAGCTGCTAGCACAAACCACATCAGAGGGCTGTGCAAAGAAAAGAGACCACATTAAGTTTATCAATTAACAATTAAAAGAAAAAGGGCTGATCAAATATGTTAGAAATTAGTGTAATTAGCAACCTGATTGAAACCATGACCTTGAAATCTTCCTCCAACGACCGCTGTATGTACTTCTGGAAATCGAAGTTGTGCCTGCTCGGCAGATGAGCCTGCAGAAAGATACATTAGCAATAAACTTAACTGATTCCATCAAACAGTTATGAAATTGGTTTGCTGGACTTGAGTTCAATACCGCTATGAAGCCGTGTCTCATGGTGGTATAGTCAACTTTGGCCACTGAGTTATAAAACTGCCTGAAAAAACATTTCTGCTCCGTTTCACAACCATCCAAAACCAAGCCATTATTAGAAGTGTGCTTAGGATTAATTTAAACAAGTAAAAGCTCATGTTTGAAGGTGATCAAAAGGGCCTTACCAACCAGAGATGAAACGATGTCTCTGTACAAGAAGTCAAGTGCCTTCTTCCAAATGTTGTTTGCCTTGCAAATCTGAACCGATTTGGATCTGCATGCAAACCAGTGTCAATAAGCTAGCAAAGAAAATTTCTACTTGAGCATCTTTTCCTTGTGCTACACACAGTGAAAGTGCTTATTCAGGTGACATAAACAAAGATTGACAATTTTTCCATTCCAACGTCTTTGACAAGATTAGATTAAGGGCTTTTCACAAATAGGCCCATTCTTAAAAGTCTTTCTAAACGAGTCGGAGTCAACGATATCTAGAGCCGTATAGAAGTGTAAAACATAACGGTATAATCATAATGCAGCCAAAGCTCATGTGCAAGATCTTCCAATTCACGTGGCTCAGGCCAAAAAACAAATGAAAAAGAGTTCAAAAGACGAAGACTTTGCAACCATTTTGAGATATTTTAGAGGATTTTAATATGAACTCAGCAGCCTTTCTAAGAAAAGAATTTGGTAAGAGTCTGTCATCTCACCTACCCAAAAAACAAGAACATATTTTAAAGTCAATAAAAACATGTCTAGAATCTGGTTCAATTCCTTTGAAAATTCAGCTCAACTTTTATTGGTACTTTTTTTTTCTCCACTTGTACTTTATGGGACATACCATTCTCAACTTGGTACTCCATTGTTCTAGTCTCTTGCTCCCAACTTTCCCAGCGCCTCATCTGCATATAAAATTCAAGATTTTTTAAATAAATAAAAAATTTCATCATTTTCACTTAATAAATTAAAGCTTGGAATAATCTTGTAATGAACATACCTTGGCCCTCCCCAAAGCCATGGTGAGAACACTGTACAGAATATGCATAACCGCCAGCACAAAAATAAGTATGTGAAGTTGATGCAGAGCATCCTTCGTCATGAAAGCTACTTTTCCCTGCGGAAAACAAAAATCTCATGTGAATTAAATAAATCATTAAGCACCCAAATTACCCAATTAACTCCATGATCACCAAGGCACTTACGTCACCGCAAGAATCAGAAGCAGCTGCATCGTCCTCCTCTGCAAGCCGCCTATGCACTGTTTGTCTTAGTATTTCATCATACAGACCATTTGCGGCAGCCGAAAAATTCGTCACAATTTTATTCACAATCACAAAGTGCTCAACATCCTCTGTTTCTTTTTCTTCGCTTGCTCCCTTTTTCCGGCATGGAAGCATGATGTCTCCTATCTTGGCTGGTATGCAGATTTTAGATATTGAATTTTGGGTTACGGCCAGTAAAAGTGACACAAACCCCATAAGCATCAGCTCTGCAAAACAAACAGAACAATAAACTTCAGTTAATTAACCCAATACAAGTATCAAATAGTTTAGTGGATACTGCACCTGATTTAAGCTTCTCAACTGCCTCCGTCAAGGCATTTTTCCGATGCCTCTTGAGAAACTGCAACAAATTCAAACGTGTTCTAGCATATCAAATTCATCGTCATACATACTTTTTCATGACATGTTGGGTTATCATACTGTTATTACGAAAGAGAGAAAAAAGAAGAGCTTACGTTGACAAGGAGGTTGATGGAGTGCTCGAGGAAGATGGAGATGAAGATGAAGAAGAAACAAACGGTAGCGAGTGCCCATGTCGGGGTGTATTCGAGAGTGGCACCGCCGGATCCGGAGTCCACTGCCATGACGGCCTTAATCTCTTCTCAACTGGATGTGATTGTTCTTGTTTGATTCTTCTTGGTCTTATGTGATATTTCTTCAACAATTTATGGCTGAAAATTTTCGGACTTCTAGAAATGAAACTTTGATAATTCGAAATCGTTGTCTCTCTCCCATTCCCACTTGAGATTATATACCCAAATACCTGTCATGCAAAGCTACTATTTATATAAGTCTCTGTTATATAATGGTGTAAGTCAACCGTCAAATATGCAATGAAAGTGAGAAATTAAAAAAAAATTCAACTTTTTGATGTGCCACCGTTTCTCTTTTTCTTCCATATGACAACCGCGTAGCAATTGGAGCTTGTGACTTTCTAGACATCGGTCAATTCTGATGATCATATATAAAATTATTTTCTGAATAAATGTGGGACACCAAAATAAAAAATTTTAAACTTTTTCTTATTATATTATTCTAATAGATATTTTTGGCACGAGAAAAAAAGATATTCGTATAAATAACGAGACAAGAAAAATCTTTTAACATGTTCATTATTGTTCTTTTCTGATAGATATTGTATGATATTTTATATTCACTGTATAAACTATGTTTTTTCTTTTTCTTTTTAATAATAAAAACACAGTAAATTTACATAACAATCCATACCAGCTGATCCAAAAATTCAATTACTTTTTTTATTTTTTATATACAAAGGGATATTGAGGAAGACGAGATTCTATTCTAACAAAGCACCTCAGACGCATGTATAAATCTCAAAAGCACTTGAGTTGCAAGCTTTTTGAAATCCAAATATTCAAATTAACCTTGAAGCATAGAAATCAACATCTATAAAGAATCAAAGATGGTTTAATCAAAATAAATAAAAAAGTAATCAAAGAATCAAAGACTGTTTAAGCAAAAAGGAAAAAAAAACAAAGAAAGAAAGAATCAAAAGACTTTTTTTTTCCTGTTTCTTTCTACAGCGTTACACTTGGACACTGTTTGACTGTGTGTTAAGAATCAAGCAATTGGTTTGTATTTTACCTTATTTTGACTTGGCATGGGGATCTAGAAGACAAATACGTATACATACATATACGTAACATTTTGACCTAATCCAAGAATTAAACAATATATACATGTTGGTGGTGGCTCAACCCTCAAACCCAATTCCCTAGCTCCAGAAAAGTACGCAGAAGTAAATGACACATGCAAGAGCCCCTTTTCTTTTTTCGTTTTGGGGGGTTTTGGTAACAAAAATTAGGGATTGATAATAAGTTAGGGGTGGAGGAGGGTATATTCTCCACCTGAAGACTTTCCAAGGCCTTTGTTGTTCCACACGTGACACGACTTTATTTGTTAAGAATAGTCATCAACATAACAATTTGTGTATGACCTATGATCTCTTTTACTATTTGTATTTTAAGATTGGGACAGTGATACTTACTTAGCCACTTGTCTTGTTTTTGAAAAACTTAGTGGCTCATTACAAGAAAAGAGAATCATATTTTCATGAGTAGGGAAATTTTATGCGCCCGTGTTAAATTGTGATATGTAAATAAAAAAGAATGGCTCATAGCTTCAAGGTTATTTAATCTTGCATCATTATATACAACAAATCAGTAATATGATGAGATTTAAAGCATGAGGTGTTTCTTCAATGGTACTTTTGGAGCCACATAACTGGGATCCCTAATGTAGAAACTGATTTTCCATTATATTATTCATATGATCATTATACAATATATATAAAGTCTGTAGTGAATAATCTACAGTTACAACAAGCCATTATCATAAACATAAATATGGAGTTATGACCTAATAACAACATAACTGACAACTGACCATTTCCTATCATTAGTAGGATTAACTATTGTAACTCCCTAATACTCCCTCGCAAATCGAGCGCACACAGTATAGCAAGATTTGAATGAAGAAACTACATAGTAATGGAGATGGCGGCAGCAGTCGGTTGTAGTAGTCCAGTAAGGGGAACCAAAAAGAAGAACTCCAATCTCCAGAGTTGCAACAACGGCATGAGAGAAACAAAGTAAACATAATGCCCATTGAAAGGCAGGAAGTGAAGGTAGGATAAAGAGCATGCGGTAAGTGAGAAAAAAAAAGTAGCCATGTAGAAAAATAAAAGTTGCGCAAAATAAATAAAAAAAGTTACACCCATAGGAAGAGAGGAAGTGGAAAGAAAAGAAATGTATCACATGGTAAGCAACACAGTAGAGGATGCAGCACAACAGTAGAGGATAAGAGGTGAAACCAACTTGGGACACAGAGAAAAGAAAACGAGAGCATGGGCAAGTTTGAATTTCAAAGCACCATAGAAACAAGAAGGTATGAGAAAGAAAACCACGGGGGAATAGAGAAGTAATAAAGAAAAATCATCACACGAGCATAGAAGCCCATAGAGATTAAAATAAAGAGGGATTATTGACCCAAAAAAAAACAATAATAAGAAATAAAAAAGGAAACCAAGTGAGACAGAGAAAGTAGTCAAGAGAGGGAGAGAGAACAAGATGCAAGAGACAATCCATGAAAAGGAAAGGAAACTCAAGATTCCAGAGACAACCCATGACAGGGAGAGAGAAAACACAATTGAAAAGAAGAGAAGAGAATACCCCAGTAACATAAAATAATTATAAAGAAAAGAAGACAATATCCGAGTAAAAGAGAAGAAGAAAGGCAGCGCAAGAGAGCATTGAAGAAGACAGAGACCAACAGTAAAATCAAAGAAATAGATTGGGCTTAAGAGGGGAGGAGAACACAGGTTGAGCATAGATAGAGCGTGAGAGGCCGATACCAAGGCAACAACACAATGATAGGGCTTGAGTGGCCAATACCAAGTCGGCAACACAGAGGAAGAAACATGGGCTGTGCAAAGGGAACACTGGCAGGGTAGCAAGGTAGAGAAGGCTCGGCGAGTGTTGACGAGGCTCATGGAGGAAAGAAAAACCAGCTCAGCGAGAGAGACGGCGTGAGGGAGACAAAGAAGTGGACAGAGATGTCAAGAGAAAGAGAGAAACCAACAATAGAAAGGTGTGGTCTTCGAGGGAAAACAGAGATATGGCCATCATGCCAAGAGACGGACATGGAGAAGGAAGTGAAAGGAAGTTTTATTTTTATTGATTTTTTTATTTATTGTTATTTTATAAAGAAGATACGGGCTTCTAATAAAAACAAATAAAAAACAAAATAAAGGAAGGAAAGCATAAAGTTGAGGAGCACGAGTGTTTGGGCAGGAGAGAGAGATGAAGCGAAGGGGAAGCATGCGTGTAGATAGATATTGGAAAAATGGGGGGCTCATGACACCAAAGAGAAAGAGAGGGAGTCTTGATATAACCAGAGAAAGAGAGAGAGAGTTCAAGAGGGAGTTTTGATAGAGAAAAAAGAAAAGAAAAAAGGAATGAGATCCTGGAGAGAGAGAGAGAGAGAGAGAGAGAGCACATGAGGGATAGACAACAGTTGTGCAAAGGGACTAACAACAGTGAAGCACAGCATGACAGAGACAAAGGCCGGCTAGGATAAGGCTTGGCGAGCTATGACAACTGACAAAGGGGAGAAGGCTCAATCTTCAATAGAGAGCATAAGAAGGAGAAATGGCTCAATCTTCAACAGAGAGTTAGACACGGAGAGAGTGAAAGATAAAGACTCATCAATGAGTAGAAGAGCTTGCCAGGGAGCGTTGAAAAATAAAAGGAAATGGCAACGGCAGAGAGAAAGAAAAAAAAATTTACTGATTATAGAAGGGAGGAGAAGATGAAGAACTATACAGAAGCAAACACCCTTTCGGGCGAGGAGAGCCAATGATTCTCAATGTTAGCAAATGAAGGATCGCTAATTGGCGTTAGCCATTAGCTCTGATACCATGTAGAAACTGATTTTCCATTATATTATTCATATGATCATTATACAATATATATAAAGTCTGTAGTGAATAATCTACAGTTACAACAAGCCATTATCATAAACATAAATATGGAGTTATGACCTAATAACAACATAACTGACAACTGACCATTTCCTATCATTAGTAGGATTAACTATTGTAACTCCCTAATACCTAACTAGACTAAGATTCATTAATTAGTGCAATATAGAAGCAGCGTAGCCTATTTCCCCAATCCAAATTGCAGATGCAAAAGCACTCTCAGACCAGAACCAAGTCTAACCCCTTGATGAGTTTCCCTCTTGTTCTACTATTTCATGTTCGATCTCCCATCTGCTAGACAACAACTGGATACTTTGAGCTGGTTTGGAAGGCTGCCTTGTATTAGAAGGGACTTCTGTACTAGTTAGACTCTTTCTCATGGAGCTCCATTCTGTGGAGAAAGATGTGACTTCAGATTGTGAAAGTTGTCCTTGTATGCCTCACCTCAGCACTCCATTTCCTTAAAATGTCTGCTGTTTTATCTTCTAGTATATGGCTTTTGAATTGTGAGCCCATCTGTTTGTATATAAATAACACTACTAATTCAGATATCAACTAAATTAATTAATAGTTTGATCCTTAAAACTGATTTCTAAAGTTTTTCTAGTAAATGTTGCTATGATCAAACCATTCAGATATGCTTCACCTGTGCCACAAGTGCATAGAGAGGGAGAGTGATGTAGCTGCAGAGGACTTGGGCTGTCACCCTGAGATAATAAAAAAGAATTTACAAACACTAATGCCAACAAAGCTTGCTAATAAAATTAATTCATAACAATAATGTTTTTTTTTAGTATGATAAAATAATTTTGAAGTTCATCTGAATGCAGAATTTCAGGTGGACTTACGCTAAGAAAACCCTTGTAACAATGATCACAGTGTGCTCGTGGTAGCAAGATGTCAACCCGAACTGGATCTAAGAGCCAGGATAATTAAAACCAGAAGAAGGATATTCTGTCATAAGGTAAGCAAAATTTCTGATGTAGAACTTCTGCAGAAAATGGAGGATGTATGGGAAAAGTACACTTACTGTAACCCAAATGAAGAAGGCAAACTCAAAAGCATTCTGAAGTGTCCAAAGAAAATAACATTAGGCAAGCAGGGTGGGTTAGGTTATCAATTATAGTTAAATTTTCCTCCATATGTGATATGAGGGAGGGCGTACCACAAAGAGAGTATAATGTAGCAGCACCAAGACATATTTTGGTTTCCTAAACCAGAAGAGATCATCGTGTTGAACAAGAGGTGTTTCGGAAACTGCACTGTTCTGTTCTTTAATTTGAAGAGCCATTGTTGCAACAATGTGTTCAAGTTTGGTTCCTAACACCAGAACGACCTACCAAATTTTTTTTAATGATTGTATTTGAAACTTCAAACACATTAATTTTTTGTGCATAAAGCAATTGACTTACCAAGATTGGAACATAGGATATCCAGAGATACACATACCAGCCTGGTAATTAAGAGTTCAAACAATGCAGTGAACAACAAATCTCAATCCCAATACATACTGAAATAAGAATTCTTACCATATACATCCAACAGCATAAAAGCAGCTGCTAGAAACCACATTAACGGGCTGTGGAGACAAAACAGACCACATTAAGTTTGTCACTAATAATAACCGTGATGATCAAACATGTTGCAACAATGCATCATAAGAATCAACAACCTGACGCAAACCATAATCCTGAAATATCTTCCTCCCAGGATAGCTGTATGTACTGTTGGAAATTGAAGTTGTTGTGCCTGCTTGACAGGTGAGTCAGCAGAACGATTCAGCATCGCTATTAGGCTTAACTGGATTTAGTTTTAAAAGACTTTCCCATCAAACAGTTAACAATCTGTCTGGTTGGACTTGAGTTCATTACCGATATGAAGCCATGTCTCAAGGTGAGATAGTGAGCTTTTTCTATTGAGTTGTAGAACTGCCTGGAAAAACATTTCTGCTCCATTTGACAATCATCCAAAATTAAATCATTAGAAACGTCTGCTTCTGTCGTTATTTAAGATTAAAACAAAGTAAAACTCCTTCTTCAAGATCATCAAAGGGACTCACAATCCATAGCTGAACTCTATTCTCTGTACAGGAATTCATGTCCCGTCTTCCACCTGTTGTTTGCCTTGTAAATCTGAATAGATTTGGATCTGCAAGCTAACTAGTGTCAGCAATTAGCAGAGAAAATGTGTAGCTAGCTACATGAAAATATATAGCTCATGTATTGGCACATACCATGGGCGACTTGGTGCTGGCCCATTTTTTGAGCTTGAGCATCTTTCTCCCAAGCTTGAAAGCTCCTCATCTGCATATAGATTCAAAAATGAAAACACCAAAAAAGTTCATTTGTTTAATCAATTGCACTTAAATTTTAGAACAGCTTTGTAATGGCTAAAGCTAAAGCACACCTTGGCCCTTCCCAAAGCCATGGTGAGAACACTATACACAATGTGAATTACCGCCAGCACAAAAATCAGTATGTGAAGCTGATGCGGAGAATGTTTTTTCATGAAAGGTACTTTTCCCTGCGAAATTTCATCTGAATTAATAATTAAGCATCCAAATTTTCCGTGTTAATTATTCCCGCTGCCCCCCTTTTATATATCAAACTATGCACTTACATCACTGCAAGAATCAGAAACAGCTTCCTCTGCAAGTAACCTATGAATTTCACCATACGAACCACCTGCTCCTGTCGAGAAGTTTCTTGCCCCAAAGTGCTCAGCATCTTCTTCTTTTCGAGTTGATTCGGGTGCAACCTTTTTGCGACATGGAAGCATGGTGTCTACTAGCTTGGCTGGTATGCAGAATTTGGATATAGAATCTTGGGTTAGTGCCAATAAAAGTGATGCAAATCCCAGAAACATCAACTCTGCAACAAATTCACAAAACAAAAAACTTCGGGTAACCCCATGCCCAAATTCACAAAACAAAAAACTTCGGGTAACCCCATGCCAAGTATCACATAAGAAATGAAATATCAGTTTAGTTTAATTAATACGGTGCCTGATTTGAGCTTCTCAACTGCATCAATCAAGGCAGCTTTTCGATGCCTCCTGAGCCACTGCACCAAAGTTAATGTGTTCTAGCATGAAATTAATCATATATGTACATATAAAAGAAATGAATATACTCTTAACATACAGTGTGAACAATATATTAACGTGACAAATCAGAAGAGCTAGCTTACGTATGTTGGCAAGGAGATGGATGGAGTACCGGAGGAAGACGGCGGTGAAAATAAAGGAGTAAACGGTGGCAAGTGCCCATGTCGGCGTGTACTCTATAGAGGTGCCTTCAGAGGCTACTGCCATGACAATACTTTGTTCTCTTTCTGTGTTTTGGAATGTGATTGTTTTTGTTCTGTACTAATAATTTTCGTTAATTTATGGTTGAGAGATGAATGTGACAAGGAATTGAAGTTTTGATAATTGCAAATCCTTTCTTCTCCCACTCACAGTAGGACTAACTACACAGTATTACATGTTATATATGCAGGGGCACTACATACAATGAAGGAAAATGTAAGAAGATAGCATCAAAATGAATTTTTTTAATGCTGTTCTAACCAGCTCTTATCTGTCATTTAATCCATATTTTATAAGTAAAATATTAGTGATTAGCATCCAACATCTTTACTAAAGGAATACTGTGGGCTACAAGTAAAGTATACACATTTTTTTGTGGGTAAGAAGTAAAGCATATACTACTAGGCAAGTCCTCTGCACATTTACAGTTTCCCAATTATTTATAACACGTTATGGCTTTAAAGGTCAAGTTGGGCATTTGGTCTAGTGGTATGATTCTCGCTTAGGGTGCGAGAGGTCCCGAGTTCAATTCTCGGAATGCCCCCCAATTTGAACTATTTTTAAACTTTTCGCCCTTTATTGACACATTGGGCTGAACACTATTGGGCTATCCATTTAGCGGTGTGTATTTTGGGCTCATTTAAATATTTTACCAAGTATTTTTTACACTGTTCAAATAAAATGGAATTTGTTTTTTGTCTGACCATTTCCTTCTAGGTTGCTAATATGTATAATTTTTATAATCAATGAAAAAGATTTCCAAATTTAGTTGATAATATTTTCTCTTTTGTCCCTTTGCGGGTAGAGAGAGAGAGGCACCTAGAATTGGGTTTTTTTTTCCCTTTCTCTTTTCTGTTGCTTCTAAGAAATTATTTTTTATTTTTTATTATTATATGCTTGCATAAGAAATTCCATCTCAAGTTCTAGAAAAGAATAGGTCTAACCGACAATGTTCCCTTCCAAACAGAAGAGTTTGAAGAAATTGATCCAAATATTTTGTCTAGCTATTAGAACCCACCAATTAGTAGGTCGTACAACGATTTTCCATCCAAAAACAAACCATTGTTGTTGTTGAATTGAATAGGATATTCCCTCATTCCAATACCAGCCAGGGTACCAGAGAAATGAAACTTTCAACTTGGATCCACAATCATGATTGATTTGCAAGTTTAGCATTATGACAAATAGTTTGGTAGAACCGTACGTAACATCAGATTTTAGTATTACCATGAATTATTTATCGGACTAACACCGTATGTGGTGGTATTATAAATGGTGTTGACAGTTTACATTATTGTTGGAGCATAAAATTTCGGATCCTGCAACAAGTAATCATGTATCTATGTTGAGAAGTCGGACACTATTTTGATTGCCACCAACATGGATGAAAGGGAGTACTTGCAAGAAAACACTTTGACACTCAAGTCAGTAAGTGTTCAAAAAGTTGCAGGAGAGTTTAGAAATAATATTGTACCTGTTTTTCCTCTTAGGCTGGTGAGTTAATTGGCCTTTTATAGGCATTCAAATCTTGGACTCTAAGTTTCATGTTCCATGATTTTCTCCATGATCCACGAATAATAGTGGTGATCATGTAGGCTTGATTGCCTCCACTACCCATGTTTAGAATGCATGGGAAGTGGCTTAGTGCTTGAGGATTAATTTATGTTTATTTATTAATACTATACCCAAAAAAAATTAAGTCATATTCCACCCAAATTTTAACAACATAGACTAGCAACACCCAATATTATATATATATATATATATATATATATAGTTCCGAATGTATTAATAAAGAATCTTTCATGAAAATAGTAATTATGATTTTGTTCCCTATTATAATATTGAGTATGATTAGCCCACTGGGGAGTTTAGGCCATCTCCAGTCATGGGCTATATCCCAAATATAGCTCTAAATTAATGCAAAACTCATCCTCAGCCATGAGCCAAATAAAATTTTGGCCAAATTTGGTCATTTAGCCTTCCAACCGGGCCAAATGTAGCCCAGCTTTGGCCTATGCCAAATTTATAGTGGGCCCCATACATGTGCTTTTCAATAATCAATCATTAAAGCACTCCCCACTTCACTTTCTGAAAATAATAAAATATGAAAGACCTAAAATATAGCCCTGCATGCAGTGGCGGATCCAGGATTCTATGGCCAAGGGGGCTTAGTGTAAAAGTTCCGAAATTTTTTTACAAAGAAAATAATGCTAAAAAAGCCTATTAATCCGTCATTCGAAATTTTTCCTCTACCTCAGTAGCTGTACTATATTCCAACCAATCATACTCATCAAACCATTGAGCAATGAAACGTCTATTAAATCCTGATTGATTAGTTTGTGGGAATTTATAACTTCTAGGTTGACAAGGTCCCTTTTGTAGATATGCTCTTCGGATCTCATCCCGAATATTAGGACTATAATCCGTCATTCGAGGTCTTAGTCCAGGGTTTGCCTAAAGATTAGCTAATATCTCATCTACTTCAATTGGTCTTGTTGCATTTGAACTACTCGGATTAGACAAAGAAGGACTATCCGTAGATAATTTTCTTTTATAGAATCATTCCATAATTCTACAAATCAATTAATTGAATCAATCATTAATTTTTATCCAAATTATCATATGAATATGAAAATGTCAATAACCTACTCTCAATATTCACCCATATCAATCAATATTCAATATACCAACTTATTATATCAAATATCATTCAATATTTAATATACTCAATCAACAATCAAGCATAAACACAATCAATCTAAATTATCCATCAATATGATTCATATCCATAGATTTCATTACATAAAAAAAAAATCAATATCAACAATATATTATCACGATAAATTTATTAATTTAAATTTTGACATGCTTACTTGTACTTGAAAAAAAAGGGAGGCACAAGATGGTGGTGGTGATCGCCAATGGGCCACCGGCGAAGTAGATGGAGGTTGTCGGAGGTTAGGAGGTTGGAAGAGGTTAGGATTTGAGAGGAAAGCATTGGGGGACCCAGAAATTTTTTAGCGGATGTGCAATATTGACTAAGTATGAAAAATGGTTTTTCAGAATAATCATTTTCTCAAGATAATTTTTGGCGGCTTTTATTCCTTACACATCAAATAAGAAAACTTGATTTTATGGGATTTTAATATAAAGTATATATTGACTTAATGAGCCATCATTTTTAGCATAAATCGTATTTTACACTAAAACCGAATTTTCATATTTTGATTTGGTGAGAATTTGATTTTCTAGTATTTTTATTTGAAACCAAATGGGGGGTACTTCCTTATTTACATTGTAAACTTAAGTAAATGGAGTAATATAAAAATAAATAAAAATAAAAGGACAAAGACATTTACTTAATAGTTGAGCTCTTGTGTTCTGTTCAGGTTTTTTTTTTAATAAAAACACATGGCCCAAAACGATGTTGTTTTGAGGCCAGGTCATTTAAAAAAAATTGACTGAGCCTTGGACCAAACGACATCGTTTGGCAAGAAAAAAAAACAACACACGCGCGCGCAAGGCGCAGTGCAACTGTGCAGCAAGCTTCTCCTCATCTTGGGACTTTTGTCGAGCAGTTGGCGTGCATCCAAGGGGGCTTCAATGGAGTCCCTTGCCAACTTTCCAGCCTTCCAAGGGGTCGTCCGACCCCTCTTGTCCCAACGTGGATCCGCCACTGCCTGCATGGCTGGAGATGGAAAAATTTAGTCATGCACTATTCTTTAAAAAATTAATATTTTGGGGGACTAAATTTTTAACCCTAGACTACATTTAGCCATATGGCTAGAGATGACCTTAGCTACTGTGATTTAACCACTGGCGTACATATTAGAAAAAGGAGTATTTTAATACATACCTCTGAGTAAATAAGTCATCCAAATGAAGGAATTTCCTCGAACATTATTCTGTAGAAGTAGCATAGCATGTGAAATCAATTATGAGATGACTATACTCACCCTAACAGCGTTACAATGACAAGTGTTAATATAAAATACGTTAAGAATCAGAAGCGGACCTATACAGATCAATGGCGGACCTAGGAATTTTAATAGGGGTAGGTTAATTTTTTGTTTTTTGTTTTTGTTTTTTTTTTAGAGGAGATATATTATAAGCCTTTTTTCTCATGAAGAAAAAAGGAAAATAAAATTTTATAAATCAAACAAAGTCACATTACAAGCAAATATAACACAAAAAAGTACAAAATGTAAATAAATATCAAATCAAACACATTGTCCAACTTCAAAAAAATTTGTTCGATTGCAAAAAAATTTAAAGAGCTTACCTAGTGAAGTGGAACCCTTCTCTCTTTGAGTGTATGAAAATCTTTGATTATTGAATCTAAATCAATATCCACAGAAAGGTCTTTTTCAATGTAAACAATGAGGGAATCTGCGAGATACTCATCCTCCAATTTGTTGCGAAGTATAGTCTTAACATGTTTTATAGCTGAAAATGCTCGTTCTGTAGTCACCGTAGAAACCGAAAGAGTTAACACTAAACTAATCAAGAAATACTAGACACCAAAAATCATATATGCTAATTAATAATTCAAGTTGCAAAAATAAAACATATATCAACAATCTCCAAAAAATTTCACCCCCAAACCCTAAATCATAAAAATTTAACAACAACAATTAAAATTGAAAATTGAAAATATAAAATAAATAAAATAAATAAAATAAAAAAACTTACCATGATTGAAGAACCCACTGAAGATAGGTTGGTACAATTTTTTAGAGGAGGAGAACTATTTCCTCTAGGCTCTCAAGGTTCAAATATGGCGTTTTGGGTGGCTAGAAGAATTTTTTTGATGTTTGCTCTTTGTGGTTGTAGCCCAATATCAGTACAATTATAATAGGTCAAGTTGGTAGAGCCTTAGTGTGGGTTCTGCTTTTAATCAAATTTATATATGTTTGGATTGATGTTTATTATTTCCTATATGCTTTAAAAGTGGGCTTATTTTAAATAAAGCTATTATTTACTTTACTTAAATTGGGCTATTATTAATTTATTATATTTATTTGGTGTAGTGGGCTAATATTTATTAGAGTAGGAATAAACTTAACCATATTTAATATTTAAAAATCTTCCCCTAGGCTAGGCATAAATCCGACATTGATAGAGACGTAAGGAGGTGCAACTGCACCTCCTCTCACTAGAGCAAGCGTTGCAGGTGCTGGAATGTTGCCCCTTCACTCAGGCTGCACACGCCACCTGTTTGACAAAAGTCCTCTTTGAACCCTTATTTGCTCGTTGCTTTGCATTGTTTGTTATGCTTGTTTGTGTATATATATATATATATATATATATATTTTTAAATCTCTAGCCAAAACAACGTCGTTTTGAACCAAGGGAAAAAAATCCGTACTATAGACGGAAAAGGAGTTCCTTTAGCAATAGGGATTTTTGCTTGTTTTTTGGTCGAACGAGGAGACTTCGTTTTTTTTGTTTTTAAAGAAAGAGTCTCTTACGTCCCTCACCACTAATTTCTTATAAAAGATCAAAAAATTCATAACTTTTTTTACATCCTCATCACGAAGTTTGTGTTTTTCCTTGTTTTTATTTATTTATTTATGAGAGAACTCCAATTCTTTTATTAAAATTGATTCATCAATATTGTCTTGTGCCAAGGAAAAGAATTTTGTATCAATCAAGCTTTCAAAGTAAGTTTGAATGTAATTCATAGTTAATCTAGAAAAAAAAATTTTTGAAACATATTGCACAATATTATAAAAATAAATAAATAGAAGTAGCTTAGCGTGTGAAATCAATTATGATATGACTATTGTCGAATGAGCTATACATCCCTAATTAGTCTAAGTCAACTATTTGTTTCTACAAGATTATATGCTCATAATTACATTCCTAGAATACTTTCCTAGGCTATGTATATATATTTTTTCCTATTGTTGTATATTAATATATCGATGAAATATTATTTCACCCAATCTGAGATGGTATCAGAGCAATCAATCATGACTGTCTCTTGACCTAACCCTAACAATCGCTTCCGTAGTAGCAGCCGTCATACAAACCCAACAATAACCGTCACTTCAAACATTCAGATCATTCTTCACGTATACAACCCAGCACCAACCTATATTCCATCTCACAAACCAATTCAATTTTACCTTCCTTCTAGTCAAATCTTTTTTTGTTTTTGTTTTATTCTCATCCTTTACAAATCAATTTCCACCGTTCTCTTTGCTTTTCCCCTCAGCCCAATATTTTTTCTTTTTGTCTTTTTCTCATCACTTGTAAGCATTATTCTCTATGGCATCAAGTCATAGAGATGAAGATAGTCGGGTGAGAAAAACATGGCCACTTGATCAGTGATCGGTCATACAAACCCAACAATAATTGTCGCTCCAAACATTCAGATCATTCTTCACGTATACAACCCAGCACCAGCCCATATTCCATCTCACAAACCAATTCAATTTTACCTTCCTTCTAGTCAAATCATTTTTGTTTTGTTTTATTCTCATCCTTTACAAATCAATTTCCACCGTTCTCTTTGCTTTTCCCCTCAGCCCAATATTTTTTCTTTTTGTCTTTTTCTCATCACTTGTAAGCATTATTTTCTATGGCATCAAGTCATAGAGATGAAGATATTCGGGTGAGAAAAACATGGCCACTTGATCGGTGATCTTACCCAACCTACAGCCACAAATTCCATATTTAACAAATGGCGTGCATCGAATTGCCAAGTCAAGAGTTGGTTGTTTGACGCAATGCAACCTAATTAGATTAAAAAATTTATCTGTTATGACACAGCAAAGCAAGTCTGGGATGCAATTAAGCAAACCTATTCAGATGGGGCTAATGAAGCCAAGATTTTTTACCTTCACAGAAATTAATTCACAATGAAGCATAATGGTGCATCAGTTGCCAAATATTACAGTGAGCTCACTGAGATTTTTTAAGAGCTTGATCAATTAAGTCCAAACAATATGGAGCATCTGAAAGACATTGAAACTAGACGCAAAAAGATTGATCGTCTTCGAGTCTATATCTTTCTTACAGGTTTGGACAATAATTTCGATCAAATCCGAGGAGAGATTTTAAGGATGGAGCCTAAACCTGAACTTGAGGCAGCATATGCACATATTAAAAAATAGAGTAATCGACAAGAAACCATGTCTGAAGCTGGTGTAAACTCCGACGCCACAGCGTTTGCTGCTGCCAGGTCCAAGCAATTTCAGCCGAACAATCACAGTGCCGACCTTACTCGTAACCGGCCTCCAATAAAGTGTACCAAATGTGGTTTAGATAACCACACAATTAAGGTTTGTTATGAGATTATTGGTTATCCAGAAGGATGGATTCACAAATGGTGAAATAAGGATTCGACCAAAGCTTCATTTGCATCTGCTGAGTCATCCTAAGAGACTACATCAGAACCTCTATAAGGTACATCTAGCTCCAAGGCCTTGGCCACCTCAGGTACCTCTTGCACATCCTCATGGCTTAGTTGTCTCTTCACTCGATTATGACTTGTTATCTGTTCCTCAAATCATTGATTCCCTTAATTGTACCGTGTGTTTTTTGCCATTGTATTGTTTGTTTCAGGATCTTCTCACTAGGGCCATAATTGGATGCGGTACTAAGAGGGGAATTTGTATTATCTAGACTTGACAGAAGACGACAGTAAGAGATTGAGTCACGCATATCATGTGTGAGGAGATGAGTCCATGAGGATGAAGAAAATTTGGCTATGGCATAGACAATTAGGGCATGCTTCTTTTGGTTATCTGAAACTTTTATTTCCACATTTGTTTTCCCAGTTCAATGAATCAGGCTTTCATTTTGAAACTAGAATTTTGGCTTAAAGCCATCATATTTCTTATCCATTAAGATTGAATAAAAGTTATATGCCTTTCATGATTGTCCACTCTAACGTTTGGGGACCTTCCAAAGTTCATATTATTAGTGGTTTTAAGTGGTTTTTAATTTTTATTGATGATTGCACCCGGATGACCTGGGCTTTTTCCCCTAAAGTAGAAAAGTGAAGTCACCACAAAATTCAAGCAATTTCATCACTATGTTGCTACTCAGTTTGACAAGAAAATCACAACACTTCAGTCTGACAATGGAAGAGAGTATGTCAACCATGACTTACATAATTTTTTGAGCCAACATAGTATTGTTCATCAAACCACATGTGCTTATACACTACAACAGAATAGTGTTGCAGAGCATAAGAATCGTCATTTCTTGGAAGTTATTCATGCGTCTTTATTTGAGGCTTGTATGCCTCATCATTTTTGGGGGGAAGACTTTTGTTTTGTTGCTTACCTCATAAATAGAACACCATCTAGCACTCTTCAATATCAAACTCTGTTTCAGACATTGACCACTCTCATCACCATGTCATCCACACCAAATCTCCAATCACGTCTCTTTGGTTGTGTTGCTTATGTTCATGTATATCCATATCAGCGTGGCAAGCGTGATCCGTGCTCACTACATCGTGTCTTTGTGGGGTATGCTGACACTCAAAAAGGCTATAAGTGTTTCCATCCTCTTACTCAGACATTGCATGTTATAGTAAATGTGACTTTCCACGTGAGTGAGTTCTATTACTTAGGAAGAGTTTCTGAGCATCTTATGCAGGGAAAGAGCTCTATCAGTGCAGAAAATACTTAGAATCAGATCATCCAAATTCAACAAATATTTTAAAGCAGCCAGCTGCAGTGGTGCAACAAGGTCAAGAGTCACAAGGGCTTAAGACTCTAGATAGTGGTTTAGATACTTTCTTTTATACAACGTCTACTACAGTACCCCCACCAGTCATCCAATTAGGTCCTGAAGATTCCTCACAAGTAACTGAACATTCAAACTCCAACTTAAGCACTTTACCATCGAGTCATATCGGAAACACAGGTTATCAGTTACCATCTCATAAATAGAGGGATCCCTAGACAACAATATGACCCTAATCCTAAAGCAAAAGTTAAATATCATATTGTTAATCATGTGTCTCTACATAGACTGTCACTATCATGTGCATCATTTGTATGTCAATTATCCATTGTATTTATTCCAAGTAATGTAGAGGAAGCTTTGAAAGATCCCAAGTAGACTTAACCGATGAATGATGAAATGGAGGCCCTCTAGAAGAATTCCACTTGAGAGATGACTATCCTTCATAAAGGGAAGATAACAGTAGGTTGTAGATGGATATATACGGTAAAGTTTAAGGTAGATGACACCATTGAATGATACAAAGTAAGACTAGTGGCGAAAGGTTACACTCAAACTTATGGGATTGACTATGAGGAGACCTTTGCCCTTGTAGCCAAGATCAACACAATTCAGGTACTCCTTTCTCTAGCAGCAAACCTAGACTGGCCATTACACCAGTTTAATGTTAAAAATGCCTTTCTGCATGGTGACTTAGAAGAAGAAGTCTATATGGATTCCCCTTCATGATGTAAGATGGGGCCAAATACGAGCAACATGATTTGTAAACTGAGAAAGTCTCTTTATTGAGTGAAGCAATCACCTAGAGCATGGTTTGGAAAGTTCAGCAAATCAATGAAGAATTTTGGATATAACCAAAGTAACTCAGATCATACTCTTTTCTTGAAACATAAGAAAGGTAAAGTCACTTCTCTTATTGTATATGTTGATGACATGGTAGTTACCAGAAATGACCTAGAGGAAAAGGCAGCATTACAGTGTCACTTGGCAAGTGAGTTTGAAATGAAAGATCTTGGTGCTCTAAAGTATTTCTTAGGCATCAAAGTAGCTCATTCAAAACAACGAATATTTCTATCACAATGGAAATATTTCTATCACCAAGGATGAAATGGAGGCATCCTTGACATTTTGACTAACACTGGAATGTTAGCCAGTAAAACAGCAGATGTTTCAATGGAGTTGAATCATCAGCTTGGTGAATATCCTGATCATGTACCCACTAACAAAAAAAGATATCAACGCATTATGGGTAAGTTAATCTATTTAGGATGTACTAGACCTAATATGGTATATGTCGTAAGTGTGGTGAGTTAGTTCATGTATGCACCGAGTGAAGCCCATATGAATGTTGTAAACCAAATTCTGAGATACTTGAAGTCAACTCTTGGAAGAGGATTAATGTTCTCATGACATGGTCATCAAGATGTTGAGGGTCACACTGATGTAGACTTGGTGGGTTCTGTTACTAATAGGTCATCTACATCTGGATACTTTACCTTTGTGGGAAGCAATCTAGTCTCCTAGTAAAGTAAAAAACAGATATGCTTATTTACTGTAGCACCCCCTGAAACTTCGGTCACATCTCACTTTGCCGCCCCAAACTTAAAATGACCCACTTTCATCCTTTGATCGAGGTTTGGTGACTCACTTTGCCTCTTGCCATCAACTCCATCTAAAAGTCTGTTAACTTTGATGACGTGGCAGATGTGTTTTTGTAATTTCGTACACATGGATCATATCCACCAATTAGAAGAGTGACGTGGCAAGTGGAGCCCACCTTCTCCACATGGATAAAAACAAAACTTCTAAGACTGGATTGGTCTCCATTAAATCTACACGTAGCTCCTCCAATTTTTCCATCCGAAGTTCAATATACAACCCATCTTAGCCATCTTCTCATTGATTTTCCACCCAGCATCCAACACTATCTTCATCTGTCTGTTGCTTTTTTTTTTAAATTAAATTTTTAGTTCATTTTTTTGTTGGTTGCAGATTCAATGATAAAGAACATCGAACTCGTCGCAACATCCCGCCTTAGATTCGAACCCTGCCACCATCACAACCCTCCCTCTCTCGATCTCCAACCAACCTTAACACCCAACTTCAAATTTGGGTTGTTTGAAACCCAGCCCCCTTCCCCAACCTCTCCCCTCTCTATCTCTCTCTCTCTCTCTCTCTCTCTCTCTCTCTCTCTCTCTCTCTTTCACAGATTAGCATCTTCAAGCCCATAGGAGCCCCAAAAATCAAGCCAATCCGATTCATATATACCCAACAAAAACAAACCCAAATTCATATATGTGTTGTTTTTATCCCAATTAAATTGAATCTATTTAAAAATATATATATTTAAATGAGTTACTTTGTAGTTAACATTTTTCCTACCAAAAAGATGGATAAATAGATTCAATTTTCACAAACAAACAAATCGGAGCAAGACTGTTATGATTTCCTTGGTGAGCTTCAGCCAAGAAACAAAGAGAAAATAAGAAAATGAGGGAACTTTGTCTCCTCTGATACGAATCTGTGAGAGAGAGAGAGAGAGAGAGAGAGAGAGAGAGAGAGAGATGGTGGGATTTGGGTGGGGGTTGGATTGTGTACTGGATACAATTTTTAATCATTTGATTTTTTTCTTATTTAATTTAATTTATAGTTATTTTTCATTATTAGAATATTTAATTATTTTTTTATGTGGAGGTGGGCACCACTTGCCACGTCACTCATCTAATTGGTGGATGATGATCCATGTGTACGAAATTACAAAAACACCCATGCCACGTCATCAAAGTTAACAGACTTTTAGATGGAGTTGACGGTATGGGGCAAAGTGAATCACCAAACCTCGGTCAAGGGATGAAAGTGGGTCATTTTAAGTTTGGGAGGGCAAAGTGAGATTTGACCGAAGTTTCAGGAGGCGCTACAGTAAATAAGCCAAATAGAAAGTAGTGTTAAGATCAAGTGCTGAAGCAGAATATCGAGGTATGGACATAGAGTATGTGAGCTACTCTGGATAAGGAATTTGTTAGGGGAATTGGGGTTCAAACCCAAACATGCCATGCAACTCAATTGTGACAACAAAACCGCAATAGACATCGCACATAATCCAGTGCAACATGATAGAACCAAGCATGTTGAAGTTGACAAACATTTTATCAAGGAGAAACTCGAGGCAAAGATCACTGAGGTACCATTTGTTAAATCCGAATATCAACTTGCAGATGTCCTCACCAAAGCAGTCACAGACAAAGTACTTCACAGCTCACTTAGCAAGTTGGGCATTGACGACAACATGCTCCAACTTGAGGGGGAGTGTCAAATGAGTTGTACATTCCTAATTAGTGGCGGATCCAAAAAGAGGGTCAAACAAAAAAAAAAAAAAAAAAAAAAAAAAAAAAAAAAAAAAAAACATTATATACCCTTACAATTTAAATTAATACCAAAGTTTTGAAAGGCAAGGTTGTAGGATGCTAAGTAAATTTGGTTCCGCAAGATGAAGTGTAAGCCTTAAAGTGATGATGAGTAAGTTTTTTGCAAAGAAAAATTATAAATAATAAAATATAGTGAAACTAAATCAGTAAATATGATTAAAGCTTATTAAATATAAGTAATAAATATAATAATCAATTTCAAAACCTAATATTATCCAATTAGTTATGCAATTGAAATGGAGTAGGATGTTTCCTAAATTGACAGGAGGGTTAGGGCTAGAGATACATGCGGTTGAGAAAAAAAGAATTTGGGGTTTAGTGTGATTGTATTGGGAGGAGGAAGAAATAGATTTGGAAAAAGGAAACGACAAAAAAAGGTTTTAAAATAACAATCAAAACGCACACTTTTATTAAAACCCAAAGGTGAACCCAATGACATCGTTTAAGAAAAAGAGTTTAGAAATCATCTTCTTCCTCACGCAGCAGGTTCTTCTTAGCGTTGCCAACACCCTTAGGCAGAGCAGAAGGGGCAATCTCTGCCACTTCCAAAGCGTTTTCCAGCGAGAGGAGGTGCATTGCACCTCCTTGCGCCTCTGTGGATCCGCCATTGTTCCTAATTAGTCTAAGTTAACTATTTGATTCTACAAGAATTAGGCTCATAATTATATTCCTAGGCTCTGTCTATATATTCTTTCTATTGTTATACATTAAAACATCAATGAAATATTATTTCACCCAATCTAAGAACTATAACCCTAACAGTGTTACAATGACAAATGTTAATATAAAATACGTTAAGAACAATCGTTCATGCATGTATATAAATTATTTCAGTCGTTGATGTAGTGTGAACCCTCTAAATTGATGGTTGAGAGTCGTCACGATGTTAATATGACCAACGTTAACATTTGACATATCTCACGTTGTCCCCCTATATTCCTTCCCTTTGTTTTAAGTTCCGACGTAATAATATGAAGATTTATAGTACAATGAAGTATATTTTGTCAAAATTAACAATTGTTATGAATTTGATAAGCGCTCATTTCTAGAGGTGGTCAAAGGTGCTTGATAATTATACTTCATCCGCCAAATAATTAGAAACAACATTTTCAGCGTTGCAACACGTTTTATATATATTAATCACCAGGGCAAATCAACATGTTTTGCTACATTATGCCTGAAAAACATCATATATTACACACACTATTTTAATTTGGGCGTCTTGAAAACAAAAAAAAAACAAAAAAAGAAGACTAAAGAAAGCACAAGCTGGTACTTGGTAGTACACGTTAACTAAAAAAAACTACCCCCAGATGCCACCTTTGGCAAGGTTGAAAATTGTGAATAAGATAACTATAATTAGTAATATAAAAAATAAAAAATTATGAGTCATAGGATGACTAAGTTAAGTCAATTAATTTTAAAAAAATGCAGAGCTCAATTATATATGATTGCTGTCATTGAATTTGTGGCATTTTTAAGTATGAGACTGAGAAATGGACCAATCAATGGCAGTGGATTAGATGAGACAGCTCGGCGTCACCTTCACGATGATCACAATTTACCAGAGCACGCACAGAGGGTGAGTCACCCACCCTAGTCATACCGCAACTCCATTTTCTTTTCAAGGTCTTGTTCCCACTCATCACGCTTTGTTTCCCCAAGCAAACGTTTTGCTTCATTTTCCATTAACTCTAATTTTCTTACGTCTCTTCTATTTTCATTTTTTTTTGTGTTGATTGTGTGCTTATATTCCAAATCCGAACTGTCTATGATAAATTATAATATTAAAAATAAAAAAATATCACTAAACTAAGAGTTAATGGTTCTGACCGACTAACGTGGTGGAACCCTGAAAATGTAGTACTTACGTCATATTCCATAAAGTAAAGGTATTATTTTGAATTCCCCACTTGCGGAGTGATTCCAAATATGAAATAATAGAGGCTAATTATATACCTACACAACTTTTCCATACTAACGTTAAATTACATGCTGGAATACAAATATTATCTAGTCAGCATTCTGTGTCTTTTAATTATCACATGGAAATAGATAGGAGTTAAAAGATATACATACAAAATACGTAATTATTAATATAATAATTTTGATATGGTTTTCATCTAGAACTGGCCCCCGCTCCCAATGGACTTTGCATGTCGATCAAAGGCCACGGCTAGAAACCGGCATATATATATATATATATATAATTTGCAAATTGCATGGTTACGCGGGCATATTTTAAGATCCTCACCAGAATACGATTATGATGTATTTATATTCACATGAAAAAGAAAAACACAAAGTTGTCTGCACCAACAAATTAATCTTCTTCCTTTTTTTTTAAAAAAAAAAATTACATTTTTAAATTTTTGAGGTCTGAATTATGATGTTATTATGACATGTGCAAGCAAAAGCATTATGGTACACGGTCAAAGAACATATGCTTGGAGTCAAATATTCTTTGCAATTTTATCGATATATAGAGATTAAGATAATCTCAAGCTCCATGATCCTTCTCTCTCTCTCTCTCTCTCTCTCTCTCTCTCTTCATTTTCCGACTTTCCAATATACAGTAGTCTCTTTGCACTTTTCTTCTATACCGCAGTTGTTAATCCAAACTCAGTCAAAGTCTCAAGTCCTCCACTTTGTTATATGATTACATCCCATCCCATTGAAGATTTGAACGTCAAGTCTTCTCCTTTTGGCTCTCTTTCTAGCTACTGCCTATATATACATTTACTTAAATCTATATGCTAATCAAAAGTTCATTTATACCAATTTAATTAGAATGGCAGGTGGAAAAGAAGGACGATCTTTGGAGGAAACACCAACTTGGGCAGTTGCTCTTGTTTGCTTTGTTTTGGTTTTGATTTCAATCCTCATCGAATACGTCATTCATTTGATTGGAAAGGTGCGTAAATATTAATTAAAACCAGATAATATAATTGGGTTTTGGTATATGAATGAATCTGACTGATCGAGTGGGGTTTGTTTTTGCACCTCTGCAGTGGTTGACAAGGAAACACAAGCGAGCTCTCTATGAAGCACTTGAGAAGATCAAGTCAGAGCTCATGCTGTTGGGGGTTCCTGTCGTTGCTCCTAACAGTAGGGCAAGGACCCATTTCGGATATTTGTATATCAAAGGCTGTTGGTGCCACTTGGCACCCATGTAGTAAGAAGGAAGAGATAGACGATGATAAAGACAAAAGTTCTTCTTCAGATGGAGGCGACCGTAGACGGCTTCTCTCAGTTGCCGGTGCAGGGGCCCGGCGGGTTTTAGCCGCTGCTGGAAAGGACAAATGTGCGGCCAAGGTACATTGAATATTTCTCCCTGCTTTTTATAAAATATCCCAAGTTGGTATACATGTGTACATAGAAAACGGATATATATCATTTGTTATGTTATATTGTTAAACCGTGAATCTAGATAATTACTATTCAAATTATTCTTACAAAATTGTCTGACAAGAAAATGTTACTCGAATCTAACATCAACCTCGTTGGCATGGAGATGTTAATATAGGACTAAGTTTGAAAGCATATCTTTTGTTCATGCAAAATTTAGCATGAATTTAGTCTTTTAGCTCAAGAAGTATATATGTGGTAATTTTATTTTATTTTTTTATTTTTTCCTGCAGAACAAAGTTCCATTTGTGTCATTTTACGGGATCCACCAACTTCACATACTCATTTTCGTGCTAGCCGTCTTCCACGTGCTATACTGCATAATCACTCTGGTTTTGGGCAGAGCAAAGGTATCAACTCTGACTCTTTCTCTCTCTCATTTTCTCTCTATGTCTCTCTCAAATTTATAATTATTTTCAAATTTTGTCTGCAGATGAGGAGGTGGAAAATATGGGAGTCGGAAACAAGGACAGCTGATTACCAGTTCTCACATGGTACGCTTGCTTCATTATTTTCACACGTATTTGATTACTTGACCAGCAGCCAGCAGTCTTCTAACAATTATCCTTACCACCTATTTCAAAATTAAAAAATTATTATTATAGCTAGAGTGAATCACCTACTGAAAGGTAATTAATTAATTAATTAATGGGGGGTGTGCTTGAAATTGTGTTTGCAGACCCAGAAAGATTCAGATTTGCTAGAGACACGTCATTTGGAAGAAGACACTTGAGCTATTGGAGCCGGTCTCCCATCAGCTTATGGATTGTAAGTATTGAAAAATCCCATGACTTTTTCTGTACCAAACAAAGTACCATAATGTGTATGTCAACTGTTTGACTTTTATTTGATTTTAATTCATGTTCCTCTCTTAATCAACAAAATTGCAGGTTTGCTTCTTCAGACAGTTTGTGAGATCTGTGCCCAAGGTTGACTACCTGACTCTGCGCCATGGATTTATCGTTGTAAGTTCTCTCTATACAAATCAAAGTCAAATATATCTATATGTGTTGTGGTTTCTGCATAAAAACTTATGTAATATTGCTTCTGTTCTATCTGCAGGCACATTTGGCACCTCAGAGCCAAGCCAAGTTTGATTTCCAAAAGTACATTAACAGGTCACTTGAAGAAGATTTCAAGGTTGTGGTGGGGATCAGGTGGGTTATATCAGTGCTCACTGTACTTAGAATTTCAAGCCAATACGTTAATTACGCACTTTGGTGCATGTATGGAAGACTAATGACTTTTAATTCACTTTCAAAATAATGGTTCTGAGACTTGACAATTTCTTTCCACACTTGCAGCCCAACTATCTGGTTCTTTGCTGTAGTGTTCCTGATGTCTAATACCCATGGTAAGTAAGCCCTCGTTTTACTTGACTATGTCTCTCGTGCACGGGGAGCACATGCGGAGAGACTAGTTTTACTTAATTATGCCCTCAAATTTAAGTTGCTAACCTTCTGTTTTTTCATGATTGAAACCCTTTAATGGGAAATTTACAATTATTATAATGGAAAAACGTTCTGCTTCACATTATAAAAATATATGACATATTTGGTTTCTTAATAATGTGTTTTTGTTGTTTCCAGGCTCCCGTTCTTATCTGTGGCTGCCCTTTCTTCCATTGATTGTAAGCACCAATTATCACCATCCAATTCCTTTCTTCAAATTCCAAGGTCCCTCCAAGACAAGATGGATATTTATATGATTAAAATATCTAATAATTCATAAAAATATGGCTTGTGCAGATGATCTTATTAGTAGGGACAAAGCTTCAAGTTATCATAACCAAGATGGGCCTCAAGTTGAAAGAAAGGGGAGAAGTTGTTAAGGGCACCCCATTGGTTGAGCCTGGTGACCATCTCTTCTGGTTCAACAACCCACGCCTCATTCTCCATCTCATCCACTTTGTTCTCTTTCAGGTTCAATTCTTCCCACTTGGGTTCACTTTATATATCTTCTGCATGTTTTTTACCTCAAAATTTTGCCAACTCTCTTCTGTTTTCTTTCTTTTTCACCTCACAGAATGCATTTCAACTTGCTTTCTTTGCATGGACTTGGGTAAGTAAACTTAAACCTATATTTAGTTTCATCATGGTTTGCTTCATCCAGAAAAAGCTCACAATTGATTTCATCTTTCTTCTTTTACAGTATGAATTTGGCTTGAAGTCTTGCTTCCATGAGAAGTTGGAAGACGTCATTTTGAGAGTATCAATGGGGTGAGTTTCTCCTTACTTGTAACTTGCAGAGAAACCAATTTATTATGAGAATTTAACTTACCAAAGTCCATTGATTCATGTTATTTTGTGCAGGGTCATCATACAAATACTATGCAGCTATGTAACTCTTCCTCTTTATGCCTTGGTAACACAGGTAAAAATGGTGCCAATTATGCAAAATTAGATGCTAAAAACTAAGAAATATGAACTGAGTTCTAACTATACATGCTGTGCACAAACAGATGGGTTCAACTATGAAGCCCACCATCTTTAACGACAGAGTGGCAAATGCTATCAAAAAATGGCACCTCTCGGCGAAGAAGCACTTAAAACACAACAAGAATAGTCCAACCAGTGTACCAGGCACTCCCTTGCATTCCATGTCCCCTGTCCATCTGCTGCGACACTATCAATCCGAGCACGACGTTGACAGTGTGCACACATTGCAGAGAATGTCTTATTTTGATGCCGACGGTCCAAACTCCTCGCCATCTCCTCACCAAGATGATCTATCTTGGTCTAACCAAGGTAGAAGCCATGGCCAGGAGGAAGAGATTAGTGCTCATGAATCTAACGCAGTGAACAATCTGATAGCTGGTTATGGTTCTCGGAGTCAACATGAAATTCAAATTCATTCAGCAGAATTCACATTTGAGAGATCAGAAAGGAGTTCAGAGATTAAAAAGTAAATGATAGGCGGCATGCAACACTACAATGAACACTAAAGCTCGATAAGCTTTCCAATGAGGTCACTGTAAATGAAGACACTCTGCTAGATAAGCATTAGTTGTACAATTGTAACCCAAAGTTGATATTTTTTAAAATAAACCTTCTGCATAATCAATTTCCCAATTTAAGAACTTCATATGCCAATATGCAAGCACCATTGAAGAAGACGGTACGAATGCACCAAAAAAACTAAAACAAAGCAAGAAAGCATCAACAGGAACGCAGCAAATCACCACCAAGATGGAATGACAGAATCTTAAATTCAACATTAGGCCTAAAAAGAGTAATCATCTACTGCAACCAAGTTAATCTACTGTTTTATGCATCATCAAGAACGCTTAATTTTGATAATCAAGGTTGGGAACAGAGCCCCCTTCAATTTCACAATGTCAAAAACATTGAAGTTAAGTATTTAATTCACTGGTTCAACCCAGTCAACAGATATCAGCATTTGTGCTTAAGCTAAAAAATAATGTCAGAGAGTAAAGTTTGCTCAACCACACTCCTTTTTCACGTTTGGCATAAATTCTTCTAACAAGAACAGAAATCGAGCTAAGAGAATTGAAAGAAATCCAAGTGACAACAGCCAATTCGGATTCTTGCGAGGGCACATATTTAAGCCACAACAGACGTGCTGAAATTTATCATACCATTCGAAGCAAAGTCTATCTGTTTTATATTAGCTGGCTTTCTTCAAGACAAGAAGATCAACAATGTTCATGAGCAATTCAACACAACCAATAACCTCATGGGAGTGCATGCTTCACCAGTTCAAGGTTCTCCAAGTATAACACTTTAAGACCAAACTGAAAGAAGTCAAAAATAAAGAGATAGAGTAAACTTTGCATCACTGAACAGAAACCAGTGCATAAAACACAATTGAACAGAAACCAGGAAGGCTCAGAAAGAAATTTTACATAACTGAAAGACTTCCAGCAACAACAGTTATTAACGAAACTCACTAATTCACACATAACCAATAACTTCAAGATTAGACCAGAATAGTCTCTCTTTTCGGATAAGAAAACAAGTTGATTGCTTCCCCAGATCAAGGTTCTCCAAGCCAAAACCCATCCAAACAGCAGTTGAAGAGAGACGCTTAAAATTTCACAGTATAAATATCATGGACATATTAAATTGACATGCATTGCTAGGCTTCTAATTGGAGCAGAGTTTGAAAATCTGAAAGAATCAACCGAAATCTAAGTGACAGCAGAAGACCCAAGCTAAGCAATTTGGCTTCTTGAGAGGGGAAAGTTAATCTCAAAACTAAGAATACAAACCACCCACCATGTCCAACATTGCTGAAATTCAAATATAATTACAGAAAACATTCAACACCAATAATGGAATTCAAGCACACAGCTAGAAAAAGACATAACATTTGAGAGCTTTAGTATAGAAACTAGACTATCCTGTCAAATATTGAGGTGCATACAAACCGGGGGCCTGCCAGGCACAACTTGGCCTACAGTCCAACAAATCCTGCCCATACACACAGACGCCACACCAAATTTGTCATCTAACGGATAATTAATGAACTGTTTGCAGCATGATGCATTTCTAATAACAGAAAATGCAATGCATTTTAATTCTATAGCTGCCATTTATTTTAGACAGGTATGCTAATTCAATCTAATGAAAACTTCCGGAAAGTTTAATCTGAATTCTCCAACTGCCATTTATTTTAGACAGGTATGCTAATTCAATCTTATGAAAACTTAATCTGAATTCTCCAACTCCCATTTATTTTAGACAGGTATGCTAATTCAATCTCATGAAAACTTCCGGAAAGTTTAATCTGAATTCTCCAACTAGAAAATCTAAATAAAGTCCATCAACTGAATGAAACCTCTTCGTTTTTACAAGCTTGTGCCATACATGAGCTCACTAAGAAGGTATTTCATGTTTTGAAAACCTATCCTGAGAACTTTGAATTAGAATTCTCAGAGACAAGACAAAGAAGTGGTAGGAGGGCGCGAGGAGAAGCTGGGAGGTCAAATTCTAGCACATATCCTAAAATTGCTACAAACATGAAATCCCTTAGCATGAAGGTAGCTGAATCGTCTAAAGCTATTCCATGCTCACTTAGTGGTTCATCAAATATCAGAAGATGTCAAGTAACGACTGTGTGCTCTGGCACTATTGATGCAAGACAGCAGAGTACTTTCTGGTAAGAAGTAAAATATATGTTACGTTTTACGGCAATTTTGTAATTCTAAAGTCATCAAAAGTTCAAACTTCCAGCACACTGAGTTTTGTAAATGACAAATGGTTTATGACCTAGATTTATGTTTACTTTCAATTTTGTGTTTTCCATGATACACAATCTGAATTCAAATTTATCATGAAATCTAGATATGTCCTATCTATTTTCAGAGTCAGAATTTGGAACTTTGTGCTTGTCAATAATAGGTACTCACGATGGTAGAAAATCTAGATCATTTGAAGCAGATCCACGCTGTACATATATAGACCTTGGACATCTTACCTCAATGAAAGTGACTCAACTGGTTTGACACTATCTAGTAATTTGAAACAAGTTGAGCATGTAAGTCTTCTTTTCTCGTGTTTTTTATCTACACATACATCTCGTTGGTCCTCGATAACTTAATGCCAAATTTCCTGCAAGGCTAAGAAAACTACTGTCGTTTTTCATTGATTGATGTCACAAAAACTACCATGAGAACAATCAATATTATGTGTAGGTGAATCAGCAGGATATTGGTTACACAGAAAGCTTGACGTTGTTTGTTAAAGACTTGGGACCAACACCTCAGAAGATTGCCAGAAAGAAGTTACCTCTACCCAATGGGCACCTAGTACTCTGAGTGATATTTTTGCTTCATCACAATCTCAAAACTTCCAGGAGAACCTTCATGGGCATCCTTCTATCATGAAGGGCACTGGTGACAAATTTGCATTCATGGGATGCGGACAAAAGAGAAAAGGGATCTTTAGCTGATGGACCAATGATTCATAAAACTATCTCACCATGAGAGGCAATGTTAGTTGTTTTCTATGATCTGGTTTTCTTCAAGATAAGAAAATCAACAATGCTCATTAGCAAATCACACACAACCATGATAGGAACATAAATATGGTGAATGCTTCACCAGTTCAAGTAGAACACATCGAAAAACATTGATCGAAAGGCAGATATTAAAGAAGAAGAAAAAAGCAAATTTGCATCCACAACCACAACGCATTTAAAAAGGAAGGAATTGAATACCGAGTTTACGGAACTAAAATTACTTTAATAATACGAAACTGAGTTTAAACAATCGGAAAATATAGGAACCCATCCACAAACCCAAAAACATTACATACTAAATTGGCCCTCCGGCCAATCAACACAACACACCACCATAACCATCTCACCACCATCACTAGAGAACACAAACTATAACCAACAAACTAACGAAAACCAACGGAATAACTCAGAAATCACCACCACGCAGACGAAGGACAAGATGGAGAGTGGACTCTTTCTGGATATTATAATCTGCAAGGGTACGACCATCCTCAAGCTGTTTCCCAGCAAAGATCAACCTCTGCTGGTCCGGTGGGATCCCCTCCTTGTCTTGAATCTTAGCTTTGACATTGTCAATAGTGTCAGAGCTCTCAACCTCCAGAGTAATGGTCTTCCCAGTCAGGGTCTTCACAAAAATCTGCATGCCACCACGAAGCCTGAGCACCAGATGAAGAGTCGACTCTTTCTGGATGTTGTAATCCGCCAGAGTCCTTCCATCCTCCAATTGCTTCCCAGCAAAGATCAGCCTCTGCTGATCTGGAGGAATGCCTTCCTTGTCCTGAATCTTCGCCTTCACATTGTCAATCGTATCAGAGCTCTCGACCTCCAAAGTTATTGTCTTCCCTGTAAGGGTCTTCACGAAAATCTGCATACCACCTCTCAGACGCAGAACCAAGTGCAAAGTTGACTCCTTTTGGATGTTGTAATCCGCAAGGGTCCTACCGTCCTCCAATTGCTTACCGGCGAAGATAAGCCTCTGCTGATCTGGGGGGATACCCTCCTTGTCTTGGATCTTGGCCTTCACGTTATCAATGGTATCGGAGCTCTCGACCTCCAGAGTAATTGTTTTCCCGGTTAGGGTTTTGACGAAGATCTGCATACCACCTCTCAATCGGAGAACCAAGTGCAAAGTCGATTCCTTTTGGATGTTGTAGTCGGCGAGGGTTCGGCCGTCCTCCAATTGCTTTCCGGCGAAAATCAACCTCTGCTGGTCTGGGGGGATGCCCTCCTTGTCTTGGATCTTGGCCTTCACGTTGTCGATGGTATCAGAGCTCTCGACTTCTAGGGTTATGGTCTTCCCGGTTAGGGTTTTAACGAAGATTTGCATACCACCTCTCAATCGGAGAACCAAGTGCAAAGTCGATTCCTTTTGGATATTGTAGTCGGCAAGGGTGCGGCCATCCTCCAATTGCTTTCCGGCGAAAATCAACCTCTGCTGGTCTGGGGGGATGCCCTCCTTGTCTTGGATCTTGGCCTTCACGTTGTCGATGGTATCAGAGCTCTCGACTTCTAGGGTTATGGTCTTCCCGGTTAGGGTTTTGACGAAGATTTGCATACCACCTCTCAATCGGAGAACCAAGTGCAAGGTCGATTCCTTTTGGATATTGTAGTCGGCAAGGGTGCGGCCGTCCTCCAATTGCTTGCCGGCGAAGATCAACCTCTGCTGGTCTGGGGGGATGCCCTCCTTGTCTTGGATTTTGGCCTTCACGTTGTCGATCGTATCAGAGCTCTCGACCTCTAATGTTATGGTCTTCCCCGTTAGGGTTTTGACGAAGATCTGCATACCACCCCTCAATCGCAGAACCAAGTGAAGAGTTGATTCCTTCTGGATGTTGTAGTCGGCTAGGGTTCTGCCGTCCTCCAATTGCTTGCCGGCGAAGATGAGCCTCTGCTGATCGGGGGGAATTCCCTCCTTGTCTTGGATCTTGGCCTTGACGTTGTCGATTGTGTCAGAGCTCTCCACCTCGAGAGTGATTGTCTTGCCGGTTAGGGTTTTGACGAAGACCTGCATGATTGTCAATCTCAGAAGAAAAAAAAATCGAATAGGAAATTGGAAGAGAGAATTTCAGGAGCGATTTAAAAAGGCTTTGAGAGAATTGTGTGGAGAAGATGAAGAGGGGAGGTGGTTTATATACGGAAGATCAGCCGACTCCGAAAAGGATTCCAACAAGAGTCGGTAGAAAAGAAAAGTCCATAAATTTCTAGGAAAATGGAGAAGTGATACTTTATTTTGGATTCCCTTTGGATAGAAGGAATAATTGTTCGGTGTACGTGGATGTTAATTAATTATTAAAATTGAAAAATGATTTTTTTAAGTAAGAAAAAATAAATAAAGAATTCTCGGTAATTTGGGTGCAGGGCCGATGGGCTGGGTCACGGGTGGGGGGTGATATGGGGTTATGGGGTTGTCGCTGAGCTGGAGAAGACGGTGGTTGATTTTGGTTCTGTGGGGATTTGGTCGGGCGGATTCTGTTGGAGGTTCGGTGGCAAAAAAAATTTACTTGTAACAGAAATAACACTTTGCTATTATTAATCAATAACACAATGACAAGTGAAAAAGTTATCATGCATGTCATTGCATTATTGAGAGAGAGAGAGAGAGATTCAATGACTCTAGGGTTTTTTTTGGGCTAAATTGGCTGACCATCTAGTTGGATGGGTTTTACCCTTTGTCATTTCATAAACGAGAACAGTTGACTATTGAATTGTTGTTAAGAGCTGTGCCATTTTCACTATAATGCCAATTTGACCAAACTTATTGTTATTTCAACCAGGTGGGATGAGAAAAGATTTTAAAAGCCAATGACAAAAATCAGAAGTTTCTCTTTCCCCTTATTTCGTTTACTTGTAGAGCTGGAAAACCTACGAGAAATCCAAAGAATATGATGTTTTCTCCTTTACATCATGAACTAGCTTCTCAGTTTCCAAAGGAAGAAGATGCAGAAGCTTGGAATCATGAATAAAATAAAATATTCTTTGCACTAAAGCCCCATGAAAATAACAAGGGTTTAAAAAAGGCTTCACAATATTTAAATGGAAGCCTGAAATGAAACAAATGGATTGAAATTGGCTAGCATTCCCTTTACAATACACAAAACAAGTCTGCTTCCTCCATTTTGAGGATTATCCCTAAATATATATACAAGAATGCCAATGTAATGAAGCACAAGCGATGCGATTAAATTATTTCTACTTCATATTATCAGGGAGAGCACAACCTTTGCAGATTGGACAAGAGTTTTTCATTGACAGCCACTTTTTGATGCAGCTCACATGGTAATCATGGCCGCAAGTTTTCAATGCCCCGACATCATCCCTGTCCTTGTACTCTTCCTGTCAATTAGGAACAGTGCTAGTTAGATATTCAACAGTTAAGCAATTTACATTCCAATTGGTCTAAAAAGCCACACTAACTGAAACTGGAATTTCAATTTCATGATTTTCTGTTTCAACTGGAAGATACTTACCAGGCAGATCACACATGTGCCTTCCTCTTGGATTTGATCTGATGAACAATAGATCGTTTCTGTCAAACACTTTGGTATCAAATCTTCAGACACGCCTGTGCTGACATTCCCAATCCTTTCACCCAGTGCTAGGAGTTCCTGTTTGTTCCAAACATTTCAAGAAATTCAGATACCTTAAAGTCATAGGAAGAAAAATAATAATTTAGGCAGGAATATCAATGTTACCTCGTAACTCATGTTGTCTATGTCCAGCCTCATGTCTCTATGATGATCAAACATATTTCTGGACCCATACAAGGCTGGGCGATCCACAATCATAAAACCCTGCAATACAAAATGAAAAACAATTTATTTCCGATATTCAGGACTGAACAAGGTTTGTGCTATACTTAAGCATGATGCTTCAGACCCAAAAAAAAACTTAAGCATGATGAAGCGTTTTCGCAATTATCACAAAGGAGCTGCACCCTTCTGGAATAGACAAGATAAGCAAACATGCATCAGAAAGGACTACATACCTCAGACGAAAACCGATCCTGGAGACCAGTCTCTTCAGCGACCCGAAATCTTTCATTAGACATCCTCGACCTGCCACTCCTATCACTGTTACGCCACCCAACTGTGGCCACTGGCCTAGGATGTCTAGGATAACTTTCAGACGCCAACTGCAATCCTTCTTCTGAATGTGGTGCATGTCCCACTCGCAAGTTGCTTGAAGAAGCCCTGAAGGTTGGGGCAGATCTTTGAGAATAGCTACTACGAACTCCCCTTACAGATTGCGGTAAGGCACCAGGATAACTTTGAGGAACAGCAGTGGCTCTGCTTGACATGAAATCATGATGGTATAACCCTGTTTCCACAGAAGCATTACCCACACTGCTTCCTACAAGGAAGTGGTTGGGATCATGACTGAAACCACTTGCATCTGCAATTTAAAAGCAATTAATCAGTAACAAATAACAGGAACCTGGACAGAAGACACGGAATTAATCAAAATTTACCTGGAGTTATAATCCTTCCATGAGAAGGAGACACGTTAATATGATTCCACTCATGGGTCAAACCAATAGAACCCTGGCCAGAAAGATCCATCGTACTAGAATGGTCAATTGGGGGTAGATTTGTAGAATAAGAACTATGTAAAGGATTGCTCGACAAATGTGTCCTAGCTAAGTTGGACTCCAAATCATGTTCAGACCGGCTTCTCACATTTCGCATGGATCCCTCACCCCTAATTGAGAGTCCATTCCCTCTATAACTGGGCATCATAGACATGTGATCCCAAGGCATGTATGGGGTATCCATGTTTACTTTCTCCTGCTGTAATTCTGAAGATCTAGGGAGCTCAGAGGAACTACTTCCAGCACTATAGTATCTGCTTGTGCTGCCTCTCTCAGATACTGGAGGGATCCCTGGGCTTTTTCGCTTGTGAGGCCCTCTTCCATTGCTCATTGTGAGATCGACAAAACCACCCTCAACACCATGGAATGCCCTCCGGTCATAACTGGAAGAGGGTGCATGGTGAGCATAATTTCCACCGACCGTACCAAAGGCGCCAGCACCCAATGGATGCTGAAAAGGATCATGTGATGGACCAGAAGCATCAGGTTGATAATGTGGCACATCAACATTGTGGTTCAGTTAGAATACCCATATGACCTCAGAGCTGGATTCCAATTTGACGCAAAAGGCATCCCGTCTATAAACATATTTTCCACAGGATATAAGAAAGAACCGTTCTCTCCAGTGCCAGCCCTGGCTGCTGTCCATAATTAAAATTAATTAGTCATGAAAACAAAAGATATTCAGCAGATCAGATATTCAAGATTGAAATTCATAAGTAAATGATGAAATTTTGCAAATTATAGACCAGAAGAAAGGAAATGAAAAGAATATACTCAAGGAATATCAAAACACAGTACCCAAATGCCCAAAAGGTTGCTCCGTGTTCATATGATTCCAATTCTGATCATTTTCACCCTCAAAAACATGAGATGTGCTGAACTGATGTCTATGTCCCATAACTTTCGTCACCTTACAGCTACGAACAAGTTATGAGCTGGAACAGAATCTACCAAACAAACCCACAACCTGCACAAAACAGGGAAGGGATCTCAAAACATTGATTAATATTGTATTTTACTTCTACAGGAAGCCTAGGGCCTCCATGTGTTTTTGCCATTAACCATAAAATCTTGATAAGTAGCCCATTACGGAAAAATTTATATAAATATTGCCAGTAATAATTAATTTTTCTTTCTTAAACAAACAAAGGAGAATTCTTGTGCAATTCAGAGTGTGGATGGGAGAAAGAAAGTAGCAACCTCGTTACAAATTCTAATTGAAAAAATTCTTCAACAGACTTCAGAAGATAAGAGAAGACCCCTCAAACCAAAACCAGACAAGTTTCAAAGAAATTAAAACTTGTCATCAAGTTCCAACAATGGAAAAATGCAACCAACACAAATATAAATGCAAGATGACAATTAACTTTCAGAGATGGCAAGGCAAAATGCATTTTAAGGAAGATTAACCCACCAAGTTCCTGCTTCACATACCAATTTAAATTTTCAAAATAGTTTGACTAAGTATGAAGTATATGCCACAACATCACCAAATAGATACTTGACCAAGAGAGCCGTGCCTATAAATGTGCTTTCACACTTTGATCCACCAATCTCCATTTTAATCAAGGCCAAAAATTGAAGTAAAAGTCAGGTTGTTCTGTTTTAAAAAATATACTGCTCCAGAGGACCGGTCAAAGCCTAATTGCACACCCACTAGCACCCTATGTCAGTGTCAACCAACTCCCTTGTCACTCGCTTTCATCTCCAATAAGAAGGCATTTCCAATGAAAATAGAGGGAGCCATTTTTTTCTGAGGGATAAAACAGAATGGAAAGTGTAAAGACATAACAATTAGCTGAAAGTGAGGAGTGAAAAAGATGGAAACAGGACCTTCCTTGAAGACATTACCTGGGTTTGGACTTTGAATCACAGGATTACAGATCACCTAGCAGGTGTAAAAGATGTAACAATCTCAATAACACACCATATCAATTTGCACTAGCATTTTCTTGAATTCAAATATCAGCTATAGAATCATAAATAGATAAACTAAGACCAGAAAAACCACTACCAGATCCCCCCTAGCTTCCAAGTTCTGAAAACTCACAGTTCTTAATACTTTCAGCTCTAAAATATTTATGAAGACTAATATTCTACATCAAGGTCAAACGTTCAAGGTGGTTGGAAATGTTCCAGATGAAAGCTGAAGGTATTTATGAATGAAAGATAAAATTAGTACATAGATGCGAAAAATGTAAGATACATAAATAAATAAATGGATGCACCTTCAGAGACAGTACACACAAATTATCAGTTTCAACCCTTCTTTACCCAAAATTATCAGATGAACTATTGATGACTTGCCATTCACATACAAGAAAAGATTGCTCTCTCCAAAACTAAGGAGGGGCAAGTTGAAGATCAGAGGCAGTGTATTCAATGGCTGAAATGAGACAGAAAAGTACCAGACACTCCTCAAGTGTTGTGGTGAAACTATTAAGAAAAGGATCTGAAATAAATTGAAATGTATTACTGAGGAAAAAGAGCACTAATATAATGAAATGTGTGCCATTTGGCTGAAAAATGTTCATGGGGAGCAAAGAGTGGAACACAAAAAATCCTTTGATAGTCACTGCATAGATGAACTGTACACCATGCAGCACAAATAAAACTTGGAAGTCATTGGCAATTCTAGGATAGGCATAAACATGACTCAAAGAAAAATACAAAAATTCATGAGAAGAACAAGTATATAACTCAATACTTGTCATGCATGAAGCTGCAAAAGTCAAAAAGATTATGGATACAAAGGAGTAACATGGTATTATTCCGACAGTATGATAATATTGAAATGAAGACAGCGTAATTTTTTTTTTTTAAAACTATCGTAATAAAACGTGTTGCTTGTTAGAAGAAGAAACAAATAGAAGTAATCAACCCTAGAACAAAAAAAGAGAGAAGGCGTAGTTATGTTTAAAAAACCCAACAAAATAAATCCGTGATATTATTAAGAGAATATATCAATCGTCAAATAGAAAGGATAATCCGGTAATTGCACATAGATCCATAATAATAAAAACATTGCTTACATTTTATTGCTGCCCTACAATACCTTTCTATCACGTAAAACCAAGTTGAGGTTAAGTCACTGATTACAAAAAGTAAGACTTAGATACAGATTCTGAAAACTGTAAAACCACAAGATCAGGTTAAGTCACTGATTACAAAAAGTAAGAGTTAGATACAGATTCTGAAAACTGTAAACCCACAAGATCAGGTTAGTATAGCCAAAAAAATATACATGTTGCTTAAACCTGGAGCCTTCTAAGTCTACAACAAGTTTCTACACTTACAAATCCCTCGCTCAATATGAAGAGAATCTTCCTCTGAAGACTTAAATGGTGTTGTCTTCTTACACGTCTTGACAAAGTTTGCAATTGAAGCTATAGAGTACAAATAAAGAGGTATACTTGTACCCTATAAGAAGAGGTATACTCGCACCCTATAAGATGAGATTGGAGAGCTCAGAAGAAAGAAGCATGATATTAGTATTATTAAGATTCTCTCCAGCGAGACTTGTCAGCAACAAGAAGATGTCCTAAAAAAAGAAACCAGGATATTCTCAAAAATCTGAAATCTGGAAACTTTTCTTCGTGTGAAAGCACAGAAAAGACCGTACAACACGTCGAGGGTGCCATCAAACCTGATAACCTACGCAGCTACGCCAATCTGAAGAAACCAAACAATGAGTAAGCAGCCCACTGCCTAATATCCAGGCAATGGCAACACCAAACTTTTCCCTCCACCCTGGTATCCTACACCAATCTTAGGGAACCAAGCTCTGTGTTTCAGTGATACAAACATCAGCACCTGATTGCCCTCTACTTACAGGCAATCAATCACCACAAGGCTAATGATAAGAGGCACTAGATCCAAATCTCCACTTGTTAATTAAGCATCGCCTGTCAAATATTGCAAACCAAACTACATGGTTCAGTCCCATCACCTAAGCACAAGATTATCCAGGATGGCATGTGTCAATGTATCAAAAGCTGGTCACCGTGATAACTTTTCATTGACAACACCTAACCACACAATCATCAGTATATCCATCAGCTCACCGCTCTATACAACACCAACATACAGCAACATCACAGAACTCCAAATACTAGGGCAATGAGAAGAATGAATTGACCACCAAAACATTTACGAAGTCAATGGAATTGCCCATGGCATTATAACTTAGCCAGCCTCTCCGTCACCTTAGTATGTACAACGTAAACACAAAAGCGAACATACTTGTGCATAGTTCAGATCAATGACCTCACTAGACTGCATTGAACTCTGACATTTTCCATCACTAAACAAAGGGTCGAGAATGATCAATCTAAACATCATGACACTATCACCATCAAGGCAACCTTTTTTTCCATCTCAAATATGGCCTCCACTACCTCAGGAGGATGGATCCAGTTCTTAATGTAAATTCCAATTCAATACTACCTGAGCAAGTTAAAAATGGAGTCTTTAGTGGTTAGTACCATATAAAGTAGCTCTCAGAATACTACAGCTGACTAGGACTCTCAGAAAATGGCAGAAGATCGTGCTAATAAATCTTGAAGATAAGACATGGCTTCAATTGATATCCATGTTTTCAGAAGTCCAATTGACCAAAAAGTCCCTGCAACACCATTCATAATTCAGAGCATGAAATGAACTACCCCCCAACCTTTATACCCTAAACAAGTACTAGGGACAAAAAGTATTTAACAAAATAACCTGCAACTTTGCAAACAAAACTAAAGTAAGTCATAACTAATATTTCAAAAATATTTAGGAATAATAAGACACGACCTCAGAAATATGAAGAAACACGACCACTACACTGAGCTACAGCTAAATTCCAACTGTATAATTTTCTAAGTTTACTTCAGAAAGGTATGGCTCCAAGAAATTCTCACCTGTAGGTGCAGTCATATCATCATTCCAGAACTTGGGTACTAAATATTGTTCATCTCGAGTTCGAACTCAATACAAGTATTGAAGTATGCAATACTGATACACCGTCAGCAAACCAAAACCTGCATAATAAGAACCATCTAAACCTACTCGATGCTAAGGTAATCCAGACCGAACACTGCATTATCTAAAAGACCCTCGTCCACCAAGCAAACCTTGGTCAAAATATAAACCCCAAAGCATGAAAATCATTTGCTATGAAACAGTATTAGAGGCCTTGATGGTAATAGTTATTAAGCAAAACTATTTCCACTCAATCTCTTACCAGGAGAACATATTATTTTATGACAACAATCAATCATCATGACCATGATCAAATTACAAGCCCCAGCTCATTATACACATGTTATCGCCAAGTACAATAGAATTGACCGGACAAACATGTTTACACAACCCACCAATCCACATTACCACAAAGGAAAAATTACCAAAAAATCAGAAAAACGTAAATACAGGGCAGGCAGAAAAATAAATAAGAAATCATCCAAATTTTATGCACCAGCATCAAACAAACAAACCTCAACGATCAGAGGCCAGATGATCAGAAACAACAAAAGACTACCGAAAATGATGATCAGAAACAAGGAACATGAACTGATCGAGAAAATGACGATCGGACCTCAAAATCAAAAAAATCAAAAAACATGTGAAGAAAATAATAAATAAAAAAATTGTGTAGAAACAATAAAAATGACGATCAAGCTTGGAAAACTGAAAGTATGGTAACAAAAAATGGAAGAGCACGCATACCTTGAAGTCGATGAAGGGCTGGTTCTGCAAAAAGGAACAAACTTTGAAGGGGGGGGGGAGAGAGAGATAATTCTGCTCTTGAGGAAGGAAGGAGAGAGATGAATAAAGCGGTTGGGTGCGTTGTTTGCAGAAATAAGAGGAGGAGAAATTGTCTGGACTGCTCAATGTTACCGGATACCGACATAATCTGTATTTCTTTTTTTCTTTTTGTTTTACTTTATTATTAAAATAAGGTTAAATAAAATAAAAAATCAGAGGACGTACGTAACACGACGTCGTTATGAGACAAGCGACGGTGAATTGTGAGGTGCGTTTCGCGGGAGATAAGAATCATTTGTCATTGCTCATTAGAGGTATTAAATATTAATTAACTAATAATAAAATAATAGTTTTAATTAGGGTAGGGTGCTTTTATCTATCCAACTAGTTAATCTTCCACTCCCAAGCAAGTGCGATCTTTCTCTGAGTTTGAGGTCACCAAACGCGTGTAGCAAGAGCATGTCTTTGTACATACGTTTCTTTTTTTTCTTCTTTTTTTGTTCTTTTTTGTAATCTGAAATTTATATTACTAATGACCTATCTAGAAAGTACTGATGCCATCTTGTAGTCGTCCAGCCACACGTGCTTGGGATGATCTTAATCGTTGATGCATTTTAAATTTTTATGTGTATTAGTAGTCAAAAACAACTCAAGCATGTGAACGACTAACCTTGCTTGCATGAAAGAATGTAAAATTTTAACAACTAAGTAAGGGGTAGTTAGTTGTGTCTAATCTCAAACGGACTCTACATAGGATGCATTTGTATACCTTGCTTGCATGTATATGAAAAGCCTACTTTTTTTATTTGTCTAAATAACCAATTTGGTGCCCCAGTGTTCAGTGTATGTGAAGAAATCAAAGATGGATATTCTGATCAAAACAAGTATTAAAATAAATAAATAAATAAATAAAGTGATTGAGGGGTGGAGAAAAGCAGATGATCTAATTCTGGCCTCCAGCCCTTATTTTTATTTAATTTTTATACTTTTGACCTCCAGTCTTTTATGGTGAAAGAATGATACAGATGTTATCATAATGGCAGTATTATCTTTTAATGCATTATTTGTGAAATAGATATGTGCTTGAAAATGACGTGGCTAATATCATATGGATGACAACATTGTGAACCACTTCAACTTCATAATTACATTTTCTGTATAAATAAAGGAATTGAAAATTAAATATAATTTTAAAATGATGAAATTTAAATTTCTGGCAATTGAAAATTTCAGTATTTGGATTTATACATATCGAATTTTGGGATAAATTGGATTATGAAAATTGTGAAATGACACATATTTTGGTGGAAATTAAAATCGGAATTTTGATGCCTAAATTTCCAAGATTTTTTCCGTGTGCCATTTAATAAATTCCACGCTTAAGTGCCAAATAAGGGAATTGTCAATTAGAAAATAAATCAGCTTTTATATATTAATTCGTTGCATCTAGTGATCCCAAATACAAAACATTTCCATATAAAGTACACTAACAATATGAATCAAGCATTTGCTTGGAAGTCTATTTGAGCGAATAACTTACGGGTTTAGTATATAACAATCTCACATATTCGATACACCTATATATTAATTTTTGGAAGACCGACACACCTATACTATTATTTAAGAAAAATGCTACTTGTCGTCATCTACTTTTCATAAAGTTCCGAGACGTCCCTTTTTACATTTATTACCTCTTTTTTCATAATCAGAACGGTACCTTTCTACATTTACTTCAAAATAATAAAAAGTAAATTGCCCTCTATTTTCCGAATTAGGACTCCAATTGAACTTAACTTCCCGAACTAAAAAGACAACTAATTTAATATCTGAATTAATTAAAATAGCCAATTTTGTGAATTTAATTCAATGTTTAGTTTAACTATAAGAGTAAACTTGTAATTTCAAATAAAATAAATAGTAAATAATAAGAAAATAGAATAACATTTATAAAAATACAAAAACTAGCCCTATCCAGCACCTCTCTCGCTCTCTCTCCCTCTCTCTAAATTGATGAGTCGATGTTTGGTTGAAGAAGCTCAAACAATCAGCAGCAATGGAGATGTGTCTCTCAGAGGGAGCTAGATTGAAGCTTTGTCTGTAAATTTGAAAACTTCGGAGTAGGAGAGAGAGTTGCCATAAGTTCTATGTGTCGCCTGAAATTCCGAGTTTTAGAGGGCTGGGTAATATGGGTTTGGAGGGAGGAGGCTAGGGGTGAGGCTGGGTAAATAGAGATGGTGGTGTAATTGTAGATATGAGATACTGTTGTTGACAAAGCCTCTAGTAGAATTATCAGTGGGATATAGCTGAATTGGTTTAGCTCTTTCACCTCTTTTCTTACGGGTAGAGGTTCGAAACCCTGGCACCAAATAAATACTTATGTAAATTCCCCCAATCACTTGTACTAAATAAATAAAAATTATACTAGAGCAAATATAATAACTCTCTTACATGCATAATTTATGTGAGGTTCCCAGTATAGTTAAAATTACTTCTCTTTGGTTCCAAGTAAAATTAAAATTTTGATAAAATTTTATAATACGAAAGCATCTGCAATAAAGTTGGCCCCGAATAACCTAACTTTGACAAAAAGTATTGGCAACAAAGATAGTCTTACAAGACTTTGCTTTTGCTTTCCCCTCACCTATTTTCACATTGAAATGTCATACAATACAATGATTTAAGTCAAATTTCATTCTTTAGTAAACTTTTCAAAACCTTATGCATGAATGAAACAACTTTGGCGTGCATTGTTTTTTTGGTTAATTACATGATTTAGTAATAAAACATTTAAAATTATGATTTCTTAAGAAGGATTATTTGATTCTTAAAGAAAAAACTGTCGCTCAGATAAAGTCTTGGGTTCGAATCATAACATTCGTGCAGTGTGCGTGAATATTGTATGTTTTATCAGGAAAAAAAATTTAATTTTGGTTTTATTTATTTATTTTTGAAGTTCGCACAGGCTGTTGGCTGTTGCTTCTTCGAAACCGCTTTCTTTACTGGTTCTCCACCCACACACACAAACATTCAAAAAAAAAAATTTATCGAACTTAATCTTCTGGTCCTGGATTTTGGACTTATTTTCAACTCTGCAATCGAAAAGGGAAGGTAGGAGGAGGGAGACGAAGCAGAGAAGAAGATGAGCGTCATCGAAATCTTGACAAGAGTAGAGGCGATCTGCCAGAAGTACGACAGATATGACGTCGAAAAGCAGAAGGATCTCAACGTCTCCGGCGACGATGCCTTTGCTCGCCTCTACGCCTCCGTAGACGCCGACATTGAAGCCCTTCTTCAGGTCCCTCTCTCTCTCTCTCTCTTTCTCAATTTTCACTCCACGCGATCCCTGTTTGGTCCCGAGAAACCTCGGGAAAATTCAAGAGGCTAATAGCTGATCCCGACGTAGTCGGACGAAATTCACTAGAATTTTGGAGTGAAGTTAGGGTTTTTCACCTCTATGGTGTGCTGAACTGAAACCGGAGTTCTTTTTGTTTGCAGAAAGCGGAAATTGCTTCGAAAGAGAAAAATAAGGCATCTGCTGTTGCGCTGAATGCTGAGATTCGGAGGACCAAGGCTCGATTGCTTGAGGAGGTTCCCAAGTTGCAGAGATTGGCTGTAAAGAAGGTCAGCATTTACTGTTTTAATGATTTTTGGTAATGTTCGCATTTGTAATTTCGTCAAATTGTTTGAGAAATTGATAGTAGCCTAGCACATTCTGGTCAAAATTGAAAAATTGAAAGATGGTTGCACTTGTATATGGGATTTTAGTATTGTTTTAAGAGTATATGAGATGCCTGTGCGTGTGTAAGTTGCCAATTTTGCTTGTTTAGTATACAACACAAGGCGGCATGATTGCTTTGGGTATAGGCAGCGTGATTCATAATTGATGCTAATTGGTTTACAGGTGAAAGGGCTTTCAACCCAAGATTTTGCTGCTCGTAATGACTTGGTCCATGCATTGCCAGATAGGATCCAGGATATACCAGATGGGACTCCTGCTGCACCCAAACAAACTGGAGGCGGCTGGGCAGCTTCAGCTTCTCGTACTGAAATCAAATTTGATTCGGGTAATTTTTTGCATTATGAAGGCTGTTTGGTGCTTTTTTAGTGATTATAATGTATGGACAGCTCAGTTCCATTTGATTATTTTCAGTTTACTTTACTTATGTGTTTCATGTATTTTGGTAGAGGGGCGGTTGGATAATGAATTCTTCCAACAATCTGAGGAGTCGAGTCAATTCAGGCAAGAGTTTGAAATGCGGAAAGTGAAGCAGGCAAGTTATAGATATTGTGTTGTGTTTGTTTACAATGGAGATTTCTTTTAAAAGGATGCAAATTGCATACTTGCTAGTTAGATGCAGGAGTTATGGATATTGGTTTGCATTTTTATTTATTTTGACATGCTCACAGGATCAAGGTTTGGATATGATATCAGACGGTTTAGATACATTGAAAAATATGGCTCAGGATATGAATGAGGTTAGTTGTTTCTGTGTGATGCTACTTGCTCATTTGCAATATATAAACATATGTTAACTTAATTTATCATATGCCTTGTGTAGGAATTTGATAGGCAAGTTCCTTTGATGGATGAGATTGACTCTAAGGTGAGAAACATTGTCCTCTCCTAGTATTGCTTCCAAGATGTTCAGTTTGAATTCTCAAAATTATATTACTAAATGCTGCCTCCCTTCTTAATAGGTGGACAAGGCATCTGCTGACCTTAAGAATACCAATGTCAGACTGAAAGACACAGTCAACCAGGTGAGTGTATTTGCAGCTTTTTTAAGTTTACAAATGCACATTAGAGTCCTTTTTATAAATAAATAAACTCTTTGTTGCTGGATCTAATGTATGTTTTGTTTTTGTTACAGCTGAGGTCCAGCCGAAATTTCTGTATTGATATTATATTGCTGTGTATAATTTTGGGCATTGCTGCGTATTTGTACAAGTAAGCTCATATCCTGTACAATGAACATATATGATGAGATAGACAAACGTCTATAACTAGATGTCATTGCACTGCTCAGATTATGGTTATATGTGATAAGACTTTATAGTTACTTCAACCCTAAAATGCAGATTTAAATACACAGAATTATTTTTTCAATGCTCTAGAATTGAACTTTGATCATTTGCATGTCTGCGTTTCTTATTTGAGGTGTGTCATTTTTGTATTCTGATCGCGGTATCTTTATTCGCAGTGTACTGAAGAAGTGAGGTGGCATAAAGAGCGGTTTGACCAGTTCCAAGAGTTGTTGGCTTGTCCGGTATTGTTTTGCATTTTGAGGACTCAGTTTGGTGCTTGATATATGTTATTTGATTGTTTATTTTAAGTTGAAGAGGGTCTGTTCATACTACCATGAATGTATTTTTCAAGTACATGAGTCAGTTTTATGTTGCAGTTGGTTGTGTCCTCTAATTTGCTTTTGTTGGTACTCTGTGAGGCTGTATCTGAATCCATACTTCAATTTATTAAACCTTCGTGGACCCATAGTTAATAGATTGGATTGGCAGCTTCCTTTCGATTTTATATGAAACTTCTTATGGAACTAATGCATTCTTTCCGGGCCTGATTTAGTTTTCATCTGTCAGATGTATCTAAATTACTGTCTTTTGATTTAGTTTCTGTAGGCTTTCCCACGCCTCTTTTGCCAATAGAAAATCACTGAATATAAAAAACCTGAACTCTTATGTGGAAAAAGTCAACAATGTATATCAAGCTAACAACCACAAAACCCATAACCCGCATTAACACTTTACGTGACGGAGAAGTTGAAATGTAAAGCAATTTTCTATATTCTCATCCCAACATCTACAAGATATTTATTACAACGAATATATGCGAATATACATACAATCTTGAAATGCTGCAGCTAATTACATCCAGCGAACACCAAAGTAATTTACATGCTTATTCTTCATAGGTATTAAAATTGCATTCAAATGTACACCAAAAGAAGAAAATTCAGAACTGCACACTAATTTACATAAAAATCACAATCATGGAGACCTCTGTTCGTGATCTTGAATCCCTACATCTACATAATAACGGAATTAATCCACACCTTGCTTCACTGCTCTAGCCAGCTACTCACTTGCACTGAAAGCCAATTAATTGACTGAGTTCTTGATATTGGATCATGGAGCTCCATTGATCTGCATTGAAATTATTTTCAGCTGATCCAGACTGGTCTACTCCCCAGGAATTCATTGCGCAACCGTCCCGGCCAATCAATGTGCTAACTTCCTCCTGATATTCTCTGCTACATATCCTCTTGCTTGGTGTAACAAAACTCTGGTGGTGTCCATTTCCTTCTGCTGCAGGCTTTCTCTTGAAAGGGTTGATAAAACTTTCAAGGGAAGAAGCTAAAAGCTGCCCGTTGTTCTTATTCGATGAATCGTTCTCTAGAATTGTAGTGCAAGAATTTGTGTCTCCACTGCCCTGAAAGCTTATGGTTGAAGTGGTTTTAGTGTATGGAAGTTCAGGGGAGGCAAAAATGTAGGGCAACATTGGACAATCTTTGTACAGATAGTTTCTGACCATTTCGATGCTAGGGTTTGTGTCCTTTGAACATGTCTCATCCGCTTGCTTGGTGTAGGCACCTAGTTTATAGCTAGGAGGACTGGTTTGATCTTCCCAAATGCTCCTGCTGCTGTTGCATTTTTGTCGAACCCGACATAGCACCCAATCATCCAACTGTCATGAAGAAATGAGAGAATTATTAACAATATCGAAAGAAAGTATAAAAAAAAAAAAAAATAAATGAAACCCATACGATTGTTGAACATAAGCATAATATCAACATAGAAAACAACAGTAGAGGATTCAGAACTAGAAACCCTCTATATGTCATCCATATAATTAAGCTTAATTACAAAGGTGGAGAGAGAATGAGGAATATCAATTACTAGCTTATTATGTTGCTAGACTATCAATCAGCACAACATGTTCTGATTCAGCACGACTGATTCATCACTTAGACTATCAATGGTCCTGATTCGCAGTCTAAAATCACTTGTCAAATTGGCAAAAGAAACTTACCCGTACCTACCGTAATACCATATTCTGTGGGGATATGAAGTAATTGATTAAGCAACTTACCCTCATAGACCCTTTTTGCTTTGAAGACCACATGGTTGTGTCAAGCAATCTATACTCATTCATGATCCACTCTGTCTTGACACCCTTTGGAGGGTGTCCTGTGTAGAACACAAGTGCTTTCTTCACCCCAATGCTTTTTGTTCCACAAGAACTGAAAATATGTTTATCAGTTCCTGTAGCCTTCCAGTAACCCAAACCAGCTGCTCTGTTAGGCCTGCTCCCATTCGGGTACTTCCGATCTCTCGGGGTGAAAAAATACCACTCTTCTTCTCCAAAGGAGGCTTTGGCTGGCAGCTCCCATGGATTATACTTGTAGAGATCCAATTCAGTGATGATGGTTGCAGGTAGTGGACTTGAAGTGACTTTGTTTTTCAAATAGTGGACGATGAGTTCTTCATCAGATGGGTGAAATCTGAACCCAGCAGGAAGCTGAATGTTATCAGAGGTTTGTTGTTCCCTCTCCATTTTCGGAATGGAGGAGGGAGGCTTGCTTGTTCCTTGGTGATGGAGGAAACTAGGGAATCAACGAGGCCCTGAAATTATCGACCAAATGGTTTGTAAGTATGATTGCACTGTGCAGTTGTTTTATAGGGAGTTTCTCTCATGCAGAAAAGGACAATTTTGTTAACATATATTATATCAAGTTTATGTATATGATACATTTGGTCAGGGAAAGCAACCTGATTGTCCTGACTGATCACAACCGTTGGATATCACATATCCTTTATCTGATCAGAGATGCATAGGAGCCAGAGACTTCAAATTAAGCTTCATCTTGTCGAGCGGTGTTACCACAGTGGTTGTGGCCCTCCCCCTTTCTCCCCCTACTTGGCACCCAGGATCGAAACCCCAAGGTTTCTTTCCTCCCAATATAACCCAAAAGATATATATATATATATATATTAATGTTCATCTCCTATCTTTGATCAGATAAGTTTTAGTTTTGATTGCTTCAATTACCATTATATGTTTCATGTGCTTCAATTTGTTTGAATTATTTTGGCACACCAAAGAGCATATGATTGAGGTGGTGATGTTGGCAATGTGGAGCACAAATAGCATGTATCGTTCAATCATTCCACAAAACATTATCAACAACATTTCCTTTTTGGGGAAGGGGGTGGCCAACATAACTGAGAGAGATTGTCTTGTCCCCCAAATCATTTAGCACTTGCGACACTGTTCTTCATGCTTGCACTCGACTGCATTCCAGGTGTCCTTTCCCTCGTAACTTGCATTCCTAGCATTGACAGGTTTATACATGGCTTGCAATTCTAGCCTCTTCTCTTAAGGGTCATGTTCTCTTTTAACATGTTTATATTCTCAGATAAATACTTATATTATCGGACTGTGAATTTGAATCACACATTCAAACAAGAATTAATATGACAAATAGTCCGAATTCACGGCACTCGATCAAGGTGGCTTAATTAGTGTAGAGTCAAAGGAATTCACTCATTAACACAAGAGATTAAAGTTCCATGGAAAATGTTTTGATGGGATGTTGTCTTGTCTTTGGCTTTAGCCCCTGCATTCCATACCACATATCTTGATCATAACAAAACTCCAAGAAATAGAACATTATAGAAAGGAGGAGAGACAGAAAAAGGCCAACTTGATCCCCAAGATTCGATTGCATGACTTTTCCTCCTTGGAAACTCACTGTCACCATTTTTCTTCGTCCCCATTTTGGAGTCTCTTTCAACAACACGTCCCCTGTTTTTCCCTTTGAAGTTTCAGAAATTGCATGCGCAATTATTTCGTCTTTGAATTTCCATGGAATTCCATAATAATAATAATAATAAATATATAAATACCCAATCAAATTACCACTCATAGCCGTACCTATACTATGTACAATGACTTATATATATTATATGTTTTGATTAGAATTTATGAATACATAACAAATTTAAAGTGGTTGCAATTGAAGACAAGAAATGAACATTCTTTCCACATGGATCGGATCGACCGAGGTTTCTGGTTTGTGTTTTCATGGCTCAGAACGTTAACTTTGAGGCGCCTCATTTGTTGGCAAGCTTCAACACTTTCACGGCGGCCAAATATTTCCAAAAACAGATGGAGAAAAAAAGAAGAAGAAGACCAACATCACTTTCAGAGGAGTTACGTTTCTGTATGGCAGGGACAAAGATACCAAACGTGGCACACTTTGACCGACCGTCTTCAATCCTCAGTCCATTCATTCAATCCATGGGTGCTAGAAGTTTATGAAGTTAATTAATGAATTAATTACCTATTAATTTTTAATCACAGAAGAAAACATAAGGTAAAGGTATGCATTTGAAACGAAGTGACCAAGGGGAGCTTGATTATGATTTGTAGATGGTGGATCCCACATCCCGTACAAGGTTTCAAGTACTCAAAGATGACTAAAAATTTTACTAGGTCCAATATTGACACCAATTCATGCAGCAACGAAAAATTCTTTAACAAAGAGAGAAAGTAGAAAAGGCTTATAATGTTTATGAATTGCATGATGACGTGGTTATTTAAGCCGGTCGCATTAGCATGATGACGTGTTATGATTACATAGATTTTTTTTGGTTAATTGTTTTCCCAACAACACTGGTTAATTAGCTAAGATCTTGTGGTCAATACATAGGAGAGGCAGCCTCATAGTATTTTTTTTCTTTCTCTGGAGAGAGAGATTCGAACTCGAGGGTAAAAGACCAGACATACCGTCATGACGGACTGGTAGGCCTAACCCGCATCCGCAAACTAATGAATAGTTATTGATTGTATTGAAATGTTTGTGAAACAGATGAGTGAGAATAGAGTATGCAGAAAAATTCCCCTCGCACCTCGCACTATTCGGATTCTCTATACACCGACAGCTTGCAGCCAACTCCAAAGCTTCATTTAAAATTGGCATCAAGAAGAATTAACAAAAACAAAAACAATTCAACACCACAAATCTCTAGAGTCTAGACAACAATTCCGACAAACCAAATATCTGTTTTTATACGAATAGATGATAATCTCTGGCCCTCTGGCCCTCTTCCATTTTTAATTCAATTTTGGAGGGACGCAAGTGGGTCAGGTGGGGAATTATATTTTTCTCTTTTTGGGTTCAAGTGGGGAATTAAATTTCAATACCCTGAATCTTGATCTTAAAAATCATTAATTTTCCCTCTACAACCTGAATTTATATAACTATTATTATTAATTATTTTTTATTAGTATAAACTAAGCTCTAGTCTAGATTGTAACAATTAATTAATAATACTTTTTTTAATTAAGATTATAGGTTTTATATGTTGTGTTTATACACCTGAATCTGATTGGAGCTTATTATCGGTTACAAAAGATTTTCAAATTGATCCTATTAGCCTTGAAAATAATTCAAAATCTAAGGGACCAGTGTGGTCCCAGACCCCCGCTCCTTATTTTTATATTTTATGATATCTTTAATATTTCAAGAACCTCATTTTCATGTCTACTTTTTTTCTTAAATTTACCATACCTATTATTATTATTATAATATTTTTTAACACAAATTCTAAAAATCTAAGTCTTTTTCATATATTTTTCTCTTTTTGATGGACACAACATATTTCCTTCTTGCTTTTACAACCATGTTTGTGACTTTAATTCATTCTCTTATTCTCCATATAATATATTATCAAGTTTTCAATTGAGTTAATTCATTTAATTAAGTTTCGTTACATTTTCTCTTTTTTTTTCTTTTTATATTGTTTTCTCTCCACCTACGGTTTGTTTGGGTTTGTAATTTTATTTATTTATTGTGTTCTCTCCACCTATGGTTTGTTTGAGTTTGTGAACTTTTGCTTTATTCTCTCCGTTGAGTTTAATGGATTTTCCAATTTATGTGTAGATTACTAAAGGAAAAAAGTTGATTTTTTTTAGGGAGCTAATTTTCTCACTCCTTTTTTCTCCACTTACATTCCCTTTTGCTTTTTAAATACTTTTTAATCAATTTTGTTCTTTTTTATTCTTTCTCTCTCCTACTATATCCTTACCTTACATTAAGGTTTTGATAACTAAAATGAAGAATTTTTTTAAATAAAAAATCATAACCAGGATTTTTTATATGTTGTGAGTTCAAAATTACGAAGACAACCTCCTTGTCATCTATGTTGTGAGTTCAAATTATATATATATATATATATTTTTTGTGAGAGGCTCCTCACACATAAAATCTTGGCTCCGCTATTGATTCAAATAGGAATATTAATAGAATATATATATATTCATTTTCCCCAGAGACAGCCCCATGTGGTGGTGGCTACTCCCAAAGAAGGAGGTTGTCTTCGATAAGATGTTTTGCCATGACTATGAGTAAGCATTGTCTTTCTTGATCTTTGGTTCAAAACAGACGACCATAAGTAAACATTTTAATTGCCTATATCTCTTTGTTGGTTCAGAAGAATTAATGAGAAATTCTCAATAGATCACAAATCTTCAAATTGGATTATTAATGCAAACTGATTTGGCAAAGTTTAGTTAGTTTAGTTACATATACTTAATTACATGTCTTAGTACATAGGTTGAAGACCATCGAGGCATCAATATTTAATGTCCTTGGTCCAAGACATTAATTAGATATGTTTTCTTATTTCACATTAGACATGTTCTTTTTGGTGTGATCGTGATCATACCGTCTTTTTTGTTATTGAAACAAAAAAATATGTGTTAAGGGAATCTTGATTCATAGCAGGTTTGAAATTCTAACCCTATAACGCATTTGTATTAATCAATATTTTACCAGATAACTTCTAATAGCATTATGCGTTAAATATGAAGACTAACAACATAACATGTCAAATATGAGCCGATAATTTATGCAAAGGGCGTCCTTACTCACACATCTGCATGGATATAATAACCTCATTCTCTTCTTCTACCTACCGTAGATCCAAACTTTAATAATTTTTTTTATAAAATAAATTATAATTTATTTCTCCGGAAATTAGGTTTCTGATCTGAAGAACCAACACATTGGGTTTTGGGTATTTATATATATCTATATACGTGTGCATGCAGTAATTGAAAGAGATATTGGAGATACTTAAACATTGGATACCGAATGGGGAGTGGGACGAGACGGCATCAAATGTCTGGAAGGAAGCTCCGAATGCATGCAGCCAAAAGCATGTGTTTATTTTTTTTTTTTTTTTTTTTTTTTTTTTTTTTTTTTTTTTTTATTTTATATTTTAATTTTTTTCTCTTTAATTTTATGTCTCCATCGTTAGCTTATTTATTGCTTATTATTAAAAAAAATTAAGACGAAACCGTGGGTCTGCTCAAAGTCAGCTCAGATAAGGACGTCAACATAACATAATGACCAATTTGCCACGCAAGACCAGGCCACTTACTGTTTGGGAAATATTCTAATCTAAGTCTCTCTCTCTCTCTCTCTCTCTGTGGCACAGTCAAAAGTTTCAAACTGTATAGTAAAAGGAATTTGTGAACTCCATAGCTGTACCTAAACTAATGTCGTATATGATCGATAGGCAAGAAAAGAAAAAGGCCAATAACAGCTTTGTAGCTGCTGGAATGCGTATATATAGAGTGGTGAAATGGTCGCCCAGTCTATAAGCTCATTGCAAACACAAGTCAACTTTGCCTACTAATTAGGGCGGCTTAGTACAAACTTGCCTACTAATTAAGTCCCCAATTCAAAAAATATTTTATTTTATTTTATAAAAACAAATTTGGAATAATGAATTCGAATTTGGAGTTTTGAGCATACAACTTACAAATAGAACTTGAGAATAGAACTCATCATAACTCCACTGTTCGAATTAGGTTAAATTTAGCTTTACCATATCCAAAGTTAATAAGAAACCTAATGAAGTTCATCACTTACAATTATTTGTTGGGGCCTTATCCGTTGCGTGCTTTTGATATCGTAATCCGAATAATTCATTTTAAGTCTTTTCTAATGATTATATTGTTAACGAATCGATAATTTTGAATCATGAGATCATATTGCAACGTGAACCCTAACTAATATGTCCTTCCAAGTTAAGTCATATAATTGAATCTCTCTCTTTAAAGAAACACAAACTTAATTTACTCCTAATCAAACACTAGGTAATTACGTGCGAATCATATAGCACCATACATAGCAGTATCTAGATCATAAAACTCAAAGAGTAGATCATAGCTAACCTTTTAAAATAAGCAAAATATAACACTACATTTAGAAATCATGTCATTTAAGGTTATAATTATAACCAACGTCCCAAAACCAAATAGGAACCAAATTATACGAATGAAACAGTTCAAATTCAAGTTATAATCACAAGATATTAAGTCAAAGATCTTCTGTTCATCTTACATACACGTCTTCTAGCTCCACACACCAGCAGTGATCTAGTACTATATCTGAAAACACTGCATGATGATCATGAGCAGTAAGTACTATCAATGACAGGAACATGTGATGATGATGTACATGTATATATATCACTGCCATGATGATGATCATGATGGAATGGATGGTGGATGATGCAGGTATAGCATGCATCACAGATGGTTACAGATGATCCACATCCACAGTCGTCCTTGTTGGGTCCCTCATTTCCTCCCACAGGGAAACCCAGCGAGAGAGCGACAGAGGAGAGGAGGTGTCACGGACTGTCCTTTCTCCTCTCTAAGTGTATATCTCGGGAAACGCAAAAACTCACGCACAATATGCCTCTCTTAATATTAATATTAACTTATTTTGTTCCAGCTTTAAGTATGACAATAATCATTTTAAAGCTGATCAAATTCAAAAGGCAAGTGACTTTCTGAGAGATTAGCCTTTTTGATCTGCCTATGCCTTTGTTAGCTTCCACAATGCCTTTTTCAATTTACACAGCCTTTTAAAAATTCATATTTCTTTATATTATTTCTAAACATAATTGGAGTTTGAGCTCACAAAACAACAAAACGCACACTACCCTACACATTCTGCTTTCCCTTGCAGCTAGGCTAGCTCATGACTCTGCCTCTTACACACTTCCACTCTTGTGTACGTGTGACTGTGTGAGAGAGAGAGAGGAGAGAGAGAGAGAGAGAGAGAGAGAGAGAGAGAGAGAGAGAGAGAGAGAGAGAGGGTGGTGGCCCATCAAATATATGGCTGACCGACTTTGAGGATATGAGCTAGATAAAGGAGAGACTTATACGCGTAAGACGAAGACACGCAGAGAAGAAAGAGAGAGGTGAGCTATAGGAAAAGAGATAAAACACATATATTAGAAATATTCTCTTTGAGCCATCATGGGTTTTGGTTTTTTCTCTTAGAAATCAAACAGACAAAGGCAACAAAAACCAGACCATCATCGCCATCTCTCTCTCCTCCACTGTCTTATATTTTTGTGAGGGTTTTTGTAATTTACAGTACCTCTCAACAACACACTTGACTTGGGTTTTGGCAGAATCGGAGTGTGTCTTCAGAAAAACCTTTGTTTTCTTTTTGTTGCTTTTCCAAAGCTAGTCTTTTGTGGTGACTAGACAACAAGAGGGAACAGTTTTGAGCTAAATCCCAGAGAGAGAGAGGGATATGCAAATGATGTCCGGTGATGGGTTTTCGATTATCCCTTCTGCCATTGATGGGTTTGCTCAAGAACATCAGCTGAATACAAACCCTAGCAGCCAGAAACCCAATCCCAATAACCCTGTGGCCAAGAAGAAGAGAAATCTACCAGGAACACCAGGCAAGCAATATTCAAGCTTGCTCATTTACCCTTTTTTTGTTATAAATATTTCATAATCTTCTTCTTCAAGTTCCAAAGTACTAGTACTGATATTTTCTTTAATGGGTTTTAAGTTTTTTATTTGATTTCTTTGTGTGAACAGATCCAGATGCCGAGGTTGTTGCTTTGTCTCCGACGACCCTAATGGCCACAAACCGATTCGTCTGCGAGATATGCAACAAGGGCTTCCAGAGAGACCAGAATTTACAGCTTCATCGGAGGGGCCACAACCTTCCATGGAAACTGAAGCAAAGATTGAACAAAGAGGTGAAGAAGAAGGTGTATATTTGCCCTGAGAAGAGCTGCGTCCACCACGACCCGTCGAGAGCTCTCGGCGACCTCACCGGAATAAAGAAGCATTTCAGCAGAAAACACGGTGAGAAGAAGTGGAAGTGCGACAAGTGTTCGAAGAAATACGCAGTCCAATCGGATTGGAAAGCTCACTCCAAGACCTGTGGGACGAGGGAGTATAAGTGTGACTGTGGAACCCTCTTTTCCAGGTACATATATATTTTTTGAAATTTTTATTTTTGGGTTTTGTTATGTTAATGTATGAGAATTGAATGCTCATCATTTGTATATGGATTTAATGCGTTTTTGGGTTTGAATTTAATGCAACCATATATATGATTGGGTTTGATTTTTTGGAATTAAACAGGAAAGATAGCTTCATCACCCACAGAGCTTTTTGTGATGCCCTAACTGAAGAGAGTGCTAGGCTCACTACTTCAGTTGCTGGAGCTGCAACCAATCTCAATTTCGGAAACGAAACAATGTTAAACAACACCATGATGCATAATGGTCATGCAGTTCAAGATGACGTGTCTCAAATTTCTCAGTATGGCCAAGGTTTGATCAGGCAAGATTTCAATGGATTGGATCATCATCATCAGCAGCATGAGAAGCCAAGCTTGTCACTTTGGCTGAATCAGCAGCAGGCAAATAGTAATTCTCATCAGCTGAATCTCATGGACAATATGGCAGCAAATCCCAATCAGCTTTATGTAACATCATCAAGCTCCACTGCTTTTCCAGATATGGCTCAAATGCCATCAGCCAACAATATCAATCAGCTCTTTGGCTCGCCAAACGCTATGTCTACTTTTGGAAGCTCAAACATCAATCTTTTTGGCTCAGGCAGTGCTTCAAGTTCTACTTCCACAAGTGCTGCAAATAATCTCTCCTTATCATCACCAATTCAAGAAGGTGGGATTCATAAGGGAAACAGTAATCTGGTGGGCAGCGGAGGCTTATCAAAGCCGCCTGCAGCCCCAATGTCTGCCACAGCACTTCTGCAAAAAGCAGCACAATTGGGTTCAACCAGAAGCAGCAACAACAACAACAACCAAGGCAGCAGCAGCAGCAGCAGCTTGGGTGTAAACGTAATGAGCTCATCACCATCTTCTTCAAACACTTTGATCAGGAGCTTCAGTTCCAATATGAACCAAAATCGATCAAACGAGCTGCATCAAATTGTTCAAAATGCAAACCAATCAGGCGGTGCAAACTCAAACACAAGTTCTACTCTTGAGCAGCTCATGAACAACATCACTCATCGGGGTTCGAGCACAATTGGAAATCTTGATCATCAAAACAGTCTAACCAGAGACTTCTTGGGCATGGGAGGAGGAGGAGGGGCAGCAGATCAATTATCTCATAACAACAGGCCAATGTTCTCACCACAAGAGCTTGCCAAGTTTGCATCTTCAATGAGCCAATTCACTGGCAACCACTAGGGGAGGTTTAATGTTTTTGACACGTTCAAGCAAACTCAGACTGAGTCGGGACCGAGCGGAAAAGTTTGAAACTCAGCTGGGGACCGCAAGGGGATGGATGGATCAATAATAAGAGAGAGAGTTGGGGCTGCCTCTATCTCTGGAAGCAACAGGCAAATTGTGGTCACAAAGCTACAGCTACAGCTAGAGAGATCATATTGAGTTTCTGGGTTCTGGGGTGGGGCCCAATTAATGTTCATATTTTTGCATGTCTGAAAGTGACAAAACGAAAAGCAAACTCCAAGTCATTATGTTTTTGTGTATGTTTGTTATTCTTGCCTTTTTTAGGTTTGCCTTTTGATAGATGGAGAGATATTTTCTCTTTTTTTTTCTTCTTCTTCTGCTGCTGCTGCTGGTGGTGCTGCTGCCTGCTGCTGGTTCAGTGGCTTTGTGGCTCTGCAATCTCTTCTTTTTAAAAATGAACAGAGTGCACAGAAAACTACGTGAGTGATCACATATATGGTTTGACCGTTTGTCAACGTTGGTGGGTTTTACTTTAAAAAGTTAAAAGGAGACACTAATTAATAACAATTATTAAAGATGATGGCTTTTGTTGCAATTTGTTTAAGGCAACGTGCATGCACCGGTGGTTTTGGGTTTGATTAATTTGATTATCATCAAGGGCACGTAATAATTTCTTTGTTTTGGTTGACAAAAATGATATACTAAATTACTCTAACGTAAGAAGAGGGAATCAAACTCGAATACCAGAGGCCAAACACACCGTCTTAACCAATTACCTTATGCTTACATCTGCAAGTGCACCTAACAATTGAGACATAGCTAAATATGCAGAAAAGAAAAAAAGAGAGAGAGAGAGTTTGTTTGTGACGGTGTAGGCAGAATCTAGCTTGGGATCATGCCGCCGGATTGATCATGATGCCAAATTAAAAGAGGAAAAAGAAAACAAAAAATTGGGGCCAGGACAGCTGTGTGATTGCATTGTCAATTGCCCACTTGATGGCTTGGGTAGAATCACGGAATGAATTCTTATAAAGAATTACCTCGTGTTCAAAACATTTACTCTCACGTGACTTACAGTTGAAGACAATTTGAGGCGTGGATGGTAATCTTCAAAGTCTCCTATTGAATTGTGCCGATATTTTCTTCAATTTAACTATTTTTGGTGGAATTCAAGTGAGGAAAATATATATTTTCAATGCTAGGCAATTATTCACTTGATGCGTGGACAATTTGATTCAAAATTCTTAGCAATCCATTCATTTTGGGGTTATTGAATTTTATTTATTTATTTATTTAATTTTTTTGGAGATTGGAGACTAGCTTACTTGCAAGGTTGCAATATATTAACCCACTTGCATCACATTGTAGGTTACATTTTCCATTCTAGTGTGAGAAATATAACATTGATATTGTTCCGAACTTAACGACGTTGTGTTTTAGGGTTTGAGGTTTTATCTTAAAGTCATGAATGCAACTTAATAAGTTATTTCACCTAACTAGTTATCTAATGTGAAAGATGATTGTAGTTTGATTCTTTCTAGTTTGATTTGTAATTTTTAATTATAAGGAAAACGACACATGATTGTCGACCATTTAGCATTATGATGGGTTGACACAGTGGCATTGCTGAAATTCAAAGTAGAAAATGGACTCCTTAATAGTCTCTTAATCTACTTTCTTAGGAATTAAGATAAGCCCATGACACGAGAGCTTGACTTTAGGTCTCACTTTTCAGCCATTACAAAACTAGTTTCCTAGGTTTTCGTTTATTTAATTTATTTCTAATATTTTTATTAAAACTTTTCATATGTATATGAGAAATTTAGATATATAGTTAACTAGTTATTCTATAACATTATTACTGTATGCATATAGAAAAAGTAATAAGAAATACTTGATATTTATACGGTAATAATATCCGGACGTGCACATATAGGAGAAAGTTTATATAGTTAACAACGACATTGGAAATTAAATAATATATGAGAATATTTTAGGTTCCAACGTGGGATCCTCGGAAAAAGCATCATGAAACGTCGTTGATTTCCCAAAAACCAAACCTGTTTGATATTCCCCATCTCATCATATCATCTGCCATGGAAAATTTAAAAACTCAAAACACCAAAACAGAAATGTTGACGATACGAAGAAATGTTTCCTCAGACAATATTGTTTCGGGTGAGATGAAAAGACTGAGTGAGTGAGTGAGTGAACGGTGACCCTTATTTTCAGGTAAAGGTCCTTTCCTAGGGCACTAGTGTTGCCCTGTCTATGAAACCGTTGCAGGGCACTGGTGTACCAAAACAAGACCTTTGACTTTCCCCTATCTTTGTTTCTTTTGTTTGATAATTTTGGGTAGAGCCCTACTCGTAGTAGGGACTAGGGAGATGGAAAGAGCAGTTTGTTTAGAATGCTGCAACTTTTAATCCCCAAAACCCAATGGTCCTGCAAATTTGCACCCACACAAAAATAAAACGATTTTTAAAAACAATCTCACAACTTTATCGTGTAATGAGTTTGACCTTTTATTGGTACTTGTCATGACCAGCTTTTTGAGACCTGGGTCGAGAGCTTTTCCCTTTTCAAGTTTGAGTTGTTGATTTCAAGTAAACATTCTATTACTTTTATAACATGTTTTGAGCACAAACTTATAAAACAACTTCTTGATTCTTGAACATGTATAAATATTAAATAATGCCAGTATTTCCTTTATACATGATGAACATATAACATGTCATTCTAAGAACATAGAGATTCTTTTTCCTCTTTTAAGACCAAAATGATCAAATTACTTACCTTGCCCTTTGGTGGTGAAGCTAACAACACCGTCCTTCTCATCCATTACACTTCTAATACCAATAGTATTCTCTTACAGATGGTTTATAATCTCGATTAACAGTCTAATAATAGTCATAGTGACCATTTCAAGTGAGAGACGGGTCTAGCAATTTATGTTGGGGTGGAGTGAAGTACACTACACTCCATACACCCGTTAAACCCGTGTCTGTTTCAGGTTACTTATTAGAAACTTCGGCTTGATTAGATTTAACAAACAATTGAGGCATTAAATAGGCCCAATAAGATTTCTATATGGGCTGCATAGGCCCAATAATGTTTTTATTTATTTATTGTTTTTGGTAGTCGCCCAATATTTGTTTCTATATGGCCTTTTGCCTATGAGGGTTGTGTTTAAACTCCACCAAATGTTGGGCTTTGCAATTTCGAAGAAGAATGGACTTGCACCTCTTGATGACGTGGCAGGTCATGACTGGTGCCAACAGAACTCTCGGTTAGTCGAAGGAGGAAAATCCACGTGGAGCTAAGCGATAGGCCCTAGTAACGTGGAACGAATACACCTCTCTTCCTCTTGCTTACTATTAAACGCAAGTTAGGCAAATTTATGTTGGTATTAACATTAAATCATTTTGTTCACAAAATACACATAAATAACATTTATGCTCAAACTTTGTTTCAGAATTGAGGGATAGATAGAGAGAGATAGAGACAGAGAGAGGGTGATGGTTCGGAGTTGCTCATTCGCCATGGATATGGTGGCCTGGAGAGGCTTGATGTACACGGGGTTCATACTGCATTTCGTCTTTGTCTGCCAGCTCCTCCTTCTTCAACCTCTGGTTTCAGCTCTAGGTCTGTTTCACTCACTCTTTGATCTTTATCTTCATGCCTTTTGTTTGAATTTATTCATTGATCTAATGCTTCATGTTAAATTCCGCACTTTTTTTCAGTTGGGTGGTCTTATTTGTTGCGCCAAATTTGAAAGATCCTTGCTTTGTGGTTGTTTAGGGTTAGCAGTGTTCTGGGCTTTAGTGAAAATTAAACTATATTTGCATTCATTGCGCTTGTATTCTTCAATGGCTCTGTAGGTAGCCATTGTACTAGAGAGAGTACATGAAGGTTTTGTATTTGTCAATTTTGCATTCTGGGCTTTAACTAGATTGCAGCATAGCCATATCAATCAAAGAATCAATGTTTATACATGGGATGGGAACGAACCTTGTACTATGTGTAGCCCTTTTAGAAGGGTATTGCTCTGTTTGTTTATGATCCTCTTTTGGCCCGTATTAGGTTGATAAGAAGTTTTGTATGTAAATGAGTGCAGTACCCTAAATTAAGTATACTACGGTTGAATAAGGGTTAGAGCGACATGATTAACAGTAGGAATATTCACTATTAAGAATTATTTTTTTTCACATAATGGAAATGGTAATTATGTTGGTGGAGAAAAAAGGAATTAACTCCCCGATTCTACAGTTTTAGTAGAAAATCGGGAAAATGGAAGTCTAGAGGAATGGTTGTCTTAATAAGTATACGATATTGATTCGTATGGAGTTGGCATGTTAGTTTGAATATTCTGTGACTACACAGATGCCAAGCCTGCTATGTTTTTTGTTTGTTAAGTTTCTATACGTGGCTTGGTACGTACGTGTGTTGATAATGGCTTACATAACGTGAATCTCGCATGTGCAGATGGCAAACCAGGCAATGCAGCTGAATTGTTTGAGAGGGTTTCACAGAGTATAAAGGTGAAGCGATATAGTGAGGCACTTAATGATCTTAATGCTGCTATAGAGGCAGATCCAACACTTTCAGAAGCATATTACCATCGTGCATACGTTCTTCGCCATATATGCAGGTACTTCTACGGTTACGTTACTTCTTTACCATAATTGTTAATTTTTAAATAATTACCATTCTCAGGAAACGGAGTATATTTAGTTTGTTTTAAAGAATGTTTCAGCATTTATCATTTTCTATTTAAATCTTCAGTGAAAATAAGAATGTTAATGAGAAGTTTTTATTTCTAAGATTGATCCATCCATTCCTTTAACATCTATAGCTCCAATTTTCCCCAACTTATATTGTTCCTTATTATTATAAAAAACCCTTTTCTTTTCCAATTGCTGTGGTTGTACTCCATTGCTGTTATCATTGCGATCTACTTTGATATAATTAGTATGGTCCCGAGGCCCATTGTCTCAAAGCTTCCAAAGTGCAGCATCCAAATCATGTCTGTGTGTGCTCAAAAGCAACTGAACCATGGGCTTTTGTCCATAGTCGTTCATGCATTTTACAACTGGGCTACAGCTAGTCAGCTGCCAAAATACTGATGATTAGACCAAAATTTTTGATCTTGAGCTTAACTCAATGGTCGATTCAACTTTATCCTTTGTATCTTTTCATTAGGTGTAAGTTGAGACAGACAGTGGCAGAAAAAAATAAATATCAATAACTTACATAGCTTTTATTGATTTCAGAACCTTTTCAAAATCCTCTCTTCTCCCTTTCCTTTCCAATTTCTGATTGGAAAATTATATGATTCAGGCGCTTTTTGGCTGATGTAGATATGAGGAATCAGAGAAGAGCTACAAAAAGTTTTTGGAGCTAAAACCACAGGAATCAGTTGCAGAAAAGGAGCTTTCGCAATTAATTCAGTCTCAGAATGCTCTGGAGACAGCTTTGACTCTCTCTGAATCAGGCGACTATGCAAAATCTTTGGAGTACGTTGAAAAAGTTGTACTGGTTTTCTCTCCAGCATGCTCAAAGGTAATCAATTCTATTTCCTTTCCATTTTGGTCGTTATCATTTGTTTGATTTCAGTTCCATGTAGTTATACATCATACCCAAACAGCTCTTTTGCTGATTGTAGAGAGTTGGTATTAAGGATCTTATAAATTCAGTACTCTAGTGACCTCATAATCATGAGCACGTTGTTTCTTGTAGGCCAAACTGCTGAAGGTGAGATTGTTCTTAGCAACTAAAGACTATTCTGGTGTCATTGCTGAGGCTGGGTACATTCTCAAAGAAGATGAGGATAATCTGGAGGCATTATTACTCCGTGGCCGTGCCTACTACTATTTAGGTGATCATGATGTTGCTCAGAGGTTTGATTAGCACCCTGTTAAATTTTGAGTAATTTCTTTATAATTTGGTTAGAGTAAAATGAATATATACAATTTCTTTAGGCATTACCAAAAGGGTCTCCGCCTAGATCCAGAGCATGGTGAACTGAAGAAAGCGTATTTTGGACTGAAAAACTTACTCAAGAAGACTAAAAGTGTAAGTGCTAACAATTGTTTTTTTATTTTTCTTTTTGTTAACTTTTCCTCTTCTTCCCTAATGGCTAGGGAATGTCGAGAAGTTTGGCAATGGTAGTGAAACTATTTCATAAGTTGGCCTTCTTTAGAGCCTGCGTGAACCATTACCATGTTATGCATCATTTGGTGATCTCTTTCTGACAATTTTTCTTTATGCAGGCAGAGGATAATGTAAATAAGGGCAAGCTGCGCCTTGCAGTAGAGGAATTTAAGGCAGCCCTAGCATTGGACCCTAATCATCTTGCTCATAATGTACATCTTCATCTTGGCTTGTGTAAAGCCTTAGTCAAGCTTGGCAGGGGAAAGGATGCTTTAAGCAGTTGCAATGAAGCACTTAAAATTGATGAGGAGCTTCTTGAAGCTTTAGTTCAGGTTTGCTGGTGCTTCTGTTATACCCTGTTTTCCTCAGCATTTATAGAATTTAATATTAGTGTATTATTTAGTGTAAAATATGGCTGTCCTCAAGTTTATTTACTAAATTGTGTTTACAGAGGGGTGAAGCTAAACTTCTGACAGAGGATTGGCAGGGAGCTGTGGAAGATCTCAAATCAGCAGCTCAGCGATCACCTCAGGTTAGCCATTATGTTTACTCTGTTGCAGCTGCTGGATTAGTGCTTTAATAAGTAATGTGATGCACATAACAATAGATAAACTTAGCTAGATTAGAAGCCAAGTATTTAATGTCTTGTTCTGTGGATAGGTATACCATTAACAATATTATATCAATGTAACTGTGTGTTAAGTGCACTGTACGACCATAACTTCGGGTGTGTGCATGAGTGTCCGTGCACTTGCGTCCATTAATGTAATGTTGATAAATTTCTCGGATTAATTGTTTTCTTATTGTGCAGGATATGAATATTCGAGAAGCATTGATGAAGGCCGAGAAAGCCTTAAAGATGAGCAAACGTAAAGACTGGTACAAGATTTTGGGAGTTTCAAAGACTGCGTCTATTTCAGAGATTAAAAAGGCCTACAAGAAACTTGCTTTGCAGTGGCATCCAGATAAAAATGTTGAGAATAGACAAGAAGCAGAGGAAAAGTTCAGAGAAATTGCTGCTGCATATGAGGTCTGAATATTTTCTCTGAAGCTCTTTTTAATCTTCCCTTCCTATTGAGCTTTAACCTTTACTAGATTTTCCACTTATTTGCTGCAATAAAGGAATCCTATATGTGGACTTCTTGGTTCCGTCTTACCCTTGTATAATCCTTTACAGGTTCTTGGAGATGAAGACAAACGTACAAAATATGATAGAGGTGAAGATATTGAAGATATAGGAATGGGCGGCGGTGGCGGCGGAGGTGGTTTTAACCCTTTTGGTGGTGGCTCACAACAATTTACATTTACTTTCGAAGGGGGCTTCCCTGGCGGTGGCGGTGGTGGATTTGGAGGAGGCTTTCCTGGTGGATTTGACTTCCAGTTTTGATTTCCAGTAAAGAATGGGGCTCCTCTCCCCATGCTTGCACAAAAGAGAGCCATAAACTGTGTCATTCTAGGGGAGCACCAAAGCAGTTTTACTAATTGATGACAGGTTTTTGGTGAGATATACTTCGGCCACCCCAAAAGGGCTTCATAGTTGTTACATGGATTTTTTTTTCCATTGAGAGTTGCTACGCGGAACATCACGAGTCTAGAACAACTTGTATTAGTTGATTAAACGAAGTTGGTGAGACCATTTCTGTATATGTTGCATGTACCCTTTTCGATAATGGGTCCACATCAGACTTGAACCTGCATGGTTCTGGATAGCAGTTGAATTTATTTAGTGAATTTTTTCAATAACAAAAGATTTAGTATATACTCAGAAAAGTGTATTTTATTGGATGATTAGTTTATACCACAGCATATGTTCGCGAATCGTTTTATGATATCACTTTTTGTCACCTAATTTGTTAGCGCAACTCAAAATTATATAGTTTTTATTAATCTCTGGACAATCTCTCTGTGAATGATTTAGAAGATCCAAAAGCAAAAATAGTGGAATTTGCTGGCAGCAACAATAATATAGATTGATCCCCTGTTGCCGTAAAATCTAATGATGTTTGACTCTTATAAGCTATGCTGCTCTTTCCCTATGTTTGTTTAGTGGCATCGAATTCCTCAGTTTTTTATGTATCTTATGATGAAGCAGAACATGTTATTTCTAGTTACAACAGTTTTACTGCATAACAATCATTAGGATGAAGATGCATGGCTTTCCTTACTGCAACTCCAGGGAGACATCCATGAACACATAGGGTTGAGAGGAGGAGTTTATTCAAAAGAACAATGTCCAATTTAATTTCAAATCATAACAGTTGTACAAAATTCTTAGCAGAAATACAGAAAACAAAACAAAACAAAACAAAACAAAACCAAAGAAAAGTTCAGATGACCACAGCAATTCAACTCAACATCTCAACATCACAAGAAAACTGCTGCAAGAATTGCTGCTACCCCCATGGATGCTGCTATCATTCCATGGTGTTTCAGCCCCATTGCAGCAGATGCATCCGGGGTAGTGCCGGTGTCCGATGACCCTGAAGGGGCATCAGCACCTTTAACACTTTTTTTGGGTGCAGATGGCGCAGGAGCCGGTGCTGCTGGGCCAAAAATGTTCAAAGGAAGGAGCACCTGGTCCACCTCATACACAGCTAGCTGATTGTCAGTAAATATGGTATTAGCCACAGTTGCATTGACAACCCCTGTTGTTATGTTCACTTGGTTCCCTGCTGTGGTCACATTTAATGGGAACTGGCCATCATTGCTATTTCCAGCTTGTGTATGCAAAGGGTTGGAGACAGTTTGAAACTGTGAGACCGAATAGAAATTCGGCAGGACGTGAAATTGCATAAGCGCCAGCTTTTGCTGTTCTGAAATGGAGTTTAGCGTGCCAGATTTGAGGCTGGAAAAGGCATTATCAGTTGGTGCAAAGAGGGTGATGCCCTGGTTTGAGGTGCTGAGCTGTGTGTCGATTTGGTCAGCCATCCTGGTGCTTTTAAGTAGCTTAATCAAGGTGGTGAATTGACCAGCCTTCTCAAGAACAGCAGTCACATTGGTTGCTGATGGTGCAGGAGCTGCTGCTGGAGACTGAGCAGAAACCGTGGCTGAGTGGAGGAAGATGATCAAAGTGAAGAATGCAAAGAAAGATAAGACTGCCATCCCTTTTTTCTTTTTTGGGGGAGATTTTTATGTTTTTGGCTTGGTGGGTTTTGATCAGAAAGAGAAGAAGGCGGAGGAGATGGGCTAAGGTTGGAGAGGAGTGAGGGTATATATTGTGTGGGTGTGACTAAAAGAGAATGGGAAGTTAGGTGAAAGGGAGTCATTTTAAGGTAGCAAGACAATGTCATCTGAAGCCAATGTGCATCTTTTTCTTGGTAAGTAAGAGGAACAGTGAAGGAGAGATTGAGTTTTGCTTAGTGGGGCAGGAAAAAATAGCTGGATATGTGATTGAAGGGAGTGGGGTACAATAAGTGAGAATGATGAAGGTTTTTTGCTTCCTGTTTGGTGCAACTTCAAAAGAGAGCTTGAAGTTCAAGTTTTCATAATAAGCAGTTAGGATGGGACCAATTTCTGCAATTCTTTGATTCTTGGTGACCCTTGAAATCGATATAAGATTCAAAGGGAAGGGGAAGTGTCACTGCCATGAACAATTCCATGATAACAGTAAATTTTCTGACTACCAGTATAATCTGATCTAAGCATTTGTCTTGGCTCAAATAACATGTGAGACAAATTAATTAACAACTAAACAAGGGTTAAGTCTAGAATTTGAGACTCCAACTATGAAATGACCTTTTTGAGGTACATGCATGTAAATGAAGGATCAGATGATATTAAACTCTCATTAACAGACAATATTCACCTTAATTACTAATTACTGATATCATAATCATTTTTAGCATGGCCCTTGGAAATTTAAGTATCCTCTTTAAGCAAACTGAAGAAAAACAGTTCAGCAGGCAATCATTTTCAACCATTTCCTCTGATGTGTTACATCCTTTCAATATCAAGATTAGATCCAATAACCACCAATGGGTCCTCTATTAATTCTATAATCAAGAACTTTTTCAACTATGTTTGTTGTGTATTTTACTAGTGTTATATTATGATATCAAAGCGGGCTTGAGATCCAAATTTGGTCAAGTTTTGGAGCAAATTGGGCTGGTCTATATTCCAAGTGGACCCTAGTTGTAAATCTCTTTTGTTAAGCTTGTTGATTCATGTTGAACTTTTTTCAAACTTGGCCCAGACAGATTCATGTTGAACTTTTTTCGAAAGCAGGCTAATTCTATTCTGAGCTCTTTATGTACTTGCAAAACCCAAGGGGCCATCCTTGCATTCACAATGGATGCAAATTTTGCAAATTGCAATGCAACAATTCTCCCTTCTCTTCTAAAAATAATTCCAGTATTTCCCAAACCTTTTCTGAAATTCTAATTACCAAATACAATAATGCAAGATTCAACAAAATTTTCCTAGGAGTTACCAAATGTTGTAGCAAGTGACATGGTTATTTTTCTTGTTAGAACTTATTGAAGTTCAACTTAAAATGAACAAATAAAACATTATCACGATTCAAAAAAGATAACCAATACATATAAGTAACTAATTTATTACAAGTGAATAAGATTGATAATACGTATACATCAACTGAAATCTAAACACTTATTTTATTTTGGTATCTCTAGCATTAGTCTTTCTTATATAGATTCCATAATAATATGAAGCCTACATTGGGTACCACAGAAGAATATATCACAGAATATCTAAAAGACACAATTTTGATTGCAGTCTGCATACCCAATTTTGTTTTTGTTTTTTTCTAATTAGGAAAGTCTCAAAGTGAACAAACCAACCCCTTTTCCCAGTTGAAATCAAATCTGCTCTTGTTATTGTCATTTGCTGGTTCATAGCTTTGCTTCTCTTCACTATCTGAAGTTTCAGAGGAAAGAAAAGAAGTGAAAAAAAAGATCTTTGATCCCAACCGTTCACTGCGTTGACTGGCTGCACAACGTCAAATCTCCAACCGTTAAAAATTTACCATCAAACACTTTCCTCACAACGTTCCCATAAGCCGCAAACCAGACAGTCCGTTTGATCCCATTGAAGACCCACAACAGAAAGACAGAGCACAATAACACGAACAGAGCAAAAACCCACCTTTCTATATCAATTTCGAACTCAAAAGAAGAAGAAAGGAGAAGCATTTTAAACCCTAGGGGTCATGATCGTATGCTCAAAGGTCTATTGTAATCGCCACCATGATCAATACTTCCAACGGTATGATGTCAACGACTTCGTCGAGCAACGCTCAGTCACCGGGTCTCAAGACCTATTTCAAGACCCCAGAGGGAAGGTACAAGCTTCACTACGAGAAAACCCACCCTTCGGGTCTCCTTCACTACGCTCATGGCAAAACCGTCACTCAGGTACTCAATTTCTGCTATTAATTTCCTTCATTATCCATTTCGGGACTTCACTGTGTCGTAGCCATTTTTGGGTATTTTTGTGAAGATGTTTTTTGTTATTTATAGCTTTCTGTTTTTGTTAGGGTTTGTCTCAATGGTTATAACCCGTATGATAGAAGAATTGAAAATTGGATTTTTATTGTCTGGGTTTTGTTCTGAGTGTTTGATTTTCTAACTGAAGTGTTAAAAGAAATGTTAATGCTGGAAATATGAGGTGTTTCAAGACCCAGTATTTGAAACCATTTATCCCTTTTTCTACTTTTTCTTGAAATGTAATTTCTTAGTGCAGTTTTGGATGATTATAAGTGAACTTATGGAATATTCAGGTCCATCTACTGGGGTACCTGTATGATAGTACTTTTTTTGTATGGTTAATTTACTCTACAAGCCTTTTTTTTATAAATATGATATCTGAATTAAGAGCCTTGTGGGTCGTTGGTTATCAGGTGACATTAGCACATCTTAAAGACAAGCCTGCTCCATCAACCCCGACTGCACCATCTTCAAGCTTCAGCACTGGCAGTGGTGTACGTTCGGCTGCAGCAAGGTTGTTGGGTGGTGGTAATGGGAGCCGGGCACTTAGCTTTGTTGGAGGGAATGGAGGGAGTAAGAGTGTCAGTGCGAGTAGTAGAGTTGGGTCTTTGGTGGCTTCCAGTTCAAGTAGTTCGACTTCTACTTCAAATTTTGATGGGAAAGGGACTTTCTTGATCTTCAATGTGGGGGATGCAATCTTCATTAGTGATTTGAATTCTCAAGACAAGGTATTTTTGAAGTTCCATTTGTTGGTTTAGGCGCTGAGATCGGTTTATGATACGTTTCTTGTTGCATGTAGGATCCAGTAAAGTCTATACATTTCAGTAATTCAAACCCTGTGTGCCACGCATTTGATCAAGACGCAAAGGATGGTCATGATTTGATTATTGGGTTGAATTCTGGCGACGGTACAAATGTTTGTTTGAATTTGAAATCGCAATCTTGTTTTTGAAGTTCAATGTTTTGAATTGTTGTATGTGTACTTTTGTAGTCTACTCAGTGTCACTCAGACAGCAATTGCAGGATGTTGGAAAGAAGCTTGTCGGTGCTCAGCATTATAACAAAGATGGCTCTGTTAGTAGCAGGCAAGATTAACTCTCTATCTCTTTTTTCTTTTTTTTCCACTTGTTTGTAATTTATGTACTTCAAAAGGGTTCTTTATTTCAAAGATGATTCTCTGTGTGACATTAGAGGTAGATTAGAAGTCGTTCTGTATAAAAGGTTCACCCAGTCATGGTTCTGTCTGTATGTCAAAAGCTTAGTATAAGTTGATGCAGTATGTGTTGATATATTTAACTTTTTTAGTTCGCTTCCGTGGAGGCTAGAATGTTTCTTAACCGCCGAACAAGTAATAAAGAACACTAGAAGTGGCTGTGAATCTTAGTCTTGTTCTGGATTAGTAGGCTTCAAATTGGCCAGTATAGTTTCCTCTCTACTATATGGCTGCAAGTTGATGGGTAAATGTCTTGTTTCATCACTCTTGAAAGGGCTAATTCGTTTTTCCTTCACTTCAGCCATGATCAGAAGTTTATTGTGTATTCTGGACCTTCTGGTTTCCAGAATCTTATGTTTCTTTAGATGTTTGACCAGGGCCCTTTTGATGCCTTATTGTACACTTTGACCTTTGGTTTATAAACTGCTACGTGGGAGCTAACTGAACTGTTGCTACACCCGTTCCTGTGAGCAAACAGAAAACTTAGTCCCTGTAACTTGACTATTTTGCAATTGTCAATGCTTGATTTTTAGCTTGTGTTTGTCATTTCCTCAATGGGCATCATTCGAGAGCCTTCTGTCTGTTTGACTTTTTTTGTACACTTCTGTGGGGTACTTTGATTAATACTTGTTTTCCACAGCCGTTGTACTAGTATTGCATGGGTTCCTGGTGGTGATGGTGCTTTTGTTGTTGCTCACGCTGATGGGAATCTATATGTATATGAAAAGGCAAGCCCCTTTTATCTTAAAAACACGTTTCGCTGGCTTAAATTTTGTATTCCATGATTGCATGTTAAGTAATTGAGTGTATTTTATGTATCTTTGTTTTTTTCTAGAGCAAAGATGGGGCAGGCGATTCTTCATTCCCTGTTATCAAAGATCAAGCTCAATTTTCTGTTGCACATGCACGTTACAGTAAGGTATTGAGTTATGTTTATTTCCTTTTCTAACTTTGTTTCCCTTGTAGTTATTTTCTTTCTGAAAGTGGCTCATCAAGTTTGTCTATAAATTAGGTAAGGGGTACATGCTACTGCTATGTCACTATGGTGAATTTAGTTGGCACTTTTGACAGTGAATAAGACACTATGCTGTTATTCTGATACTCAGTTTGTATCCTATTTTAGATATAAGTCTTTTTAGGTGCTGTGTTTGGGTAATTTTCTGAAGTATAGATTCCTAGTCTAATACAGGGTTTATTTCTGACTTGTGAGACTCAATCTTCAATCCGCTAGTCTGTTTTACCAACAATATTCTCATTTGTTAAGTTGTCTGAACCGTCTATTAGTTTATTTAAGTTATCATTATGTCTTTGAAGAAGCCCGTTCCCCCTTGTGCAATGTCGAGCAGCGAAGCATCAGTTGTCCTTTGAATATCCTTTATTTCTTCAAGGCATCTTTACGGATCTGGCCTCTAGTAAATCCTTATATATTTGTTGAGGTAATCTGGTTGAGGTCTTACAGGTTTATGTGCGGTATACTGGAATGTCACTGTGGTTAATTAGCCGAATACTGAATTTGCATCAACCAAATGACTATGATAAATGTCAGATAATTAGAAGGGAGATATGTGCATCTGACGACCTGAATTTCAATTTCTGGTTCCTTCTCCACCTACAATTTTATGTTGACTTCCTATTTTGCTTGTGCAGAGTAACCCAATTGCCAGATGGCATATCTGCCATGGTTCAATTAATAGTATTGCATTCTCAACTGATGGGGCCTTTTTAGCAACTGTTGGAAGAGATGGTATAATGTCACTATAGTATTGTTTGGATTGTGTAGTTGCTCTCTTTTTCTGTTGGTTTTATCGTTTGCAAATTATATGATGCAAATTTAATTACTGAATGCAGGTTATCTACGTGTTTTTGACTACTCAAAAGAGCAACTTATATGTGGCGGCAAAAGTTACTACGGTGCTCTCTTGTGTTGTGCTTGGAGGTGTGCATCTTTATTGGTTTTTCATTGAAGCTTGCTGCTGGTGTTTGTAATATTCTTCCGATCTTGTAGATTACCTTTAAATTTAAACTCCTGTAGTATTTGGCTCTTTTTGCATTAAGATATTATTATACTTCTGAGATGATAGTATGATTGATTACAAAATACTGCTGAACAGCATGGATGGAAAATACATACTGACGGGAGGTGAAGATGATTTAGTTCAAGTTTGGAGCATGGAAGATCGGAAAGTTGTAGCATGGGGAGAGGGGCACAACTCTTGGGTAGTTTTCTTAAATAGCATCGTGGTTGCTATAATTACTTGATTGTGGCTGTTTTACTAAGTTCTTACTGGATGATGTTGGCAGGTCAGTGGAGTGGCTTTTGATTCATATTGGTCATCACCAAATTCAGATGGTATGGGGGAGACTGTCATGTACCGGTTTGGTTCCGTTGGTCAGGTATCAGAAAAATATTGGTCTTGTCTTCAATTTTTGGTTTTTATAATCAGATATCTCATGTATAAAAATGCCATAATTCCAATGTAATTTCCTTCTCTAAATTTTTATTGTTTCTTGGCTCTCGTCTTACCAAAATTCTGCTTTTATTTATTCATTACATATATTTGACATTTAAAGTTTTCAATAGAAAGTTTAATATGAGCTATAACTGGTGAACCTACAAAGGTATGCTAAGATTTACAATCAACGTAAAAAATTATAGTGATTTGTAATGAGTGCATTTGAGAGAAGTTATGAACTTATCTCAGTATTCTTCCTTTACCCTTTCTGTAGTTTACTTAAAAGGATTATGAAAAGAAAATATTTGAGTAATTAGCCAACAACTGAGATGATCAGTCCTGTAATGCAGACCAATCGGCACAGCAGAGATATATGGTGCAAGTTTTATTTAGAAAGGAAAATGGTTTGAGTTGAAAATGAAGTATTTGATAATTCATTGTTAGTTCTTACCCATGGTCCACCACACATGGGTAAGGACAGAGAGAGTAAAGTTAACTTGTAGGTTGTCTTTTGCTCCCTTTTACTTTTACAATTGCGGATATTTTTTGCAGGTGGATAAAAACATAGTAGTTAAAAATGTATATATAGATTGGAGATGGGGAAGGGAAATGAGACAGCGAAAGTTTTGAAAATACTAGTTATTTAATTGGAAAATAGTTTCCAAGTTCAAAACCATATGATATTTCTTTGTTTCATTATACTTATCCATTTGAGTGCAGGACACCCAGTTGCTTCTGTGGGACCTGGAAATGGATGAGATTGTGGTGCCATTGCGGCGATGCCCTCCTGGTGGCTCCCCCACTTATAGTGCTGGAAGCCAGTCATCTCATTGGGACAATGCACTTCCAGTGGGTACTCTTCAGCCTGCTCCAATCATGCGAGATGTTCCAAAAATCTCACCACTGGTTGCTCACCGTGTACACACTGAACCCCTCTCTGGCTTGATGTTTACTCAAGAATCCGTTCTCACTGTCTGCCGAGAAGGGCATATAAAAGTTTGGATGAGACCTGGGGTTTCAGAAAGCCAATCAAACAACTCTGAAACCATGTTAAGCACCAGTTTGAAGGAGAAGCCTTTATCCTCAGGCAAGGTTGGTAGTTCCAGTTACAAGCAATGACCAGACTGTCATCAATTCAAGACACAAATGCAAAACAAGCTTCGACATTTTTTTTCGACATTTTTTCCCCATTGGGTTACAGTTCCATTTGCCTGTGTAGCCAATTTTCTTTTGTCATCCAGTTGGTTTTTCCAGAAATAGCACTTTGTAAGCATAATCTGACTGGCATTGCCATGCAACCAACTGATTCTATTGTATAGACAAAAATGTCATTGAAGGCAGTAAGAGGCTGGGAGGGAGAAAAACCCCCATTTGTAAGTACAAAACGGCTTTTGCTAGAATATATTTACTGACCTACAGGAATGATATGATGTTGCTCCCTTGAGATCTGTTTCGTCCCAGCAGTGCCGTTGAGTGGTAATTTATTTTACAGCCCTTAACGCATTCTTACCCTTTCTATGAACCATTTGTTGGATTAGTTTTAATTTTTTTTATTTTTAAAAAGAGCTCACTTTTAGATTCAAGCAGAAACAAAGTGTCGTATGGAATGTGACTGAAAAAGAATGATAAACTTGGCCCAAGAAAAAAGGATTATCCGGAAGGAAGACCTAAAATCCGAACAATTTTGATCATTAGACCATATTGAAGGATCAAGGATGAGTCGAACAATCTGGCTCTCAAGTTGAGTCCTCACTAGAACACTATATATACGCGTGCATACAAGGAAGCCAAAAGTTTCACCACGGGTTGTCATTTGAACTTTTCTAAAGCCAAGCTATACATGCGAAATAGTATATATACAACTACTCTTAACATGTACTATATTTATTTACAGCCCCCTCCTAGTATGCAACTATGGTTTTAATGCATGTTAAAGTACAGAAGTCAGCTGCCATGAATAGCTTCTGCAACTTGAGTTTCATTTTCAAGCTGTTGAGGATTCGTTTGCGCTTCTTGTGCATTCTCTGGTGATTGATTCGGCTGCGGCACCCCCCGAGAACCACGCTGTCGATTTGTCTGAAAAAGCCATCTTTCTCTCCATCTAAAAGCCTCAACAATAATAGAATTTCCACACATTGTAACTCCAAACCCCATAAAAGTGGCAAGGAGAACAGACAGAACTGCATGCATGTGAAGCTGGAGACCCAACAAGAACATATAAGATACTGTTATGGATACGAAGGTGAACACCAATATTCAACACTTGAAGCCTCATCACAGATTTAGTGGATTTTCACTTGACAATAAGATTATTGATCAGCAGTTGCTCGTTCTAAGCATTTTGTAACCCAAAACAGAGAAAAACTTTTTCACTAAGGAGAATCATCACATTTTCATGAATGGAGTAGCAGAGCAGTTACTTCACAAATCCTATCACTACTTGAGTAGCTGAGAAACTCTTACCAATGAATAGAGTATATGTGCTGAGAGAACCACCAGTGTAAACTGAGTAGTTGCATAAACCCAGACAAATTTTCTTCTCACTGTGCACGAATTTCTAAGTCAGTATAGTAGAAAGAACATTTTTTTTTTTTTTCTTTTTTTTTTTTTTTTTTTTTTTTTTTTTCTTACACAGAAAATCAATGAATTCATGAATTTGAAAATATTTCTAGATAAGTAATTTCAAGCGTAGCCCTACCCATTGTGGTTGATGTCATGGATGCCAAAAGACCCAATATGCAGGAAAAAGGAAGAGAGAGAGCAATTGCACCCGATCCCATTTTGCCCACCTGTCCATTTGATTTACTTAGAAACTGAAAGGCTAAGAAAGAAAAAGTACATAGAATTTGCATGACTTACCAGAAGCTGCTCAAGAAAACAGAAGTAAGCAAGCATGCTGACTATGACAAGGATGGGAACATCCTGCCAAACCCTGGAAATTTTTGCATTAATTATTAATTATCCCATCCTAGAAGGTGGTGTTGAACATATTAAAAAATAAGACCATACACAACAGACATAGTAAGCACAGAAATTTCCCTTTCCTGTGCATTATAACAGTTAAAATATCACTTGCCTATATTGAGTAACCTCAGTCTGCTGTGCTCTACGTGCTCGAGAATTAAGGGTCTGAACATTTTGAATTCGTAAAAGTGTGACGGGTAGGTTCTGAACCTCTTGCTTGCATACATCACATGTTTTATTACCTTTAATGCTGAACCATTTGACAGCACATTCTTGGTGGGCAAGAGCAAGGTCACCTTTACAACTGCACTCCATCTTGAGGGTTTCAGCACCTTCACCTAGTTCAACTAAGCAAATTCGACAAACAGCTTCTTCTACAGCAATATCTTCACCGCCATCATCACTTCCATCTGAACCGCAAGACTAAGATAAGGCATAGGTTGGTTATCACAAGTTAAGGTAGCTAGAATCTGAAACTACAGACAACTGGTACTCCCACAGGGATAGGAGAGGTTTTTTTGTGGATGTGGAAAAAGACAATTAAAACGCAAAATTTACCAGTGTCAGTTACTGGGGATGTGCTTGAAGTTGTCGTGACAGCCCTCTCAGGCATTTGTGGTGTGGTGGGAATTACACGAATGACACCACTTAAATATATACTTCCATCTTTATTAATCACAGGGACTGATTGTGAACGATGAATGGGTAGTTGGGCCTCTCCTTTCTGCAAAGTCAGGAATTGAAACAAAAAATAATGGTACAAATACTCAATACTAATAAAATTGAACTGCAAGCAAAAAATAGACATATTATTAGACTCGGATGAAAGATCAAAGAGAAGCACCTCATGTAGATAATTTAAAAAGTAACAAACTTTTGGATCATAAAATGAAAGAGCAGGACAACTCACTGTGGGACTCAAATTGATAGAGGAAATAATAGGAACCATATTTTAGCTTTTGCTTTAAAAAAAAAAATACGTGGTGCACCAACAGAAAACTGGGCTGCTAATCAAACTCTATAAAACTAATCTATCCTCCATTGTGATGAACTCCCCTCTCATTTATTCTCCAAGAAGTTGTAAAGAACCAAGGAGAAAAGGTTATCTTTTTGGTCCAAAAAGTAATATGTTCGGTAGAATCAGTACAGGAAATTAAGAGGGAAAGTCCAGGAACCCTTCACAAGGAGGGTGGGTGCACTGCCACCAGTACATGTGACATTGAGGAAATCATCTAGATTTAAACTTATCTTGGAATTTTGCTAATGCTCTGTAGAGTGCTACTAGCAAGTAGAATTGCCAAAATAAGCAAAACTTTACATAGATATGCGATAAATCTAAAGCAATTTCCTCTCCATTGTAGATAATATAATCAGTTAAATGATCCTTAAATAAAATTGAACACTACACAGTAAGTTTAAAGGACCTCCAGATCGTATCTGAGATTTTCTTTATTATATAAACATGCAATATGGTCAACTTAAATTCTTCTCGATGCATTAATTATTCTCAAGCTAACAAGTGATAGATACTCACAACAGAACTGAGCACATCAATTGTGTTCCCTCCATGCATAGACTCTGGATTTGAGTGAGCAATTGGAGTTACAGGCAAGGATGATGCATTTTTCATTCTAGGAGTCAAAAGCTTTGTAAAGGACCATGTCCTTGAAATTAAAGGCTTCTCACGTGTCCCTGCAGGTAAGCCTCCCAGGGCTAGAGTGGCAGCCTTCTGAATCTCTGAAGTAGTGTTCCGATGTTTGAAACTTAGTTTTGGAAGGAGGCTTTTTATGGTTGATTTAGCTTTTGATGATGAGGGCCCTGGGGACCCACTGATTTTGGCTAAACTAGGGCTGGGTAATGGGGAGAAGTTTACTCTTTTGGGAGTGAGACTCGGCGTTGGGGGCATGTTTATTCTCACAAAATCTTCTTTGGCATCCTCAAGACTTCTTGAAGGTATCTGTAAGATGAGGTTCTGTCGTCTCCATGGTTGACCAGGAGGAGCTTCTTCAATTATCTCAGCAGCGTCTCCACCCTGCAAAAGAAGAGCAAAAGAAAATCATCCAGGATCAGCGAAAATACGCAATTTACACTCACATTATCTTTTCCAGATCATGCCAGTTATACAACAATCTCAGACAAGCATATCTATGATGAACGGAAAAATAAGAAATGAATATTGAAGAACTAGCTCAAGTCAATTTCACTTCACTTGCATAGGTATGGCAGATTGAGGACAAAGCCAGCATAAAGGAAAGACCAAAGGGGATACATATTGAAGCAGATTTATGAAAGAACATAATCATGTGATTTGTCCTTTGTTCAGAGCAACATGAAAATACATAATTTTAAGCCAAAATCAGCAGTAAGCTCTTTTGTCCAAAAAAATTATAATTAAAAAAAAACACATAAGAAATACAGAATGAAAACAATAGCAGTATAAATCCTGACTAGTTCTAAAAGGAATTGGAAGCTTCTAAATTGAATTTCATATTAATACAAATATCAACTGAAGATTGATATTATGGTTGTTGACAGATTATGGAGCCCTAAATCAATTGATATCTTTCAGCACTTTGTCTTGGCTGTGCACTAAAACCAACAATTGCATAGCTGAATATGAGTATGACATATCAACTATGGTTCACCCAATTAATTATAAAAAAAAACTTCAAGTTTGAGTTTTTAAACACAAACATAGAGATAATCACAAACATTATATGGCAAGATGAATTGATTCCACAAGTAATGAAATTTATGAGCAAGAAATAAACATATCAGAACAACCCATCATAGATTTTCAACAAGGAAGCGAAAATGAGGTACCTTTTGGATTGAAGGGCCAGCTTCGTTGGTGGAAATGCCACCATCATTTTCTTTAGCAACGGTTTTCTTCTCCAGTTGCCATAGCTCGGTCCCAGCAAAGGCCGCTTAATTTTCTTCACGTAAATGAATTCTGAGAAAGCTCTGCTCTTGGTCCTGCAAAAACCACCAAAACCCACCAGGGAGACAGTGCAGAGGAGCTGAAAAGGCAGAGAGATATATGGACAAGTGGCAGCTGAGAGAGAGAAGAGTGAAGGAGAAGGAGGCAGCTCACAGTCAGACTCATGGAGCTCTCTCAAGGCTCAAGAAAAGCAAAGCAAATGCCAAAACGGATT